TTTGTTGAGTAGCAACTGCAGAAGCTTCGCGCCGCGCGGTCCACTTCGTCCGCCCCTTCTTGCCATCTCCATCATCTCTTTCAATGGATCCATACCTACTGGCAAGACCGTTGACATCAAGGTCATCAAGAGGTGTGCTTCCAGTATTTCCTCCTCCCCCTTCCTCTCCCGCACCAGAGACGAAGTCGCCCTCCCTTGGTCCTCCCGTCCGGCGCAGTCGCCGCACACGCCTCGCGCCCTCGCCCTCGCCAGGCCCCTTGTCCTCGGCCGCGACATCGACAAGCACCACCACCTCGATGTCGACCCTCCCTCCACCCTCGCTCCCACCCTCGAGAACCGCCATGCGTGACTCGCCCTCGTTCCACCGCCCACCCTCGCCACCTCCCCTCACGCCTGCGGGATCGTCCTGGACCCAGCACGAGCTCGAGCAGGGCATCGAGGGCGGCCTCGAAGACGACGAGGACGAGAGCGAGCAGCACCTCCGAGCCCGCTCGTCGCGCGACAGCGGCATCTCGCTCGGCGAGCGCCAGCAGCACCTCTCGCCGAGCCACGCCCACGACGACGCCCGCTCGCGCCCGCTCGACTCGGCGCAGCGCTCCCTGTCGCCCTACCCGTCGGTGAGCGGCGCCGCGTCGTCCGCCGGCATCTCGTCGCCTTCCTCGTCGTCGCACCCTCGTCCGCCGAGCGCCCTTTCATCCACCTCGTCGTCGCACCCGAGCGGCAGCACCGGCGGCCCCACCTCGCAAGACTCGCTCGCGTCGCCTCGCCTCGTCGCGCACCACCCGTACGCGTCGAGCAGCCTCAGCTCGGCCGCCGCGTTCGACTACGACGACCTGCTCGGCCCGCACCCGCGCCGCGCCCTGTCGGGCACGAGCGTCAGCCCGCCGTCGAGCAACGAGGACGACAAGTTGCGGCGCGGCGTCGCCGAGTCGCACGTCCAGGGGCTCGGCCTGACGGCGAGGGCGGCCGGCGGCGGGCGCAGGGAGCTGTACGGCCAGGACGAAGGCGGCGAGCTCGGCGGCGGAGGAGATGAAGCCCAGGGCGACGAGCACGACGAGCGCTGGGAGTCGCTGCGCACCATGAGCCTGTCGTCGGCGCCGCCGACGTCGTCGTCGTCGGACGCGCCTACGGCGCCGCGCCGCTCGTCGCTCGCCCAGTACGCCGTGCGCCAGTCGTCCTTCTCGTCGACGGCCCTCGTCGGCAGCCCACTCAGCCCGCACGTCGCGCCGTTCGCGCCCTCGTCGGCGTCGTCGTCGGCGCAGCAGCAGCAGGGCGGCGGCGGCGGGACCCCGACGTCTACTTCGGGCGGCTCGTGGATCAGCCCGCGCGAGCGCGAGGTGCGTCGGCTCTTTCTCGCCTTGGACAGTATCAGCGACTGTCACTGACTCTCGTACTCGCGCTCGCAGGCGAGCTGGAACTCGGCGGCGTCGTCGAGCTACGCCGTTCAGGCGCAGCAGCGCGCCCTTCCCTCCCTCACCTCCCATTCCTCGACCACCTCGCCTCACACGCCGCACTACGCGATGTCGTACGCGTCCCAGCACGGCTTCTCGCACTACGCCGAGTCGTCGTCGTCGGCCCCGCTCGTCGCGCCCGCCATGAGCGAGTCGAGCTCGCGCGGCGCGCACGGCCTCGGCGGCGAGACGTTCTTCGTCTCGCGTGGTCCGCCTCGCGCACCCTACACGGTCGAGTACCGCGACCGCTCCGGCAGCGAGAGCTACGGCCTCAACGGGCACGGCTACTCGTCGTCGACCGGGCTCGACTCGGCGTCGGCGGCCGTCGCCCAGTACGACGCGGCCATGCAGGCCGACGTGTCGACCATCTTTGTCGTCGGCTTCCCGGACGACATGACCGAGCGCGAGTTCACCAACATGTTTGCGTTCGCCGACGGCTTCGAGGCGGCGACGCTCAAGTTCCCGTACCCGCGCGACGGCAGTGTCGCCGGCAGCGAGGGCGGCGGCTCGGGCCTCGCCGGTCTTGCCCTCGGCGGCGGCGGCGGCGGCCCCGACGAGCCGTTTTCGTCATCGTCGTCGTCGTACCCGGGCCCGCCGTACCTCGCGACGGCGCACGAGGGCCACGCGACGGGCGCCTCGACGCCGCTCAGCGCGACGGCGTCGGCCAACGGCACGTCGACGCCCGCCTCGACGGCCGTGCGCAAGATCATCGGCTTCGCGCGGTTCGACACGCGGCAGCACGCGCTCGCCGCGCGCGAGACGCTCAACGGGCGCCGCGTCGACTACGAGCGCGGGTCGGTCCTCAAGGCCGAGATGGCCAAGAAGAACCTGCACATGCGCAAGAACGTGCTCGTCACGGCGACGGCCATGTCGGGCAGCGGCTCGGGCAGCGGCGGCACGACGAGCTCGTCGGCCGCGGGCACGACGGCGCCCGGCTCGGCCTCGGGCCATGCCTCGGCCCAGGCCCAGCAGCAGCAGTCGCCGTACGTCTACTCGGCGCTCCATGGCTCGCCCGTCGCCGTGCAGCAGGCCCCGTCGTCGCTGTCGTCGGCGGCGCCGGACGTCGCCGCCACGTCATCGTCCTCGGCGCCGGGCCCGTCGATCCCGCTCTCGTCGCTCGACAGTGCGACGCTGCAGAAGCTCGCCCAGTCGAGCAACCTCAACCCGGCCGTGCTCGCCGAGATCGCCCGCCAGAACCTCGTCAAGGCGTCGACCTCGGCCGACTCGGCGGCGGCGGCGGCGACCGAGGCGTACCAGGCTCGCCGCGCGAGCGAGTACTTCGAGGACGACCCGGCGTCGGCCTCGTACCCGAACGAGCAGGCCGGCTGGGCGCAGGCGCCCGCGTCGACGTCGTCGTCCTCGCCGCCGCACCAGCCCTCGGCCGCTCCCGGCGTCGGCCTCGGCCTCGGCTCGCAGCGCAGCATGCTCCAGCAGCTCGACGAGGGCATCGGCTCGAACGCGACCGCGTCCAACGCGCCGTACCCGTCGCCCGACCTGCGCAGCATCGGCGGCGGCGGGCCCGGCAGCAGCGTCTCGGGCGGCGCGCGCTCGCGTGAGGCGTCGTACGCGAGCATGTCGGGCCCCGTCGGCGCGCCCAACCCGTACTCGACGTACGCGAGCCCGGGACCGGGCGCGGCGCCGCTCTCGCCTGGACTCGCGGCCGCGGCGGCCTCGGCTGCGACGGCCGTCGTTGGCGCCGTGCCGAGTGCGGCGGCGAGGCAGGCGGCGATGCACCCTCTCGGCTCGCCGACGGGCAGCTTCTCGTCGTCGACGCTCGGCGGTGCCCTCGCCGCCCTGAGGACGCAGAACCCGGCCGACATGAACGCGCCCAAGAAGTGCGTCCGCTTCTCTCGTTTCCTTCTCGCCTCTCTCGCCCGTACGAGTACGACCCTGACCCTCGTCCCCTTGCCCACAGCACGCTCTACGTCGGCGGCCTCCCGGCGGTCCTGCCCTCGCTCACGGGCCCGTTCTCGGCGTCGCACCTCGAGGACAGCCTGCGCAACGCCTTTTCGCGCTGCCCGGGCTACCGCCGCCTCCAGTTCCGCTACAAGTCGAACGGGCCCATCGTCTTTGTCGAGTTCTTCGACACGGCGCACGCCACGCGCGCCATGCAGGAGCTGTACGGCCACACGCTCGGCGGCCTCGTCAAGGGCGGCATCCGCCTCAGCTACTCGAAGAACCCGCTCGGCGTCCGGTCCAACGGCCAGCCGGCGCTCCCGCCGCCCGAGCTCATCGACCAGCGCCCGCCGCACTACGTCCTCGCGGCCCACCAGCAGCACTCGTCGCCGGCGGGCCTTGTGTTCGGCCAGGGCGCTTACGGCTCGTCGCCTTACGTCAGCTCGTCGAGCGCCTTCTCGAGCGACGCCGTCCTCGTCGTCGGCGGCGACCCTCACCGCCGCCCTCCCGACCCCATCTACGGCGAGACGGCGTACCCTCGCTCGTCGTCGTACAGCGCCGCCTCGCCCGGCGACTACGGCGGCGGCGGCGGCGGCGGCATCGGCCGCGCCCGCAGCAACACGTTCGCGTCGGCCGGCTCGGCCGCACCAGCCTCGCCGTCGTCGGCCTACGGCGGCGCCTTTTCGCCCTTCAGCGTCGATCTCTGAGCCTCGTCGCACAACTCTCCCTGCATGTACCGACCCTGTACTACCTCGCCTCCTCATCGGCGCCTACTTCAGCACGTCGTCGCCATCGCCGCACACACACACCCCATGGTCATCCTCGTCGTGCCCGCCGTCTCTCGTTCTCGTTCTCTCTCTCTCTATCAGTCCTGGCGCGCCTCCGTCTCCCTTCCCCCTCCCTTCCCCTCGTTGTTGATTCTTGTCCTGCTCCCTCGTACGCGTCGTTCCTGCCCCCCTTCCCCTACCCCCCACTCCCTTTCATACCCCTGCCTTGCGCTTGCGCATCCCTAACTATCTCGCCTCGTCGTTCCTCTCCCTCCTCGCCCTGCTTTAGTAGTCGCCTCGCCCCCTCTCTCACTCTCTCTCTGCATGACTGCCTTCCCTCCCTCGCGTATCGTCATCCGCAGCATACTTTCCTCTCCTCGTCCGGCATCATCGCCTCCTCTCGCTCTCTCCTCCCCTCTCCCTGCCTGCGCGCTTTCTCGTCCCCCTCTCGTCAGTTTATCCGTCCACTTGCAACCATACGCCGGTCGTTCGCTTTCGCTCTACGGTTTTGTCGTCGCGAGGAGAGCGAGAGAGGCACGACGCGAACAGAAAAGCGGTTACACGAGAGGCTAGTACGGGACCCTGCGCGCTCTCCACCCGTCGTTGCCGGTCGGCCGCGTGACGGTCTGCGGCCCGAGCGCCTCGTCCTCCTCGTCCCACTCCTCGCCGGTCGACGGGCCCTCGAGTTCCTCCCTGCCGCCACCGCTCGACGAGGACGCGCTCGGTCCTCCACGCGCGCCGCGGTCGAGCGCACGACGCTTGCCCCGGCTCCTCGCGCTCGCTCCTCCGGCATTTGCTGCCCCCGTCGACGCCGACGACGAGGTCCCGAGGCTCGACACCCCACTGCTGCGCCCGCCCAAGGCCGCTCGAGGCGCAAAGCGCTCGAACCTGGCGCCGTCGCCGAACCCGCCCTTGCCGCTGCGGCGCGCCTCGCCCGCCGCCTTGGGCAGGACGCCGAGCCATCTGCCGGCCCTCGTCGCGACGCCGAGCGTCTCGTCGAGAGCGGCGCGCGTCGAGCGCCCGGCGACGAGCCCTGCGAGGACGCCGCACGCTGTGCCGCATGCGAGCGCGCCGGCGAGGGCGTACCACAGCGGGGCGAGGGCCGTCATGATGGATGTGGCGAGAGACATGGGGGAGAGGACGAGGGTCGAAAAGAGGAAGGCGAGTGGCGACAGGAGGGCCGCGAGGAGGGTTAGGAGGATCGAGGCGAGGGCGACGAGGAGCGAGTAGAGGAGGGTGGCGAGCGGGACGAGGGCGTAGGTGTAGAGGAAGCGCAAGGGGTGGTGGATGGCGTAAGTGTACAGTGGGCGAAGAGCTGCTTGCGCACGAGAGGGTCAGGTCAGGTCGAGTCGGGTGCGAGGGAGGAGGGAGCAGGACGACGAGGCGCACCGCGGAGCTTGCCGACCGTCTTGAGGATGTCGGCCGGTTCCACCTGCTCCTGCACCTTGTTGGCCGTACCCGCGCCCGCCGGCTCTGCAGCCCCAGCGTCCCTCCTGCGTTCCTCCCCCACCTTGGTCGCCGGGACGAAGAAGGTCTCGCGGACGACCTGGACGCCCTCGGGCCTCTCCTGGGCGTGCAGCTCGCTCTGTGCCGCCTTGCGAGCACGCTCGAGCAAGAGGGCCCACGACTCGGGGTCCACGGGCGGGATGTCGGCGGCAAGGAAGGGCGGGAGGACGGCCGAGGCGATGACGCCCGCGTCGGGCGCAGAGCGCTGTGCGGCCGCGCACGAGAGCAGCGCGGTGATGGCAGCGAGCCACAGTGCAGCGTAGGTCGAGGCTGGAGCTCGCATGGTGCGAGGCGAGGGAGCGCGGACGAGGGACAAGGAGCGAGCGGCGAAGCGACTTGGGCGTGTTTGCGGCGAGAGAGAGAGACAGGCTCGGTCCTGAGAGAGTCCTGCATTGCCAAGGGTCTACAGCTACAACAGAGGAACGTCGTCGAGTCGCACGAAAGATCGGGAGAGCGGCACGGCGGAGAGAGAGAGAGGAACGAGGAAGGCGGGAAGAGTGTCTGTCGAGGCGGCGGTCGAGGGTGCGGCGTGGCCAAGCGCTCAGAGGTACTGCAACAGGACGACAGAGTCAGTCATCTTCTTGAGGAAGAGAACAAGAGAGGAAGAGGACGCACAGGCACGCTGGAAAAGTCGAGCTGGTCGCCAAAATCGTCGGGCCCTTCTTCGCCCTCGTCCTCGTGCGCCTCGTCCTCGTCATAGTCCTCGTCGCCGTCGTCGTGCACGCCCTGCACCTTCTTCTTGTACGCCTCGGCCTCGGACGCCGCACCGTTGAGCCGACCCGCCGTCGCCTGCGCCCGATACCGCTCAAAGTCGCTCTCGTTCGGCAGGCTGCCCGGCATCGACGACGAGCGGCTCCGCCCGGCATAGCCGCCCTCGTCGTCGTCGTCGTCGTACTCCTCCTCGCCGTCGAGGCCGACCTCGGGCACCGTCGCCTGGAGCAACGGGCTCGACGGCGTCGCGCCGCGGGCCGTGCGCGCGCCGGCGCTCGTGACCGACGCGGCGTCGTTGCTAAGCGCGCCGCGCGACGACCGGCGCGAGAGCGAGCTCGCGAGGCTGCCGAGGCGCGTCAACGAGATACGGCTCGTCGACTGGTCCGAGCGCGCCGACAGGGCCGGCGACGGCGGCGCGAGTTCCGGGATGTCGAAATCGAACGCGGGCAAGGGCGCGCGCCAATAGTTGAAGTCGGTGTACTCGGGTGCGGCGCTGCGGTTGATGGGCGGGAACATCTGGTCGACGAGGTCCGTCATGTGGATGTAGCTCGACTTGTACCCGGCGAGCTCGAGCAGCTCCATCTTGACCTCGCCGTTCGAGTCGATTGTGAAGATGCGCGACGACGGGATGTCGACGCTGCGGTACGACAGGGCGTCCGTGATGCGGTTGCCGAACCCGGCGTAGAAGGGCGAGCGCTCGCCGAACAGGCGGGCAATGTCGCGCAGGCACGCCATCTTGAACACCTCGGGCTTGCGCATGATGACCTCGCTGCGGCGGGTCGAGCACGTCGGTCAGGGACCTGCACGACGACAAAGATGGGGCGCGAGAGGAGGGACGCACCGGTGGAGCGAGGTCATGAGCCGGTCGGGGCTCATGATGACGGGGCCGTCGGGGAGCTGGAAGCCGTTCTGCTTGATGTTCTTGAGGTACTCGCGCGTCGTGTCGGCCTGCCCGATCGCTCGCGACGTGAGGTACATGAGCTTGTACCCGTTGCGCGCGATGTCGGTGTACAGCTTGGCGACGCCGAGGTGCGTCCAGTCGCGGCCGATCATCGTGAAGACGTGGCCGAGCGCGTCCGACCTGCGTGCGCCGAGCGAGTCAGTGCGTCTTCTCACGTAGGAGAGGGACAAGGAGGACGGGACGCACTTGGTGATCGTGCCGTCAATGTCGGAAATGACGACGCGGAAGTCCGAGTCCCACAGGAAGATGCGCGAGGTGCAGGTCGCGTAGCCCGAGTACGACGAGCGGACCGTGAACGAGATCTGGTTCATGCCCTTCTTGAGCTTGAGCTTTCGCTGCGGGCCGGGCGCGAGGGTGAGTCGTCGGCGAGGGGCGAAGAAGGGAGAAGGGAGAGAGGGACGCACGAGCTGGTCCGAGGTGAGGCGCAGCGTCTTGGCGTAGTGCTTGGTGTGGTCCTCGGGCGGGAACTCGTCGCCGTCGTGCTCGTCGCCGAGCTGCTGAGCGGTCGGCGCGTCGAGCGCGGGCTCGGACCTCGGCGAGTCGGGCGGGCTCGTCGGCGGGCTCGCCTGCGCCGTCGCCGGCAGGCTCGACGCCGTCTGCGTGTCCTCGGGCGGCGCCGTTCCACCTCGACTGCGGCCCCACCACAGGCCCCACCCGCGCCGGCCGCTCGCCTTGGTCGGCTGGGTCGACTCGTCGATCGAGCGGTGCAGCTCAGGGTGCTCGACGAGCGACTTGCGGTACACGGCGAGCGACGCGAGGACGGGCGACGCGTTGTCCCACGTGAGGTAGCGCCCGGCGTACTTGATGACGAGGTCGGGGCTGTCGGGAATCGCCTCCTGCTCCATAAAGTCGCGGTACGTGAGCTGCGAGTCGCGGAACAGGCGCCCGGACGTGTTCTGCGACAAGAGCAAGACGATGTCAGGAGAGGGAACGGGTACGAGGAAGTGGGCGAGAAGCAGACGCACCTTGTCGAGCTGCTCGAACCCCTCGCTGCCGCACAGGCTCAACTCGAACACGTGCTGCTGGCTGCCAGTCTTGAGCGTGAACAGGGTCGACGTCGCGACGAGGACGCTCTCCTCGGGCGCAGTTGGGCCGTCGACCTCGGCACGGATCGCGTTGAGCTCCTGGAGGATGACGGGTCGCGGCGGCGGCGAGCTCGCGCGCGAGCTGAGGCGGGATCGAGGCGTCGGCGGCTTGCGCTCGCTCGCGATGGAAGAGGCGTCGTCGAGGTCGAGAGGAGGGATAGGCGGAACGGCGTCGACGTCGGTAGCCGCCTCGTCGTCCTCGAAGAAGTCGCGCAGGGTGGTCGGGTCGGTCGACTGGAGGAGCGCCTGCGTGAACGCGATGATGTCCTTCTCGGCTTCTGCTCGGACGTGCGCGTGTCAGTACGCGACTGTGGGAGGAAGAGGGAGAGAAAGTGAACGAGAGGACGCACTCTCGTCGAGGACGAGGTCGACCGACCCCTCGAGCTCCTGCTCGACCCTCGTCGCCTTGTCCTCGAGCCCGTTCTTCTCGCCGGGGACCTTGTACCCGCTCATGTCGAGCATGAGCGCGCCCGACTGCTCGGGCGCCGCGCCGACCTCGCCGTCGTGCTCGAGCGGCTTGAAGTCGCGCGCGGCGAGGTCGAGCGTGCCGTCGGCCGCCGCGGCGTGCGCGCCCTCCTTCGAGAGGAGCAGGGCGCGCATGTCGGCGTCGCGGTGGCGCGCGGCGCGGATGACGGCGTCGCCCGTCTGCTCGCTCTCGTCCGGGTCGTTCTGGCCGTCGCGCACGTCGGCGTCGAGGTCGAGGCCGTTGAGCTGTGCGCGCATCGTCTCGTCCGGCTGCGGGACCGTCGCCGTCTCGCCCTTGAGGTCGTTCTCGTCCCGCAGCGACCGCCGTGGCCGGGGGCGACCGCCCTCGCCTGCGCCGCCGCTGCCCTCCTCCTGGACCCGGCCCTTGAGCTGCGCGTCCCGCAAGCCCTGCAGCGGCCGCTGCAGCGCCGACACGCCGACACCGGCGACCTTCTCGACGCCGCGCTCGACGGGCGAGGGCACGTGGCGCCCGAGCCAGCGACCGTTGCCGTCGCGGACCTTCTGGCTCGAGGCCGGGCCGTCCTCGTGGACGGGCGACTCGACTAGGGGCGGACTGGCGGCAAAGTCGATCGAGCCATGTCGCGAGGGAAGGGGAGAGACGTTGGGCATGAAAGGCGTGGCGGGGAAAGAGCGAAAGGCGGAAGCTGGGGAGCCCGCAGAGGTGCCGGCGAGCGAAGTGTAGCGGGACGAGTCGGGGGAGGAAGGGTGGGACGGTGTCGGCGTGTTGAACTCTGCAACAAGAGTGGGTGTCAGCTCGGGTAGTACTGCGTGGGCGCAAGGGGCAACTCACGGTCCTCGTCTGCTTCGTCGGCAGGGGCGTCGAGGTCGAGCGGCTCCATGTCCTGCTCGGCAAGAGTGAGTCAGTACGTGCGCAAGACTCGAGAGAGACAGGGAGAGGTAGACGGACCCCTCCATCGCTGCGACCGTCGTCCGAGACGGGCCCGCTGAGCGGGCTCGTCTGCATGTCGGCGGGCACGTCCTGCTCGGTCTCGAAGACGAAAAAGGCCTCGCCCGTCTCGCCGACCTTCATGTAGAACGGGACGCGCTCATCGTTGACCGTGATGCGGACCTGCTCGAGGGGCGGCGGCGGCAGGGAGCGGGAGAGGAAGGGGAGGAGGCAGAGAGTCAGCTCTGCCGCCGCGAGGACGACGACGTGGGAGGGGCGGAGCGTACCTTCTTGTCGACAGGGCGGAGGACGCTGAGCTTGCCGAAGCGCACGTGGAAGGGCGAGCAAGCGAGTTCGACGTCGCCGGACTCGGTGGGGCGCTCGACGACAATCACGTCGATGGCGCCCGTGAGCGTTGACGGATTGACCGACTGGTAGTAGTTGACGGCCTGGACGCGCACAGAGGGTCAGTGTCCCGTTACGAGCCGTCGTCGCCCTCCTGAGGTGGGCCGTCCGCCGCGAGGATCATCGGCTCGGGTGTAGGGGGGAGGACTGGGCGACGCACCTTGCTGACCCACTGCATGGTGGACCGGGTCCTTGCAGAGCTGGCAGGCTGAGCAGACGAGCGAGCGTGCGCTTGAGCGCGAGAGTGGGCGACAGAGGGGTTGAGCGTGGTCGTCTCTCGAGTCTCGACGTCGGCGACGGCGGCGACACCGAGCAACCGAGTCTCTCTCGGCTGAGGGTCGACGATGCCACAGATGCGCTTGCAATGCTACTACGGACCCATGAGAGAACAGACCCTCAGAGACTGCCCGGACCCTCGCTCCCTGTCTCTCCTCCGCCTCGCTCACTTGCGCCTGCTCGACCTCCGCTGAGCCGGCGACGACGTCGCTGGCGGCTTGGGCACGGCGGCCGTCGGCGTCTCGGTAGCCCTGTTGCGCGCGAGAGAGGAGGTGTCAGGCGAATGAATGGGTGGGAGAAGGAGAGGAACGGGCAGGGACGCACGCTGCATCGGCGGCCGCTTGCTCGAGACGAGCCTTCTCGACCTTCTCCTTGAACGCGGCCTGCTTCTTGTCGTCGTCCTTGTGGAACTGCTCATCGCAAAGAGAGTCAGCGAGCCCTCAGACGAGAGGCAGGGAGATGGCGAAAGGCTGACGCACCCACGAGACGACAAAGTTCATGATGAACCCGCTCACGGCCAGCAGCGCAAACTTGGGCACCTTGGCCGACTCGCGGTGGATCTTGGCCCAAATCTTGGCGAGGCGATGCAGGCGGTCCTCGCTGCGTGTGCGGGGCCAGGCGGCGTCAGTCCTCGAGGGCGACGACGAGACGAGGGACGGCGAGAGGGGGAGTGGGACGCACAAGGAGCCGCCGGGTGCGAGCCTGCCCTCCCACACCTCGACCTGCTTCCACAGGGCTGGCTTGCTGAGCATGTCGCTGAGCGCCTCGACGTTGGGCCGGACGTTGCCCGGGCGGATGAAGCGCAGCGTGCGCATGCGGTTGGTGCCGATCACGATGACGGGCGTCCTGTAGAGAGCGGTCGTGAGCTGCCGTTCGCGCTCGTGAGACGCTCGAGGAGGTGGACGCACCGCCAGAGCCACCACCGGGTCGGGAGGATCGTCTCCCTCGCGTACCCGAGGCGCGCAAAGTGCATGTTGGCGGGCAAGGTGCCGCCGGCGGCGCTCGAGTTGTACGTGGCGACCTCGTCCATGCCCTTGAGGAACACCTTGGACACGCTGCGGACACAGAGGGAAAGGTCAGCACCGCTCGGCGAGGAGGCGAGGGAGGGGGAGGAGGACGCACGGATCAGGGCCGTGAACCGTGATGACCCAGACATCCTCGCGGGGCAAGGGCGACGCGAACGGGTTGTCGAGCGTCGCCGTGCCGAGCACCGTCTCGTAGTTGTCGTCGGTGAGGTCGACTGCAGCGCGGCCGAGTGGGGGAGGAGGAGGACGAGAGGTCAGTCCCGGCGTCCACGGCACGGCGGGCGATAGGGGTGGGACGCACACGCAAAGGGGTGAGGCTCGAGGGGCGTCTCGTCGGTGGCGAGGATGCGGTCGATCTGGGTCTCGTTGAGGCGGAGGATGTTGCGCAGGCCGGAGCGAACGACGGCGTGCGACGTCTCCTGGAAGAAGGACAGCGGGCCTGCGCTGGCGAGCGGGAGCGCAGATAGTGCCAGGAGGGCGCACGAAGCTGACAGGCGGACCATGGTGGCTCGTGAGGGAGACGTGGGCGAGGAGGGCGAGGCGCGACCTCCCCTCGCCGCGCTCGCCGCGACAGCACCGCACGGTCGACCCGGAGCGATTGCGACGGCGTGCCTTTTTTCCTCTCGCTCTCGAGCTGTCGACAAGCTTGAGACCAAGACAGGGCTACAAGGACTGCATTGCGAAACAAGTGTCTGTGCGCGCCGGTCAACTTCCTCGAGACTCGCTCACGGCGCCACCTCGTTCCTCCACCGCTCGATCGGGTCGCTCGCCTGCTTCTGCATCGCCGCCTGCATCTGCATCTGCGCGAGCGCGAGCTGCGCCTGCGGATCGGGCGCGACGCCGCCAAAGCCGGCAAGGGTCGGTGCGGCGAGCGAGAAGTGCGAGTGGCTGTAGGGCAGCGCACGGGCGACGGGCGGGTAGCCAGGTGCGAGGGGCATGCCGGGTAGCGCGTGAGGATGTTGCTGGTACGGATAGGTGGGTATGGGCGCGCCGCCGCCGCCGAGGTGACCGCCCGCCTTGAGGCCGAGCGGGCGGTCGTCCGACTCGTCCGACACGGTCCGGCCGTCGTCGTCGAGCGCGTGCAGCCTCGCTGTCGGCGCCTCGAGACGCTGCTGCGGCGCGAGCGACATGCGCCGGATCGCGAGCGGGATGTCGTCCTCGTCCGGGACGGGCTGGATCGTCGAGAATCGTGCGCCAAGCGGCTTGTCGTCCTCGCTGTCGTCGTCGGCGGCGGCTCCGTGGTCGACAGGTGGAAGGATGTGGGCGAGCGACTGGCGCGAGTAGCGAGTGCCGAGCGGTTGGTCGTCGTCGTCGCTGTCGGGGTGGTCGTGCGACTCGTGGCCCTGCGAGGACGGGTCGCCGGGGAAGGGCAAGCGCGGGCCGTCGAGAGGTGCTCGAGCGTTGGACGAGGTGGCACCGGTCGCTGGCGCGAGATGTTGAGCGTCGGCAGGCTGCAGGATGCAGGATGTCAGTCAAGCTCGAGGGAAGCGTGGGGAGGACAGTGGCGACGCACCGTGCGCCGAGTCGGTCCAGTCTCCTCGTCGTCGCTCACCTCGTCGTCCTCGTCGTCCGACATGCCGAACGCGCTCTTCCGCCTCGCCTCGCCGCCGGCCGAGAAATACCCGCCGCCGCCGAGCGAGCTGATCGGGCGCGGCCTGAACGCGTCGCCCTGCTCGTCCTCGTCGTCGCTCCCCGCCGCTCGAGCGCGAGTCGAGTCGGCAAGAGCCGGGAACCAGTCGCCGCCGGACGCAGAGCTCGTGAGGCCGGTGCCGAGACCGAGCGGGATCGACAGCGACGGCGCGAGCGAGTTGCGCCGGTCGAGAGGTGCGGCAGGTGCGTGTCGTCGTGTTGTGGCTGCGACAAGAGATGAGTCAGGACGAGGTACGGGAAGATGGCTGAAGAGAAGGAGGGGGACGCACCTTCGACAAGCTCTTCGACAACCTCCTCGCCTTGCTCTGGCTCCCACTCTCGCTCCTCCTGATGCAGCTCGGCCACCGGCGGCTCCCACTCCTGCGCCGGCGCGGCCGTCGCCACCTGGTCCTGCGCCATCTGGCTGCGCCGCTTCGCCCCCTTGACGAGCTTGCCCCTCCTCTTCTTCCTCTCGTCCTGCTCGCGCTTCTCTCGCTCACGCCGCTCGACCTCCTCCCGCTCGACGCGCTCCTGCTCCTCGAGCTCCTTGGCTCGCGCGAGCTCGCGCTGGTAGAGCAGGTCGGGCCCGAAGATGGTCGTGCGCGCGCCGCGCGCCTTCTCGGGCGACGCGCCGAGCGCGCGCTGCGGCGGCGCTCGCCCGCGCCCGCCCGCCGGCACGAGCGCGAGCGGCACGTCGTCGACCTGCTCCTGCTCGACGGCGACAGCGTCCGAGGGCGGCGCGGGCGAGCTCGCCTGCCACTCGAACATGGCGCGGCGGCCGTCGCTGCCCGGGACGAACGCGCGCTGCTGCGCCTTGAGCTGCGCACGCCGCTCGGCCATGACGTCCATGAGCGACCGGCCGTAGAGCGCGCCGGCGGGGTGCAGCGGCTTGCGCAACCCGGGCGCGTCCTCGAACTCGTCCGCGCCGTCGCCGTCCTCCTCGAGCTGCGCCGGGTCGTCCCCCTCGTCGTCGCCGTCCGACAGCCCTCCAGGCTCGGGACCTTCGACACGCTCGCGCCGCGGCGGCGACGGCGGCCGGCCCGCGAGCGGTGCCGGGAGGAGCACGACCTGCGGCGGCTTGCCCGCCTCGGGGTTGCTGAACGCCGGGCGCTCCTTGGCGAGCTCGGCGCGCTGTGCAGCGATGACGAGCGGGTCGAAGCGCGAGGTGAAGCCCGGCGAGGCGCGCGAGAGGGTGGGAGAGGTCGAGGGACGGTCGTCGGGGTGGGCGAGCTCGTCAGAGCGAGAAGGAGGGATGGCAAGGGACAGGCGGGAGTCGGGACGGAAGGACGACACCCTGTCGAGGTCGGTCGAGCCGCGGCTGCTCGACATGGCGGTTGAGATGCGGGGCGAGGCGGCCGACCCCTGCCTCGTCAGGCCGGACGAGGCGGGGCCGAGGAACAACGAGTCGCGCACGGCGAGACCCGAGCGACCTGCGCTGCTCAGGGTCTGGATGTCGCCGACCGAGCCGTCGCCAGACAGGTCGGCGAGGCTCGGCAACGAGCTCATGCCGGCGGCGGGCCCGAGGCTCTGGGTGCGCAAGCGCTGCCCGAGCCGTCGCCGCTGCGTTGGCGTGCGCTCGAGGATCTTGATGCGCGGCGCGCTCGACTCGCCCTCGCTCGTCGCCGCGCCTGCGGCCTCGACCGAGACGAGCGGCGAGGTCGACGACGCGTGGCCGCTCGTCGAGGCGGCCAGGCGCTGCTCGACGCCGTCGAGGATCGACTCGGCGAACGACAGGGGACGACCGTGGTTGAGCGCGTCGGGCATCGAGCGCGTCTCGAGCACCTCGAGCGCGTCGTCGTCCTCCTCGTCGTCGAGCCCAGCGCCGGGACCGTGGCGACGAGCCGCGCCGAACGTGCCCGACGACGCCGCCGCCGCCGCGCCTGCGCTGAACGCGCGCGATACCCCGAAAGCCGACGCCGTAGGCTCAAGGACCGCCGAGGACCCGCGGCGCCGCCCTGCGCCATCGTCCGACGCCGCGTTCGACAGCGCCTCGTCGAGGCCCCACTCGCTCGCGAGGCGCTCCTCCTCGTCGGCGCTCAGCTCGAGCGGCTCTGGAGGGGCGTCGAAGCCGTGCGCGCTCCACGCGGCCGAGCCCGCCAGGCTCGCGCGCCGTGCGAGAGGGCTGCCGGCGTCGCTCAGGGCGGCGTCGCTCGGCGCGGCGTACTGGCCCGGGAGGACGCGGCCCTCGGGCGCATCGAGTGCGTCGACGAGCTCGAAGCTGCCGGACAGGGAGGGTGGGCTGGGCGCAGGGCGATCGAGGAGGTGTCGGAAGGGTTGGAGGACGGCGGACGAGAGGATGGGGAGGGAGGGGTCGAGCGGCTCGTCTGAGAGGTCGTGGCCTGTGGGAGCAAAAGTCAGGGTACTTCTAGTAGACGAGAGAAGCCGACCACGCACTCAGGAGGGCTGCGGCGAGCTCTGCTCGTGCTGCCTCGTCGCGGGTGACGCTGGGCGGTGCAGCGGGCGATGTAAGGGCTGCAGGCGGTCGCGCGGGCGCATAGCCCTGCTGCATGGCTCGATGCTGCCCTGCCGGAGCTGCGGTCGGTCGGCGAGCTCGTGCAAGGGCGAGGTGTCGAGGTCAAGCCGAGCGAGATGAGACGGACCTCGACGACGAGCGCGACTCGATCTCTCTGACCTGTCTGCCGAGCCGCCAGACCGCGAACAGGGAGAGCTCTCTCGACGGACGACACGCGAAGGACCGAGACTCTCACGGGCGGGCGAGGTAAGGGGGAGAACATGCGTTGCCATCCCGCGACGCGGAACAGAAACATCTACACACAGAAGCCGGCCGGGGAATGCAGTCTACGTCCATCGTCTCGTCTCTAGGCGAACGCCCGCAGGCAACGATAGCGCCCCGAAAAGAGTGGCGGGGAGGGTATCATGGCGACGAGGGCGAGCCGACTAGAGGCGGTCGCGCGAGTAGACCGAGTCGAACTTGTCCGGCTGGTTGGTGTACATCTTCGTGAGCGTGCCGGGCTTGATGTTGTTCCACTGCGGGTGGAGCGAGAGAGTCAGCTCGCCGATCCGGAAGGGTAGGCAGCGAACGAGCGCTGGCGGCGCCGTCGCGCAACAGGGAGGAGAGGACAAGGGGACGCACCGGCTCGGGGTTGCCGCGCCTGTCCCACGTGACGTCGGCGCCACGGGCGAGACGAGTCAGGTCTGCAGGAACGCAGGACGGGGAGGAAGAACGAGGTCAGTGCCGGATCGTCCTCGAAGGGCCAGCCCGAGTGCTGCCCTGCCGCCCGTCCTGATCCGCCATGCCTGCCGCCCACGCTGTAGAGCGCACGACCGCCGAGGCACGCTCGGATGCAGGTGGGGAGAGGTAGGGCGGTTCGGGTGGGCAGCGCGGGAGGGTCACGAGGAGGACAAGAGGGACGCACACCAGCCAGCGCCGAAGCAGGCTGCGCACAGAAGGAGAAGAGAGAGTCAGTGTCGTGCTCTGACAAGTGCCGCACGCCCCACAGCAACGACGAGCGAGATCGCCGCCATCTCCTCGTGCCCGAGGTCGCCGAGGCGCGCGAGTAGAGGGAGAGAGAGAGGGACGCACCGGTACCGACGACAACCCAGATGGGGATGGCAGCGGGCTCGTACCACGTCTGGAACAGGCTGTGGCGAGGGCGAGTGTCGCGGCGAGACACGGGGTCGGTCGGGGGGGCGAGGGAGCAGGGGAGCGAGGTGGCGACGGCTAGGGTCAGGACTGCTCGCGGTGTGGTGCGGGTGAGCCGCGAGGATGTAGAGAGAGAGTGCTCACGTCTTCTTGAGGCCAGCCGGCTGCGCCGTAGAGGCGAAGCGGCGGCCGGAGACAACCTGAGCAGAGCGAAGGCCAACACGAGCACCGATCATGATGAAGAGGGGAGGAGGCTGCGCGGGTGGGAGTAAAGGTCAGTCAGAGGTCCGGTGCATGCTGGGGACCACCGTGCATACTCACAGGAGGGACGAGGGGGACACGACGAGGAGAAAGAGGAGGGCGCGGGCGCGGCGACGACGACGAGGGCCCGCCCTTGCGAACGCCGCCGAGTCTCGCTCTCGACCTCGTTTGCCACTTCCGCGGGAGCACGGGCCTGCCCTGCGTCGCTGCTGGGCTTGGCCCGACCACAGCCGCGGTTCCCTCCTCCTCCCGCCCAGCCTCCTGAGCCGAATCCTCTCTAGCTCTCCTCGTCGTCGTCGTCGTCACCTCGCTGCGCCGCTCCCTCGGTGCCAGAGGAGCGACTTGTCCCCGCTTTTCGTGGAACGCGCTCTCGTGCGAGAATGGTTCTGCCGCCAAGAGCCACGAGGAGCGAACCGCTGCTGCTGGCCGACTCAAGTTAGCCTCGTCCGGTCGGCGATCGTCCGGCTGTCGCTGCGACCGGCTCGTTCGCTCCGCCTGCGCTTCCCGACCCAGTCGCCGGAGGGCGTGGAGGACCACCTGCTCGCGCACGCAGAGCGGGGCACGAAGCTACTTTCGGCGACGCTACAGCACCTCGTCGCTGCGGCTCTCGAGCTTCTTCTCCTCCTCCTCCCCACCTCCTTCACCCGCTCTCGCTCGACCCGACATGCGCCCCACCTCTGCCCTGCTGCCGCTCGGGCTCGCGGGCTCGACCTACGCCGCTGCCATCAAGTCGACGTCGGCGTCGTGCTCGGACCTCTGGAACGTCGCACCCAAGCTGCTCTCGAACCTCGAGGTCTACGTCGCCCAGGACTATGCCGGTCCGTCTCGTTCCTCTCTCGCCTCGACGGGACCCGACTCTGACTCTTTCACTCGTCGCTGCAGCCGGCACCAACTTCTCGACGCCGTACGCGACGCCGGCGTATCCGCAGGCCGTGCCCGACATGCCCGCCTTCTGCCGCTTCGGCGCCTACATCCACACGTCCAACTCGTCCAAGGTGCGTCGCTGTCGCTCACTGGGCTCTCTTGAGAGAAAGAGGGAGGCGCGCTCGCTGACCCTTTTCGCTCTCGCAGGTCCAGTTCGAGGTCTTCCTCCCGACCGCCGACGACTGGAGCGGCCGCTTCGCGGTCGTCGGCAACGGCGGTGACGCGGGCGGCGTCAACTTCCCCGACATGTGGGCGCCCTTGAAGACCTGTGCGTCCCTCTCGCGCCAGGGATCCGCGCGAGAATGAGCGACTGACGCTCGGCCGCCCTCAGACAACATGGCCGTCGCCTCGACCGACACAGGGCACAACGGTGCGTCTCTCGTCCTGCACCTCCTCAGAGAGCCCGCACTGAGCTCAACCCTGCAGGTACCTCTGGCGACGGCACGTTCGCGCTCAACGGCCCCGAGACGCAGCTCGACTTTGGCTACCGCGCCGTCCACCTCACGACCGTCTACTCGAAGGCGATCGTCAAGGCGTACTACGGCCAGGCGCAGAAGAAGAGCTACTGGCTCGGATGCTCGTCTGGCGGCAAGCAGGGCCTCAAGGAGACGCAGATGTTCCCCGAGGACTTTGACGGCGTCGTTGCCGGCGCAGCTGCGTGCGTCGATGCGCCTCTCTTTCCTCGTCGCGCACGTTCACGGACTGACTCGAGACTCTCGCCCGCAGTCAATGGTGGACCCACGTGCGTCCCGCCGTCCTTTCCTGCCCTAGTCGAGCGCGCACTGACCTTCCCAAGTTGCCCCTCGTCCTCTCCTCGTCTCCCAACCGTCCCTCCTGATCGCGCACGACCTCGCCTCTGCCTCCTTCGTCGACTGCAGCTCAATGCCCAGACGTACCGCGTCAACGCCATCGTCAATAACGTCAACTCGACGGGGTACCTCAACACGACCGACTACCAGCTCATCGGCGACCTTGTCTACAAGCAGTGCGACGAGCAGGACGGCGTCAAGGACGGCATCATCACGAACCCGAGCGCGTGTCAGCCCGACCTGCAGCAGCTGTCGTGCGACTCGCCCGGCGCCAACTCGACGAGCTGCCTGAACGCCGAGCAGATCGTGACCATGTACCGCATCTGGAGCGACTACCACAAGGAGACGACGGGCGACTTTGTCTTCCCTGGCTTCATGCACGGTGCCGAGGGCCTCCAGGGCTTCTCGGTCAACGGCAGCCCCTACGGACCTGGGTGCGTCGAGAGCCTCTCTCTCTTGCCCTCCTTCGCTCCCCGTCGCTGACTTTCTCCCCTCTCAGGCCCGACTTCTTCGAGTACCAGGTGCTCAACAAGACCGAGGTCGGCTCGTTCAGCGCCAACGCGACCGAGATGGACCGCCTGATCGACATTGCCGACGCGACCGACCCTGGTCCGTCTCTTTCTCCTTCTCCTCTTGCCCTCGGCGCACCTCCCTGACCCGCGAATCCTCCCAGGCATGACGAACGCCATCAACCCCAACATCTCGAGCTTCCTCAAGCACGGCAAGCTCCTGACCTACGTCGGTGAGCCGACCCGCTCCCTCTCGTCTCGAGCCTGGCCGGTTCCCTGACCTTTTCCTTGGCTCTCACGCAGGCCTTTCTGACGGGCTCATCCCGACTGGCTCCTCGATCTGGTACTACGAGCAGGTCCGCAAGGCGCTCGGGTACCCGGCCGACCTCAACGACTCGTACCGGCTCTTCACGAGTGCGTCCCTCTCCCTCTCGTTCTTGCGCCTCGTCGTGAGCTGCGACTGACGCTCTCGTCCTCCGTCCCCAGTGCCTGGCATGGGTCACTGCCGTGGCGGGCCCGGCGCGTTTAAGTGAGTCCTCGTCGCCGAACCTCGCCGTCTCGCCGAGGGAGGGCCCGTGCGCTCGCCACGTCAGGAGCTGACCTTGCGCCCGCCCTCACAGCTTCGGCGGTCCCGGTCAACGTCAGCTCAGTCTCGGCGGTGGCTCGACGAGTGCGACGTTTGACGCCAAGCACGACATGGTCCTCGCCATCATCGACTGGGTCGAGAAGGGCGTCGCGCCCGACATGATCATCGGCGCCAAGTACGTCGGCGACGACATGCGCAACGGCACTGCCTTCGAGCGTCCTCACTGCGTGTACGTCCGAGTCCTTCTCTCCCTCGGACGCTATTCCATCGGGTGAACCGTCTCGCGTCGACGAGCCGGTCTCGCGCCGTCCTCCTTTCCCGCGCTGACTTTCTTTCGTCGCCCTCGCAACAGCTACCCGAAGCAGGCGACGTACATCGGCGGCGACGTCAACTCGGCGAGCAGCTTCCGGTGCGAGAACATCGCCTGAGCGAGCGAGTCCTGCCGGACGTGCGGCTCTCGCGTCCCTCTCTCTGTCTCTCTTCTCTTTCCAAGGTCGGGTCGTCCGTAGCAAAAGTTCTTGGCAATTGGCAGCTGTTCTCCATGTCGGCGCTTCCCGTCTCGACGCTGTGCGCGCGTGGGTGCAGAGAAGCGCGTTCGGACCTGCTTCGAGAAGTCGGAGCCGGTCGAGGCGCCGAGAAGCGCGTTCGCGTTCGCCCGTCCATCTCGATCTCGCCCTGGAACAGCTCGTCCCGCGCAGCTCAGGCGCTCAAGCTCGATATGCAGGCCATTGTGCGGGAACAAGGTTGTCCCCGCTTCCGGTCGACGGAGAGTCCGCGGTCGTCAATGAAGGCAAGCTTGACGGCGCGCTCGTGCCTAGCCTGGCCTCTCTCTCGTCGCTCAATGAACTGCGAGGTCGACAGCGGGCGGGAACCACGTCCAGGTCGAGCAGGAGAGGGAAAGCGGTCCGAGCGGGAGAACCTCGACTCGCTCCGTCACCTCCCAGCCGCCTCGACACAGGGGCTGCGACACGTCCAGGTCGCAGAGAGGGTCTCATAAAGTGCGCTCACCGCTCAAAGCTGGCAAGCTCGACCGCAAGCAGAGTCTCGCTGTGCGCCGAGGAGGAGACGGCACCTTCTCAATCGGGTGAGGGTCCGTGACCCGCCCCTCGCAAGGGCCTCGCCATTGTGCTCAGGGCCAGACACAGCCCAAGTCTGACATCTGCAAGCTGGCAAATGAAGCTGCCCGCGCGCGCGCTCGTCCCGGCCGTCCTTTCCGGCGCTTCCTCCTCCTCCACCTCGGCTCCGAGTCCCTCTCGCTCGAGCTCCTCCCACGTCCGCCGCTGCTACTCGACCGCCTCGGCAGCTGCGCCCCTCAACCGCCGCACCGACAGCCCATCTCTCAACCGTCGCCCGGTCCTCGGACCATGTCAACCTCGACGACGACCCCGCTCGCCGACCCTCGCTCCCGCACCGCCGCGCTCGTCAACGTCGCCGCCTGCAGCCCGACCTCGCCCAGCTCGAGCGTGTACTCGCCGTCGCCCATCATGCACGAGCACGCGTGCGACGGCGGCTCTCCGCGTCCTCGTCAAGTCGTCGTCACCAAGTGGGGCAGCGCCTCGTCCCGCTCGCCAGATGGGCGCAGCAGCGACCGCAAGCGGTACACGGGCGCCATGTCGAGGTCTGCGAGCGCAGGCGCCGCGAGCGGGCTCGGCATCGCAGGGTTCCCGCCGCAAGTTCGCCCGACGCACTCGCGCAACTCGTCGTCGCCCAGCCACTCGGGCACGTCCTCGCCCGACCTCTCGCGCCGCGACCTCGCCTCGTCCTTGCGCGCGCGAGGACCCGCCGTCATCCGCCTCGAGCTGCAAGACCCGTCGTCGACCAAGAAGGGCGACCAGGTCACGCCGGCCGCGTCCGCCCCGCTCGACCTCGGCATCGAGCTCGCGTCCATCCCGTCGACGTACCAGGAGACGCAAATCGAGCTACCCGCCGTCGACGACGACGAGCCCGCCGCACCCGCCGAGCACGAGCAGCAGCAGCCAGCGAGCGCCGAGGCCGCTCTCCCTCCTCCCATCGCTTCACCCGTCCACCCTGCCGACGAGCCGCCGACGCCATACACGCCGTACGCCGCGCAAGTGCGCGTGAGCGTCGCTCAACGCGTCGAGCGCGCCCCCTCGCCGCGCAAGGGCAGCCTCGCCGAGCTCAGCCTCAAGCGCACGAGCACGGCATCGTCCGTCTCGTCCGGGTGCGCCGCGGACGCTCCGCCGGCGGACGCTGCAGCCGCCCCTCGTCCTCGTTCCGCGCAGCGAGTCGCACCCCCGTCCTACGTCATCTCGTCCGCGTCGCCGACCACCCTCGACTTGCCGCCGACCGCCAGCTCGCCAACTTTGCCTCCTGCTCCTTCGCCTGTCGGCAACGGTCCCGGCGGTCAGCGCATCACGCCCGGCGCCAAGCTCGCGCTCAACCTCGTCAGCCTCTCGCGGCGCACGGCGCACGTCTCGGGCGCGCCGGGCTACACATGGCGCCTCAACCTCGTCGAGAAGCTCGAGGTCATCCTCGGCAGCTTCCTCACGATCGATGAGGCAGAAGCCGTGCTGTCGATCGGCAAGACTGGGCAGGACAAGCCGCAGGTGCGCTCTACCTTTCCCTCGGGCCCGCCCTCTCGCGCACGGACCCCCCTTGACACGCTTCCTCGTCGCAGACCGGCCACGACGCGCACGCTCAGCAAGCCGGCTCGAACTCGTCGCCATCGTCAGACGCCGCCAAGGACAGCTCGAGGGACCGCAGCTCGTTCCTCGGCAGGGTCAAGCGGGCTCTTCCCGGTCTCGGTGCGCACCGCTCTCTCTCTCTCTTTTTGTCCCTCGCGCTCCTCCTGACCATCTCGGCCCTTCATGCAGCAAAAGAAGCTCCTTCCTCAACCCCGGCGTCCAAGAAGGCCGTGTTCGGCGCCCCTCTGTCGAGCAAGAACGGCTTCGTCACGTCGATGATTGCGGGCCAGCGTCACGAGCTGCCCGGCGTCGTGTTCAGCACCGTCGAGGAGATCTACCGTCGCGGTCAGGGCAAGAAGGTGCCCGGCATGATGCAGCAGCACGGCGAGCCGAGTCGGGTCGCCAAGCTCGTCCAGATCTACGACACGCCGCCCGACTACGGCGAGCACCACGACCTGTCGATCGAGTCGATCCACAACGTCACCTCGCTGTGCGTCCTCCAGTCTCTGTTCTCTCAAGCGCCTGCAGCGCAGAGACTGACCGGATCCTCTCTCGCTGCGCAGCCTCAAGCGGTACTTGCGCGACCTTCCCGAGCCCGTCCTCGACTATCGCGTGTGCCGCCTCCTCCTCGCCTGCGTCGACTCGAAGAAGCTCCCGATCAAGGCGCGGGTGGCCGGCGTCCAAGTCGTCCTTCGCCTCCAGCCGACGGCCAACTTCAGCCTCCTCACCTACGTCCTCGCCTTCCTGTCCCAGATCCCGCTCTTCCCCGAGAACAGCCTCTCGATCGACGAGATCTCGACCCTGTTCGGCGGTCCCCTCATGTCGTCGCGCCTCGCGCCTCGCACCAAGAAGCCGGCGAGCCACCACCAGCTGTCGATCACGGGCCCGACCGAGCCGCTCGCGTCGGGCGTCGAGGCGGCGAGCAGGGCGCAGGACGCCCTCCGCTTCCTCCTCGAGCACTGGAGCGCCATCGCCGACGGCCTCCTCGAGCCCGACTTTGACGTCGACCCCGAGAAGGTCATCGACGGCCTCGTCTCGCCGACGGCGCCGACGGTCGACCTCGACCTGCCGGGCGCAGAGCTCCACATCCGCCAAGCGCGCTCGGCAGAGTCGCTTCGAGCACAGCCATTCCTCGCCGACCCGTCGTCCGTCGACCCGCTCCTGGCCGACTCGCTCCTCGAGCTGCCCACCATGGCGTCGCCGCGCGAGGCGCCCGCACCTCCTCTCGCGGCTCTGCCCTGGTCGGCCCTCCAGATCAAGAAGGCCTCGCCCGCCATCTCGCCCGTCGTCGAGCAGGGCACGCCCGAGCAGAGCCCGGCGTTGCGCAGCGCGAGCGGCACGACGGCGAACTGCTCGGACCCGCCGACGCCGCTCCTCGTCCTCCACGACTCGCCGCGCGCGCCAACCTCGCCGCTCGCTCGGCACGTCGTCCAGTCGCAGCAGCAGGCGCCCGAGGACAGCCCCAACGTGTCGTCGAACGAGGCGCCGGGCACGTCGTCGACGCGCTCGTCCGTCTCGACTGGGTCGGACCAGGGCAGCGAGCTGCGCACGCCGCCGTCGTCGACGTACACTGGTGCGGGTGCGCTCGAGGCCATGCTTCGTAGCGGCGGCAAGCAGGCGGCCGAGGAGGAGCAGGGCCAGGACCTGACGGTCGGTCGGCGCGAGTCGGATGTCGCAGCCAGCTTGCTCAGCCGTGAAGGTGCGTCTTCCCCTCTCCCTCTCGCCTCCCTCGTATCAACGAGACGTTCCTCTGACGCCGGCCTATCCGCAGAACTGCCCCTCGACGACTTTCCCTCCCCGCCCATGCCCGCTCGGGCCGCCGTCCGCCTGTCGGCGTTCCTCCCGCCTTCGCCTTTCCTCTCGCAAGACGAGATCGCCGCCGCGCGCGCACAGCGTGAGGTCGCGCCGGCCGTTCCTCGTGTCGAGGTGGCGACCTGGGAGCACCTCGTCGACAGCGCCGACGCCGAGTTCCAGCGCCAGGAGGGCTCGTCGGCGCAGGAGAAGGCGCTCGTCCCGCTTCCCGAGGACGCCGGGTCGCCCGCAGTTGGCGAGGTCGCCGTCGACGACGCCGAGGAGCAGGAGTCGGAGGAGGAGAGCGAGGACGAGGACGAGCTGCCGCCACCTGTCCCGCTCAAGCACTACGCGCCGCGGTCGGTTGTCGTCCTCGACGGCACGTTCGCCCCCCTCCTCTCGCCCTCGACCCCGCACGCCCTCACCGCCGCCGTCCTCGCGAGCTCGTCGCCCGCTCGGTCGATGCGGGCGTCGGCTCCTCCCGGGCTCAACCTCGCCCTCCTCGCCTCGACTTCGGGCTACGCCCTGCCCCTCGCCTCGCCTACCTCGCCCATGTCGCTCCCTCCCCACAACCCTGAGCCGCACCTCGAGTTCGCCGAGCACCCGGCGCACCCGCACCGCCGCGAGATCCAGTCGCTGTGGGCGCAGCTCACGGCGCTCGAGCTCGAGCGCACGGCCGAGCGCGCCGAGATGAGCGACCTGCGGCAAGAGGTCGAGCAGTTCAAGGCGCGCATGGCCAAGCGGCTCGAGCGCCGGGTCGGGCTCGACGCCGAGGAGCGCCGGCGGCTCGACGAGGCGGAACGGCGCGCGCGCGAGCTCGAGCGCGCCGAGGGCGAGCTGAGGAGGACGAGGGACGACCTCGAGCTCGTCAAGCTCGACGCGACGCACGCCAAGGAGGAGGCGCATCGCGCGGCGGACGAGGCGGTCGAGCTCAAGGCTCAACTTGAGAAGGTCGAGCAGGCGAGGAGGGTCGAGCAGGACGAGGCGAGGGCGCAGGTCGAGGCGCTCGAGGCGCAGTTGGGGTCGATCAGGGCCGTCTTGCTGGGCAAGGCGGCAGGGAACTGAGCTCGAGCAGCTCGTCGTCGTCTTCGTCACTTTGTATCGCTCTCGTCGGTCGTCCTTCCCTTGTAGCTGTGTGCAGTCCATCTCTCTCATTCTTCCCTCACCAGCTCTCGAGAGCACTCAAAGATGATGAGAGAGGCGTCTACAATGCGGAGACGATGATCTACTGCGAGAACGACGGGCGAAGTTCCGCGCAGAGCGAGAGCAAGAGAACGGCCTCGTGCTGAGCGGCCGCCACCGCCAGCTCAGTACGGCGAGCTCTTGACGCTCTTGAGCCTCCCGTACGCGTCAAACACGGCGCCACCGCCCTGACCGTCCTCCTCGCCGTCGCCGCCGCCACCGACCGCCCTCGCCTTGTTCCTCCTCGCGCCCCTGCCGCGCTCGAGCTTCTCGAACCTCGTGCCAGCGAGCGCCACCTCCATGGCCTTTTCGACGTCGCGCCGGAGCGTGCGCGCGCCGTCCTGGTCGCAAAAGATGGGCGCGAGGCGGTACGACAGCCACAGGTACAGCGTCAGGCACCGGTGGAACGACTCGAGCGACTGGAGCGTCTCGGACGTGAAGACGCTCGGTGTGCGGCGGGACGAGGCGGACGATGTGGGCCGAGCTGACGACGACGGCGACGACGACGAGGCGGCGGCGTTGGCGGCGATGCCGGCCTGGCGCACGCGCTCGAGGGCGTCAAACACGCCGGCGTCGGCGCCCCACTGGCGCATGCGGATCGGCTCGCCCCTCGCGTACGCCTCGACAAAGTCGACGAGGGTGGCGACGACGCGCTGGTCGCGCTGGTTGACGGGCGCCGACGCGAACGTGAAGCGCTCCTGGAACGTGAGCGGGTGCACGTGCGCGATGTGGTCGCTCACGTCGCCGAACGACGACGAGGCCGTCGGGCGGTAGTGCGGCTTGGTGCGCGTGATGGCGCGCGACAGGGCAAAGATGCGGCTCAGGGGCGTCGACGGCGGCAGGAGGTCGTACAGGCCCTTGAACGCGTCGAACGAGGCGCCGAGCGACGCCTGCGTCACTTGGACCGTCGGCTGCGCCATGGCGTCCTGCAGGAGCTCGAGGTCGACGGCGTCGAGCGTCGTCGCCTCGCCGGGAACGGCCTCGCCCGGTGCGGGCGGCGACGCCGGGTCGAGGTCGAGGTCGGGCGCCGAGGGCGACACGGACGCGTGGACGCCGAAGCGGCCGGCGCGACCAGCGATCTGCTTGATCTGCGGGACGGGTAGGCGGACCTCGGCCGTGCCGTCGAACTTGTGCAGCGCCTCGAACACGACCCGGCGGATCTTGCTGCGAGGAGGTGAGCCGGGCGAGTGTCAGTCGGCGAGCACGTCCGCGAGAGAGAGAGGGCGAGCACGTCCGCGAGAGAGAGAGGGAGAGAGCGCGAGACGCACAGGTTGAGGCCCATGCCGATGGCGTCGCTCGCGACGAGGACGTCGTACGTGCCCTCGTTGAAGGCGCGCGCCTGCTCCTCGCGGACCTCGGGCGGCAAGCCGCCGTAGGCGACGGCGACGCGCAGGCCCGTCTTTTCCTCGATGGCGCGCTTGAACGCAAAGATGTTGCTGCGCGAGAAGGTGACGAGGCAGTCGCCGCGGCGGATGCGGCTCAGGTCGCCCTCGAGCGAGCGCGACGCGACGACGAGGGGCGACAGGCGCTGGTACCGCTTGACGACGCACTCGTCGCCGACCTCGGCGGCGATGCGCTGGACGAGGTCGACGACCGACTCCTCGCCGCACAGGTGCAGCTCGTCGCAGCGCGCGCCGACGACGGCGGCGGTCCACGCCGTGCCGCGCTGCGGGTCGCCGATCATCTGAATCTCGTCGACGACGCCGACCTCGAGGTGCTTGGACAGCGGGAACATCTCGACCGTGCACGACTGGAGGCCGGCGTCTGGGTCGAGGATGCGCTGCTCCTCGCCCGTGACGAGGTTGCAGGTGCGCTTGCCCTCGTCGCCAATCTTGCCCTCGTTGAAGCGGGCAAAGACCTCGTGGGCGAGGAGGCGCAGCGGGCCGGCGTAGGCGCCCGTGCGGGCGCGCGCGAGGGCGACGAGGGCCGAGTGCGTCTTGCCCGAGTTGGTGGGCCCGACGTGGAGGATGAGGCGACGGCGGTGCTGGCGGGCCGAGGGAAAGTCCTCGTAGTGGAACCGGCGGTCGGCGAGGTCGGCGAGCTGGTGGAGCTGGGACAGGGTCGGGTCGGGGACGGGCGAGGTTGGAGTCGGGGGAGGGAGGGGAACGGCGGCGCGGACCCAGGCGAGGAAGGTGGCGAGCGAGGCGTCCCACAGTGCGTCTTGGCCGTCGTTGACGTAGGCCGTCTGGAGCGCGTCGAGGTCCCACGCCGCGCTGTTGTCGGACGAGAGCGAGGAGGTGGTCGCGAGGTGGCGGTGCGCGACGACGACCCACCGGCGCGCGAGGTCGACGAGGGTCGAGTGGGTGACGCCGAGGTCGTGTGCGAGAGCTCTGAGCTCCCTCGATTGGGGCTTCCACGTTGTGCGGAGGTGGTGCTCGAGGCGCGAGGCGAGTGCGTCGCGCGAGATGTGGGACGGGCCGGCCGCTCGACGGCCCTGGGGCGGGCCATGGCGCGGTGGTCGGTTCGAGTAGCGCGAGTTGGACGGTGGTGGAGGTGCGCTTCTCCTCGGGCGCGCTGTGGGCTGGCGGCAGAGCGCGGCCGACGTCGAGAGGGCGCGGAGAGGTGAGGGCGACGAGGCGATGGCGGCGCGGGATGGGGCGAGTCGCAGCGCGAGCATGCTCGTCGAGGGACGAGAGAGGTGTGTACTGGCGAGTGTGCTCAGCCGAGCGAGGTCGACGAGGCCCTCAAAGGCGGTGCAGCTGCTTGGTCTCGAGCTCGACTCCTCCTCGGCGGCATCTCGTCCTCGTCTCGCTCCACCACGCCTGGACCGAGTCCAGCCACACCCGCTACACAGCCATGGTAGGCTTCATCATGACCCTCGACTCGGACGACGACACCCCGCGCTCCCCCTCGCCTCCTCCCGTCCTCTCATCTCGCAACAAGCCCGCAAAGCATCCCGCACCCGCACCGCCTGCCACCAAGAACACCAAGCCCACAAAGCTCACCAAGAAGCAGCGCCAGAAGCAGAAGCGCGCAGACGTCGCCGCCATCTCGGACAACGACGACGACGACGACGAGCCCGCCCTCACCACCTCGGCCGCCGACCCGGACGGCCCCAAGATGGACAAGGGCTTCGTCTTCGACAACTTTGGCGGCGGCTTTGTCGGCAGGGACCGCAACAGCGTCTGGGTCCGTCCCTCCACTCTTCCTCCTCTCCCTCGTCGGCGCACGCTCAACTCGCTCACGCTCCACGCCTCCTCCTGCAGGACTCGGGCGAGGCCTACATCCAGAAGCGGCCCAACGCCATGGTGCGTCCCCACGTCCCCCTCCCTCGCCTCTCTAGCCCTCCCCGCTGACCTGCTCGCCGCCCACCTGCAACAGCCCCGAGTGACCGTCGACGAGATCATTGCCCGTCGCGCACCCGAGCGCGCCGCCGCCAAGGCCGCCGCCGAGGCCCAGGCGCTCCTCGACGACGATGACGACGACGACGAGCTCGACGCCGACGACGACGAGATGGCCGACAGCGACGTCGAGAAGGAGATGCTCGCCCAGCTCGAGGGCGGCGAGCTCGACTTTGAGGGCATCGACGACGACTCGGACGCGTCGGGAGACGGCGAGAGCGAGGGCGAGGGTGGCGAAGGCAGTGACGACGAGCAGGAGCAGGACGAGTCGGCGGCCGACGAGGACGAGGACGCGGTCGAGGCGCACGAGCCGGTCAAGCCCGCCAAGGCGGCCGTCGCGGGCAAGGGCGGCGATGTCGAGGACGACGAGGACAACTGGCTGGGCATCGGCGAGAAGAGCGAGGGCGACGAGGACGAGGACGAGGACGACGAGGCAGCAGGAGAGGAGGAGGTCAAGGGTGCGTCCTCTCTCTCCCCCTCTTCGGAGTCCCGGTTGCTCGTGTGCATCCCTGACGTTCGCTCTCCACAGCCGGTCCGACTGGCTTTGCCGCCCTCGCCGACGCCGGCTCGGACATGTCGGACGTCGACGACGCCCCGTCCGAGGACGACGAGGCGGCCGCGGCGGCCGCCGGCACCTCGGTCGCCGACCTCGCGCTCGCCAAATCCTTCTTCACGTCGCACAAGAACACGTCGACGCTTCCCCGCACCAAGCCCCTCGCCTTTACGTCGCTCCCGTCGTGCACCCTCTCGCGCCCGCTCCTCCTCGCCCTCCAGTCGCTGTCCCTCACGGTCCCGACGCCGATCCAGGCCGAGTGCATCCCGCTCGCCATGCTCGGCAAGGACATTGTCGCGTCGTCGGCGACGGGCTCGGGCAAGACGGTCGCGTTCTGGGTCGGCGTCCTCGAGCGCTTGCTCCACCGCGACCGCAAGAACCCGATGACGCGCGTCGTCGTCATGACCCCGACGCGTGAGCTCGCCGTCCAGGTCCACGGTGTCGGGAGGGCCCTCGCGAGGTACACGGACGTGTCCTTCTGTCTCTGCGTCGGTGCGTCGTCCGCTCTCTCCCCTTCCTCTCCTCGTCTCAGCCGTGACTGACCCTCCTCGTCCCGACACAGGTGGCCTGTCGCTCAAGGTGCAGGAGGCCGAGCTCAAGACGCGCCCCGACATCGTCGTCTCGACGCCGGGTCGCCTCATCGACCACGTCCGCAACACGCCCTGCTTCACGATGGACGGCGTCGAGGTCCTCGTGCTCGACGAGGCCGACCGCATGCTCGAGGAGGTGCGTCTCCACCTCTCCCCCTTTCTTTGGCCTGCCCTCGCGACCGGTCACTGATACGCCGACGTCGTTGCTCGCAGGGTTTCCGCGACGAGCTCGAGGAGATCATCGGCGCCGCGCCGCGCTCGCGCCAGACGCTCCTGTTCTCGGCGACTGTCACCGAGAGCATCCAGCAGCTCACGCGCCTGTCGATGAACAAGCCCGTGCGCGTCAAGATCGACGAGATGGGCGCCGCCGCAAAGGGCCTCGAGCAAGAGTGTGCGTCGCGCTCTTTCTCTCTCTCTGTCTGCCCCTGAGTCGGGCACGGCACTGATGCGTTGCAGAGCATGTCCTCACAGTCCTTCGCGTGCGAGGCGACCGCGCCGGCGAGTCGATCGAGCTCAACTCGCGTTCGGGCGAGCGCCACCGCGAGGCGCTCCTCGTCGCGCTGTGCACCCGGTCTTTCTCGACGGGCCGCACCATCATCTTCTTCCGGTCCAAGGCGCAGGCGCACCGCACCAAGATCCTGTTCTCGCTGTTTGGGCACGGGCTCGAGCGCAGCGACGAGCTGCACGGCGACTTGACGCAGGAGCAGCGCCTGAGCAGCCTCAAGCGGTTCAGGGAGGGCGAGATCGGCTTCCTGTTGGCGACCGACTTGGCGTCCCGAGGGTGCGTCCCTACCCCTTTCCCTCTTCTCCTTCGCCCTCCCTGTCCTCGTCCAGGCTCGCCGACTCGTCACTGACGGCGGCTCCTGCCTCCCGCAGACTCGACATCAAGGGCATCGAGAACGTCATCAACTACGAGATGCCCAAGTCGATCGAGATCTACCTGCATCGCGTCGGTCGTACCGCTCGTGCGGGTCGCAAGGGCCGGTGCGTCTCTCTCTCTCCTCTACCTTCCCGCCTCGCCTCTTTCCCCTCGCACCCAACTGACCCCCTCTCGCTCTTTGACACGCACAGCGCGCTCACGCTCGTCGGCGAGTCGGACCGCAAGCTCGTCAAGCTCGCCATGAAGCACGCCCCGCCCGAGTCGGTCAAGCAGCGCTCGCTCCCCGCCGAGGCCGTCGCCGTCGCGCACAAGACGCTCCGCGAGCTCGAGCCCGAGGTCAAGGCCGTGTACCAGGAGGAGCGCGAGGAGAAGGAGGTGCGTCCCCCTCTCTCTCTCTCTCTCGCGCGCGCGCGGCGAATGAGCATGAACGCCGGGAACCTAACGAGCTCGTCGTCGCCGCCCACAGTTCCGCCGCGGCAACATGGAGCTCACCAAGGCGAGCAACCTGCTCGAGCACGAGGCCGAGATCAAGTCGAGGCCGGCGCGCACCTGGTTCCAGTCGCAGACGCAGAAGGACGCGGCCAAGAGTGCGTCCTCCTCTCTCTTCCTCTACGAGCGTCCTGACCTGACTCGCGCTATCGCCCACAGAGCTCGGCAAGGACGAGCACAACAGCAAGTTCTCCGAGAAGGAGCGCAAGAAGCGCCCGCACGCCGCCGACGAGGAGGAGGTCCTGTCCAAGCCGGTGCGTCGCCCTCGTCCTCCCTCTCCTCCCTCGTCCGCCCTCGCCTGACCCTACCTTGCCCCTCGCAGCCCAAGCGCACGCCCTTCTCCGGCCTGTCTCGGCGCGACAAGCGTCGCAAGCTCGCCAACATGGAGGACGAGGAGGACGCGCAGCGCGACATGGGCCTCTCGGCGCGCGCGGCCAAGAAGGCGCAGCGCCCGACCAAGATCCTCCAGGCCAAGCCCGAGCGCGAGCCGCGCAACGAGGTCGGCAAGAAGAAGGCCAAGAAGGCCAAGGGCAGCGTGTTTGACCGCGAGAGCGGCATCGCTGGCGACGGGCCTTCGGCGGCGGGCGGCGGCAGCGGCAAGGGCGGCGAGAAGCGGGCGGGCAAGCGCGAGCGCGAGGCGATGAAGGGCGGCGCGAGCGGCGTCAAGAACAAGCTGAGCAAGATGGGCCCGAAGAAGCGGTGAGCGCGCGGCGGCGAGGAGGAGGAGGTCTCGAGGGAGGGAGTTGGCGACGAGGAGAGGTCCGAGGTTCCCGTGTTGTAACTCGCTGCGTCGCTCTCTTCCCTCTTCTCTCGCGTGCATCGGTCCCTTTGTCGCGCTCGTGGACTGTCGGCTCTGCTGCGCTCGAGCGAGAGGCGACCATTGACAAGCGAGAGCACCGCCTCGTTCCCTTGCTCTCACACCCGCACGCCCTGCTCAATGGGCCAGCTCTGCGGCAAAGAAGACCACTTCGACTCTGTCGGGGCCGGCCAACGCCTCGGCTCGTCCTCGTCCACCGCCGCGCCGCCGACGTCCCACCCCACCTCGGCTCCCTCGGCGGCCGGCACCCCTGGGGCGGGCAGCGCACGGGGCAAGAGCGCGTCGACGAGCCCGCCACAGCGACTGGGCGGGCAGGCCGGTGCGACAGAGTCGGCAGACGCGCGCGAGCGGAGGGAGGCGATGCTGAGGGCGGCCGAGGAGCGGACCAAGAAGGTGCGCCTCTCCCTCCTCCTCTCGCCATGGGGAGCAGCATGCGCACGCGCGACGAGCTAACACAGGCTTCTCCCACAGTCTACGACGCGCGGCACGCCGGCAGGGGGCAAACTCGCGAGCCAGCTGGCGAGCCAAGGCCGGGACGGCGGACGGGCGCAGGAGGCGAGGCTCGAGGCAGAGCAGCGAGGGGAACGGCTCGTGGTGCGTCCTGCTTACTCTCTGTCCTCGAGCGCAACTGGCCTGACCGAGATCTCTCTCTGTGCGCAGTGGGACTGAGCCGGTGCTCCTCTTCCTCGAAGCTCTCTCGCGTTCGCGTGTGCAATCCAGGTCTCGTTCAGTGCATCGCAGAGAGCTCGACGTTGCACGAGAGACGAGAGAGCCTACTTGCCGCCCGGCCCGTTGATGCTCATGATCTCCTTCTTGCTCAAGCTGAGCTGGCCCCGCCCAAACTTGCCCGCGCTCGCGCCCAGGCCCCTCTGGCGCTTGTCGGTCCCCTCGGCCTTGCGCTTCTCCTTGAGGCTGAGCGCCTCTCGCCCCTGCCCGCCGGCGGCCTTCTTGGCGCCCGTGCCGTGGCCGGCCGCCTCGTCGCGCAGCTGGGCCCGCTTGAGGTTGGCCGCGTTCTGGCCCTTGCGCAGCAGGCGCGGCGCATTCTTGGGCAGCGGCGTGTGGCCCTTGAGCGTCTTGGTCGGCGCGAGCGGGAGCTCGCGCAGGAGGTCCGGGAGCGACGCGTTCGAGCCCGACGTGAGAGGCTTGACGAGCGACGCGAGGTGCGAGTCGAGCTTGGTGAGGTGCCTGTTGCCGAGGTACGTCCAGGTCAGGTCGCCGTGCGTGCGAGAGAGAGGGCGAGTTGGACGCACGATTCCTCGGCCGCGTCGGCCTGCTGCTCCTCCTGCGAGAGCGGCTTGCCTCCGACCGCCGTCGCCGCCGCGCCCTTCTTCTTGGCCTTGCCGCCGACGTACTTGACGTTGTGCTGGTCGGCGATCGACGGTCGGGCATGCACGTTCTTGACCTTGCCGGCCTGCGAGAGGGAGCGAGAGGTGAGCTCGTCGAGCGAGAGCAAGAGGGGTCCTGAGAGAGAGAGCGAGAGGACGCACCTTGAAGTCGCGCAGCTCGCGCTTGTTGTGCGGAGCCGAGGGTGCGGCAAAGGCCGAGACGGCTTCGCCTCGACCGGGCTCGACAAAGGCGACGACGGCCGCTGCAAGGGGGAGGAGGGAGGTCAGCTCGCGGCGGCGCCAGGAGAGAAAGAGGGGGGGACGGACGCTGCTTGGTGCCGCTCGTCTGCTCGTACGCTTCAACCAGCTCCTCGTCCGCCTCGTCCTCGTCCTCCTCGCTCTCGTCGTCGTCGTCGTCGTCGTCGTTGTCGTCGAAGTCGGCATCGTCCATCTCCCACACGCTCTTGGCCTCCTTGACCGCGCGCACCGGCTCGGCGCCGAGCGCACTCGTGCTCGCCATCGGGAGCGCCTCGCTCAAGAAGCTCGCCTGGTGCGCAGCGAGGGCGGCGAGCATGGCGGCGCGCTCGTCGGCCGGGTCGTCGCCCTCGGCGGCACTCGCCTCGGAGCTCGAGCTGCTGCCCGAGGCGTCAAGCCCAGGTCTGTGTGGGCCAGAGAGCGGGTCAGTGTGTGCCCTCAGGGCGGCGAGAGGGCGGGACGCACCGATTCGAGCGCTTGATGGAGGCGGTGAGCTTGACGCGCTTGCGCGGCGCAGGAGGAGCGGCACGGGCCTTGCCCTTGGCAGTCGAGGTGGGAGCTGCTCGCTTGAGGCTCACGGCGGCCGGCATGGCGAGAAGAGCGTGACGAGGGTTTGTTGCAGAGGGAGAAGGAGCCAGGCTCGCGGACTCGGAGTGGGAGAGGGAAAGCTACACAACAAGGACGAGAGGGGTCGGGAAAGTGTCTACTGGGGGGCCAAAGAGAGTGTCCGTGACGAGGGAAACGCGTAAAGGGCATTAGACAAGGAGGGCGACGCCGCCTGCCGCGACGACGAGGAACGAGCCGGCGACGAGGCGAGATGCACCGGCGACATAGCTGCGTATCGGTCGAGGGTCAGTCTCTCGCTCCGCCCAAGAGGACAGGGAAGGACGCACGAGTCGTCTGGACCGACAGCGATGCCGCGCGCGGTCGCGCCGGGCGCAAAGGCAGTCATCGAACCTACGAAGGCGGTGGGCGTGCCGGCGGTCGTGAGGTTGACGGGCAGGGTCGAGGTGCTGGCGGGGATGACGGACGTGACGTTGAGCGTCTGGGTGCTGGTCGCGTTGCCCGAGGTGACGACCGAGACGACCTGCGAGGTGATGGTGGACGCGGGCGCGACCGAGACGCCGCTCGGGGCGGTCGAGGTGCTGGCGTTGGCGGACCCGGAAGCCGAGGCCGAGAGCGAGCCCGACTGGGACGACTGGGACGAAGCCGATGCTGCGCTCGAGGTTGCGGCCGACGACGACGAGCCTTGAGCGGCGGCGAGAGCGGCCGAGAGGATCTGGGTGGGACGAGGGGTGAACAAGTGGCGGGGGCGAGTGGGAGGGACAAGGTGTGGACTCACTGCCAAGGCACTGAGCAGGAGCAAGCGCATCCTGGGGCGAGGCGAGTCGGGAGCGAGGTCGAGGGCAGGAGCCAAGGGGAGGAGGAGGAGGAGGCCTCGTGCCTCTCGAACCACACCTCGCCCGGGTCCAGCGAGCTCGCCAACAATGGACTGGGCACCGCCGACACCCGCGAGCCCACCAGCGGCGTACCCGCCCTTGCCCGCCGCCGCCTCGTCCTCGTCCTCGTCGTCGTCGCGCACCGCCTCGACCTCGAGCCGCAACCCGTGGGCCGCGAGCGGCAGCTTCTACCTCGGCGGGTCAGCCGCTCCTTCGAGCATGGCCACCCGCAAAGCCCCGCCCTTCAAGGGCCGCTCGACCAGCCACCGCACCCTCGCCTCGCCTCCTCCTCCTCGACCTCCTGCACCGCCTCATTCGACTCCGCCCTCGCCGCCCGTCCTTCTCACCGAGGGCGTCTGCTGCTGCTGCGGCACCACACTGCGCTACCCTCGCCCCAGCCCGAGCTTCCGCTGCACCGTCTGCAACACGGTCGTCGACCTGTCCGACCTCGCTCGCAAGGGCAAAGCCCGCCAAGGTCCGTCCCTGTCCGCCTTCTCCTCCAGGCCCTCATCGCGCACTCACACCCACTCTCTCTCTCTCTCGACAGGCACCCCAGTACCCGACGCGACCCCGGTCACCGAGGCCCAGATCATCGACCTCGTTCAGCGCCTCGCCTCGCGGCACTCGGAAACCGACCACGACCTCGCCCACCGCCTCGGCGCCCTCGAGCTCACCGCGCCCGACGACGACCGACAAGACGACCCGGAGGATACGCTCCTCGCCCTCGTCGCGACGGCGTTCGACAACCTGCCCAGCCTCGAGGCGTCGTTCCGACCCGCGCCCGGACCCTCGACAACCCCTTCGCCCTCACGTCGATCTCGCCTACCGCGCCACGATACTCTCGTCGCCCTGTACGACCTCGTGCGCCATCGTCCAGTCGCCCTCGACCTCCTGCGCGGCCAGGTCGACTCGCTCCTGCGTCGGCCGGGGCCAACGCTCCTCGACAGCGACGGTGCCTGGCTCGTCTCGCTCTTCGAGGTGCGCCCCTCTTTCCCCCTCGCCCTCGCATCTCCCTGTCACTGACTGACAAACGCGTCGTTCTGCAGTGCCCTGTATTCCTGCCCGAGTGCACGCCCAACCCAGACGAGCGGCGCGAGCTCCTGTCTCGCCTCATCGGCGTGTGCGTCCCCTGCTCCCTCTCCGTCGCCTCGAGCGCGCTCGCTCACACCTCAGAAACCCCTCGCAGCACCTCGAACCTGCCCAACCCGCTCCACCACGCCCTCGTGACGCACCTCTCGTCGTCCCGGTACCCGCGCACGGCCCTCCTCGACAAGGTCGACGCCCTGTGCAGCTTCTTGTCGTACCGCATCGGGCGCTGCATCGACTCGGACGACCTCGGCGCGTACGCCGACGACTGGATGGTGCGCTCGAGCGCACGTGTCGGGAGCCTCCTTTGTGCGTCCGCCGCTCGCTCGACCCTTTCTCCCTCGCGCTCGTGTCCCGAACTCACTCGTCTCGGCTCACACAGTCGCGGCCAACGTCAAGACGCGACACGTTGCGCCCTCGACCTTCTACGTCACGCTCGTCGACTCGCTCGGCGAGGCCGCGCTCATCCAGGACTTTCAGGCGTGGGAGGCCCAGACTGGGCATTTTTCGCTGTGCCAGTACCCGTTCCTGTTGAGCCTCGGCGCCAAGCTCACCCTGCTCGCGTTTGACGGCGAGCGTCAGATGGTCCGTCCCCCTCTCCCTTCCCTCCTGCTCATCCTTCTATGTATACGGTCCTGACGCTGCACCTCGTCGCCGTCGAGCAGATTGATCGGGCGGGCGAGGCGTACCGCGCGAGCTTCGGGTCGAGCGAGGCCGAGAGCCCGTTGCTCGTGCTGCGGGTCAGGAGGGAGCACCTCGTCGCCGACAGCCTGCGCCAGGTGCGTGGCTACTTCTCTTTCGTCTCCCTGTCTTCGCCTCGCTCTTTGCCAAGGTGCGGGTCTTGACGATCGGCCCTGTCTCGCAGATCTCGCTCAACCGGTTCAATCTCAAGAAGCCGCTCCGGGTCAAGTGGGAGGGCGAGGAGGGCATCGACGCCGGCGGGCTCCGCAAGGAGTGGTTCCTCCTCTTGTGTCGACAGCTGTTCGACCCGCAGGTGCGCCCCTCCCTCCCTCCTCTCGGCCCCTGCGCCTCTCGCCGAGCAGCACGCCCTGACCTCTTGTCTTCCTCGCCCTCGCAGTTCGGCATGTTCGTGCCAGACCCCGACTCGAACCTGTGCTACCTCAACCCGGGCGCGCTCGGCATGGAGGACGACTTCTGGCTCGTCGGCGTCGTCGTCGGCCTCGCCGTGTACAACTCGGCGACGCTCGACCTGCCGCTCCCTCTGGTGCGTGGCCCTCTCGCTCCCTCGTCCCTGCCCTGTCCACTGCCGTTCGCCGGTCAGAGACGTGTGTTGACGAGTTGGACCACGCAGGCCATCTACAAGAAGCTCTCGTTCGAGCCGCTCGGACTCGCCGACCTCGCGCAGGTGCAGCCGGCGCTCGCTCGCGGCCTGCAGCAGCTGCTCGATTATGACGGCGCCGACGGGACCGTCGAGGACGTGTTCTGCCGGGCGTTTGTCGGGGCATACGAGGCGTGGGGCGAGACGGTCGAGGAGGAGCTGGTCGAGGGCGGGAGGGAGGTCGCCGTCACCGAGGAGAACCGCAAAGGTGCGCCTGCTCGTTTTCTCTGTCTCTCTCTCTCTCTGTCACCCTCGCTGACAGACCTCGTTGTGCGCAGACTATGTCCGCCTCCTCGTCGACTTTCTCCTGTCTAAGTCGGTCTCGCCGCAGTTCGACGCCTTTGCCGAGGGCTTCCACGAGGTGTGCGCCGGCAGCGCCCTGTCGCTGTTCAAGGCGCAGGAGCTCGAGCTCGTCGTGCGAGGCTCGACCGAGGCGCTCGACGTCGATGCGCTGCGGGGCGTCACGGTGTACGAGGGTTTTGCGCCCGACGAGCCGACGATCGAGTGCGTCCCTCGTCCTCTTCCTCTTCCTCTTCCTCCTCCTTTCCTCCCTCCTCGCCCACCGTTCTGACGCTCGCCCACCACAGCGCCTTCTGGTCGACCTTCCACGCCTTCTCGCCCGAGCAGCAACGGCGCCTCCTCGCCTTCATTACGGCCTCGGACCGCCTTCCAGCGACGGGCACGGCGGGCCTCACGCTCAAGCTCCAGTGCTCGGGCGACGACACGGCCCGCCTGCCCTCGGCGAGCACGTGCTTCAACACGCTCATCCTGCCGCGGTACCGCACGAGGGTCGTCGTGGAGAGCATGCTCGTGCGCGCCGTCGAGGACAGCGAGGGATTCGGGCTGCGGTAGACTTTCCCTCTTGTATCGCTGCATCGCATTGCATTCTTGCATCTGCATCTGTCGTGAGCTCGTGTGGTGCGCCGGTCGAGAGCTTGGCGAGCCCGAAAGAGCGAGCACGGCGAGACTTGGGCGCTGCCTCGAGGATTCTCATCAGCTCGCCTCATCTGTTTGGCTCTCTCACGACTCGCCCTCGCGAGCTGGGCTACCGCCGATGCTCGCAACCGACATCACGGACGTGCTTGGCACCGTGCAGGGCCCAAGTGCACCGCCGAGCGCCTTGCCCGTCTCGCGCTGGAAGCGGCCCAACGTGTGGCTCGGCAGGGCGATCCCGCTCCTTCTGCTGGTCTTTGCGGTGCGCGGCTACTCACTCGTGCTCCTCGAAATCAGTGAGCACCCTCGCCCCTGTCCCCTCTGCCCCAACGCGACGCCGCTGACACCTTGGCCCCCTCGCAGTTCCGCTCCTTTGGAGTCGGCGGCCGGCCGTCGCGGCGCTCTACTCGGCGGCAGTGCACCTTCTTCTCGTCATGACGGGCATCTCGTACTTCATGGTCTACTTCCTGCCGATCAAGCCGCCGTCGGTCAAGGAGCCGCCCCCTTCTGTGCGCGAGAAACGAGTTGTGCGTCCTCTCGCTCGTCCTTTCCTTCTCTCCTCTGCACTCCCTTGCGGCAGTCGAGATGAGTGAGAGCCCACCAGTCGAGACGACGACTGATGGCCTCAACCTGCGCAGGTCTTTGCGTGCGACGGGGCCGGCGAGCCCTTGCGCTGCTTCAGGGACGGCTGCGACGGCGCCTGGCAGTCGACCCGCACCCGACACTGCCGAGATTGCGGCACCTGTCGGCCCAACTTCGACCATCACTGCGCATTCGTCGCCAACGACGTGTGCTGCTCGACCCTCAAGCCGTTCGCGTGCTTCCTCGCGTACGCCGCCGCCCTCCTCGTCATCGCGCTCGTCCCGTTCGCGCCACTACAGTGGAAGGCATGCCGGGAGGTCGTGAGCGAGACGTGGTGGAGCGACGAGATGCGAGAGCGGTGGTGGAGCGGCTGGCGAGGCTGGGTCGGTGGGCCGGTGTATCGGTGCGTCGCCATTTCTCCTCTCAGTTTGAGCCCTCGAACAGCTACGGACGCCCTCCTTTGTACATGAGCAGCTACGCAGGCGCCCTCCTCCTCGGCTACCGCCAATACCAACTCTCGGTCGACGACCGACCTCTCGTACTTCGCGACGGGACTCTGCGCGAGATCGACTCGCGCGAGGCGGCGCTCTACCCGCACCTCGTCGTCCCGTCGCTCAGCATGCTCTTCGTCACCTTCTTCGCGAGCTTCATCTCGGTCATCGCGCTCGTCAGTGCGTCCCACTCTCCCTCTGCTTTCGCCTCTCGAGGGGCTCGCGCTTGCTCGACTGCCGACTGACCGTTATGCATGCGTCGCAGTGCTCTACGTCGTCGCGCGCAACGCTCGCCAAGGCCGCACCTCGGTCCAGGGCGAGCGCATCAAGCTGCACCGCTCGACGACATACGACGCTCGACTGCGCCTGTGGGTCCCGCTGCCCGAGGGCGGTGGAGCCGTCGTCCTCGTCGAGCCCGATCACGACCTGTTCGACCTCGGCGCCGAGGAGAACTGGACGAGCCTCATGGGTGACAGCTGGCTCGAGTGGGCGCAGCCGTGGATCACGAGGTGCGCCCTCCTCTCTCTCTGACGATCTCTCCTTGGCGAGCGAGCCGCGCACCTGACTCTGCCTCTCCCGCTCCCTCTCGACGCAGCCGGGTGTCTGACTTTGCAATGAATCGACAAGCGGTGCACGAGCTCGAGGCGCGGGCGAGAAAGGAGCTGTAGAACCGTGCGCCCTCTAGATGCAGTGCAAGTCTACCGCGCCTCCTCCTCGTCTACGAGCTCGAGGTCCTTCGTGAGCAGGCAATGCGGCGCGCCGTCCTCGAGAAACTGGCCCGGCTGCCGCTCGTAGCCCGACCTCGCGTAGAAGCCCTCGGCGTGCACCTGCGAGTGGACGAGGACGCGCACGCTCTTCTCGCCCCGGAGCGCGACGCCGGCCTTGCCTCGACGAGCGACGAGGTGCTTCTCGAGCGCCTCGAGGAGGATCTTGCCTGTGCCGCCGCCGCGAAATTTGGGCAGAACTGCGGGCGAGCGAGAGGTTCGTCAGGTCGACTCTTTGACCCTGACGATGAAGAAGAGGTAGAGAGAGAGAGAGAGAGAGAGAGAGAGAGAGAGAGCGAGGAAGAGCCAAGAAGAGGGAAAGGGAGAGAGGGCAAGGAAGAAGATGAGGGCGAGGAAAAGTGTTCGAGAGAACGAAAGGGGAGGCTCGAGAGCGAGAACGAGGAATGGCGGGACCGGTACGAGGACGAGACAAAGAGGCCGAACTTACCACACACCCGCCCGAGCTTGCCCGCCTTCTGACCCTGTGGCTGACCCGGCTTTGGCCACCACCTGATCGTGCCGGCGTCCTCCTTCTCGCCATCTGCGCCGACCCGGTACATGATGAGGTGATCCGACTCGGGGTCCTTTCTGCGCGCACCGACGACGAGCTCGAGGTCAGTATCGTGTGACGGACGAGCTCCTGAAAGAGGGATGAGGAGAGAAAGGGACGCACTCGTCCAGCTCGTCTTCGATCGAGTAACCCTGCTCGTCGACAAAGACGGCGATGCGGCACTTGATGCAGCGGTCGATGTCGGCCTGCGTCTCGCACAGCTCGACGTGGTACGTGTCGGGTGCCCGTGCGTCGTCGAGCGTTGCTGTCGCGGGTCTGCGTCCGTCGAGAACGAGGGTCGTCAGTTCCTGCCCGACCGAGAGACGCGGCGAATCGAGTCGAGGGAGGTCGAGGGGGGACGCACTCTGGCACGAGCTCGATGCGTTTGACGACCTTGACGTGCGGCGTGCCCTCCTCCTGGAACTCGAGCCCGAACGTGGACCAGCCCGTCTTCTCGTAGAACGGGAGGCTCGGGACCTGGGCGTGCGCGAGGAGCTGGACCGCCTTCTTGCCGCGCAGGACATCGGCCGTCTTGCCTCGTCGCTCGCGCACGTGCTGCTCGAGGGCCTCGACGAGCGTCTTGCCGCGCCCGCCGCCGCGGTAGTTGGCGAGGATGGCGACGCGGCCGAGCTTGAGCTTGGCCGGGTAGAAGCGCAGGGTACCGATGTCGGTCGTCGTACCGTCTGGGTCGACCTGGGTCATGAGGAGGTGGTCGCACAAAGGGTCGTACGCGTCGTGTTGCTCGACGTCGGCGCTGTAGCCTTGCTCCTCGACGAAGACGGTGCGGCGGATGGCCATGACGCGCTCCATCTGCTCGGGCGAGATTGCGAGGACCTGCAGACATCGGTGGACAGCACGAGTGAGCCCACGCTGGTCCCGGGCGAGGGTTGAAAGCGGCGAGAGGTGGACGCACAACCGAGAGGACGGGAGACGAGGATGCCGGCGCGGCGGGCGCGTTGTACGTGTCGGCCATGGCAGTAGTGCGGCTCGACGAGGTGCAGCAGGGGCACAGGCAGCAGTGCTCTGTCGCTGGTGAGGAGCGGAAGCGAGGGCGCGCACCGCTCTACCCCCACACCTCTCACGAGTGGCGGCGATTTCAACTCGCCCGCTGAACGCGGTGTCGCACTCTCTCGAACATGCGAGAACGATCAACTAAAAGGACAGGATACGCGCAAGTGCGAGCTACAGAACCGCAAAGAAACACCACACCGCCTCACGCCCGCTTCACACGGCCCGCCGGATCGCCCTCGCCCGCCGCACCGCCGCCGCCGCCGAGCCCCAGCTGCCGGTCCCGCTCCGCCGACGTCGACGCGAGCGGCGTCAACAGGTCGTCCGAGTCCTGCCTCGACGGCCGCGCGCCGCTCTGCTGCCCAGGCGCGCCCGTGTCGAGGACGAGCGTCGCGCTCGATGACGCTGTCGGCGTGGGCGTCGACGCGCTCGACGACGACGAGCCAGGCGTGATGGTCGCCGAGCGCGAGCGCGGCGAGCGGGCTGGCCCGGCGGCGAGCGACGCTGCCGCTGCGGGCGCGCCGCGGCCGGGCGAAGGCGGAGGGTGGGTGCGGCCCGGCCCGTGCAGGACGAGCTCGGTCGCGCCGAGCGAGCGCGCCTCGGACGCCGAGACCATGACGGGCGCGTAGACGAGGACGCGGCGGTCGTCGCGGCCGGGCGAGGGCGGCGGGTGCGGGAGAGCGTGCGCCGACGGGTACGGCGAGGACGACGACGACGGCGGGAAGCTCGTGCGGATGGGCGAGCTCGCCGTGAGCGCGATGAGCGGCAGGCCGTCCTCGTCGTCGCCGGATCGGCGCTGGCCGCGGTCCTCGGGCCGCGGCAGGAGGAAGATGCGCGTCTCGTCCCTCCTCCTGCTGCTCGACGCCGTCCCTCCGACCGCCGTGACCGACGACACGCTGCTGCTCCGCTCGCGCCTCGCTCCGTGCGAGTCGCGCCGCTTCTTCTTGCCGCTCCCGCTGCGGCCGAGCCCGCTCCGCCCCGGCGAGCCGTCGAGCTCGACGGGCGAGTCGTAGAAGTCCTGCTCGCCGCCCGCTCCTCCCCTGCTGCCGCTCGAGCGGCTCCTCGCGCCGCGTGGAGAGGCGCGCAGGGTGTAGAAGCCGAGGACCTTGACGGCGCCCCAGACGCGCAAGCCTTCGACGAGGGCGAGCGCGCCGAGCGCCGTCACGACGACGCCCTCGAAGCGGTCCTCGCACGCCTCGAGCGAGCCCACCAGGTCGGGCAGGCCGAACGAGAGCGACAATGTGCCGCACAGGGTGGTCGCGAGGCCGCGAGAGGACGAGGGCGACGAGACGGTGAGGAGGAGGAGGATGAGGGCGAGGAGAAGGAGGTCGAGCGAGATGGCGAGGAACCCGTTCAGGACGAACAGGCGAAGGAGGGGTAGTCGATCCTGCAGAAGCGGAGACGAAAGCGTTGGCGTGGGCAGGGCGTGGCGGTAGGGCGGGTCGGCGAGAGGAGGGAGGAGGGAGGAAGTGGGGTGAGCGGACGTCGTGCGAGAGGAGGAGAGGCGGCGACTCGGACGCACCTTGAGCAGCCCATAGATGCCCACGCCGGCTACGACGGCAGAGCACCAGCTCCACAGCTGTTTGCGCGGGCGAGAGAGAGTCAGCACCGCCTCGGCGTCCTCATTCCTCATCTCCCCGACCTCGAGAGAGAGCGAGGACGCACCTTGCCGATCCCAAGCAGGGCCCGCACGCCCTCGAGCCTGCGCCACTCTGCCCCCTCGAGGTCCCGCCCGTCGTCCCGGCTGCTCCCACTCGTCGGCGTCTCGTCGTCGCCGAGCGTCGACGCGAGGCCCGTCTGCACCGCGCCGAGCTTGCGCGCGAGCCACACGTGGAAGACGACCGCCGCGAGTGCGATGAGGAGCACGTGTAGGCGCCGCGCCGGTGCGATTGGCGGATTTCGAGGGTGCATGTCGAGCGAGAGAGCGAGGGAGGAGCGCCGCCGAGCGGCGACGAGGCACGAGCAACTCGCCTCTCGCCCTCTCGAGGTTCGTTGATGAGACGAGTGCGTTACATCGAGAGCTACTAGGGGTGGGGCTATGTGCAGAGGGAAACGAACGAGAGAGGCGAGGGAGGGAGAGGGGAGAACAAGCGGGCGGGGAGCTACAACAACGAGGGGTAGAAAGGCGAGGCGAGGAGCCTGCAGAGGGGTATCGTCGGCGCCAAAGGTTGCAGAGTCATGCACAGATGAAGGTCGTGTGTGTGGGGGGGGAGGAGGGGCGGTTCACAGGGGAGGCGGCGACATGAGCCCGACGTCCTCGGCCCTCGACCGCAACCGGCGGCTCGTCTTGTCGTCGGCGCTCATCATGGTCGACGAGCTCTGGCCCGTGGGCGTACACGGCGGCGACAGCTCGACGGGCTCGTCGACAAAGACGGCCGACAGGGGCGAGGCGAGCGAGGACGAGCCCGACGACGACGACGACGAGCGGATCCGGGGCCGCTTGGTCGACGAACGGCTCGACGAACGTGACGACGACGGCGAGTTGGACGACGAGTGGCTGAGGGACGACGCCTGGCGGGTGCGGGGCGGCGAGCACGAGTACGGCGGGAGGGTGAAGGTCGGCGACGAGGGCTGGAAGACCGGGTTGCCGCGCTCGTCGAGCATGACGGGGACGAGAACGAGCTGCGGATGCCGCCCTGCGGCTCCGCCGGCTCGACTGCTCGACGCGTGGCTGTACGACATCGACTGCGAGCGGATGCGCTTGGCCGAGTCGAGGCCGTACGGGAGCGGCAACGTCTGGCTCCGTCGCGACGACGAGGCCGCCGCCGACGCCGAGTGCGAGTACGACCTCGGGCGGCCGAGCGTCTCCTCGAGCGCGAGCGGCGTCTTGTGGTCGCCCGCACCGCGAACCGCCTCGTCGACCTGGCGCATCATGCGCGCGCCGCCGTCCTGCTCGTCGACCCACGCCTCGCCGCGGTCGCGCAGCTCCTTCTCGCGCATGTCCGAGTTGCACTCCCACGTGACCCACGTGCCGAACGCGCGCAGGACGACGGCGACGACGCACCCGGCGAGGACGCTGAGCATGGCCGTCTGCCACGTCTCGTCGCACGCCTCGACGCCCCAGAACAGGAGGTCGATGCCGCCGGCCCAGGGCGACGCCGCCTGGTTGCTCCGAGTGGACGTCCAGTCCGAGGCGAACGTCGACGAGCACAGGAACGAGCCGAACGGGCCGGACAGGGAGGGCGAAAGGGTGAGGGACGCTAGCGCGAGGGTGAAGAGGATGGTGACGAGGAGGTCGGTGGCGGTCGTGACGGCAAACACCCGGTGCAGGCTGCTCTGTCGCTGCAGACAAGGTTCAGGGTGTCAGTACGAGAACTCTCGAGGGCCCAGAGTGGAGGGCTGACTCACGAGGAGCAAGCCGAGGGTGCCGCACAGCGAGCCTCCCGCGCTGAGGAGGGCCCACTTGACGGCCGCGTCGCCGGCCCACCATGCGACGACGACCATGCCGTCCATGTCGACGGCGGCGTCGTTGTCGGACGCGAGCTCGCGCTCGAGGGCGGCCGTCCACACCCACGTGAGGGTCGCGAGCCCGGTGCTGAGGAACAGGCTCGAGCCGGCGACGACGAGGGCCTGGGTGCGCGAGGGTGGGGCGTGCGGGTGCTGGTGCGCTGTCGGAGTGCGCTGGCGCTTGGCCATGGCGGTAGTCGTTTGGTCGAGGGCGGGAGGGAGGGCGAGGACGAGGGCGGAGGAGGCAGGTCCTCGGAGATGGATCGACTCGGAGGCCGAACGAGCGGGTCGCACGAGCGGGTCGCACAGCTGGTGCGCCTGGCGGGTGGCTCTGGGCGAGGTGCTGGTGTGGTGCAAGCTTGCAAACGGTGCCGAGCAGAGCGACTCGAAGCGAGGATGGCTCGATCCTGGCAGCCGAGGAGGAGGCCGAGGTCCGAGCCTGCCGGCCTCCGCACTTTCGCTCTCACGTGCTCTGCGGACGACGTCGTTTGACAAGGGGCGACGGACCGTCCCTCTCCGGAATGAAACGCTCAGCTCTAGCCAGCTGAGGCCGACCCGACGGCGAGAAAGGGGAACGGCAGCTTTGCAGAGCTCCTGCTCAGCTCGGGCGACGAAAGGCGACAAAGGACAAGGTGCAGAGAGAGAGAGAGAAAGGCGAAAGGAGGGCATGCGAGAGAGAGAGGGACGGGAGGAGAGACGACTCAACGAGCCGCCTCCTGGTACGGGTACTCGAAAGCGAGCTTCTTCTTGCGCCAGCGCTTCTGCCTGCGGATCGAGGCAACGAGAGTCGTCAGTAGCCGGTCGTCGTGTGGAGGAGGAGAGACGAGGACGCACTTCTTCTTGCTCACGACGTGCTCGGTCCAAGCCTCGACGCAGTGCGCCTTCTTGAACGCGCGGATGAAGACCGGGTCCCTGCAACACGAGCTCGTCAGGACGCTGTCGACGAGAAGAGGGACAAAGCTGGACGCACCAAAGCTCGCTGGCAATGCCGAGGTCCTTGCAGCACCGCATGAGGGCGTTGCTCTTGCAGCCCTCGCTCGCCGTCGGGACGCCGCTCGGGTCGAAGAACGTCTGCTCGCCGCGTGCGACCGAGACGAGCCTGCAGGGATGCCGCACTGTGTCAGGAGGAGGGTTCGAGAGAGTGACCGAAATAACCAGGAGACGCACCGTCCGCCTGCGACAAGCCCCCACTCTCGCGTCACCATGTTCTTGAGCACGCTCATCTCGCCGCGAGGAACCATGCCCCACCCGCCGGGACCGAACGCCCTGTTGAGGATGCGGCGGTACAGGATCTCGGGGAGGTACAGGAGGCCGTCTGCGCGCGACGAGGCGAGTCAGTCGGGCGCGAGGGCGAGGAGGAGTGGACTGGCGGGCGCACCGGGCTTGATCTCGATCTCGGGCTCCTCGAGCGGGCGCATGAGGACATCGGCCTGCTCGCGCGTGAACGGCACAGCCGACAGGCCGTGGTAGCTCGTCGCCCAGTCGACCTCGGAGCCGGCTGCGACAGCGGCGAGCGGGTCGACGTTGCCCACCGGCTGCGACGAGCCCATGGTCGGGCCTGCCGGAAGGGCATCGATGGAAGTCAAGGAACTGGCCGACGAGGCTGGTGCTGCGACGGGCGGGGCTGCCTCGACGACGGGCGGCTCGCTCGCGGCGACAGGGGCGGACGGCGAGGTCGTGCTCGCGGGCGCAGCGGCAGCCGGGGCAGGACGCGGTGTGGTCGAACGACGGTATGCGGGTGCAGCGGCAGGCGCTGCGGTGGACGAAGAGGTGGGAGCGGCGGACGGCGACGACGCGGCGGGGGAGGTGCGAGGGCGAGGGGTGTAGGCGGGGCGCTTGACGGCGGTGGTGGCGGCGGTGCGGTTGTAGCTGGGCGTGTGCTGGACGAGCGCACGGGCGGTACGGTGCAGCATGGCAGCCGAGCGAGGTGGGAGGAGGACAAGCCCGGGTGGTGGCGGTGCGGAGAGGCGCACACTCGCCGACGCGCTCTGCTGTTGGGTCTCGGTGGCGGTAGGATTGGATACAACTCACATGCAGCCCTGTCTGGCAAGAACTACAGCAGAGGGGCGAAAGCGAGAGCGAGGTGCGGCCCGTCGTCTTCATCAAGCGGTCGACCTCGTTCAGCTCTTTCCTCACACCGCGTCGGCACCAGCTGCTACGCTCGACAGCCATGCCGATCCAGACCAAGGACATCTCGGCCATCCGCAACAAGCAGGTCCGCTCTGACCTGCACCAAAAGCGCAAAAAGGAGCAGCGGCAAGCCAAGCTCAAGCGCCGCATCGCCAACAAGGAGGCAGAGGCTCGCGGCGAGCACGTCGAGAAGGGTGCGTCCCCTGCTCTCTTGCCACGCACGCGCATGCGCCGGCCTCGCGCTGCCGCGAGCCGCGTCGCCAACCCTCGTCGAACCCCCACCGCTCACCGCCTCGCTCCCCGACCACAGGCATCCCGCGCACGATCGAGAACACGCGCGAGTGGCTCGGCGATGAAGATGGCGAGTACGCCGACCCGCGCACCCGACCCGCCCCGGTCACCGTCAACGACCAGACGGGCGACGTGACGGTCGACATGGGCTCGCTCTCGAACCTGTTCCCGATGGCGCCGCAGCCTCAGCCTACCCCGGCTGGCTTCCTCCCACCCGACGCCAAGGTCCTCATCACGACGAGCCCGGGCAAGCCGCCGGCGCCGTTCACCAAGCAGTTCCTCGACGACCTCCAGGCCCTCCTCGGCGGCAAGAAGCGCGCAGACGTCGTCCCGAGGCGCAGCCCCAAGTTCGAGCTCGGCAGGGTCGCGCGGTGGGCGAGGAAGAGGGGATACGGCGCCATCATGGTCGTCGGCGAGGATCACGCCAAGCCGAGTGCGTCCCCCTTCACGCTTGTCCCCCCTCCCCGTCCTCCCCTAGCCTGACCTCGCTCTCTCCGCGCAGCTTCCCTCACCATGTCGCTCCTTCCCTACGGCCCGACCTCTCACTTCCGCTTGTCCGGCATCACGCTCTGCAAGGACATCCCTGTGCGTCCTGCCTTTCTCTCGTCGTCGAGCGTACCTGACCTGACCTTTCTCGCCTCGCCTCGCAAACAGGGCCACGCCTCGCCGACCTCGCACCCTCCCGAGCTTGTCCTCAACCACTTTGCGACGCCGCTCGGTCTCTCGCTCGCCACCCTCCTGTCCCAGCTCTTCCTCCCTCCCGGTCACGCCGAGGTCCTTCAGCGCCAAGGGTTCCAGGGCCGCCAGGTCGTCCTCGCGCAGAACTCGCGCGACTTCGTCTTTGTTCGCCGGTACCGCTACATGTTTGCGCTCAAGAGCCACCGCCTCGGCAAGACCAAGAAGCAGACGGACGTGCCGCGCATGACCGAGCCCAACCCGGAGCACGAGATCGACGACACGATCAAGACGCGGTTCCAGGAGATCGGCCCCCAGTTCACGCTCAAGATGCGGTGGATCCGGCGCGGTCCGCTTGGCGAGACGGGCGACGAGCGCACGGCGAGGGAGAAGTTCGAGGCCGAGACGGGCGAGCAGGCGGCCGAGTTTGGCGAGCGCGCATCTGCGGGTGCTGCTGCTGGGGTCCGAGGCGGCGACGACGACGACGACGAGATGGACGAGGACGGCATGGACGTTGACGGCGAGGTTGAGGTCGGCGGCCTGAGCGACGAGGAGGCGGACGATGCCGAGGCCGAGGAGGAGGCTCGTCGCGCCATCGGCCTCGACGAGTCGGACGCTGCCGGTCAGCCCAACTTCTCGTCGGCTTCGACATCCGCCAACGCCGAGGCGTCGACGTCGGCGTCGACCTCGACCGCGCCCGCCGCCGCCGCCACCGACGATGCCGACCCGGACGCGCCGACCTCGAACCCGAAGAAGCGCCCTCGCACGACGCCCCGCATCCGCAAGAAGCCGTACCACGCCCTCCTGAACCCGCCGCCGTCCGACTCGCCGTCGCCCGAGCCGGAAGAGGTACCCCTCCCCACCATCGGCAAGAAGAAGAACCCCGAGCTCCAGAGCGCCATCGACACGGTCGGCAAGACGTGGCACGCGGGCAAGGGCGAGGGCGGTGTGCGCGAGGGCGCAAAGCGGCGAGAGTGGAACTGGGAGGTGCGTCGCCCGTTCCTCTCCCCTCCTCCTCCTCCTCCTCCTCCTCGAGTCGCCGTCCCTGACCCGTCTCTCTCCCCTCGCGCAGGCCAAGATGCAGGTCTCGCGGCGCAAGTTCTTCCTCTGAGCTTGGCGCACACGTTTCTCGGCTCCTTCTCTCGCGGTCTTGTCCTCTGTACCCTGTCGTTCTCTGCATCGCACCCCTCGTTCCTCCCCGTCTCGACGCCTGGCTCGGACAGCTCGGGCTAGCAGCATCACGTGCACCTGTGTGCGGCATTGGCGCAGAGAGAACCGCAAAAGAAGCCGAAGCCGACGAGCCCTCGCGCGGTGTGCAAGCCTGAGGAACGGCGCCGAGGAGGCGAGAGCAGGATCACTCTCAGGTCGCACGCACGAGACGCGCATCGGGTGACTCTACAGGTGCAGCTTTGAGCTCTGCAGGCTGGGCCGGCGGAGCTCAGGCGAGAGCGCGAGAGCGAGGAAGCCGTCCGCAAGTCCTCGTCCTCCGAGTCGACAGTCCTCCTCCTCGTCGACACCAGGCTCGCTCTCTGCAGCTCTTCTCTCGCTCTACAACCCTACAGCGCCTCCAGTTCAATCCGGATCGAAATGTTGGACGCACTCGTCAACAAACCGAACACCATCCATGCGCGCCAGCAGGCGTTCCAGGTGAGCCGTCCGCTCCTCCCTGATCTCGGAATCCTCGACTGACCCGTCAACCGCTGGCAGAAGGACACCCGTCACGTCTTCCAAAAGACCCCTCGGGCGCGCTTGTACATGGGCAAGTCTCGCCGTCCCTCTGGAGGCCTCCTGGACGAGGAGCTGTCGAGCCGGAGGAGCTCCCATCGCTGACCCTTCCCTCCTCCCTCCCTCGGTCCTCCGTGCAGTCGGCTTCATGAGCCTCTTCGCCATTGGTACCCTCGGCATCACCCAGGGCGCCTACAAGCTCGCCACGGTGCGTCCTCGTCTCTCTCTTACCCTCGCCCGCCTCGTCCCGCAGATCTGACCCTCGCGTTCCCTTCTTCCCCTCTCCTCCCTCCTCCTTGCGCCTCGACCGACTGCGCCATTGTCCTCGATTCCCTTCTTTCGACCACGCACGCGGCGTCGATACCTCGCAGGGCAAGAAGTAAACTCGCTCTCGGCGACACTTCGACTCGACTCGGGCTCTCGGCTGGTGGAGGACGCGGCGAGAGGCGGTGCGGCAATGAGACGCGGTTCTTTCGGTCTCGTGCTTCTGGTCGACCACGTTGGTGAGCTCGAAGAGAGCCTGCTCGTTGCCGCCGTCCAGCTTCGCCGATGTTCGCTCTCGAGCTGGCTCTCAGGGTTCGACGAAAGGCGAGCAGAGAGAAGCTCTTCTGCCAGTTCCTCCCTGAGCGAGCGGTCTCTGCGTGTCTCTGAGAGTCCGTCTGTGCGAGAGAGAGCATGCCAGCACCTGCGTGCAGCAAGCCTCGTGCTCCTCCTCGAGCTGCGCCCGCAGCTGGTTGAAGCTCTGTTCTCTCGCGCGCGCACGGGTTCTTGGGCTTTGCGACGACTTGCCGAAGCAGTCACCCGGCGGTCGCCGAGGGCGCGCTCGGTCCGTCCCCGGCGGCGGCGGCTGGCCGTCAGACGAGGACGCTCTCTCGCCGCTCGGACCTCGGCGTGTGCGCCAGCTCGGCTCAAACTGGGCTCTCTCCCTCTCTCGTCGCGTTCTCGCAGTACGTGAGGCAGCTGTCCTCTCGACCAACAGTGAACGAGAAGCAGAGGAAGCGACGCTCTGCGTTGCGAACCAGAAAGGCGACGCCGAGCTGAAGGAGGCTACGACGACCGCCGCGGGGGGAAAGGTCTGGTAGAATCAACATGGGTAAAGGGAGGAAAGATGATCTAGACAGAGTAGCACACGAGGGAGGCGACCGGCGCACTCCTTGACCCGGGAGAAGGCGAGGCGAGAAGGAGGGATGCGGGCTTGACGCCGCGCTTTTCGACGAGTCGACCGAGTCGCTCAGGACCAGTTCCAGCGAAGAGGAATGACGCCGGTGTCGAGGTTGCCGACTGCGAGAGGGAGAGAACGAGAGAGAGAGGGTCAGGGCGGGCTCGGGTCGACCGAGAAGGAGGGACGAGAGGACGCACGGGCTTTGAAAGCGCCGAGGCTGAGGTCGAGCGAGCCGTACGAGCATCCAGGGCACCTGTTGTTCGAGAGAGAGAGAGAGTCAGTCACGGCTCGCAGAACGACGGCGACCGCTCGACTCGAGAGAAGGGGGAAAAGCGAGACGTACGTGTCGGCGACCTGGGCACGAATGCTCTTGCCGTTGGCCGTGTTGGTGACAGTGACGTACTGGCCGCAGTGCGAGCCACCGGCAACCTGGGGCGAGTTCATGGCGACGATGTAGGCCGAGTCCGAGTTGACCTTGCCGCACGAACCTGCGGCACCTCCTTGCTGCAAGAGGGAAAAGGAGGGCCGTCAGTCTCGTCGTCGGCGACGCGATCAAGAGAGAAAGGTCGACGCACAGTGTACCAGGTGCCCTTGCCCGAGAACGAAGACGACGAGGCAAAGTTGGTCGTGACCTTCTTGTTCGACGAGGAGGACGACGAGCTCTTGTTCTTGTTGCACTGGTTGCCCGACTTGGTGTAGCCCGAGTTGCACTCTGTTCGTGGAAGGCATCGTCAGGGACTGTGCGGCAAAGGAGAGGAGGGGAAGCGACGCACTCCAACCGCACTTCTTGCTCGAGCAGGTGCGCGTCGACTTGTTCGGGATCCAGTTCTTGCACTGCGACGCCTTGGAGCACGAGTTGCCGCGCTTCTCGAGGACGTTGACGACCTCTGCGACACGAGTGAATGTCAGGGACGCTGAGAGAGAGAGAGAGAGAGAGAGACGAGGCGAGAGAAAGGAGACGCACCGGACGAGTCCTCGAAGGCAAGGTCGGCCCTCGCCTCGACGGCAGGGGCGACGGCCGTCTCGTCGACGACGGCGACGGGAGCGGCGACGACGAAGGACGCGAGAGCGAGGAGCGAGGCGAGGATGGTGGTGCGCATGATGAGCGAGGTTGAGGAAGAGGTGGACGAGGTGAACGAGGAGCTCGGGGTGGAAGGTGGGAGAGCGGGGTGGCAGGCGATAGCGCAGGAAGATGAGGAGCTGAGGAAAGAAGAAAGAGAGCGAGGAGCGACAGCGGAGCACCTTGTCGTCGTCCGTCTCCTCGAAACGAGGAGGACCCTCCTCTCCTGCCACCGGTACCGCGTCGTCCTCGATCGGGAATTTCGAGGGTGAAGCCTTCGAAAAGGACGGCCATCCACGCCGAGCGACGCATCTCGTCCGTCCGCGTGGAACCGAGAGGGGAAGACCGCCGCACGAGCGGTCTCGATTCCTCCCGATCACGGCGATAGAAAGGCGGCGGGCCCGTCGTCCCTCGAGCGGAAGCGGAAGGGCGACAGGATCGAGGGTCCGGGGCAGCAGAGCTGCACAGCGCCGCTCTTGGTCCTGCGCCACGAGCGCGGGCGGGTCCATCCACGCCTCGCCGATGCGCGACCGCACGCGGACGAGCGAGGACGAGGGTGCGCGTAAGGCGCCGCTCGCGGGCCCGAGACAGCGAGCGCAGCGACAAAGGCGGCCAGCAGAGTCGAGTCGGCGCGCGAGAGGCGGCGAGTCGGCCGGGAGAGGCGGAGCGAGAAGAGGGGAAAGTCGAGGTCGAGGTCGACGACGACCCGCACCGCCGCCGAGACGAGCTCGCGGCCGGCGACGACGAGCAGCTTGCGCATCGTGACGCGAGAGGAAGCGCGAGGGATGACACTCTGTCGGGGAAGCAGAAGCGCAGGCAGACGAAGCTCGGCTCGCTCGCGTTACTCTCTGCTCTCGCTTGGACCTCTCGCACCGACTCGCGCACACGCAGCTCGCCCCGAACATGTTCGTGTCCCAGAAGATTGCCCCCGTTACAGAGTGAGAAGGAGGATCTACTCCTTGGTCTCGGCCTCCGCCTGCGAGCGAGGGAAAGGGGACGAGGGAGGACAAGGTCAGGTCTGGCTCGACTGAGGAACACGCGCTGCCCGCCGCGACCGCCGAGAGAGCCGAGAGAAAGAGAGACAGTGGGACGCACCTCGACGGCGACGATGCCGGCACGCTTCTCGGCAACACGCTCCGCACGGCGCTCGCGAGCGGCCTTGTTGCGGACGCGGCGAGCCTCGGCCTGGTCGGCGAGAACCTTGGTGCGGTTCGACTCGGCCTTGGCCTTGTGGATGTGGTCCATGAGAACGCGCTGCAGGAGGCGAGGAGCATGGTCAGGACGGCCTGCTCGGGGAGGAGGGAGGGAGAGAGGGGGCGCACCTTGTTCTGTAGACCCGAAAGCCCCACATCAACGCGAGCAACAGTCAGTACACCGTCCCGCACGATATCGGGACACACCGGGAGAGTCGAGACGGACCTTGAAGACGTTACCCTGTGCGCGAGAGGAAGGTCAGGACGAGAGCTCGAGCTCGCGAGGAGAGAGAACGGTCGGGACGCACCTTGGCCTTCATGTAGAGCTCGTGGTAGCTGTAGGCGCACGCAAGGGACGAGTCGTCCGTCAGTAACGGTCTCGTCGTCGTGGCGCCGGCCCAGTCCATGCTCGTCCCACCCGTCTGCCGCCCGCTCCACCTGCGCCGCTCGGCGCCCGACGCCCGGGTCCCGCACGGCTGCCGCTCCATCTCCATGTCCATCGCGCTCCTGCTGCGCACTCGGGGACGTGCGGCGCGCCGAGCTCGTGAGCCGGCGCACGGCGAGTCGAGGTCGAAGGGTCGAGGGTCGAGGGTCGAGTCGAGACGGCGACGGCGACTCACAGGTGGCGGTTGATCTTGCCGGCCTCGCGGTACTTGCGGAGGAGGCGGCGAAGGACGCGCTGGCGCCTCATCCAGAGGACCTTGGTCGGCATGCGGGCCTCGGCGGTACCCTTGCGCTTACCGGCGCCGGTGTGGCGGCCCTTGGCCTTGGCGAGGTCGTGCTCGCGGGTGCGGGCGCGCGAGTGGACGACCTGGGGCTTGACGATGATGTAGCCGTCCTTCTTGAGGCGGCGGATGTTCTGCCTCGAGTTGGCGTTGCCGATCTCAGAGATGTGGGCCGGGTCGAGGTAGATCTTGCGCTTGCCGACGCCGAAGACGGACGCGGCAAGGCGCTTCTGGGAACGGAGGTTGGACATGGCGGCCTGGCGGACAGGGAGCGAGAATGCGAGGGAGGGCGAGCGCGAGGGCGAGGGTTGGCGTGCGCAAAAGTCGACGGCGGAGAGGGGGCCAGGGGCGGCACGGGGACGTTGGGGGGCGGGTGGACGGGGCTAAAGGTCAGCTGTCGGGGTCCAGGGAGAGTCTGGGTAGGCAGCAGGTGCTCACCTAGTCGGGGGGCGAAGAGACGAAGGGAAGGGGGAGGCTCTCCTCCTCGCGACCGAGACCAAGCTGCTCGTCAAGCTCTCGCCTCTCGCTCGCCACTCTCGACACACGTTCGCTCGAGTCGACCCGACACAGCTGCCAGCTAGAGCACTCGCACCCACTCAGTGACTCGTCTCGCCCCCACGACTCGCCGTCGACGTCGTCCTCGTGACCCTGCCAGCTCGTCCAGTCGACACCCAGCTCTCGGCCACCCTCGACATCCCCGCACCCTCGACTGGTGCGCTCTTGTGCTCTCGAGCAGCGCACACCGTACTTGTGCCACTTCGCACCCTCGCACACGGCCTCGCACGTCGAGCGGCTGCGCTGTTTCCGGTCGGCGCTCCTCCTGCTACGCGAGGGCTGCTGCAGCAAGCCGCGCGTCTCGAACCGGCGTGCAGCTCCGCCATGCCCGCTTCTTGGCTGCTGTCGAGGACATGCCTGCTCGAGCGTGGACGCTCGCGGTATTGCGCCAGGTGCGCGAGCCCGGCTCCCTCGCCATCCTGCTGTCCCGCCCTCGCCAGCTCGCTGTTCATGCCGGTCGAGGCGGTCGAATCGTCGTCGCTCAGTCGCCGGCTACTGTGGGCGTGCGGGCCGGCACGAGTCGATCGCACGGGCCCGCAGCTACACTTGCTCTCGCGCTCGCGCTTGCTCTCTACCAGTTCTCGTCGGTACGAGGCGCTCTCGGTGCCGCAACCTTGCTCGCGGTCGGCGAGCCGGACTGAGGGCTGCCCCTGTACACCGTCGCACGACCGACGCAGGGCGAGGAGATCGACTGCGACCAACGCGAGCAGCCTTCTCTCGCCCGGACCTCGACGCTCGCTGTGCCTCGCCGACTCAGCTGCACGCCCCTGCTCGGCTTTCTCTCGTCAAGGTCCCTGGGTCGCATCGCCCATCGCGCATCGAAGACGACGCTGTCGGGCAGTGCCAGGCTAGAGAGACGCTCGCACCCCCATCACACTCCCTCGCCGGGTCGTTCCCCTTCGACCTCGTACCGCTGCCCTCGGCTTCATCTCGCGACCCCCCCCCATCGTACAGAGCGCATCGAGAACGCTCTCTCGCTGCATCTGCCGACCGAGAGCGACGAGTGCGTCAGGTCGAAATAGCTCGCGGAGGGATTCTCTCCTCGACCGACTCGCCGATCCCACTTGCATGAAGCCGCACTGCATTTCTCGAGGCCGCTCTCGTACAGCGTTGGACTCTCGCTTTGTGCGAAAGCAGCGACGAATCGGCACGGGCCTCGGAAAGGACGAGCGGAAAGAGGAAGGCGGCTCGCAACACGGACCGCTCGAGCGCTGGGAACAGCAAGTTGACCGCTTCCGACCCGCTCCAGCAAAGACCGGCTCAGCTTGGAGGACCCATGCGTTTGAAAAGAGGCGAGGGTCGCTTCATGCGAGAGGTGCGTCCGTTGCGACCGAGCGCGAGGGAGAGAGAGGGTGGGTCGGGGAGCGCTCGGGCCCGGCCGAAGCGCCGACGGCATCGCCTCTCGCGCGTCGCCGACGCTCTCTTTGTGCGGGCGAGCCGAGGGTTCTTCGCAAGACAGGAGAGCACTTTGCAATTGACGCGCGCGCTCGTCCGTCGCGATGCGAGGTCCGTCGCGACAGGAGAGCCGCCTCACGACCGCTCGCCCTCCTTTCGTCCGCAGACGCGAGGACAGGGCTTCTCTCGAAAGCGGCACTGCGAGAGCGCGGCACTGCGGACGAAGACCTCGTGCTGGGCACGCGCGGAAGCTCTCGCGAGGGAAGAACGAGCTGCTCGCAGCTCCGTTGCGAGCGCGGCCACCCTCGAAAAAGGTGGAGCCGGCTGGAGCGACGGGGGGCACCGTCGGAGATGTCGCCGACAAAGCGAGTGATCGCGTGGAGCTGCAAGTTCGATCAGGGTGAGCGCAGAGGAAAAAGGAAGGCGGGCGATCTGTCGCGCGGGGAAGAGGCGACCCCGGCTGCGCGCTGAGTCCCCGTTTTCTCAGTCGCCGACCGGCTCGAGAAAGGCCTCACCCTCTCCGCCCTCGCGGAGGACGGTCCCCAGCTCGACGTGTCCAGGGTGCTGGCCTCGCTCTGCGTGCGTGCGCCCATGCTGCGCCGTTCAAAGCCGCCGCCGCGAGCTCCTCGTTGCTCTTCTCTTCTCCATCTCTTCGACGCTCTCTCGCCCGCCTCCCTCGTCTTCCCCGGTCCTTTCCCTCCGCCCGTCGCCTCAAGATGATCGCCTCGACCTTCGCCCTCGCCGCCCTCGCCGGCTTCTCGGCCGTCCAGGGCATTCCCCTTCCCCAGCTCGCGACCGTCGAGGCGTCTCTCTCGACCCCGAACGCGACCCAGTACAACGCCTCGGTTGTCTCGTACGAGATGAACGGCAACGCCGGCGCCTGCGGCTGGTACAACAAGGACGCCGACGTCGTCGTCGGCCTCCCGAACGAGTTCTACCAGGACCTCTCGTCGGTCTCGGCGTACTGCGGCAAGTTCGTCGTCGTCGTCGACCCGCGCCAGAACAACACGGTCACGGCCCTCGTGGCCGACGCCTCGACCAGCAACGAGACGCTCTCGCTCTCGCAGGGCACCTGGAACGCCCTCAACGGCACCGACTCGGAGCTCAGTGCGTCGCCCTCACCCTCGCCTCTCCTCTTATCTCTTTCGAGTTGCAGTCACTGACCTGCGCCTCTCCCAACCTGCAGAGTTCGTCGACTGGCGCTTCGCCAACGAGACCGAGACCGCCGAGGCCAAGAAGGCGCTCGCGTCGGGCTCGTCATCGGCTCCTTCGTCGACCTCGTACGCCGCTCCCTCGTCCTCGTCGGCCGCTCAGCAGCAGCAGCAGGCTCCTTCGTCGTCGTCGGTTGCTCCCTCGTCGACCCAGAAGGCCGCCACCTCGGCTAAGCGTGCGTCTCGCGCTCCCCCCCACCTCCCCGATTGGCCTTCCCAAACTGACATCTCTTGTTTCCTCACAGCCACCACCACCACCGAGGCCTACAAGGCGCCGTCGACCACCTCGTACGCGCCCAAGACGACCACGACCACCTACCAGGCCCCCAAGGCGACCACGACCCAGGCGCAGGCCACCAAGCAGGTCCAGCAGGCGTCGTCGTCCAACGCGGGCACCTACTCGGGCCAGGCGACCTTCTACTCGCAGGGCGGCGCTGCGGGCTCGTGCGGCAACTACGCGTCGGACTCGGACTACGTCGTCGCCGTCAACGCCGCCCAGATGAACTCGGGCTGGTGCGGCCGCAAGGTCGTCGTCACCAACACGGCCAACGGCAAGACCATGTCGGCTACCGTCGCCGACACGTGCCCGGGCTGCTCGTACGGCTCGCTCGACCTGTCGACCGGTGGTGCGTCCCCCTTCCTCGTCCTCGACCTTCCCAAACCCGATCCTGACTCTTCTCCTCCCTCCAGCTTTCGGCGCCATCGGCTCGTACGACACCGGCGTGCTTCCTATCAAGTGGAGCTTCTCCTCGTGAGCGCTCTAGCGCTCTCCCTCTTTCCCCTCGCGTTTCCCGGGTCCTCAAGGTTCTCTTCGGTCGTCCCTCGTCGTTTCCTCTTCCCCTCTCCTCTTTCCGTCGTTCCTTCCCCTCCTCGTCTCTCGCACCTCGCAACCTCGGCCGTCGCAGCCTCCAGTGGCGCGCGCCGCAACAGACCCTGTAGCTTGATCCCCCTCTCTCCCTCCTTTTCGCCTTCCCCTCCCTCCCGGGCTGTATCCCCCTTCACGACCTCCTTGACGTACACCTTCCTCTCTCTCTCTTTGTTTCTAGACCCTAGACGGGCACTTGTCACTCCCTCCCTCGAGCTGGCCGCTAGTCGGCCGCTCAGATTGAAACCAGGCGTCCAGCCTTGACTTTCCTCTTCAGCGCTCCGAGGTTCTTTGTTCTTCGAGAGCGTCTTGCACTATCATCGAGAGGAGAGCTTCGTAAAGCGAGAGAACGCTCTCGTGGGCGCCATGCGTTCTTCTGAATCTCGATCTGCCTGCCCTCCGTCGTCCGACTCTGCCACCCGCTCTCCTGCCTCGCCGCGACCCTCGCAGCGCTCGGCTCTCGCCGTAGGCCCTCAACTCGATAGCGCGAGCGCTCTAGAGCCGGCTAGGGCTCAGCAGCATGCGCGAGGCGGGAGAACGTAGTTGGCGCCGACGCCCGTCCAGATCAAAATCGCCGCCCGAGCGGGCTTCTCAGGGCCTCTTGGACTTATTCGACGCGTGTCCGAGAGCCTCAGAGCGATCAGAGTGACCCTGGAGACGTGTTCGCAGCAAAAAAAGCGGCGCTTGCCTCTCTGCAGGCCAGGTCGAGTCGAAATATCCCGCTGCCTGCGCCCTCATGCTCAGCCAGGCCCATTGCTGCTATCAGTACAGAGCGAGGGCCACCAGGCACCTCGTACGCGCCCATTGCGCGAGCATGAACCGACCACGACTTGCCGCTTTCCACCCGAAAAGGTCGACCTTCCCGAGCTGCTCCAGCTCGACTCTCGGCCGCTCTGCTCTGCTCGCCTCGTCTCTCAAGCGCTTCTCAGCCATCTCGAGCGTCCAAAGACATTGCAGAAGAGCGTAACACGGGCTACCAGGCCCCTGGAGCTACTCCCTGCCGGTCCAGCCACGCCGCTCGACCCACTCTTGCGTCGCGCCGGCGCGATCGCCCTCCTGCCCATCTCTCACCGCTGCCGCCCGACCGCCCACCTGCTCGTCGAGCGTCACCTCGAGCCGGGAGAGGAGGTCGGCGAGGCGGTGCTCCCTGCAGAGAGAGGAAACGGGGTCGAAAAGGAGACGAGGTCAGTTCGCGCGCCTCGAGAGGTACGCCGAGAGAGAGAGGCAAAGAGGGAGATGGGACGCACTCGTCCCTCGCCTTGTGCTCGGCGAGCTCCGTCTCCTGCATGAGCGCCCGATCCGCGATCCTGCCCTCCTCCCTCGCCCTCGCACGGTCCTCCTCGAGCCGCCGGTGCGCGAGCCCGCGCTCGACGGCGTGCTGCCCGCGCGTGTAGGTGAGGTGTGACGCAAGGTCGGCGATGAGCTGGGGCGAGGCGAGATGGCGCGAGTGGGTGGCGATGCGGGAGAGGTCGAGGAGCTCTGTGGCGGTGGGAGGAGGGCGAGGCGAGAAGGTCAGTCGACGCGCCTCGACTGGCGCAGAGAAGGAGGTAGAAGACGCACGAGTGTACCAGAGCCAGTTGTGCTCGTAGACGAGGCCGACGAGGTCCATCTCGTGCGCCGACAAGTCGCGCTCCGCGTCCAGGTCAAACACCCTCCTCGCGACCTCAACGAGCCCCTCGACGCTCGCTCCCTCCTCCCTCCCAGCCCTCGCCCGCTCGACGGCCCATTCACGCGTCCCTCCCGGCGACGGCGGCACCCACACCGGGCAGCGGCAACCCCTCCCGCTCGGCGGCTCAGCGTCGCAGTCTGCGCGTGCGTGCTGCGCCGCGTGCGTCGGCGAGCGCAGATCGGCCCACAGGGCGGCGCACGTCTCGGGCGAGGGTCGGGTGCGCAGGAGAGGGAGGGCGCAGGGGAGGGCGAGAGAGGGTGCGGGAGGAGAGGGAGAGAGGGCGGGAGGGAGGCGCAGGGGGAGCGTGCGCAGGTAGGCGAGATCGGACGAGAGGAGGGCGTGGTCGTACAGCCTGTAGCAAAGAGAGAGTGAGACCGAGGTAGGGATGAGAGGAAGAGAGAGGCGCGACGCACGGAGGAAGAGGGCGCTTCTCGCGCTCGAGCATGACGACCCACCGCCGGATCGCTCCCTCCTCGGTCGGCCGACGGAAGTAACCCTGCTCCTCGAGCAGGACCGGGTCCTCGATCGAGACGAGCGGCACCTCGGGCCCGTCCTCCTCCTCGTCATAGTCCGGCAGCGAGCCGGCCGGCGAGCCAGCTGGCGAGGGGCCCGAGCGCTCGCCGCCAGGCGGCCATGCTGCGCCCGGCCCGACGTCGCCCGCGCCGACGAGCACGCCCTCGTGGTCCTCCTGCGGCGGCGACGGGCTGCGCGGCTCGATCTCGACGCGTTCGACTCGAGCTTGCGGCGGGAGCGCGGCGGTCGACTCGGCGGCCCGGTTGATGAGGCGCTGCTTGACGCCGAGGGGGCGAAAGACGGGACCTTGGGGCGGGTCGAGGCTGTCGAGGAAGTTGAGGGCTGCAGTGCGCACAGAGGATCAGGACGGACCGGCGAGGAGGAGGAAGAGAGAGGCGGGACGCACTGTCGCGCTCGCGGTCGGCCTTTGTGCGCTTCTTCTCCTTGCGCTTCTTCTTGCTCTTGACGACGCCTCCTCGTTCGACTGCCCTGCGCGCGGACGGGCGTGGCCCGGACGGCGTGCCGTCGCTGTCGTCGCCGTGCTCGTCGTCCTCCTCGGGGCGGAAGAGGGAGCTCGTGCCGGAACGAGGCGTTGTGATGCCGTCATCCGAGTCGTCGCTCGCGCCCGAGGTCGACGACGGCGATGACGAGCGGGCAGGCGCAGGGCGCTTGTTGCGCAGGACGGTCGGCAGGCGAGCGCCGCCGGGAGGGAGCATGGGCCCTTCCTCCTCGCCCTCGACGTGCCCTCGCCGTGCTGCGCCCATGCCGGCGACGTCGAGCTCGGCCTTGACGGCGCGCTCGTACGACGGCGCACGCTCCCTGCGCCGCCCGGGCCGCCGGCGCTCGTCGTTGACGCGCGAGCGGTACACGGCGCGGCGCTCGTCGTCGGCCATGACGTCGTCGGGCATGTGGTCGTCGAGCAGCTCCTGCTTGAAGGCTCTGCGCTCGTCGAGGTCGACGGCCGAGGGGGAGCGCGAGCGGGTGTGGCGCGAGGGCGAGGCGGCGAGCGAGTCGGGGACGAGGGACCTCGAGGCGGGCGGCCTCGGGTGGGCGGGCGGGCCGTCGTCATAGATGGGGGCACGAGGATGGAACGTGGGTGTTGGGAAGTAGGCTGAGGGTTCGGGCGACTGCGAGTCGGCGACGACGGACGACGAGTCGTCGGTGGGGAGGAACTGGTGGTGACGGCTGTGTCGCACGGGGGAGGTCAGCGCGGGGGCGGGCTTGGACAGTCGCTCGTAAGGAAGAGGCTTTGCGCACAAGTTGGCCCTGTACAGCTGCTCGCCTTGACGCTGACCGCGCGAGACCATGTTGGACGAGAGGCGTCGGCGGCGACTCGCGCTCGTCGCCGCGGTGCGCAGTGAGCAGGGCGGTCGGTGCTGGTCTGGTGGAAGAGCGGACTCGTGGGCTCGGCAGTGCAGCAGGTGCTCAGAGCACGGTGGGAGAGCCGACAGACGAGCCTCGGCCAATTCGACGATCGACTCTCCACCGCTCTCTCGCCCCCTCACGCCGCTCCAGAGTCAGCCGCCGACTCTGACGAGCAGGCCAAGCTTGAACCAGCACCCTCGACCACCGCCCTCGCCATGCCGCCCTCGGCGTCGTCCGTCACCGAGTCGGGCGAGTCGTCCACCGACGACCACCACCAAGAGCCGCTGTCCTTCCTCCAGCCCCTCGGCTACTCGGCCAGCCAGTGTGGCTACTGCTCTGAAGTCAAGGGCCAACGCTCGCGCAAAAAATCCAGCCGCTCGTACGGGTGCGCCCCTCCCCTCCCCCTCTCTCTCCCCGCCCTTCTTGGCCCCGCCCGCAACGTCCGGCTCACCTTTCCTGCCCCCTTGCGCAACAGCTGCTGGGCCCACACCCTCAGCGCCAACTCGTACAAGCACCTCCTCGACCGCGGCTGGCGCAGGAGCGGCGCCTACCTCTACAAACCCGACCTCGCGCGCACCTGCTGCCCGCAGTACACCATCCTCCTCGACCCGCACGCGTTCAAGCCCTCGCGCAGCCAGCGCCAGGTCCTCCAGCGCTTTGCCGCCTTTGTCCGCACGGGCGAGCGCGAGGGCCAGGTCGGGTGGGGACCTCCTCGGTCGGCGCCGGCGGCAGGAGCAGGAGCAGGAGCGGGCGCAGCGGCCGACAGCGACGCCGTCATGCACGACGAGCCGCCCGTCGTCGTCAAGAAGCAGGACAAGGGCAAGGGCAAGGCGGCGCAGCAGGGCGCGGCGGCCGACTGGGGCGACCTCGTGCACGCCGGTGACTGGGAGCGCAGCCCGGCCGACCAGCCGTTCAAGCACCGCTTCGAGGTGCGCCCGCTTTTTCTCCCTCTTTCCTTCGTGCTCGAGAACTGGCTCTGATATCGCCGCCGAGCAGTACATCGTCGAGCCGGCGAGCTTCACCGACGAGAAGTACGCCCTCTTCAAGCGGTACCAGGTGCGTCGGCCGGTTCTCCTCGCGCCTTTCGTCCCGCTCAAGCAGAACAAGCGTACTTATACTTCGACCCTCGTGACGCAGATGGAGGTGCACGGCGAGCCTGCGTCCAAGGTGTCGGCCAAGGGCTTTCGACGGTTTCTCTGCGATACGCCTCTCGACGTGCGTCTCCTCCTTCCTCACTCTTCCACCCCAATCGACCACCGTCTGACACTATCTACACTCACAGATCGAGCCGACAAGCTCGCCCAACCACTCGTACGGCTCGCACCACGCCCTGTACCGCCTCGACGGCCACCTCATCGCGTTCGCCGTCCTCGACCTCTTGCCGCGCGCCGTGTCGTCCGTCTACTTTGTGTGGGACCCGGACTATGCGGCCATGAGCCTGGGCAAGATATCGGCCCTTAGGGAAGCGCAGCTCGCGAGGGAAATGGACCGGGCGGGCGCGTGGGAGACGGGCGAGGGGAGGTACATGATGGGTGCGCCCTGCTCGCTCTTTAGCCCTCTTCTGCCCGCCGAGAACTGACCTCGAGTCCTCCCTGCAGGCTTCTACATCCACACGTGCGCCAAGATGCGGTACAAGGCCGACTACCAGCCCTCGTTCCTGCTCGACCCTGTGCGTCCCCTCTTCCCCGCCCTCTCTTGCCCAGTCTGTTCCTCCTGACACTCTCTCGTTCCACAGGACGCAAACGCCTACGTCCCGTTCGCGCAGTGCAAGCCCTACCTCGACTCGGGCGCGCGCGTCACGTCCTTTTCGGGCCCAGTCCCGCCGAGCGCGCTCGAGCCCGTCCCGGCAGCGACCGCCTCGACGTCGGCGGCTGCGCCTGTACTTTCACCTGCGCCCGACGCGACTGCCGGCGCTCGCGATGCGGCCCACTCGGGCTCGGCCTCGGGCTCGGGCTCGAGCGAGGAGGACGAGGACGAGGCGTCGGGCGACGACGACGACGTCGCGTTCCCCTCGCCGCCACCGCCAGGGTGCCTCGACCCGCTCGAGCTCCCAAAGGACCTTCTCCTGTCGACCCTCGTCCTCGAGCGGCGCTCTCTCGTCCCGCTTCTCGTGCGTCCCTCTCTCTCTTCTCTTCTGGTCCCTCTCCTTCCTCCCTCCCACTCCTCGCCGTCCCTCCTCGCGCCAGTCCTGACGTGCCTCTCGCCGCCACACACAGCTCTCGTCCGCCTGGCACGACCGCACGGCGCAGCGCGAGGTGCGAGAGCTCCTCGCGGGCACGGGCGAGGGTCTCGGTGGGCGCGTCTCGATCTTTATGGGCCGGTGACACGCGCTTTGCCGAGGGCTCGCTGCAACGACGAGACTCTCGCAAAGGCACACTCGGTCGTAGAGAGAGAAAGAGAGAGAGAGAAATAGAGATTAGATACAAGGAAAGTGCTGCGAGAAAGGGTCGCTACAGTCGCCGCTCGGTCCTCCTCCTCCTCTCGCCCGTCGCCACCTCGCCCGTCCGCCTCAACGCGGGCGCTCAGTCGCGGTGGCTGCCCTTCTTGTACCACGTCTTGTGGTCGAGGAGGAGGTACAGCCGGAAGCACAGGAGCGCAAAGTCGTCCTCCTCGAGCTCCTCGGGGTACGACGCGCCGAGCGAGTAGGCGGCGGCCATGCCCGACACGACGGCGAGCTCGCTGCGAGGGGAGAGTAAGGGAGCGGCGAGGCGACGAGGGAGAGGGCGGGACAGGGTGGAAGAGGAGGGAAGGAGAGGGGAAAGGGAAAGGAGGAGGGACGAGGGAGGGAAGGGTCAGTCCGTGTACGGGCTCGATGAGGGAGAGAGAGAAAGCTAGGACGCACTGGGCGTTGACTGCAGAGGGAGAGGGCAAACGGCGCGAGACGAGGTCAGACATTGCCGAGTCCGAGGGAGGGACGGCGAGGAGGAGAAGACGGACCGAGAGTCCACGCCGCCGCGTAACGGACGCGCTTCTTGCCCTGAAGGAGCCACATCCACGGGACGCAGCCGAGGTAGTGGGTCCAGCCGTGGCAGAGCTGCAAGGCGACGAGACGAGGGCGAGCGTGGGAGGGAGGGACGGGAGGGAAAAGGTCAGTCTGGCTCGCTGTCGGCTCGAGGAGATGGGAGGAGACGCCGAAGGCGGAAGGACGAAGACGCACCTGGTGCCACCAGTCGATGCGGACTGCACGACGAGGAAAGAAAGGTCAATTTCGACTCGAGAAGGTCGACGGGGACGACGGCGACGCACTGATCTTGTCCTCCCTGATCTCCTTGTGGCTCCACAGGTGCTCGTGCTTCTTGTTGAGGAAGATGGTCTGGAACACGTGGTCGTCGAACGGCTTGTTCTGCTCCTTGAGCTGGTATTGGAACGCGCTGCAGTCGAAGCACATTTCGAGCTTGCGCTCGTCGCCCGGGTTCTGCTTGATGAGGTACATACTGCGAGACGTCGGAAAGAGACTGTCAGTGAGGGCCTGAGAGAAGAGTGAGGGCGACAAGAGGCGCACGGGCTGAAGTCCTTCTTGCCGGCCTCGTACCGCTTCGACTCGTCGCGGTCGCCGAGCGTCTTGACGGCCGTCTCGGGCGGGAAGTCGACCTGGTACCACTTGCGCATGTACTCGACGTCCTGCAGGCGGTTCACGAGAGGAGCATCAGGGCCGGGGCTCGAGGGAGGAGTCGAGGACCGAGAGCAGGGACGCACGTTGTGCGTGTAGGTCACGTCGTCGGACCACTTGGGGACGCCGAGCACCTTCTTCTCGATCCAGCGCGCCTTGTTGCCGAGAAGCTTTTTGGCCGTGTCGGCGAGGACGCACAGGACGAGCTCGTCGTACTGCTCCTCGTGCTCGGGCAGGTCCTGGTCGGCGCCGTTCGGGTTGTGGTGGTCGGGCTGGGGGCGACGGCCTCGGGTCGTCACCTTGACGAGCTTGGACGTGCGCTCCGTGACGGCCGTCACCTCGGTGTTGAGCCGGACCTTGACGCCGCGCTCCTCGAGGGCGTGCTGCCAGTCGGTGTAGAACTTGGTCTCCTCGGGGAAGACGACCATAGGCGGCATGTTGCTCGACAGGCTCTTGTCGTCGACCGGGTACCCTGCAAGGAGGGGGAGAGCCTGAGTCAGTCACTTGGCCGGCAAAGAGAGGGCCGTGCACGCTCTCGGCGTGGAGCAGAGATGGCGGTGACGCACACATGCCGTAGGTCGGGGAGGTGTACAGGCGCTCGAGCATGATGGTCGGGAGGTCGGGCGTGGCGTTACCGGTACCGAGGAAGAGGGCGAGACTGTGTGCGCGAGAGAGGAGTTAACGAGCTTGCTCCTCGCAAGGCGACGAGGGCTAGGGGACGGGCGACTCACCTCGGGTAGATCATGTAGTTGATGAACCTGCGGGTGCGAGACGTGTCAGTATCTGCGCACCCGGGTCGCAACGCCTCGAGCAAAGTAGAGAGCGCACTCGTCCGAGAAGAAGAACATCTTGAGCGAGATCTTGATCGGGATCAGGGCGACTGCGGGCACGTACGGCTCGTCAGGACCTCGTGTGACACGCGAACGACGACGAGAGGCACGCACAGATGAGCTCGAACCAGCGCATGATCTTGACGGCGCGCTTGAAGCGCTTGATCTCCTTGGCGTGCTTGTCGACGAGCTTGGTCGGGAAGCAGTTGGTCCAGAAGTGCTCGCCCTTGCCGAACGAGACAGAAAGGTCGACTCTGCGGGTCGGGAAGGAGGGAGGGTCAGCCGTTTGCTCGCTCGTGGCTCGTGGGAAGAAGGGAGGAGAGGGGAGGGGGACGCACGGCTTGGCCTCGACGCCGCGCTGCTTGAACATGTGGAACGTGTGGTGGTAGATGTGCGACCCACTGCGAGCGCATCGAGTCGAGCGTCAGGGACCGGATACCTCCGTGGAACGGTCGGCGGGAGGAAAGAGGCGGACTCACCCTTGGACGCCCTGGTTAAGAAACGGCGCGCCGTGCTTCTTCTCGTCGATCGGGATCGAGAACGCCTGACCACCGCAGTAGTCCTGCGCCTCGATGACAGTCACGTCAAACTTGTCCGGGTGGTGCGAGAGCTGCTCTGCGCAAGCCATGCCGGCGGCGCCGGCTCCGACGACGAGGACGCGCTTCTTGGGCTGCTGCTGCTTGGGCATCTTGCGGTGCGAGTGTAGTGCTGTGTCGAGTGGCGCTGGTGGCGCTCGAGTGTGCTGACGAGGCGGGTGAACCTCGAGTTGATGAGGATCGGGGAGAGGTGGGGAAGCGGTTGGACGGGCGGCGAGGTGCGCAGAGGCGGTGGCTCGAGGCGCTGTGCAGACGGATGCGCCGTGGATGAAGCCGCGCAGCTGGTGCGACGGCGGTGAGAGCGGTGAAGAGGCGAGAGGAGGAGCGAGGCGATCGACGCAAGGTCAACTTGATGACACTGACTGGCCGAGGCGGGCGGCGAGCATCGACCCTTGTCACAATTGCGCGCTCCCTGGTGCTCGCTTTCGACGATAGCCACGAGCACCGTATCACTCACCGTCGCCCGCATCGAGCTGGATCATCGCCGAGGTTCGAGGTTGGCCGGAACACGCACAGGCCGCCTCCCGACAACCTCGAACCGGCGAGCTGGAAGCCTCTCAGTTGGCGTGCGGCGAGGCGTAGAAGTGCAGGAACGAGAATACAGTCCTTGCGGCGTCGCCCCGCGAGAGACAGCCCGCCTTGGACCCGTCTACGCCGGGCCCTCGATGCCGACCAAGACCGCCTCAGCCGCCTTCGCCAGCTCGCCATCGCCCTCCTCGCCCGTCCTGACTGCCCGCTGAACGCCCTCAAGCTGGGCGAGAACCGCCTCCACCAGCTGGGCGCCGCGCCGCATCTGCTCGCCCATGTCGCGCAGGACGGGGACGACGGCCCGTGCGAGCTCGTCGCCGTCACGAGCGTGCTCGACGTCGCCGAGTGTGCCCGGCATCGTGCTCGTTGCTCGAAGACACGCACGAAGCTCGGCGAGAGCCGACAAGAGCGCGCCGGCGCCGTCGCGGTCCGTGCGCCCGTCGGCGAGCCCGTGTACGACGACGTCGGCCGAAAGCGGCAGGCCGAGGAGCGAGTCGGGCGACTTGGGGGGCACCGAGCCGACCGTGATGGCCGGTGGACGATGCTCGCGCCGGCCGTCGACGACCGAGAGCGACGGCGACGACGACGCCCTCGACGGCTCGCGGCTGCGCTCGCCCGGCGTCGCCGGCAGAGGCGTCTGCGGTGCCGGCGACGGCGGGCACGCCGTGGCTGCGGCGATGACTGACGCACGCTCTGACTGCGCCGCCGAGAGCGACAGGGCCGAGTCGGACGTGCGGGTACGGGTTTGGGTGCGGGTGCGGCCGTGCGCGAGGGACGGGTCGTCGAGGGCATTGGGCGTCGGGGTGACAGGAGGAGTGGCGTAGACGGTCGAGGGGGTGAGGGGCGAGATGGGCGAGATGGGAGCGAGCGTCTGGAACGAGTAGGGGTGCTCGAGGTGCGCGTCGCCGGGCTGCGGGTCGTCGTCGAGCGCGAGCGGCGCCGAGTCGTGGCGCGTTCGGCTCGTCGTGCTCGAGCCCGTAGAGGACGGCTTGACGGACGACGAGGGACGCGGCGGCGAGGGCGCAGAGAGAAGCTCCTCGATGGGCGGGATCGACGCCGGGACCGGCTTGCGGGCGATGCGCTGCGGCGTCGACGAGCGAGGCGGCGAGCTGTGCAAGGAGGCGAGAGTCAGTCCCTGGTGGCCTCGAGAGAAGAGTAGAGAGGTGAGGGGACGCACAAGTGCCCGACGGACAAGCTCGACCTCTGCGACGGGCCCCTGCGCAGCCCGGCCGCCGCTCGCTCCGCCAGGTCGCCCGCCCTCGTCTCGACCGGCAGCCTCGCACGCTCCTGCTCGTCTCGCCGCTCCTCGTCCGTCGAGACGAACTCGGCGATGCCCATGACGCTCGCAGCGTCTGCGCTCGCCCGACCACGGTGCGCTTCTGCCGAGGCCGGCGCGGCGGCCATCGCCTCGTGCGGCTCGCGGGTGCCGAACATGCCGATGACGAGCTCGTCGTCGACGCGGATCGTCCCGCTGCCCGTGCCGTCGCTCGAGCTCGAGCCCGAGCGGTGCGCCCGAGCGTCGCCGTCGCCCGGCGGCGCGCCCATCTTGGCGAGCGGCGTGACGCTCGCGCGGCGCCCGCCCGAGCCGAGCTTGACCATGGCCGCCTTGAGGATGGCCGTGCCGCCGCCGCTCGTGTCGAGGCTGCCCGCGTCGGACGAGGCGGCCGTGTCCGCCGACCTCTTCGAGAACGACGGGCGCTGCTTGTGGAGGGTCGAGCGAGGCTTGGCGCCGAGCGACAGGGACGATGGTTGATGCGGAAGGCTGCCGAACTCGGCGTACGGCGCTGGAGGAGGCCCGCTCGAGCGCAGGAAGTCGGCGAGGTCCCGGGTCGACGCGCTCGACGACGCCGCCGCCTCCTTGGCGGCGAGCTTTCTCGCCGGCTGCGGCCGAACAGGTTGGTGATCGGGACGCGCGAGGTTGGCCGACACGCCGTTCTCGGTCACGTACGGCAGGCTCGACTGCGACGCACTGGCCGGCAGGCTCGACGGGTCGTGGAAGTCGTCGCGGGAGCGGTTGACGCCGCTACCGAGGCGGCCGCGCAGGGACGTGAGGAGGTTACTGGCGGAGCGACTGGTGCGCAGGGTCGAGAGGCCGACGAGCGAGTCGTTGACGGGGACGGCGGGCGCTGGACCGGTCGACCCGAAGCGAGCGCGGAACTTGGACAGGGTCGCGCTGCGCTTCGGCTGCGCGAGCGGCTCGGGCTCGATGGGTGTCGGCTCGGGGGCCTGCTGCATCCAGCCGGGCGGGTCCGAGTTGAGGATGTCTGCGGGAGGGAGGCGAGGAAGGGTGAGCTGGCGCCTCGCTGCCACCGCTCCCGCCGAACGTGCGAGACGGGACGCACCGAGCAGCGATTCATTCTTCTCCTTGCGACGTCTGGGAGCGCCGAAGCCAAAGTCGTTGAGCTCGTCCTCGAGGTCGTCGGTGTCGTCGGCATCGTCCTCGTCCTGCGCCGTCTTGGTGCCGCCGCGGCTCTGCAGCTTGCCCCGCACCTCGCCGCTCCCGACCGTGTGCCCCTCACGACGGTGCTCGGGCCGCCACTCGCCGGCAAAGTCGTCGAGCCAGGGCGTGGCGGGCGTCGACGGGTTGGACGAGTCGGCCGAGGCGAACTTGGGCGTCGGGACGAACGAGGACGAGGGCGGTGCCGACATGGGGAGCGGCGAGGTGCGGCCAGCTTTGTCGGCTGCGGCGTGTTCGAGCTGGAAGGTCTGCGACGAGGGGGCGAGGGGGGTGAGCTCGTCGCGCTCGGCTGGTGGTCGAGGGGGAGAGGAGACGGGACGCACGAGGAGCTCTGCTGAAGTGGGTCGCGGCATGGCGGACAGGCTGTCGAGTGCCCGGGTCGAGCAAGCGCGGGAGCAGAGCGGCAAGCTGAGGTCGAGAGAGAAGAAAGGAAGCGCGAGCGCGAGGTGGGCGCGACGACGAGGGTCGAGCGGACGAGGTGCGAGCAGAAGCGGTTCACCTTTCCTCGCGCGAGAGCAGCACCTCTGCACTCGCTCTAGCTGCGACTGCACGGCCGCCGAACGCATCGTGCACTCGAGCAAGTCGAGCCGGAACTCGCTCGAGGAGCGCGCGAGGACGCACCGCGCCAGCAACTGGTGCGGCCCGCGCCTTGGGCGAACTCGGTCCGATAGACCTACCGCCTGCGTCGCTGGCCATTAGAAGCGCAAAGGAGGGGAGAGAGACGAGCCGGCGGGCGATGTCGACATCTCTCCGGCGGCTCGCTCGGGTTGACTTCACCCGCCTCTGCACCACTCGCCTCGACTCTGAGCAGCTACATGGCTGCACCTGTCGGTGTGCTCTATCCACAGCACCCTCTCCCAGCCGAACCGAGACCTTACCCTCCCTTGCCCTCCCTCGCCCAGTCCGCATCTCGTCGCCGGGCCAAGTGCCGCCGACGACGGCCAACAACCGCTACGCGCGCCTGATTCCCTCGCAGAGCATCGCCACCGTCGACTCGTTCACCCTCGAGAGCGGCGTCACCCTCGAAAATGTCCCTGTCGGCTTCCGCACCTGGGGCAAGCTGAACGACAGGTCCGTCGACCCTGTCCTCGCCTCGTCCGCGCACTCTGCCGGCCAAATTGACTCGTGCAACCTACAGCAAGGACAACGTCATGGTCATCTGCCACGCCCTGACCGGCAGCAGCGACGTCGAGGACTGGTTCGGCCCCCACTCTCCCTCTCGTCCCCTCCGCCCGCCGACGCTCGCTGACTCTGTCCCTCTCTCGCGACGCAGGTGGGGCCCGCTGCTCGGCCAGTCGCACGCGTTCGACCCGACTCGGTACTTCATCTTCTGCGCCAACGTCATGGGTTCGCCGTACGGCACTGCGTCGCCCGTCACCGTCAACCCGGCTCGCGACGACGGCGGGTGGTGGGGGCCCGAGTTCCCTCGCACGACCGTGCGCGACGATGTGCGCCTGCACAAGCTCCTCCTCGACCACCTCGGCGTGTCGACCGTCGCCGCCGTCATCGGCGGGTCCATGGGCGGCATGGCCGTCCTCGAGTGGCCCCTCACGTCGCCGCCGGGCTACATCCGCAACATCTGCCCGATCGCCACCTCGGCGCGACACAGCGCGTGGGGCATCTCGTGGGGCGAGGCGCAGCGCCAGTCGATCTACTCGGACCCGGACTACCAGTCGGGCTGGTACGCGCCCGACGGCGAGGGCCCAAAGCGCGGCCTGTCGGCGGCGCGCATGGCCGCGCTCTTGACGTACCGCTCGCGCGACTCGTTCGAGAGCCGGTTCGGGCGCAAGGAGGTCGACTCGGACAGCGAGTCGGCACGAGGAGGAGGAGGGGCGGCCAAGAAGAAGATGGGTGCGGCGCTCGGGCGCGGCAAGGTGACGGACTCGCTCGGCCTGCCCCGAACGGCCGCCGAGCGAGCCGAGGCGGTCCACAACGACGGGCACCAGCCGTTCGCCGGCGCGTCTCGACCGGCGTCGCCGCCCCTGTCGTCGAGCAACAAGGACCTCCCCCTGACGCCCAACGGCGACCCTCTCCCTCCTCCCTCGGCACCGCCCATCTTCTCGGCCCAGTCATACCTGCGCTACCAGGGCGACAAGTTCGTCTCGCGGTTCGACGCCAACTGCTACATCCACCTCACGCGCAAGATGGACGCGCACGACGTCGGCCGCGACCGCCCTTCCTCGCCGACCCCTCTTTCGGCCGTCCCTCGAGGCGCGCTCGTCATCGCCATCTCGACCGACGGCCTGTTCACCCTCACCGAGCAGCGCGAGCTCGCGGCGGCGCTCCCCGACGCCGACCTCGTCGTCGTCGACTCGCCCGACGGCCACGACGGGTTCCTGCTCGAGTTTGAGCAGATCAACGAGCACGTCCTCCAGTGGCTCCACGCGCGCCTGCCGGACATCTACGAGGGCGAGCCGCTCGTGCAGCCGGGCGAGGGCGAGGGCGACAAGGGGTTCGAGGTCAAGAAGGCGAGCCTGTTCGGCGAGGCCGAGGGCGACGACAAGGACATCACGAGGTGGTAGAGAGGGAGACGCAGAGCGCACTCGTTCTCCTGCACGCATTCAACATCGCACCAGCATCTTTCCTCTCGTTCTCCGTTTCCCTCTTGAGAGAGAACGCGAGTGGGTCCGAGAGCCAGAAAGCGCGGTCGCAAAGCGTCCACGATGCAAGTGATACAGTCTGGTGTACTCCTCGAGTCGTACATGGCACTCGTCTCGAGCGCCTCAGACGAGGTGCTGCTCGACGAGCTTGTCCCTCGCCCCTCGCAGCGCCGCCCGCTTCTCCTCGAGCGCCCCGCCGTCGCTCTCCTCCTCTGCGCCGCCCGACGCACCTCGCGCATCGCCGCCGTCGTCAGGACCATCGTCGTCGTCGTCATCGTCGTCGTCCTCGCGCTTCTCGTGCTCGGGCCCGAGGTTGCCGATCCGCAGACGCAGGAACCCGCCGAGGTCGCCCTCGCCCGTCTTGACCGTGAGCTCGCGCTGTCGATGGGAGGCGACGAGGTCAGAGTGTCGTTCTCTTGATATTTGGAGAGGAGAGAGAGGGAAAGAGGACGTACAGTGCGGTGCAGCGCCTCGATAAAGTCGACCCGGTCGCGCACGTTGTCGAGCTGCGGGTGCGAGGACGGGCGAGCCGGGTTAGTCAGGTCTGCTGCAGGCGAGCGAGAGGCAGAGAGAGGAAGAGGACGGCGAGGCGCACCTTCTCCTGAAAGTCTTTCTCGGCGGCGACCGCCTTGAAGGCGCTCAGCATGAGGCGGCTGTCCGGCCGCACGTTGTGGTACCGGTCGACGTTGATGACGTGCCACGAGTCCTGCAGAGCGTCGAGACGGTCAGTCGAGCGAAGAGGGAGAAGGGAAAGGGCAGAGGAGGGAAGGAGGGGACGCACGAGGTCGACGATGTAGTCGGGCCGGGTCATGATCTCGCGCTGTATCCTCGGCAATCGTCGTCAGTACCGCTCAGACGACTCAAGAAGGAGAGAGACGAGAGACGCACCGCCTGGCGGTACGTGACCTTGGGGTCGAGCTCGTCCGGGAGCACGTTGAGCAAGTCGAGCTCGATCGCGCTGCGCTTCTCCTCGTCGCTGTTGGGCTCCTCGACGTCCTGCACGCCCTGGACGAGGAACTTGCTCGACTCCTCGGCGAGGCGGGCAAACTCTTGGAAGAGAAGCTGCGCGAGCGGGAGAGGGAGTCAGGGATCCGGGTGAAGGAGGGTCCGTGCGGGAGAGAGAGGGACGCACGAAAGAGCAGCTGCTCATCTTCTGCTCGTCCATGACGTCGTCTGTGAGAGGGCAGATAAGTCAGTGACTGGATCAGTGAGGAGAGAGGAGGGAAAGTTGTGGACGCACCGTCGTGATCGGGAATCAAGCCGAGCTTCGAGTGGAGCCACTCCTTCTCCTCATCGACGAGCGCCTGCGCCGCCTCCTCCATGTCGTCGCGCTTGACGACCTTGGCGAGGTAGTTGAGCCGGCCGCCGATGAGGTCCCACACGCGCAGCGTCTGCTGCTTGGTGACGGGCGGCTGGTCCGGGTACAGGCGGGCGTGGGTGCCCTCGAGGAACGTGTGCGTCTCGTGCGGCGTGAGGTCGCGGATCGACAGGACGTGCATGCGCGTCGCGTTGCGCTTGAGGTGCGCGTACGTGTGAAAGTTGTCCGACAGGAAGATCATGGTGACGACGCCGGCTTGCGACCACGCCTCGGCGCGCTGCTGGAGCATGTGCAGGAGCGCGTGGCCGTCCTCGTCGTCGTGGATAAAGTGGCTGTTCTGGAGGATGAGGCACAGCGGACGGCCGCGCTTGCGGCGGAAGCGGATGGCGACCTGGGTGCGAGAGCGAGGTCAGGCTCGTCGACCGTGCAGAGCTCGAGGGAGAGAGACGATTGGGGCGCACCTTTTCGAGTTTTGCGAGAGCGCGCTCGATGTCGAGGATAGGGCCAGCCTCCCTCGGGTCGCGACGCTGGAACAGCCCGGCGAACGAGTCCTGCAGGACGGGGTCAAAGCGCTCGTCAGGTTCCCGTCTCGAGGACAGTGGGGCAGAGCGGACGTGCGGCGCACCTCGTTGTACTCGAAGTCGATGGCCTTGCCGAGGCGCAGGCGGACCACCTCGGGGTCCTCGTGGGCCTCGAGCATGGCGCAGCCGTCGGCTTCGTTGGCGATCATGGCGTCGAGGAGCATGCTCGTCTTGCCGACGCCCTTGGGGCCCATGAGGAGGAGGTCTGCGTGTGCGCAAGAGAGTGAGGATCAAGCGAGAGGAAGAGGGAGAGGGAGAGAGAGGTGGACGCACACTCGCCCGAGATCTCGCCGTTGATGACCTTGTCGAGGTAGTCCTGCTCCTTGCGACGGACGCGACCGCGCTTGACGGACCCGTCCGACTCTCGTGCTGCGGCTTGGGCGAGCTCGAGGACCGGGTCGTAGCCCTTGCTGAACGCGCGCTCCATCTTGCGCAAAACCTCCCACTTGTACCTGCGAGGCGGGAGAGGGCGTCAGTGAGCGGGTCGACGGAGCTGTCGCGGGGCCACAGGGCTCCTTGGACCTGATGAGGCGAGAAAGAGGGACAGGGACGGACCAGTAGTGGTAGAAGAGGCCGGCTGCGGCGACGAGAACGATGCCTGGACGAGGTAGGTGCGAGGTGAGCGAATTGGTCCGGCACGAGCTACCGAGTGCGGCTGCACCTGCGCCCCGAGGAACGAGAGAGGAGACGTACCTCCGCCTGTTGCGATTGCGCTCTGCCACGCTGCGCTGCCGCCGTCTCCTCCTCCTCCTCCTCCTGGGGGTTTGCCGCCGCCGGTGCCGCCGTGCTGCTGCTGCCGCTCCTGCTGCTCGTCGCGGATCTCGCCCGAGAGGTCGAGCTGGTTGTTCTGGTAGCCGATCTGGGGCGCGACGGCGTTGTTGGCGATGAGCCGTCGTTGGAGTTGGTGGGGAGGAGGAGGGCGGCGGGCGAGCGGCCGCACGAGGGAGCAAGGTGCGCGGCGCAGCATGGCTCTAGCGAGGCAGGTGGCCGTGTCGCTGGTAGCACCGAGGACCTTGGGAGCACGAGGGCCGCAACCAGGTTGATCGGCCGCCTCGTCTCCACTGCTCGTCTGCTCGCTGTCGTCTCTCCTCCTCTACCGAGCCCCCCGTCCCCACCAGGGGCAGCGCGAGTCATGCCCTCGGACCTCAAGACGGCCTACTCGCACCTGCTGCCGCACCAAGTCGACCGCGACCCGCTCTCGCCCTCGTCGACCACCTCGCCCTCCGCGTCCCGCACCGCGTCGCCAGCTCCCCTCCCCGCCGACGACCACTTTGCCTACTCGACTCAGCTCAGGCGACACGAGCCAGACTCGATCGTCGACTTTACCACCACCGCCGCCCAGGGCGCCCTCGGCGACCTCAAGCACCACGTCCAGGCCCGCTTCCACCAGCATGACCCCGTCCCGCCCACCGCCAGCACCTCGTCCCACGACCGCGACCGCGACCGCGACTACCTCGGCGGCGCAGCCTACTACCCGCCCGCGACCCACGGCAGCACCGGGCCCGGCGGCCACTCGCACCACCCGTTCGCCCACACGACGTCGCCCCTGACCCCGTCGGCCCACTTTGCAACCCAGAGCATCGCCCAGACCCTGTCGGCCCTCGCCACCTCGTCCTCGGCCGGCCTCGACGCCAACAAGGTGCCCGCCATCCGCGAGCTGTCGGGCCCCAACGAGTTCGAGGTCGAGGCAAAGGAGCCCACGTGGAAGAAGTTCCTCGGCAAGTTCTACGAGGACCCCTTGATCCTCCTCTTGCTCGCGAGCGCCGCCGTGAGCGTCGTCGTCGGCAACTACGACGACGCGGCGAGCATCCTGGCCGCCATCGTCATCGTCGTCACGGGTCCGTCCTCTCTCTCCCCCTCTCTCTCGCGCCCTCTATCACGGTCCCTGACTCGCCCTGTACGTCGCAGTCGGTTTCGTCCAAGAGCAGCGCTCGGAAAAGTCGCTCGAGGCGCTCAACAAGCTCGTTCCGCACTACTGCCACCTCATCCGGTGCGTCCTCGCCCTCCTTTCTCTCCCTCTCTTGTCCAACGTCAACTGACACCTCCACATGACACGCAGCAACGGCCGCAAGACGACGCAGCTCGCCAACTTTCTCGTCCCGGGCGACCTCGTCACGTTCCACACGGGCGATCGCATCCCGGCCGACATCCGCCTCACGCAGGCCCACGGCCTCGAGATCGACGAGTCGGCCCTGACGGGCGAGACCAAGCCGGCGCGCAAGCAGACGGACGCCATCACCGAGCACGGCGTCGGCGTCGGCGGCTTGCCCATCGCCGAGCGCAGCAACGTCGCCTTCATGGGCACGCTCGTCCGCAGCGGCAGGGGCGAGGGCGTCGTTGTCGGGACCGGTGTCCAGAGCGAGTTTGGCGTCGTGTTCAGCATGATGCAGGAGGTGCGTCGAAGCGCTCTCTCTCCCCCTCGTCGTCGTCATCTGTGGCCGCTCGGACCTCGCCCCTGACTCTCTCTCTCTCGCCCTGCAGGTCGGCGACAAGAAGACGCCGCTCCAGATCGCCATGGACGAGCTCGCCAAACGGTTGTCGGCCATCTCGTTCGGCGTTATCGGCGTCATCTGCCTCATCGGCGTCCTGCAGAAGCGCAGCTGGCTCGAGATGTTCACCATCGGCGGTTCGTCCCTCTCTCTCACTCCCTTCCCCCTCGACGCGCCCTCGCACGCATGAACTGACTCGAGCCGGCCCGTCGCAGTGTCGCTCGCCGTCGCCGCCATCCCCGAGGGCCTGCCCATCGTCGTCACCGTCACGCTCGCCCTCGGCGTCCTCCGCATGTCGAAGCGCAGCGCCATCGTCAAGAAGCTCCCGAGCGTCGAGACGCTCGGCAGCGTGAGCGTCATCTGCTCGGACAAGACGGGTGCGTCGAGACGACCGCTCGGACCCCTCGCCTCGCCGGCCCTCTCTCGAGCACCGTCCCTGACAGCGCTCTCGACCCGCAGGCACGCTCACGACCAACGTCATGACGGTCACCAAGGCCTACTCGTTCGACCAGGGCGTCTTTGACCTCGACCACATCCCGCCGATGCTCTCGCCGGACGACTCGCGGTCCAAGGTCTTCCTCGTCGGCAACTTGTGCAACCACGCGCATTCGGACAAGGGCAAGTACCACGGCCAGGCGACCGAGGTCGCCCTGATGAACGCGCTCGCGACCGTCGGCCTGAGCGACCAGCGCCCGTTCTTCCAGCGCAAGGCCGAGGTCGCCTTCTCGTCCGACACCAAGTCGCAGTCGGTCTCGGGCGCCTTCTCGCACGCGCCCGCCGGCACGCCCGACATGACGTACCTCAGCGGCGCGCTCGAGCCTGTCCTCGCGCGCTGCAGGACCTACCTGCGCATGGACGGCACGGCGGCGCCGCTCGACCCGGGCGTCGCCAAGCTCGTCGCGTCCAAGGCGCACGACCTGTCGGCGCTCGGGCTCCGCGTCGTCTCGATGGCGTACGGCGTCGACCCGGACGCGCTCACGTTCGCCGGGTTCCAGGGCATGATGGACCCGCCACGGCCGGGCGTCGCCGACGCCATCTCGAAGCTGTCGTCGGGCGGGATCCACGTCGTCATGATCACGGGCGACAGCGAGCCGACGGCGGTCGCGATCGCGCGACAGCTCGGGATCCGGACGACGGGCGGGTCGGGAGGAGGAGCGAGCGGCAGTCGAGCGGGCGTCCTGACGGGCAAGGAGATCGACCTGTTGAGCCAGCGGCAGCTCGCCGACCGGATCGGCGGCGTCACCGTGTTTGCGAGGACGACGCCGAGGCACAAGATGGCCATTATCGAGGCGTACCAGAGCCGAGGCGCCGTCGTGGCGATGACGGGCGACGGAGGTACGTCCCCTTCTTCTCCTCTCCTTCCCCTCCTTGCCCGCCTCCTCGACCCTCACTGACCCTCTCTCTCCCTCTCGCGCAGTCAACGATGCGCCGGCGTTGCGCATGGCCGACATCGGCGTCTCGATGGGTCGAGGAGGGACCGACGTCGCCAAGGAGGCGGCCGATGTCATCCTCGTCGACGACAACTTTGCGACGCTCCTCCCGGCGGTCGAGGAGGGCAAGGGTACGTCTCATGCTCTCTCTCTCTCTCTCTCTCTCTCGCTCGCCGCGAGATGCACCTGCACCGCCGAGCCTGACGAGCGGCCCTCTTTCCCCTCCCTTCGCAGGCATCTTCGTCAATATCCAGAACTTCCTGTGCTTCCAGCTGTCGACCGCCGTCGCCGCCTTGTCCCTCATCACCCTGTCGACGGCGCTCGGGCTCCCGAACCCGCTCAACCCGATGCAGATCCTCTTCATCAACGTGATCATGGACGGCCCGCCCTCGCAGTCGCTCGGCGTCGACCCGGTCGACCGCGAGGCGATGAAGCGTCCGCCACGCCCCAAGAACGCGCCCATCCTCACGAAGAGGCTCCTGTACCGCGTCGGGTTCTCGGCGAGCCTCATCATCTGCGGCGTCTTGTTCGTGCTCGCGCGCGAGCTTGGCGACGGTACCGACCTGCACCGGGATCAGACCATGGTGCGCCCGCGTTCTGTCTCTCTCTCTTTCTCGATCCCTCTCGTGCAACTCCCTGACGGTCTCTCGTCCTTGCAGACCTTCACGTCGTTCGTCTTTCTCGACCTCGCGTCGGCGCTGCAGAACCGCGGCCTCAACGTCCCGCTCTTGTTCAGCAACTCGTCGACCAAGACCAACAGCATGCTGCTCCTCGCCGTTGGCACGTCGTTTGTCGTCCAGCTGTCGCTCGTCTACGTCCCGTTCCTCCAGTCGGTGTTCCAGACCCAGGCCCTCTCGGCGCGCGACTTGGGCGTCCTCCTCCTCCTCGGCGGGTGCAGCATGGCCGTGCACGAGTGGCGCAGGAGGTACGAGCGCAGGACGCTCGTCGAGGAGGCGTGGACCAACGCGCAGGTGGTTTAGCGCTCCCCTCATCTTGTGGCTCTCGTACTCGCATCTTTTGGCATCGCATGGGCAAGCAACCAGTCTTCTCTCGTTCTCTCTCGTCCCTTGCAGCGAGTCGGTGAGAGACAGGCAGAGCGATGCGAGTTGCGAGTATGGCACAGAGAGAAAGAAAGACAACGACAAGCGGACTCTCCCCCCTCCTTCCTCCTCCCTGCTTCTGCTCGAGCGCCGTCCCCTCATGATCGACATCTCGAGCGCGGAACTCCGCTGTTCTGCGACGCTGCTGTGTGCTCACAGCGTCGGCACGATCTCGAGCTCGTACGCGTCGATGTCGGCCCACTTGCGGCGCTTCGCCTCCTTCTCGCGATGAGCGGCCTGCGACGATGCAAGGGCAGAAGACCGAGAGAGTCAGTTGAAGTCGATGTGTCACTCGAGACGAGGGACGGCGAGGGCGAGGAGAGAAGAGAAGGAGAGGAAGACGGAAGAGCATGGAAGGGAGAGCGTGCCGCACCGAGTCGTCGCTGCCGCCACTCGCGTCGACGCGACGCCTCGTCTTGCCCGCCGGCGCCTTGGCGACCGTCTTGCGCGAACGCGTCGCCGGCTTGCGCTGCTTGGCCTTGCGCTTCGAGGTCGCGTCGAGGTCGCTGTTGACGTGAGTCGAAAGTGAGAAGGAAGTACGTCAGGACCTGGCTCGGTCGACGAGCGTGAAGCTCGTCCGAGTCGTCTGGATAGCCGCCTCGAGACGAGAAGGAACGAGAGAGAAAGAGAAAGAGGAAGACGCACTCGTAGTCGGTCGCCACGTCCTCGTCCTCGTCCTCGTCCTCGTCCCCCTCGTCCTGCGACGACAGCCCTCCCCGGCGCCCGAACCGCTTGGCCCTCCTCGGCAGCATGGCGACGAGGTCGAGCGTCGACACGCCCGTCTCGTCCGCGGCGGCCGGCGCAGGCTCGCTCGCGCGCTGCGTGCGGCCCGAGCGGCGCTTGGGCCCGCTCACGCCGCGACCGGCGCCGCCGCCGGTTGAGCTCGGCGGCGAGCGCGCTCGTTGGTCGGTCGAGGCGTTGGGCCGGCGTCGCTGGCGCGTCTTCTTGGGTTGCCGGGCGCGCTCGCCGTCCTCCTCCCCCTCCGCCACGTTGCCCTCCTTCCCCTGCTGACGCTCGCCCGCCGTGCGCCTCGGCTGCGCCTGCGCCGCACGACTCTCCTGCGCTTTGCCCGCCGGTCTCCCCGCCGCAGCGCCGACCGTGACCGCACCTTGACGCGCCGCCGACTCGTCAACCCGGCTCGCGCCCTCGCCCGCACTCGTGCCCTCCTCGACGCTCGCCGCACGATGCACCTGGTCGCGCCACTCGGCGACGCGGATGCGCTGCCGCTTGGGCGTCGCCGGCTCGAGGTGTGCTGCCGCCGCAGGTGCGGCGAGGTACGACGCGCGCCGCACGGGCTCGACGTTCTCCTTGCCGGCGTCGCCGTCGCCGTCGTGGCCGGCCGCGCTGCTCGCCGACGAGCCGCGCCCTCGGTCGGAGAGTAGCGCGTCGAGCAGCTGGCGCCGGCGACGGTGGGTCGAGCGGGGCGCGACGCCGTCGCCGGTGTCGGCGAGCGAGACGAGCGAGGGGTGCCGTGAGGGCGGGAGGAAGGTGGACGACAAGGGACCTGGCGCGGCGGGAGCGCCGAGGTACTGGTGCGAGAAGGCGGAGGGAGGGAGGCCGAAAGGTGCGGATGCGGGTGCGCCTGGTGCGGGCTGGCGTTGTCGAGCGGCGAGGAGGAGGGCTTGGTCGGCTGCGCGCTTGGCCTGGCCCTCGAGGGCGAACGGGTTGAGCTGGCTGGCGGGCCCAGGGGTGGGTGCGACGTCCTGGTAGGTGAGGCCGGAGCTAGACGAGCGTGCCGAGGGCGAGAGGAAGACGACGGGGGTTGCACCGCCTCGAGCGAGTCGAGTGGGGAGGGTCGGGGTGAGGGGGCGGTCGTGAGGGATGCGGGTTGGGTCGACGGTGCGTGAGAGGGTGGTGAAGGCGTGCATGAGGGCGTCGCTGTCGGCATGCGGCTGTCGCGACGAGGACCGACCTGCGAGAGATGTGGGGGGTGAGCGATGACGACGACGAGAGCGAGGGACAGCTCGGCGAGGGTAGGGCGCACCTGGACGAGGACTTGGAGCACCATGTCGGTAGCCCTGCACACCTTGACCGTCCCGCTGAGCCATGGCGGGCGAGGGCCCGCGGTGGACGATGAGAGAGGAGCGAGCTGCTCATCTGTGTCGCCCTCCCTCGTCGACCGACACTGCTAAAGGGCCATGCCGACCACTCCAGACCAGTTCAACTGGCACTCGCTGTGCGTCCATCCATCTCGCACCTCTAGCCGGTCCCTCCTCACCTCTCGCCTTTGCCTTCCAGCTCGCTCCGGATCCCCCTCCCCTCTCCCGACGCCGCAATCCTCGTAAAGCGTGTCATCGACGTTGACAAGCCTCTCCGTCCTCGAGAACTCTCCCGCACACTCACCCTCGACGGTCCCGTCCTCGTCGCGTGCGTCCTCGCCCCTCTCCTCCTCCCCCCGCCCATTGAGCTCACCCTCGCCCTCCTCACACAGCTCTTTCCGCGCTGCGACCGTCGCCCAAGCCCGCGTCGCCCTCGATCACTTCCTGTCCGACGTCGAGCTCGTCGTCCAGACCATGGACCGCTTTGCGCCCTCGCCCTCGCACGCCCACGCTGCGCCGCCGACCGCCGACGCGCCGAGCCTCGAGGTCGGGCTCGAGGGCAGCTGGGAGGGCGTCAGGCAGTGAGGGGCCTGGTCGAGGCGATCAAGCGGCGGCGGCCGCAGCCAGGGCCCGTGCTCCTCACGAGCGACGAGCGCACGCGAGGGTCCAGGTGCGTCTCGTCTCTCCCTCTCCCGAGCGGCCCGTGCAGGTCGCTCGCGAAAATGCGGGCGTGGGACACACTCTGACCTCGTTTTCGCCCGTACAGGACCCTCATCCGCCGATCCACCCCTCGCCTCGCGCTCGGTACCTTCTCGACCCTCTCGGCCCTCTCCCGTCCTCGCTCCACCCTTTCCTCTCTCACTCTCGCCTCTCTCGCCGCACGACGCGCAAAGGAGAAGGGCAAAAAAGCCCTCGAGTCTCGAGGGCGTGGGACAGATTGCAAAGAGGGGGAAGGCTACGGGCAAGAGAGGAAGGCGAGAGGGGGGCACGGCGCAAGAAGCTGACGAGGGTGAACGGACGAGACGCGACGACGGACGACGGCGACGACGGATGGGGGACGACAAGGGGCTATGTGGCACGAGGGAGGAGGGAGCACGGCGAGCGAGGGGAGGTGCAACGCGAGGAGGGGGTTTGACTACGTGCGCGCGCTCGGCGAGAGAGAGAGAGAGAGAGGAAGAGAGTATAGAGGGGGACGAAAGGGAGAGGCAAGAGAGAGGCGATAGACGGACAGACATGCAAAGCGATAAAGAGAGGGCTCGAGGCCCGAGGCGAGGCGAGGCGAGGAACGACATGCGAGGGAGGTGTTGAGGGTACTGCGGGACGGCGGACGACGACGGCGGTAGGCTGTACGGACCTAGAGGTGGGACGAAGGCGGAAAGGGGAAAGGGAGGGCGAGGGCGAGGGCGACGAGGAGACCAACTCGGCGCGCGCGCTCAGAGCTGCGCATCCGACGCCGAGCCGCCGTTCGAGCCGGCGTACAGCGCACCGGCCGGCGTCGCCTTCCACGCGTCGCTGCCGAGGCTCCCGTTGCCGAGCGCAGGCGTCGACCGCCCACCGGCGGCCGGCGTGCCCGACCGCGAGCCGATCGGCGCCGGCGCCGTCGTGCCGAACAGGGCCGACGACGGCGTCGTGCCGCTGCCGGACAAGGCCGACGCGGCAGCGCCCGACGACGACGGCGCGGCCTGCGGCTGCTGCTGCGGCTGCTGCTGCTGGCTGGGCACGGGCGAGCCCGATGCGCCGAACGAGCCGAACGCGCCGCCGCCCATCTGGAACTGGTGCTGCGGCGGCGCGCCGAACAGCGGCGCGTGGTTGAACGACGGCGGCGAGAACGGCGCAAAGCCGCCGAAGCCCTGGCCGGACCCGGGCCCGAGCTGCGGCGAGCCGGGCAGGTTGACGGAGCCGCTGCCGGGTGGCGAGAAGCCCGGACCCGGCAGCGACCCGACGAGGACCTGCAGCGGCTGGTGCTGCTGCTGCCCCTGCTGTTGCTGCTGACCGGCGTGCTGGGGCGGCGCGCCGTACGACGACGCGCGCGACGGCTCGTGCGCTCCACCGGCACCGCCGCTGCCCGGCTGCTGCGCCGCGCCGTACACGCCCGGCCCACCACCGCGCCCGAGGGCGCCGTACCGGTCGCTGCCGGCGCTCGGCGCCGCACCGAGCGACGACGGCGGCGCGGCGTAGCTCTGATACTGCGGCGCGACGAACGGGCTGCCCTGCTGCGCGCCCTGCTGCTGCTGGTGGTGCGGCGGGGCGCCGCCGCCGCGGTGACCGGGAGGAGGCGGTGCGGCGAGCGGAATCGGGGCGTAGGCGTACTGCGAGGGTTGGAGCGCGGCCGACGCGGGGACGTAGAGGACGTGCTGGGTGTAGGGCGAGCCGGCGTACACGCCCGCCGCCTGGGCCTGGTACGGGTCGGCGAGGTAGGGCGCGCCGATCGGGAGGGCGTAAGGCGCGAGCGGGAGGTACGCGGGCGGCTTCTGCATGCGCGCCTTGGGGTCGCCGACGACGGTGCGGCCGCCGGGGCCCGTCAGGTTGGCCGCCTGGAAGCCCTTGGGGCCCTGCACGAGCTCGTACTCGACCTCCTCGCCCTGTGGAACGCTGAGAGTTAGCGACAGTCGCACTCCGGGAGCCGGTCGAGGAACGAAAGGGGGGGTAGGGACGGACCTCGGCGAGCGACCTGAAGCCAGCCTTGCCGGCGATGGCGCTGAAGTGGCAGAACACTGCGCGAGGTGGAGAAGGAGGGAAAGGGTCAGGCCACGCTCATCTCGCCGCCACCAGGACAATCGCGACGAGGACGCACCTTCCTGACCGCCGAGCGCGGCCGGGTCGTTGTCGACGACAAAGCCGAAGCCCTTGAGGCTGTCTGCGGAGCGGAGAAAGAGACGCAGGTGAGCTGGAGGGCTCCAAGTGGAGGAGCAGGAACCTCGGACGAGGTGCCGCGAGAGAGAGGAACGCCGGCGACGCACTGAAAAACTTGACGACGCCGCGCCTGCGCTGAGGCTCCTTGAGCTGGACGTGCGGGGGCGGACCCTGGTGGAGCGGCGGCTGCATGACCTGGTGCGGCTGGAGCTGGTCGCCGGCCGACGACGACGAGGCGAGCGACGAGCCGAGGACGCCGCGCTGCTCGCGCTCGAGGCTCGACGTGGCCGAGTGCGAGTGCTGGTGGTGCTGCGGGTAGCCCTGCTGGCCGTACGGCTGCGCGGCGGCGCCGTTCGAGTAGGGCGACCCGAGCGAGAGGCGGTCCAGGCCGAGCTCGAGTGCGGAGGTCGACTGCATCGTGGCGACGACGGGGCGGTGCTGCGGCTGCTGATGTGCAGTCGCCTGGCGGGTAGATGAACGCGGCTAGGTCGAGCACGCGGTGGCGAGCGGTGTGGAGCGAGGTCGACGCTGACGAGGCGGGAGGACGACGATGGCGTCGGGCTGAAGGAGGCGGTGGAGGGACGCGGTGGCGAGGGTCACAGACGAGGCGGGACCGGGTGGGACAACAGACGAACTGCGGCACGACCAGACAGCGAGAGAGAGGTACAGCCACAGCGAGCGAGGCGAGCGAGCGTCGGACCTTCTCCTCCTCCTCGTCCTCCTCGTCGCCGCGCTTTGAGACAGCTTTCGCCTCGGACACTAACTACCCTCGAAAAGAACGCGGCGCACACTTCTCGAAACCGCATGGCGACGCGCGCGTGGCTCCCTGCAAATTGGAGGGCCACTTCGGACAGCGGGGGACCGCTCTCGACGACGAGGAGGAGAGGCCGGGGGAAGACGAGAGAGGTCGCGCATGAAAGCCCTGTTGCACCCCTCACGACAGGATGGAAGACAGCGGCACCTCGTACGTCTCCTCGGCCCAGTACGGCAGAGCGCTCGACCAGTCCCACTCGATCGTCTTGTCTGCGGGCGCTCGCCGACCGAGGTCAGTGCGCGTCGACGACGGGGAGGGAGAGAGAGAGAGAGAGAGGAATTGGGGGACGCACAGCGCATGGCGTGCAGCCAGATGAAGAGCTGCTCGGGTCGGGGATCCGGCAGCAACGGCGTGAAGCACGTCGAGCAGAACCCGTCCTCCTCGCTCGAGCCCCCTTCCCTCGCCTCCCTCGCCGCCGCACCGTCACCCTCGCCCTCGACGAGCTCATCTCCCTCTGCCCCAGTCACCTCGGCGTCGAGGCTCATCTTGGTCGAGCCGACCCGCCTCGCGCGCTCGATCCCCTCGAGGTCCCTCGCGCGCGCGTGCCCGTCCGCCGAGTCCTTGACCTCGCGCAGCGCGAGGATCGCCCGCTGCGCGCCGACCGTCAACGCCTGATCGTGCGACTTGCGGTCCATGTCGACATGAGGCGCAGCAGGGGCGTGGGACGGGTTGGGGGTCGAGGAGGTCGAGGTCGAGGAGGTCGAGGTCGAGGCCGTGGTGGAAGGTGGTGCCGGGTCGACACGGGCCTCGCCGTCCTGCGTCATCGCCGCAGCTTCCTCGAGCGCCTTCTCGCGCTCGAGTACCCGCTCGCCCCGCTCTCGCCGCTCCTGGCGGTCCTCGGCCGTCCCACCGCGGTCGGCCCCAAAGACGCCGCCCTTGCCGCCCGACGCGCCCCACGCCGCCGAGTTCTGGTAGATCGGGTCGTTGGCGATAGGGTGGCCGAGGAACTGGAGGTGGACCTGCGCAGGAGGGGAGAAAGGTCAGGTCGAGGAGGTCGAGGAGTGGAATGAGGACGGGGCGGACGCGAATCTGGTGAGAGCGGCCCGTGATTGGTCGGCCTGTGCGAGGAGAGACGTCATTCGAGGGCTGGAGGAGAGGAGAGAAGAGAGAAAGGCGGACGGACAGTGCACGACGCTCGTGTTGCTCCGCTCGTCGTAGCTCATCCGGGTGAAGATCGTCTTCGAGTCCTGCGCACCGGGCGACGACGCCAGGTCAGTCGACGTCCTTCGGAGCAAGGGAACGATACGACGCACACGACCCTCTGGGTGCACAACGTTGACGCCGATCTGCCGGTCGATCGTGAGCAACGGCTCCTCGGACGTGATCTCGCCGCTGCGGGCGGCGTCTCTGAGTGAGTGTGGGCGCACGGTCGACGAGAGGAGGAAGGCGGACGCACTCGGGGAACCGGCCGATGCAGCGTGCGACGTACTCCTTGCTGACGCCGCCCTCGTGGTTGCGCCTGCCGCCGAACCACGCGCCGAGCTTCTTGGACCCGGCGACGGTGAGGGCGCAGATCATGACGCCCGACGTGAGGCGGTCAAGGCGGTTCGAGGCTGCTCAGAGAGTATCGAGGCAACTGTGAGTCGCGTTCCCGTGCTCTGGGCGTTGGGAGAGAGGAGAAAGGAGCAAGGGGGAGACGCACTGTGGACGAGCGGGAGGCCGTAGTCGTGCTTGAGGATTTCGAGCAGCGTGTTGAAGTTGTACCTGCCCGTCGGGTGCACCTGTACGACGGCCAGATGTACGGCGTCAGGGCGACAGAAGAGGGAGAGAGAGAGAAAGAGGGAGAGGGGAGGACGCACAGGCATGGACCCGGGCTTCTCGACGACGAGCGTCTCGCCGTCGTTGCCAGGCAGACGACCGTCGTAGATGATTCTCACGGGGCCTGCCACCACGGGCGGCTCGTGCCTGCGCAGGAAGGACAAGGCGCCGTTCGTCAATCGCCGACCGACGAGGCGAGAGAGAGAGAGGGAGCGCAGGACGCACCGATGCAGGACATTCGAGATGAGGTCGCCGTTGCGGATGACGGTGTCGGCAGTCGACTTCTGGTTGTTGACGACGATGACGCCTGCGGAAAGAGAGGGAATAAGCGGCGGGTCCTTGAAGATGGTCGACGGGCCCGAGGACGTCGCGCGCACCCTTCTCGATCGCCCATTCCTGTGCGCAGGGTACCAAAGAGTGTCAGTAGATGTGGGCCGAAGAGAAGGAGGCGGCTGGGACGCACATAGTACTCGTTGGTGCGGTCCCTGATCCACGAACCTGTCGAGGGTCAGCGTCTCGATCAGTCTCGTGTGACATGAGGGCTCGAGTGCGGCGGACCTGAATTCACTGTAGCTGTGGGTCGAGAGGAAAGAGTCAGCTATACGAGAGAGGGCGGTAGAGGTGAGGGAGAAAGAGGGGACGGACATGTCGATCAAAGTCCTCCCCTGCCACCGCTCCTTGGCCCAGCTCTCGAACGTGAACCTGTGCGGCCGTGTCGAGTCTCGAGTCAGGGCTGTTCGCGTAGGAGAAAGAGAGCGAGACGAGGGCGCACATGTAGGGCTTGACCTTGCGGAGGCCGCCGTCCTCGAAGTAGTGCGGCTTTGGCGGCGGGAGGGCGAAGGCGCCTGTCGGTGGCGGGATGTCCTTGCGCGAGGTGCCGCGCTCGCCCTTGCCGAACTTGCCGGACTGTGCGCGGCTTGCGTCGGTCGCTGCCGGGTTGGCCATCTCGAGCGAGACGAGGAGGGGGGAGGAGCGGGAGAGGGACGGTCGCGCTGCGGCGGGTAGATGCGCCGGGGTGTGCGGGTTGCTGCTGAGCTCCGACTGGCTTAGCTGGGCGGTGCAGGCGAGGTGTTGAGCGAGAGAGAGAGCTTCATCGCCTCGTCGTCCTCTTCCTCGTTCCTCCCGCCCTCCTCCTCGCTCGCACCACCCCGCTTTACCGCAAACATGCCGTCACTCAGCAAGGACGTCAAGTCTGCAGTCGACGCGACCCAGCTCGGCCTGCCCGTGTACGACCTCATCTCCCGCTCAAAGCTCATCAAGCAAGGCGCCGAAGGGGTCCGTCCCACCTCCTCCAGGCCCTCTACGAGCTCCGTTGCAGCGCTGATCTTGTCGTGCAACCCTGTGCAGAAGGTCTACCGCGCCACCCTCCTCCCATCCCCCACCATGACCCTCTCGACCAGCGCCGCCGCCTCCTCCACCTCCTCGACCTCACCCCTGCCGGCTGCTACCGCCGAGCCTCCCGCGCCAGTCGACATCCTCCTCAAGCACCGCTTCCCCAAGCGCTACCGCCACCCGACCCTCGACGCCCAGCTCACCCGCCAACGCCTCACCTCGGAAGCGCGCGCGCTCGTGCGCTGCGCCAAAGCCGGCGTGCGCGTGCCCGGGCTCCGGCTCGTCGACGTCAAGCAGGGCTGCCTTGGCATGGAGTGGATCGAGGGCTGGAGCGTGCGGGAAATCCTCGGCGGCGGACAGGAGGACGACCTGACGAGCGACGACGACGAGGACGAGCGGGTCGAGGACGTTGGCAACGACGTGCGGGAGCCGGGCGAGCTTCTGCGCGCAGCCGGCGTCGACGAGGGTGCGTCTTATGTTCTCCCTGTTCCTCGTCGCAGCGTTCGCCGATGGCTAACTCGCTGCCGCGCCTCGCAGACGAAATGCTCCGGGCCGTCGGGCGCGAGCTCGGCAAGATGCACACGGCCGACATCATCCACGGCGACCTGACAACCTCGAACATGATGGTCCGCTTGCGGACAGGCGACTCGGCCGGCGCCAATGCTCCTCCTTTCGAGGTGGTTCGTCCTCTCTTTCTCTCTCTTCCACTCGGGTCCAGCCGTCGAGCAGGGGCGACGTCGAGCTGACCCTGCACTCTCGCAGGTCCTCATCGACTTTGGTCTGTCGTCCGCCTCGCCGATGCACGAGGACCGCGCCGTCGACCTGTACGTCCTCGAGCGCGCGTTTTCCTCGACGCACCCGGTCGCGCCCGGCGGCCGCGCCCACTTTGACCTCGTCCTCGAGGGCTATCGCGAGGCGCTCGAGCGGGCGCCGAAGAAGGGCGAGTGGGACAGGGTGTGGAAGAGGCTCGAGGAGGTGCGCATGCGCGGCAGGAAGAGGAGCATGGTTGGGTAGCTTCTTCGTGTGCGCTCCTGTGTACTCGATCAAGGGTCGCTCGACAGGCAGTGGCGCAGGGCAGCGAGCACGAGAGCGAGAGCGAGAGTGAGAGCGAGAGAGCCCCGCGAGAACCCGAGGTCCGTGCGCCTACCTCCTCCTCGTCTTTTCGCTCTCCCTCCCGCTCGTTGCGCGCCCTGAGCTCTCGCTATCTCGTCAACAAGTGAGTTTGAAGGCTAGAGAGTGCGAAGTTCGAATCCGGAAGTCTCCTGTGGCGCAGCTGGCAGCGCAGTATGCTTATATGACACCGATTTTTGTTACGTATTGGTCGCGGGTTCGAACCCCGCCAGGAGAAGCTTTTGCTGTTCCTCGTTGCATTCACCCCTTAGCAAACTCGAGATTATCGGTTGGTAACCGCGTCGGCCAGAGGAGGAAACACAAGCTCATCCTCGCCTCGCCGTTACTTTTTGCGCCCGCCGACCTCTTCATGCAACGCGCCTGTCACCGCTGTGCTCGAAAAGAGCAGCAGCACGGCTCTGCGCTCGCTGGAGAATCGTGCGCAAGACCAGCAAAAATGCATTGGCCGGGAATCGAACCCGGGGCTAGGCAATTCAGCAGAAGCTGGCAATGCCCAATTTTGCCACTAAACCACCAATGCTTGAATAGAAGTAGGGATCAAATCAAACGAACCACTGGGTAGCTGCTTCTGCTCACATCGACGTTCTGATTTCACCTGACGCGGCGACACCCGCGCTGCTCGCTCTCCCCCTCGACGCCCCACGACCCGCCGCCATGTCGTACGCGCCCTCGCAATCGGCACCGACCTCGACGACCAAGACGCGCCACCTGCAAGAGCTCGCGCGCCAGCTCAAGGAGCTCGCCGAGCGGACCGAGACGCTCAAACAGCTCTCTGGCCAGACGGCCGTGCACGCCGAGTGGATGCGCCAGCTCGGGGGGGATCACGCAGCATGGTGCGTCGCGCAACGCGCTTTCCCTCTCTTCCCCATTTGCTACCGGCCCCGGCTCGAGGTGGGAGACGCGTGTTGGACGAGGGACAAGCACGGGGCTGACTCCCTCCCTCGACGTCGCGCGCAGGTTCATGGCGTCCGAGCGGATCATGTTGTCACGCGTCGTGGCCGACGAGCAGCCGGCGAGCCCGCAGCGCGAGCAGTAGAGGCGCGGCCGCCCGTGTCGAGCGAGCGCGACTGGGTCGGGCCGGCGTCGACCGCGCAGGACGCGAGGGCGGGCAGGAGCGGGTGGCTCGACGGTGCGACTCGAGGCAGTCGAGCGTGTGCGGGCTGAGGGAGGGCTCGACTCGACCCGCCACTCGCCGCCGACACCTCGACCTCGCACCTCCCCCCTTTCCTCCCGACTGCGCCCGACCCGCCGCTTTTGCCGTCAGCCTGCGTCCTCCCCTCGACGTTCGCCACTATCCTCCGTCCCTCCTCGTCGCGTCGCTACTGTCGCTCACGGTCTTCGACGTGCCGAGGACGCGCAGGCGGGCTCGCGACGCCCATTGAGCTGAGCCGCGCGGTCGCCGTATCGCGCGCGCGGTCGAGTGCGGGCTTGCCCTGCTGCGTAGAGAATCCTCCACGACTGGTTCGAGGGTTTGGCGATGGGTCAGGGCGGCCGGAGAGGGACAGGAGGCGTGGCGGGCGGGCGAGACGGGCGCTCGAGGCTCGGTGCGTCTCTCTTGCTCTCTCCCTTCTCGAGCTCGAGCGACAGGCGTGATCTGACCCTGTCGCAATGTCCCTCGCAGGTCGGAATGTCGAGGTTGCACCGCTCGGGCGATGCGAGGGCAAGAGGGCGCGGCGAGTCGAGGAGGAGCGCGAGGGCTTTAGCCGGCTCGTCTCGGTCGCAATGGCACTCGTCTCTCTCTCGTGCACAGACCCGAAGAGTGCGAAGTAGGTACTTTGCGTAAGGCTACAAAGGCTGTACAACATGCGCGGCTGCCCGCTCGAGAACGTCCTCGCTCGCGCTCCCTCCTGCGCCCGCTCTTGCCCGGCTCGTCGCCTCACTGAATCTTCTCGCCTGTATGACGGCGATATAGGACGTGTCAGCTCTGCCTGAACAAACACAGACTGGCTTCGGGAAGAGAGGAGCAAGAGAGGGAGGGACGCACCGCCCTGCATCTGCGAGAGCGCGCCCGTCTTGACCCTGCGGTCGGCGTACTGCAAGCGCGCCTTCTCGACGTTGCGCTGCTTCATGACGAAGAAGCCGCCGATGCCGACTGTGCGACAGGGAGAGGGCAGGCGAGGGTCAGCTCGCGGTGGAGGGAGGAGAGGAGAGCGAGCGAGGACGGACCGCCGAGGACGGCGAGGAAGGACCCGATCGTGGCACCTGGGGACGCGTGACTCGTACAAGTGAGCTTGGTGTGCCCTGCGTGCGTGGCAGAGCTGGCGCAGGCGAGGTGGAGCGGAGAGGCGGACGCACCCATGGACGACTTGGCTCGGCGCTGAGCCTCAGAGGGCGGGCGCGGGAGGGCGAGGCGGATTAGGGAGGGGCGCATAGTGCGCGCTGAGTGGAGTGCAGGCGCTGGCTGCCGGGGATGAGAGGGAGGGACGAGCCGGCCGCTTCATCAGCCGGTGAAGGTCTCCTCCGACCACACGTCGCTCTCGACACCGTTCCAGCTCTAGCTTGGCCCAGCTCGACCACTCGAGCCACTCCTCCCGCTTGGCTTCACCCCCAATCAGCCCGCACCCCTTCCCACCTCTCCCTCCTCCTCGCATCTCAGCCCCACATCCGGCTACCATGGCGCCGAACCCAAAGGACGCCTCGAGCTTCAACGCCCGCTTCGTCACCGTCCCGTCCAGCCACCGCTACCACCTCATCGACCAGCACCCAGACCATTGGCGTGGACCCGTCGAGCAGGTCCGTCCTCACCTTCCTCCTCCTCGGCTCGCGGCGGCCCTCCACTCGTGCCAGCTGACTCGTTCTCTCCATGGACAGGCGCCAACTATCCTCATGTGCCATGGCTTCCCCGACCAGTGGTTCGGGTGGCGGTACCGTGCGTCCTCGTCTTCTCGCACCCCTTTCCTCCTCGTTTTGGCGATTCTCAAAGAGCGCCTCTCGCTAACCCTCCTCCTCCTCCTCGTTCGCCCTCGCAGAGATCGCCGCGTTCGCTGCTCGCGGCTTCCGCGTCATCTGCCCGTCGCAGCTCGGCTACTGCGGCACGTCGCAGCCGTCCGACATCGGCGCGTACAGCTACAAGAAGGTCGCGTACGACATGAACGGCATCCTCGACGCCGTCGGCGCAGGAAAGGTCATCGTCTTTGGGCACGACTGGGGCGGCGTCGTCGCGTGGCGGTTCGCCGACTTCTTCCCGCACCGGGTCATCTGCCTCGCGAGCGTGTGTACGCCTTACCAGGCGCCGTCCAAGCCTGGCCAGAAGATCTTCTCGGACGAGGAGCTCGTGCACAACGTGCTGCCCAACTTCGGGTATCAGCTATTCTTCAAGGAGGAGCGCGCCGGCCCCAAGATTGACGAGGTCGTCGAGCAGTTCCTCACCGTGTCGTTCTCGCCGACGCTGCGCGCCAAGCTCCGGGCCCAGGGCAAGCCGATGCCGCAGATGGCCGTCAAGGAGGGCCAGCTCGAGAAGCGCACCGACGAGATGATTGCGACCAAGCGCGCCGGCAAGGCCCTCCCCGTCCCGCAAGACCCTGTGCGTCCCTCGCTCTTTCTCTCCTTCTCCCCTCGTCCTCTCCCTCTCCCCTCGTCCTCTCCCTCTCCCCTCGTCCTCTCCCTCGCCCCTCGTCCTCTCCCTCTCCCCTCGCCCCGATCCTCGCGTTCCGCCGGATCTGACTCCTCCTCTCCCCGGCTTCCCTCGCCTTGCAGGAGCTCCTGTACTACATCTACGCGTTCAAGAAGTACGGCATGCACGCGCCGCTCAACTGGTACCGCAACCGCCGCGTGTCGGCCCTCGACGAGCAGGCGTCCGAGCTCCCCGGCACGTTCCCGCCGCACATCCCGGCGCTCCTCCTCCCTGCCGAGAACGACCCGGCGCTCCCTCCCGCCATGGCCGACCCGAAGAAGATGCAGAAGCACTTCCCGGGCGGCAACTTGCGCGTCGAGCTCATCAAGGGCGCCGACCACTGGGTCCTGCAGGTGCGCCGCTTGGTCCTCTCTCGCTCGCCTCGGTCCTCGTCCTCGCTCTCAAGCGGTTCGCTCACGACTGTCGACGCGCGCAGGACGCTCCTTACCGCGACGACGTCACGGCCAAGCTCGTCGCCTTCGTCGACGAGGTCCTGGCGGGCAAGTGGCAGCCCGAGGCGCCGGCGACCAAGCTTTGAACCTCGAGGTCTCTCGCTCTCTCGCTCTCTCTTCCGCAGCGCCTCGCCGAACAAGAATGAAATCGTGTACCACTCTTTGCGACCTCGGAGATATTGTCCGTCGAGGCAGAGACCGAGCAAGAGAGAGCAAGGAGCGTGTGCAGGAGAGAGAAAGGCCGCCAGGGCCCTCGAGAGCAGGAAGGGGAGCTACACAGAAGTGGACTGCAACAAGGATCGTGCGCCAACGCTCATACGCTCTCGACGAGCCAGTGCTGGTACTCGTCTTCCTGCAGAGGTGGCGAGAGCGACGTCAAGTCGGGTTCGACCAAAGAGACGGGCGAAGAACGAGATCTTTGACGACGTACCGGGTCCCACAGGTCGAGCGCCGTCGACTGAGCGCGGAAAGAGGTAATCTCGTGACCTGTGAGGGCGAGCGTTTGCACTGCAGGGTGCGGCGGAGAGGAGGAGAGGAGGAAAGAGAGGCAAAGGTCAGTTTGAGAAGGTCGAGTCGAGGAGCGAGTTGACGACGCACTGTCGATGAGGTGGTCGACCTGCAAAGGGCATCTCGTTTGTCAGTATCTGCTCGAGAGGTCGAGAGATGGAGACGTACAGGGATGATAAAGTAGGCGCCGCTCGACGCCGATTTGCCGACGTTCAGCTTGACGCTGCTGTCCGTGTCGTAGACCTCCTCGGCCGGCGTAACGTCCTCGACACCGTCATCGACAGCTGTGTCGACCTTGACGAGGGAAACGGGGTCGACCGCAGCCTCGACGGTCGACGAGGGCGACGGAACGACCTCGTTGACGCTCGGTGCCGGCGCCGTCGATGCGAGTGCGGCCGTGTGCGACGCCGCGCCGCTCGCCGTCGACGACGCACCATTCGACTTGCGAGCGGCCGTCGCGCGCTCAGCCGCCTTGCGCGCCTCGGCCTCGAGCGCGAGCTTCTCCTCCTCGATGCGCTTCGCCTCGGCCGCCTGAAACTCGGCGGCGCGGACGCTCCACGCCTGTCGAGGCTCAGCGACGGGCGTCACGTCGACGTTCGAGTCGCCTCGCTTGACGCGTGCGAAGGCGGGCGACGACGACGAGTGGAGCGAGCGACGGCGGGAAAAGGAGCGATTCGCCTTCTCGCGCGTCGCGACCGAGTGAGCCTGCGCGACGAGGAGGACGTGCGTCGAGGTCGAGGCGTCGCCCGTATAGTCCGAGACGGGCACCATGAGCCACCACTGCTTGGTCGGCTCGAGCGTGTTGCCTGGCGAGACGAGAGTCAGCGAGCCGCGAGGGGGAGCGTGCACGAGCCGAGCGACGTACCGGCGCGGGTCACCTCGCCACCCGAGTCGACCGCGCACGAGTACATGACGCCTGCGAGGTTGAACGAGTCGCCCCACTGCGCCGAGAGGCACTTGTCCTTGTCGCCAATCTGCAGCCGGACCCAGGGCACCGACTCGCCGTACTTGAGGACCTGCACGGGCGTTGCCGGACCGTCGGACGGGACGATGTGGTTGCCGTCACGCTGCACGGAACAAGAGTCAGGTGCCACTCGTCGAGGCAGGGAGGAAGCCGCACAGCGGCGAGAGCGAGGAGCGCGCACGTACCGCGTACGACAGCGTCTGGCCCGTCGCGACGTTCGTAAAGACGTAGGAGCCCTGCGCAGGTGGCAAAGCTGCAGACTGCAAGGGAGAGAGAGAGAGAGGTCAAGTCAGCCAAGGAGACGCGTCGCGACGGCCAAACAGGGGGGGAGGAGGAGAGAACGCTCACCTGAAGCGAAGCAGCTTGCGCAGCGTTGTCAATCGCGCCCGCCAGGCCACCGACGTCGCTCGGAGCTGCATGGGCGGAGCTGGCGGCGAGGGCGAGCCCGAGGGCGGCGAGGAGGACGCGCATGGTCGTCGCGGTCGGTCGAGTGCGGGGTCGAGAGAGGACGAGGTCGACGAGTTGTAGGGGTGGCGCCTCGCGTGAGATGGGCGGACGAACGCAGACGACGGGAAGGGATTGAACGAGTGTGGGTAGGTCGGAGCACGAGCGAGGGCGACGAGGCGAGCAAGAGACGAGAGCCGACTTGCGAAGGTCGCGACGCGCCGGCTTGGCGACGCCGAGTCGAGCGTGCCGTCGAGTGCCAGCGATGGGTTTCGAGGCTCGGCAACACTCTCGAAGCCGTTCTGCAGAAACAGGAGAACCTGCTGCTGCTTGCCGTCGCGCCGACCCTCGTCACGCTTCGACCTCCTCGACGGCTCGAGGACGTCTCGACGCGAGCGAGGCGACGATCGTCTCCCTCGAGCCGTCGTTCCAGAAGTAACTACTGTGGGCGCCTCAAAGATGTTCCGGAGAGCGACCCGGGCGAGCCGCAGACGATCTGCGCCTCGTCGCCCGCCGTTTCGCGGACGCAAGGCGGTCGCCTCTCAGCCGTTCCCAGTCTCGAGAGCAAGCCGGACCGGCATCGTGGTCGACGTCGTGTCGATGGACTGCCGAGGACGCGAGGCTGCTGCGGCAGAACCGAGTCGAGCCCGCCGGCATGGGCCCGTGCGGCCTGGGAAGGCCGAGGCGAGCACAGCGAGGCCACCTCAGAATACTTCGTCGCCCAATCTGGAGCGCGAGACGGAGCAAGAGATGGCGGGCGCGAGCGACGCAGCGAATCAAGCGGCCGCAGAGATGAGGCCGAGACCCAAAACGAAGGCGGAGAGGACGGACTTTTGCCCACTCGCTCGTCGCTGGGCGGTGCGGCACCCGCACCGGTTGAGCGCACAGCGAGTCGAGCTGGTGCCGCCGTAACTGCCGAGCAGGCTCTGTTTGCGCAGAGATCCCGAGCCGCAGGACGCAGGGCACGAGAAGCAGCGGAAGGCCGCGAGCAGCTGCAGCCCGCGTTCCGCTTCAGCCTTCCGACTCGAGCCTGAGCTGAGCTGGTCGACTGAGTCGAGTGCGCGCAGGCACGCTTGCGCGGCGAGCTCACGTCGACTGGAGCAAGCTCCAAGCCCGACGCCCGGCCGCGGGTGAGCCGCAGCGCGAGACAGCGGGAGCAAAAAGTCGCCGAGTCGAGGAAGACGCAGAGCAAGGTACGACGGCTGGGAGAAGAGAGGAGCGAGGGAGCTCGAGGGCGTCGTGGTGGTGGTCGACGACGGCGGTGAAGGTGGAGGGGAGAGGGAGGAGGACAAGGTTGGCGACGGTGCGAGGGCGCGAGGAAAATGAAACGGACGGGCCTGAGCGTGCGTGTGGAGCAGCCGCCACGCGAGCGCCGAACACTGCACGCGCGGCACCTCTCTCTCTCGAGAGGATCGAGAGCATCCTGCTAGCGCCCCCGTCGTCTCGCCCTCGAAGCTCGACCACCCACCGCTCGCCTACTTGCGCCCGTGTACCCACCGTGAGTCTGCGCTCCAGTCCTCTGTCGTGCAAGTGCAGGCCTGCGCTGCACAGCGCGCGCGGTCGAGAGCGGCGGCCTCATCGGAGCACACGCCGCCGCCGTCCTCCCCTGCCGCTCCCTCCCCCTCTCGACGACCACCTGAAGGCTGACCAGGGCATTGAGCACCACCCACAGGCCTGCATCCATTGCCGCCACGCGAGCACGCCCTCGCCCGGCCGGCATCGTCGCTCTCGAGCGCTCGCTCCACCTCCCGCGCGCCGCCTCCTTCCCTCCTTCCCCCGCGAGCCGCGCTTGTTCCCTCGCCGCCGCCCTCTCGCCTCGGAGGGGCCCGTGCAGCCACGCACCTCGCCCAACCCGCACTTCGCCCTCCTCATCGCGCTCAACCCGCGTCCGCCTCGCCGCCAGCAAGTTGGCGCGCCTCGCCCACCTCGCCTCGTCCTCATCGTCGTCGCTCCCCGTCTCGGCTCGCTCGGTCGACCCACCACCACTCGGCGCGAGCACCACGTCTAGCCGCACTCGCCTTTGTCCATCATGTCGTCGCAGTCCCGATCTGCCGAGGCCAGGACTCGTCAGGCGCAGAGCAGCCACATGTGAGCCCGCCCTCTCTGCCCCCTCTCCCCAAACGGCGCCCCTTGCACCGCGGTCGACCCGAACCGTCCTGACCCTCTCTCTCTCTCCAACGCGACAGGCTCAAGACCGGTCGGCGAGGAAACCCGTTCTGCAAGGTGCGTCACGACCGTCCCCTCTTCCCGGCCGGAGCGGTCGAGGAGCACCGGGAGCTGACCGGCGAATTCGCCCCACGCCCCTCTTCTGTCCCTCGTCGCAGGACACGCACGACCTGTTCGCGACGCTCATGGTGTCGCTCGACCTGTCGGACCGCACGCGCTTCTTCCGCACGTACGCCAACGCGTTCACGACCGACGACGCCGCCGCCAACCTCGCCTCGCTGCGGTTCTCGCAGTCGAACCGCACGTCGGACCCGAACGACCCGCAGCGCATCGTGACGACGACGACGACGACGACGTTCTCCATGTCGCGCGAGATCGCCAAGGGCATCTGCCAGCACTTTATGGACGCGCGCCTCATCGAGAACGCCGCAGACCCGTCGTCCGTCACGTTCAAGGACCGCGGCATCTACCAGATCACGCCCAAAGGGCTCCACATCCTCGAGCGCTTCATCACCAAGAACGGCATCTCGGCCGACCACCTCATCCCCGTCTTTACGACCCAGCCCATCTGCATGAAGCTCCTCCACCTCGAGCGACGACAATCCGACGACGAGATCCACGTGTCGCGGTCCGTCATCGACGTCGTCTTCCGGCGGTTCACGGGCGGCCGCAGCCCGAACTACGTCGCCGAGCAGCACGACGGCCGAGGAGCCGCCATGGCGCGCCCGTTCATCGAGAGCGTGCGCACGCCCGACTCGTTCGACCGGGCCAACGGCGTCGAGCTCCAGGACGTGACCGAGAAGACCAAGGCCGGCCAGGTCGTCGTCGTCAAGCAGGTCTTTGCGTCGACGGCGGGCGTCGACTGGCTCCTCGACTACTCGACCTGTTGCTGCCGCGACGAGGCCGGCGAGCTCCTCGCCCACATGGTGCGCTACGGCCTCGTCGTCCTGTACGCCGACCGCTCGCGCGCCGGCGACCGCGTGACGGTCATCGAGGTCCAGGGCTCGTCCGGGCAGGCGGCCGAGTACCGGTTCGGGCCGAGGGTCCTGTACCGCGTCACGGAGGAGGGGCGACGGGTCGCGCAGGGCGGCTCGGGCGCAGATGTCGCGGCGACGACGCCGGGCGGCAAGGTCGAGAAGGCGGGCGACGCGAGCGGCGGGGCGGCGGCGGCGGCAGCAGCAGCGGCGGCAGCGGCGGCGTCCGCTTCCGCAGGGCGCGACTCGCCGAGCACGGGCGACGGCGACGACTCGAGCTCGCTGCGAGGGTTCGACCACGCGAGCAGCGAGCGAGGGTTCACCGGCGGGACCGGCCTGAGCAACATCGAGGGTTCGCTCGTCGGCGGGCGCAAGGGCATGGCCGACCTCTTCAAGGCCAACCTCACCGAGGCGGGCGCGTCGTCGGCATGGAGCAAGGACCAGCACTCGACGACGACCCGGTTGCGCGCCATCCTCGACGAGCCGGCGCTGCGGGCCCTCTTCCGCGACTTCCTGCGCGCCAACTACTGCGACGAGAACCTCGGCTTCTGGCTCGAGGTGACCGACTTCCGCCGGCGGTTCTCGACCACGAGCTCGGCCGTCGGCGCGAGCTCGAAACGGCGCCCTCAAGTCGCCGCCAACGCCATGGAGTCGCACCAGCAGAACCTCGTCGCGGCGGCGCTCCACATCTACAACACGTACCTCGCACCGCTCTCGCCCAACGAGCTCAACATCGACCACAACCTGCGCGCCGACGTCGTCAACTACGTCAATCGGTCGCTCGCCGAGGTCGGCGCCAAGACCGCCGGCGACGGCCTCGTCGCCCCGACCGCCGTCACGAGCGGGATCCCGGGCGTCGTGGGCCAGACGACGAGCACCGACGGGACGGCGAGCTTGGTCGACAACGCGCCGATACCGCCGTTGCGCGCGACGCAGGTCCAGACGCTGCTGCGGCAGTACGAGCGGATACAGGAGCACATCTTCCGCCTGCTCGCGACCGATCAGGTGCCGCGCTTCATCCGGTGCGTCCCCTCTTTCTCCCTCTCCTTCCTCTGCCTCGAGCGCGTCAGTCACTGACATCATCTCGCCCCGGCAGGACCGAGCCGTTCCTCAAGCTCATGCAGCCCGACGCCCTGCGGCAAGCCAACGCGGCGGCGACGGCCGGGTCCGGCACCGCCTCGCCTGCCTCGACTACGACCGGGACGCAGGGCGGCGACGACGCGTCCGATAGTGCGACGACGGGCTCGAGCGCGGCGCCGAAACCGCCGGCCGGCTCGGCTTGAGCGCCTACCCTCCTCCTCCTCCCCTTTCTCTCGCTCGGCCCTACGTGTCGCCGTCCCCTTTCACTTTCGCCTCGACCTATTGCCATCGTTCTTCCTCCTCGTCATCGTCGCGGTCGACGTCGCGGCTTGCCCCTTGTTCAGTATCCTCCCTCGAGCCGCCTCGTCGCCGTCCCTCTTTGCCCTCACCCTCGTCCTCATGGTTACCCCTCCCTCGCCCTCTTTCCCTCGCCCCATTTACCCTGTGTCCCCGTCATTCTTCGGTCGCCCTTTTCCTCTCGTCACTCGTCTTTCGCAGGTTTCCCCTCTCGTGCTCTCGGTCCTCCCTCCCTCCCTCTCTCTCGTCCTCGCGTCTCGGCCGTGCGCCGGCCTCTCCGTCATTGGGTCGTCGTGCGCTCTTTGCATCGAGTACACGGATTGTGCAGCACCTCGTCGGCGTCGAGCACTGCGAGAGCAGCTGGCGAGCGAGAGGACAAGGGTCGCCGGATCTCTCGCCAGGCCAGTTCCTCTCGGTGGCCTCGTTGCGTCCTTGCCAGCGCCGTACGCGGGTGCGAGCGAGGAAGACAGGCTTCCGAGAGAGGCAAGGGAGAGCAGGAGGCGAGCCAAGAAGGGGTGCGAGACCCAGGTCGAGGCTCTGAGTGCGCGCTGCAGGGCAAGTCGGCCTCGCAGGCGCACGCTGCTGCCGGCTGGCCGTCGCTGCGTCGGCGCTGCCTGACCTGCACCAGCTTGCGCGTACGGACGAGCCCGGTTGCCGTCGCTGAACGCGCTCGTCGTCGTCGACTCGAAGCCTTCCCAAGTCGGCGCGTGTCCCCGCCGCGCGCGTCGCCCGCCAGCTCGACTACCTGTCGCCGCCACCACCCGTGCACTGTGCCCGCCCGTACGACTCGCCAGCCGGCTCCACTGCGCACCCGCCTCGCCCGCCGATCCGCCCGCCCAAGCGCGCGCCAGCTTCGCCCAAGTCGAACCTCGAGGCCGTGGACCTCGCACGCGTCGGTTGTTTGCCTCGCTCGCGACCTGTGTGCGCCCCTGTACAGGTGCGCACCCTCTCTCACGGAGCAGCACAGCACGGGCGAGCGGTCGCTCACCCTCTCCCCCTTGCCGTCGCCCTTTGTCGAGCAGCTCGCCCGGCACCCGTCACATCGGCCGCCGCGACCTCTCGACAGCTCCCCGACCACCGCCAGAGATCCCAGGGCTGGCCCTGATCTCGCACCACTACGCCGCACAGCCCGCCTCACCCAGCGCCATTCAGCACCGGCACCCCCTCAGCTCCCTCCCCCGTACCCCGTCCTCCTCCTCGTCTCACTCCCGCTCCCGCCTGTGCGCCCACGCTCTCGACCATGTCGGCAGTCGCGAGCACCTCGCAGCAGCCGTACGCCTATGCGGGCAAGGACGCCGCCGCCAAAGAGCGAGAGGACCGCCTCCTCGCCGCCAAGAAGAAGGTGCGTCTCCCTGCCCCTCTTTCGAGCCTGCGACGGCGAGGGGGGACTCAGTCGAGAGCGTGCACTGACCATGGCCCCTCTTGCGCGCAAACAGCTCAAGCTCTACCGCGCCCGGACCAACGCCCGCATGTCCGGCGTCTCGACCTACTCGGACGCGTCGACCACCACGCCGGGCACCTCGCCGACCAAGGCCGCACGACGACGCTCCGGCCTGTCGGGCTCGGTCACGTCGGCCGCCGACTTTGCCGCCAAGCACGCCCACCGCCGCAGCCAGTCCAAGAGCGGCCTCCTCGCGACCATGGGCGGCGACTCGCTCGTCGCGGCGTCCGGCTTCGGCGGCGCAGGGCCAGGGCACGGCCGCAAGGCGAGCAGCTCGCGCATGTCGATGCAGCGCAACTCGATCAGCCTCAAGAAGATGGGTCACGGCCACAACCGTTCGCGCGCCAGCATCTCGATGTCGTTCTCGGGCCCGGCGCCGCAGCTCGCGCCGCCACCGTCCGAGTCGCCGCGATCCGTGTCGCCGGCGCCCAGAGCGATGGCGCCGCCAAGTTGGCTGCACGGCGGCGGGTACCCCGGCTCGCCCGAGGCGAGCCGCTCGTCCTTTTCCTCCCCGACCTTCTCCCCTCATCCTGCGCCAGGCCGTCCGACCTCGCCCCTCCCTCCAGCACCCGCACCCGGTCCGCCGCCCAAACACGGCCGCAACAGCTCCCGACACGCCCGCCACTCGAGCGTGACAAACTTCCGCGAGAGCCTCGACATCGTGTCGGCCGGCACCGTGCACGACCCGGCCCTCCTGCGGCCCGCCGTCTCGTCCTTCGCCGACGTGCCGCACTCGTCGTCGCCGTCCGCGAGCCCGCTCGCACCCGTCGGCTGGTCGACCGACCCGCACCACGTCCTCGCGGCGCTCAAGGAGCGAGGCCGTCGCGAGCTCGAGGACTCGAACCGCAGCCCCGAGGAGACGCGCCAGTCTGCGCTCGAGGCGCTCGAGGGCCGCCTCGCGGCGCCGACCGAGGCCATCTCGCTCGGCGACGAGGAGCCGGGCGAGCTGCTCGCGGCGCCGAGGAGCCCGGGCATGACCTCGGACGGCGAGCCCATCTCGGCGGCGTCGTCGCCCGTGCCGCCGCTCCCGTCGAGCCCGATGGTCGGCCTCGGCGTCGCCGGCTCGTCGTCGTCGGCGTCGTCGTCGGTCGGCGCGATGGGCAGCCCGCTCGTCAACAAGCGCTCGAGCTGGGGCTCGGCGCTCGGCGGGCACGGCGCGTCGGCGGCGGCGCAGCACAGCGTCATGGAGCTGGGCGAGATTGCCGAGGAGGACGAGGAGGAGGACGACGCGTCGCTGTACGGCGGGAGCCCGCGGCGCCGGACGAGCCGGGGCAGCCGCGCAGGCGCGCGCACGCCGACGCCCGTCTCGAGCCCGCAGCAGGCGGCGACCGCGACGAGCGTCAAGGGCTCGCCGAGCCCGCGCAAGCCGCGCCCCGGCAGCATCTTCGCCGCCGCCGTCGGCGAGCCTCGGCTCAACAGCCTCGAGTCGGTGTTCGAGCACGCCGAGCAGCAGCAGCAAGGATTCCGCCAACGCGACTTTGCGCTCGGCAGGACGCCCTCGCCGACGGCGTCGCGGCGGTCGTCGATGCGGCCCCTGTCGCTCTCGGCGTCGTCCGTCACGTCCTCGGCCAACGGCACGCCGTCGACCGCCGGCATGCCCGACGAGAGGCGCGCCTCGTCGTCGCCCGAGGAGAAGCACATCTCGATGTTCCACTCGGCGGCCGTGTCCGGCTACAGGCCCGAGCCGCTCGCCGCGTCGCCCTCGGGCACATCGGCGCTCGCCTCGCAGCCGACCAAGGGCGGGCTCCGCTCCCTGTCGATCGGCAGCGGCGCAGTCGGCACGTCGCCCGTGCAAACGCCCGAGCGCCGCTTCTCGGCCCAGTCGGCCCTCGGCAACGGCGGCCTCGTCTCGACCTCGTCGCGCAAGGTCTCGCCGTCGCCGACGATGAAGCGCTCGTCCATCTCGTACCGCACCAGCACGAGCTCGGTCTCGTCTCTCGCCGGCGTTACGCCAGAGGGCCAGAAGCGCGCGTGGCGGTCGTCGCTCGTCTCGGCGCAAGGCGGCGCCCGCGCCGACAGCGGCAGCCCTGCACCGTCGACGTCGCAGTACTCGACCTTCCCCGCCGGCGTCCTCGGCGGCTTTGGCGACCTCGAGGTGAGCGGCGACGCGGGCGACTTCTCGGCCTCGCTCGTCGACTCGCCCGTGCATTCGAGGATGGCGTCGTCGATCGGCGGCGGCGCGTCGGCCGAGGCCCTCGCCGCCGCGCAGGACGAGCTCGCGACGCTGCGGGCCCGGCTCGAGCAGGTCGAGGGCCGCAACGAGCAGCTCGCGTCGACGCACGCGCTCGAGATCGCCGAGTTCGAGAAGAAGGCGTCGGACGAGGCGCGCGAGATGCGGTCGCGCATCGTCGAGCTCGAGCAGCAACTCGACGACGAGCGCGTCGCGCGCCGGTTCGAGGTCGAGGGCCTGCAGCGCGAGGCCGACATGGCCAAGGAGGCCATCTCGGACCTCACCGACGAGCGCGACTCGCTCGTCGAGGACGTCGACGGCTGGCGCGAGCGCTGTCAAGGTCTCGACGCCCAGGTCAAGAAGGACCGCGAGGACGAAGCGCTCGCGCAGGCGCAGGCCAAGCTCATCGGCGAGATGCGCGACCAGATCTACACGCTCGTCGCCGCCCTCGAGCGCGAGCGCAGCGAGCACGCCGAGACGCGCAAGGAGGTCGAGCGCGTCCTCGAGGACCGAGTGCGCGAGGCGGCGGCCGACGTCACCCAGTACCAGCACCAGCAGCGCACCTCGAGCGTGTCCTCGATGGGCGCGTCGCCGGTTCCGCCACCGCCGCGCTCGTCCCGTCCGCCCCAGTCGTACGCGCCGCAGCAGCCGTCGCACGCCGCGTCGCTGTCGGCGAGCTCGGCCACGAGTTCGACCGGCCCGTCGATGCACAAGCAGCCGCGCGCCGACGACCTCGCGCTCATCATGGAGGAGGTCGAGGACGACGACGAGGCGGCAGCAGGGCGCGAGGTGCCCGTCGAGGACGACCGCGGCGACGTCGCCGGGCGCCGTCACCCGTTCAAGGAGGCGTCCGACGGCAGCATGCTCTCGGGCGTCTCGTCGTCGTTTGGCCGCTCGTACTCGGGCGCGACCATGTCGTCGTCGTCTTTCGGGCGCTCGTACTCGGGCGACACGACCGAGGACACGTCCGGCCTGGACGACTCGTTCTCGGGCAAGTTCGCCTCGCCGCCCAACGGCAGCCCTTTCCCGCCTCCTGCCTCGGCGCGCGACAGCGTCGCGATCGCGCTCGGCCAGCTCGACACGCTCGCCGAGGAGGAGGAGGAGGAGGAGGACGACGAGGAGGGGACGTACGGCGGCAGCGGGCGAGACTTGGCGCCGCTCGCCGTCGACAACGACCCGCGCACGCGCCTCAGCTCCGACTCGACGACGTCGACGAGCAGCGACGTCATGCCGCACACGCCCGACAAGGCTCGCGCCGAGCGCCACGACCGCTCGCACTCGTTCGTGCGCACCTGGAGCGTACGCCCCTCTCTCGCCTTTGCCCGTCTCTGCCTCGACCTTTACTGACTCTTCGTGTCGGTCCGCAGTTCCCCAAGGGCAGCGTCAGCTCGACACGCAACTCGTTCGACGACGACGACTCGTCCTTCTTCGGGTACAACAAGCACAGCTCGTTGCCCCCGCTCCCGATCGGCGACAACATCCTCCCGCCGTTCCTGTCGTCGACGCTCGACATCGACGAGGCGTCGTTCACCTTCTTCCCCAAGTCGAAGGAGGGCACCGTCGAGACGGCGTCGCACATCCGCCGACCTTCGTCGCCTCGGCCGCTGGACCGCGTCAACCCGCACGCCCGCCGCCTCTCGGGCCAACACCGCCCACCTCCGCCGTCGCCCTCGGCCCTCGTCACTGCCGCCATCCAGCAGCAGCAGCAGCAGGCGCACACGTCGCGCCTCTCGCAGGCCTCGTCGAACGGCTCGCAGGGCCCGTCGCCGACCAAGTCGCGCTACTCGTTCGGCGCCCTCGTCGGTTCGCTCGGCGGCTGGTCGTCGTCGTCGTCGTCGTCGCAGTCGCACTCGGGCCCGTCGGCGCTCCCGGCGCCGGCGTCGTCCAAGCTCGCGAGGCAGTCGATGAGCGCAAGCGTCAGCGCGCCCGGACCTCTCATCCTCGAGGAGGACGAGGGCGACGAGCACGACGACGGCGGTGTCGAGGAGGACGTCTACGTCGGCTCCTCGCCGGCTCCTCGCCCGCCGCCGCCGCCGCAGCAGCGCGGCGCGCCTGTCGCCGGCACGCCGAGGCAGCTGCAGCACCAGAACCAGCGTCAGCACGAGCTGCGCCCGATCCGGGCGCACGAGTGCCCGACGCCCAGGGCCGCTCGCCTCGCCAAGCTCGACTTCCGCGGCTCGGCGTGCTGCGCCGACCGTCCCGTCTTTGTCGTTTGACGAGCGGGCGTCCCCTTCTTCCTCCCCCTCGTCGCCTCTCTCTCTCTCTGTGTAGCTTCCCCTCCCTTTGTCCTTCGTCCCTCCTCGTTTACCCTCGCCATAGCTGTCCGTCTCTACTAGATACCCCTTTGCCATTCCTCGCTACACTCGCCCACACTGTTCATCGCCACGTCGTTTTCGCTCCCTTTGAAGTGCCGGATCGCTTCCCGTCGTGCAACTCGTCTATTCCTCTGCCTCTTGTTCTCGTCTGAAGAGCTGCTAGACGTGCTCCTCTGCCTCGAAGTAGCCGACGTCGTCGCGCCGAGGCAGGACGAACGCGCTCGAGGAGAGGTCTGTCGTTACGAGAGGCTCGAGCGTCTTTCTCTGCCTTTACCCCTCTCCGAGACTCGAGTGCTCCTCGTTAACTTCGACCTCGCTGCGTCGCGATCTGGGGCGTGCTTTCGTACAGCGAGCGTGCGCGAGGCGCGAGAGAGGAAAGGCGCAGGAAAGCAGCTTTGCGAGCGAGTCGACGAGGAGGACGAGGTCCGTGCCGGCCCGCAGCCGTTCAGGCTCTCTCTCGCTCGCTGTTATGCACTCGAGCACACACAAAGAGAGTCCTTCAGAGAGAGAGAGCCGGCGGGAAGAGCACCTCTCGGCCTCGCCGACCTCGGCTGGAACTGGGAAGGCGAGAGGCCAATCTCGCGCTGTACACGACAAAGTAGCTCGGGAAACGGGCTCAATTGCACCGTAGACTCCTCCTCGTTCGATCTGGCGCGCGCACGAAGCCGTAACCCTGCTAGATCAAGAGCTAGCGTTTGAGCGAGGGTGCGCAGGATCCCCCTGTCTTTTGTAGGTGGCCGGGCGCACGGGCGCTCCGCAGGGGTGCGCGCCGTGCGAGCGGCTCACCAGAGTGCGCCCGCTGCCCTCAGGGGAACGTGAGGGCGGGCGCAGCCTCGTAAGGACCCGTCCGCGGCGGCTCGACTCGCTGAGCCGTCGGGACGAGTGCGACGACGAACAAGAACTCTGTGCAGTCCGGGAAGGCTCGCGAGGGACAAGGAGAGCTTTCGGAGAGGAAAGGGCGCCATCGCGCGGCGCAGCAAGGGCGCGAGGGGAAGCTTTCGAGGCCGAGAAGGGAGAGGTGCCATCGAGGGCGCGACTAACCTGCAGCGCGAGGTCGAGAGGGTCAGTGAGCGGCTCGGCGAGGAGTACAGACCCATGTGAAGGTCCTGCAAGGAAGAAAGAGAGTGCGCGGGACGTACAAAGAATAAGATGAGCCGGCTCGAGGTGGAGAGCTCGCCTCGCGCCGCCCAGAAGACCGCCCTTCTCGCCTTGCGCAGCCGTTCCGCCTGCAGAGAGACGAGATCAGTCCATTGAGACCCCTGCGCCGCGTCGCGAGGTAGCAGAGGGGGCGAGGGGAGAGGGAGAGGGGGGCCAAACACGGGGAGGCGGGGAGGAGGAGGACGCACCAGTCGCCCACAGCCCGCGCAGCGCTGCCGTCTGGCCCAGTAGTCTCCTTGATGCTGAGATAGTCCTCGACGACGATGCCCACAGGCCCATGAACCGTTGCCGCGAGCTGAGAGAGGCCGGACGACGCGAGTTGCTGATGAAGATGCGACGCGCCCTGCGCCCTCGGCGGCCGCTCGCGGCGGCGCGGGAGCAGGCCCCATGGATAGATGATGCGATGCAGAAGAGCTGGACACGCGCCGGCAACGCACAGCAGCGGTGCGGCTGAGTTGCGCGTGGAGGACGAGGTGCGGGGCGCGGGTTGTCGAGATTACAACCTCGCGCTTGACGTTTGTATTCGCCAATAGCTTCGAGGTGGAGCCGTTAGCGAGATCACCAAGCTCCAGCTATTCTCGCATAGCTTTCGACTCGCTCGAGGGGAGGGTTTTGACGAGTGTTCGAGCGCTTTCTGCGAGTCTGCAGCTCGACGAGGACTACGTGCGACGTCGTCAAGCGCGGCCAATGAGCTTCAGGACCGCTCTCGAGCTTTCGCGACCCCGGGCGCGACAAGCACGCGAAGTAAAAGCGAGAAGAAGGCTCGGGAGCAAGTCGAGGAGGAGGACGAGGTTTGCGCAGCCGGCAGGCGTCGGCGCACGTTCTCTCGCTCGTGGGAGACTCAGAGAAACTCGAGGAGAGAGCGCGAAAGCAGAGGAGCCGACAGGAAGAGCTGCGCTCGGGTCGCTCCCCGACCGACTTGAGAAGGGCAGCGAGAGCCGTAACTCGGGCTCTACAAGACGAAAGGGCTCGGGAGAAGCGCTCGATTGCACCGTAGACTCCTCCTCGTTCGATCTGGCGCGCGCACGAAGCCGTAACCCTGCTAGATCAAGAGCTAGCGTTTGAGCGAGGGTGCGCAGGATCCCCCTGTCTTTTGTAGGTGGCCGGGCGCACGGGCGCTCCGCAGGGGTGCGCGCCGTGCGAGCGGCTCACCATAGTGCGCCCGCTGCCCTCAGGGGCACGCGAGGGCGGGCGCAGCCTCGTAAGGACCCGTCCGCGGCGGCTCGACTCGCTGAGCCGTCGGGACGAGTGCGACGACGAACAAGAACTCTGTGCAGTCCGGGAAGGCTCGCGAGGGACAAGGAGAGCTTTCGGAGAGGAAAGGGCGCCATCGCGCGGCGCAGCAAGCGCGCGAGGGGAAGCTTTCGGGGCCGAGAAGGGGGAGGTGCCATCGAGGGCGCGACTAACCTGCGGCGCGAGGTTGAGAGAGTCAGCGCATGATTGGGCGAGGAGCCAAGGCCCATATGGAGCTCATGTAGGTAGAGGAGAGTGTGCGAGGGACGCACAAGGTTCTGGATGAGCGCCCTCGAGGATGAACCGCGTTCTGCGCCGCCCAACACGGCCGCCCGCCGACCCTGCGCAGCCGACTTGGCCGGAGACGAGGGACAAGTCAGTTCTGTGTTGCATGCTGGATGCGTCGCAAGGTGGCTGGGAGGGCGAGGGTGGAGGGAGAGGGGCGCCGAACACTGGGAGGCGAGGGGGACGAGGACGCACCCATCGTCCGAGACCCATGCAGCGTGAATGCCGTGCCCTGGCCCTCCCTACACCTCCTCGAGTCGACGACGACGTCTCCCACTGGCCCACGAGTCGTTGTCGTGAGTCGAGAGCCGGTTGTTGACGCGGGGTGCTGATGAGGATGGGGCGCGGTGTGCGGGTCGACGGGGGCGTGGGAGGGTGCCGTCGCGTCTTGTGGCGGGTTGTGCGTGCTGCTGGGGCGGGTTCGAGTGGTCGCTGACCCGGCGGGAGGGTTTAGCGAGACAGGTCGAGGGGGAACGACGACGAGGGGTCGAGGTCGAGGTCGGGGGCGGCGCTGCTCACGCGAGGCGGGGCTGCTGGGGGCATGCAGGCCATGTCGAGAGGTGCACCGACGTATGGAGCTGCGCGTGGACTGACCACAGTGCGGCGAGAGGCGAGTTCGGCCTCGGTGGTGGCAGCCACCTGCGGCGCGCCAAACCGGCAAGCTTCAAACGAGCCTTGTGCCTTAGCCTTTGTGCGCTCTGCCTTGTGCGCTGCGCTCTACGGCACCGACCACTGCGCACTGCGCCGCCGCTACAGCGCCGCCTCAGCTCGCCGCCGCTCCTCCAGCTTCTCCTGCGCACCTCACCTCCTCGTCACCTCGCCTCGACCAGCTCCTCTCGGGCTTCCACCAGCTCCACAGCGACCAGTCGACCTCAACTCTCGCAGCGACACGGCCCTGCCTCCGCTCGGCATGCGCCTGCCTCCCCCTTCCTCCCCCTCCTCCCCCCTCCTCCATCGCTCGCCGGCGGAGAGCTGACCTTTGTCATCACGAGAGAGTCTCGTCGTTCCGCGGAGGAGTGCGCATGGGGCCAGTCGATGCAATGCAAGTAATCGCGCGTCTGCCCAGCGAGTTGCGCCGACTCGAGAGAGCGAGGGAAGCTGCTGGTGCTCCTCGCCGCTCTCGCTCACTGCGCCCGCTCGCGCAAAGCCTCGCTGAAAGCTCTCGTCAAGCTGTCGCTCTCCATCTCTCGAGACCGGCTGCGACGCATGCGCACAAGATGCGCCAGGTCGCTCAGTTGCACCTCGCTCGCCGTCCCGGCTCTGCAGCGTCCTCGCCTCCTCCCTTGCCGATGAGAGTCGAGAAATGCGCCGCGCTGAATCTGTATTACACCGGCTGGACGACCCTGCGGAAAGTACTGAGGCGAGGCGAGGGCGAGCTGGGGCGGCGGCGTGCGAGGACGAGGAGGCGGGGGAGCAGAGTTTGACGGTGGGCGGGTGTCGAGGCGCGGCGGACTGGGCGTGACGGTGTGTCGAGAGTGAGTGAAAGGGCGAGGTGTCGCTGGCAGCGACGGTAGCCGTGTCGAGGTCGAGCTGGCGGTCGAGGTGATGAGGCGGGAGGGAGGGGAAGGAGGAGCTGAGGCGGTCGAGGCTGCGGATGTGCGGCTCCGAGCTCGAGGTCTGCGAGGTAGTAGTGCACAAGGTGCAAGGGCGAGTGCACAAGGCAGAGTGCACATGCAGCCGCGTGAGCCTTGCCGAATCGGCCCACCTCAGCCACCGACGTCGATTCGACGCTCGCCTCCACACTCGCCCTCGACAGCTTGGATCGACAGCCGCTGCAGCTTTGCACTCTGCCTGAGCACCTCGACGGCCACCCGCCACCTCGACAGCGACTCGCCAGCTGCTCCTCCTCCTCCCCCACACCCGGACCTCGACCGCCATGCTCGCTGCCGTCGGCCAAATCTGCTCGACCAACAACGTCTCGCGCAACGCCGCACTCTGCACCTCGCTCATCCGCAGAGCAGCAGCAGCACGCTGCGCCCTCCTCTACCTCCCAGAGGCCGCAGACTTTATCGCCAACGCCGACCAAGTCCCGCTCTTGAGCGAGCCCCTCGACTCGAGCCCGTTCGTGCGCAGGGTCCGCCAGCAGGCAAAGGACTGCGCCATCTGGGTCGGTGTCGGCGTGCATGAAAAGGCCACCGAGGACAAGTGCTACAACACCAACCTCGTGCGCCCCTCTCTCTCTTTCCTCGTCGTCCTCCTCCTCCTCGACGACCTCTCTCGAGCGTGTCTCGGGCACCCTGACCTGACCTGCCTCGTCATCCACAGCTCATCTCGCCCGACGGCGAGATCGCCCAGGCGTACCGCAAGCTGCACCTGTTCGACGTCAAGCCGACGGGCCCGGCCGGCGGCGTCATGCTCGAGAGCAAGACGACCATCCAGGGCGACAAGCTCCTCGACCCGGTCGACACGCCCATCGGCAAAGGTCCGTCCCGCCCTTTCGGACCTCCTCGTTTGGCACTTCCTGACCCTTTCTCTCGCCCTGTCTCCCTCGCAGTCGGCCTCTTGACGTGCTACGACCTGCGCTTCCCCGAGGTCGGGCTCGCGCTTCGACGACGAGGCGCCCAGGTCCTCTGCTACCCGTCGGCGTTCACGCTCAACACGGGCGCGCCTCATTGGGGTGCGTCTCTCGCTCGGGCCCCCTCTCCTCCTCCCGCTCCTCGACGCCTGACTGACCCTCTCGCACTGCCCGACATAGAGGTCCTTCTACGCGCACGAGCGATCGAGAACCAGTGCTACGTCCTCGCGCCCGCACAGGTGCGTCCCTTGCTCTCTCGCCTTGCGGCCCGGGTCCACCGCGCTCGCGAGCTCACTCGCCGCTCTCCCTGCCCGCCTCACAGATCGGCCAGCACTCGCCCTCGCGTCAGACGTTCGGCCACGCGCTCATCGTCGACCCGTGGGGCGCCGTCGTCGCACAGGCGTCGGACCGGCCGCCAAAGTTCCCGCCGCCGGACGAGGGCGTCGACGACGACGCCGGCACGTTCGTCATGGCTGACGTCGACCTCGAGTGGCTCGAGCAGATGCGCAGGGAGATGCCGCTGTGGGACCAGAGGCGAGGCGACGTGTACCCGATCTTGTAGAGCGCGACCTGCACTCGACTCATCTCGCACGGACCCTCTCCTTCTGCGCGAGCGAGAGCGAGAGCGAGAGACACGCGAGACGATGGAGAGCAACATGAGGATGCAGGGAGAGAGAGAGAGATGGGCTAGCGCAAGGGTATCTACAGCAGAAAGTGACGGCAGGACAACAGGTGGGAGGCGAGGGAGAGGGAGAGGGTGCGAGGGAGAGAGAGGAAAGGGGTGCATGTCGACGGCGAGCAAGGTCACTCGTATGCCCTCCGTCGTCCTCCTGCCCCGGTCCGCTGCCGCTTGCGCCTCATCTCGCCCAAGTCGCCCTCGACCTCCTCGCCCCGGAGCGCGCTCAGGCCCGCCAAGCTCTTGCCAAACTGACTGTACGTCCCGCTCTGGACGAGGAAGTGAGCCGGCGGGAGGCCCGGCTGCGTGCGCCCGCCCGGCTTGCGCTTACCGACCGTGCCCGTCAGGAGCGACGCCGTCGGCCCGATGCCGCTCAGGGCCGTGAGCGTCGCCGCGCCCGACCCGGCGACGCCGCCGCTAGGCGGCAGGAGCGCCGCCGCGAGGTGGAACGGGTCGGCGACGCCGCTCAGGCCGAGGAGCGACCCGAGCGCGGCCGCATCGACGCCGACGCCCGCCGCGCTCGTCGCGCCGCCGCCGTTGACGCCCGCGCCCGACCCGCCACCGCCTGCGCCGCCGGGCCCGTCTCGCCCGTTGGCGACCGACTCGGACGGCGAGGCGGCGCCGTTGGTCCCCGAGCCGAGCCCGCCGTTGTGCCCGTTGCCGCCTGCGCCGCCGCCGCGAGACGAGGCGCCGACGCGCCCGCCGCCACGCATGCGACGCGTGCCGTGCGTGCGTTGGCTCTCGAGGAACGTGTCTGTGTGGCGCAAGATGCTCGAGAGTCAGGACGGGCTCGAGGAAAGCTCGTCGCACGAACGAACGAGGAAGGGAAAGTCGCGGACGCACCGATCGTGACGCCCTCGCCGTCCTTCTCCTCGAGCAACCTCTTGCGGCGCTCCTCGACGCCCTCGAACAGCTTCTCGACGACGCCCTTGGTCGCCGCCTCGTACTCGTCCTCGATGCGCTCGACCTCGGCGTCGTACAGGCGGCGCGCGCTCGCGACCTGGTGCTGGTGGAACAGGCGGATCGCGACCTGCTCGTTGGCGCGCTCGAGCGAGAGGCGGTGCAGCGAGAAGAGGTACGGGACTGGGTGCATGTCGGGGATGACGGGGTCGGTGAACGGGAGCGAGGGTGGCAGCTGGCCGACGGGGATGGACAGGTCCGAGGTGGGGAAGACGGGCGGCGGGAGGAGCTCGTCGGCGGTGCGGGCGTAGATCTCGGACAGGTCGTGGAAGATCCTGCGGGCGGCGAGAGAGTCAGCTCGGGTCGCGCGGCGATGGATCTGGCGGCAGAGGTGCTCGAGGGGGGAGGGGGAGGAGGGCAAGACTGCAACGGCTCGCGCCGCACAGGATGCTCGAGGAACGAGCTGCGACAGCCCGCAGGCCTGTACACGCGAGGCGCGGTGCTGCTGTGCGGCCCCGTGCTCCTCCCTCGAGAGCCGGCCGGGAAGCTCGCCCGCGGCGGGGCGGCGGTTGAACACAAAGAGAAAAGGCGAGGCGCACCTGTCTCGCCGTGCCACCGTGTCGTCTTGAAGCCTCGTGACGCGGTCGACCATCTCGCGGCGGCGCTTGTCGCGCTTGCTCTCCTGCGGCAGAGGCGGAGCGGGGTTGCCGTAGGCTGCAAGGGACGGAGGGGCGCGAGGGGGGGCCAGGGTCAGCACTCGTCGCCGATGCAGAGCTCCACGGGCCCGCCACCTTGGCTCTGCTCGAGCAGGGCGCGGGCCGACGAGGTTGGCGAGGGCGGGAGGAGCGGAGGGCTCACCGTCGTAGGAGAGCTCGTCGGGCGGGTACAGGTGCGCGTTGGGATCTTGCTGAGGCTGCCACTGGCCCTGCACAGGCTGCTTGCCGGCCATGGTCGTCGTGCTCGAGCGGGTGCGGCGGGACAGAGGGCGAGAGAGAGCTGGCGAGGCGAGGCAGCAAGCTGCAGCAAGCCCGATCGGCCAAAAGTCCACGGAAGCCGGGTCGCTCTGGTGTTCAACAACGACGAGCTTTGCAAGGGATGCGAGGGGACGGGATATCGCTACAGCAGAACACACACACACTCGAGAGACCGCGGCCTCACCACTTGGCCGGCCGCGCGCCAAAGATGCTCGACCCGACCCTCACGTTGGTACTCCCCTGCTCGATCGCCTCGGCAAAGTCGCTGCTCATGCCCATGCTCAGCTCGAGCCCCTCGTGCTCGACCTCGTCGACCGCCTTGCGCACCGCGTCGCCGTCGCCCGCCTTGTCCTTGAGCGCACGGACGAGCGCCTCGCGCGTCTGCTTGAGCCGCTCAAAGTCCGGGTTGGGCGCGTCCGACGTTGACGCCTCGAGCGATCCGATCGTCATGAGGCCCTTGAGGCGCAGGGTCGGGCACTTGTCGACAATGTGCAGCGCGAGGTCGACGAGAGGGCCTTCTGCCGCCGACGACGGCTCGAGCGCGGGCAGGCCCGACTTCTGCTCCTCGCCCGACGTGTTGACCTGGATAAAGATGTTGAGGCGCTCGTCGCGAGGCGGCGACAGGGCCGACAGCGTGTTGTGCAGCTGGTTGGCCGCCTTGACCGACGTGAGCGTCTCGATGGCGTACAGGTTGCGGATCGCTGCGGGCGTGGACACGGGGTCAGCGGGTGTCGCTCGCGCGCCTCAGGAGGGACCGTGGGACGCACAGGCCAACATCTTGCACTTGTTGGACTGGAGCGTGCCGATGTAGTGCCAGGCGATGTCGGTCGGCAGCTGTCGGAGAGGGGAAGAGGCGAGCGTGAGCTGGCGCTTAACCGCGCACAGGAGAGTGGACGGTCGAGGACGCACCTCCTTGGCCTTGCCCTCGAGCTCTTGCGGGTAGTTCTCGCCAAAGTGGCGCACGCCGTGCTCGTGCAGGGCGAGGAGGTCGCTCGCGGGCTTGTACTTGGAGACGGCGACGAGGCGGGGCTGCGGGCGGCCGAGATCACGGTCAGGGTTGTTCGTAGAGGGCACAAGGGAGAGGTGGGAGCCCACTCACCGCCGGCCCACTGCCTCGCTTGGCGGCGGCCTGCTTGACCTGGTCGGCGATCGAGTCGTAGTTGTGCCGGAGCTCGTCGGCGCGCTCTGCGGTGGCGGGTTCGACCATTTTGGCGAGAGTGGAGCGGGTGGAGCGAGCGGCAGCAAAGGCGGGGCGGCTCGTCGAGAAGGAGCGCAGTTGCCGGAGCATGCGTAGAGCGATGAGGCGGTGGTCCCGCTCGTCGACCTCTCCTGCTCCATCCACCCTGCTTTGCTCGCCTGTTCTCTCGCACAACGCCTCGACCATGGCTCAAGACAGCTCCCTCGACTGGTCCACCCTCATCTCGGAGCGAGGCCGCCGCTGGGAACCTTCCGCCAGTCCGTCCACTTCTCTCCTCCCGATGAAGGCATTGCCGGCCTCGCAGCGGCAAGGACGCTCGTGCGATCCGGCTCAGGAGGTCCAGAGACGGCACTGGCAGGCGCGGTCACTGATCACGAGGGTCGTTTGCGCGCAGTTCGCGGCCTGTTCCCCCTCGAGAAGATCCCGGGCATGGTCTCGCTCCTCGCAGGCAAGCCCAACGCCGACACGTTCCCCTTTTCGGCCATCAAGGTCGACCTCAAGCCCATCGTGCGTCCCCCTCTCCTCGCCGCCGTCAAGCAATCCCTCCCCTTCCACCTCTCGTTGACTCGTCGTTCTCGCCTCGCAGATCCCGGGCGACCCGGTCGAGACGCTCACGGTCGAGTCGGACGCGCTCAACGAGGCGCTCCAGTACGGCGCGACGGCGGGTCTGCCCAACCTCGTCAAGTGGATCGAGAACTTGCAGGAGACGAGGCACAAGCGGGCCAAGGACGGCAGCTGGAGGGTCAGCCTCGGCAGCGGGAGCCAGGACCTCATCAACAAGGTGCGCCGACATCTCTTCCTCACGTTCTCGGAGGCGCAGGTCGAGGCGGCCGACACTGACCCGGTTGCTCGAGCAGGCGTTCCACTCGCTCGTCAACGACGACGACTCGATCCTGATCGAGTCGCCGGTGTACTCGTGCGTGGTCTCTCTCCCTACACGTCGACGGTTCGGGCCCATTTGATCACTCTTCTGCGCGCAGGGGCACGCTCGGCCTGCTGAACCGGTTCCAGGTCAACCTCATCGGTCCGTCCTCTGTCGTCCCTCCCTTTCTCGCAAGGACGGCGGTCTGACAGACAAAGTACACCCGCAGAGCTCCCTGTCGACAACGAGGGCCTCGACCCGGCCAAGCTTGAGGAGACGCTCGACAACTTTGCGACGCTGTACCCGGGAAAGCGCTTCCCGAGGTTGCTCTACACCATGTGCGCCCCTTTCCTTTCTCCCCCTTCCCTCGTCCAGGATCACCCTGACGTCTCGTACATGCAGCCCGACCGGCTCGAACCCGACTGGCGCGACCGCGCCTGAATCCCGCCGCCAGGCCGTCCTCGCCCTCGCCCGCAAGCACAACCTGCTCATCCTCGAGGACGACGCGTACCACTTCCTGTCGTTCGACCCGACGCACCTCGTGCCGAGCTACTTTGAGCTCGAGGCGCGCGACGGCGGCAAGACGGGCAGGGTCGTCCGCTTCGACTCGTTCTCCAAGATCCTCAGCTCTGGTGCGTCGTCTCGCTCTCCTTCGTGCCGGCCTCGATCTCGACCTGACCCACCTTCTTTTTGCCGCGCACAGGTATGCGCCTCGGCTTCGTGACGGGCCCCAAGGAGCTCCTCGACGTCATCGACCTGCACACGGCCAATACCAACTTGCAGCCGTCGTCGACGACGCAGGCCATGGTGCTTGTCCTGCTCAACAAGTGGGGGCTCGACGGCTTTATCGCCCACACGCAGCGCGTCGCGGCCTTTTACAAGGCCAAGCGCGACATGTTTGAGCGCGTCGCGCACCGGTACCTCGACGGGCTCGCGACCTGGGTCAGCCCCGAGGCGGGCATGTTCGTGCGTCGGCCGCTCTGTCTCTCTCTCTCTCTCGTCCTCCTGAGTCGATCCCTGACATGGAGGAATATGCCCGCAGCTGTTCCTCGACCTGCACCTGACCAAGGACGGCACGGCGGGCGACTCGTCGTCGCTCATTTCGACGACGGCGGTGCAGAAGGGCGTGCTCGCCGTGCCCGGCATCGGCTTCTTGCCCAACGGCGGCGTGTCGTCGTTCGTGCGCGTGTCGTTCTCGCTCGCGACGGAGCAGGACGCCGAGCTGGCGTTTGAGCGGTTGCGCGAGTGCGTCCTCGAGGCGAGGGGCGAGGCGTAGATGGAGGTCGCGTGCGCCTAGACTGTCTATCGTGCTTGTACTAGAGCGTTCTGTCGCCCGCTCAGCTGGCCCGAGAGAGCGAGCCGATGTCAACACTGAGCGGCCGAGCGACTTGGCCGCGAGCGACGAGCCGCCACCTCGCCCGCTCCCACCTCGTCTCGACAGCTCGTCGAGGGCTCCGCTGTACCAGCTCAGCAGCCTCTCAGCAGCTACATCGAGCTCGGAAAGCCTTTGCGCGGGCTCTCCACGCCGTGCCTCTTCGTCCCCGTCCACCTGCATCGCCTCATCGCTCCACCCACCCGCGCGAGGGCCGGCACACGCACGATGAGGATCGTGACCTGGAACGTGGTGCGTCCGTCCCTCTTCTCGGCTGCACGAGCGCGGTACTGACCCACGCGAGCGCGCAGAACGGCATCAAGACGCTCCCCCACTTTCACCCGTGAGCTCCTCCCCTCTCCCTCGCCCGCGCTCCGCGTTACGCGTACGTCAGGCTAGACGGACGTGCAAGAGGACTGACAAGTAGCACTCGCATACTCAGGTGGAACGTCAAGAAGACGCACGAGGGCATCATCGAGGACCTCGAGGGCGACATCACCTGCATCCAGGGTACGTCCAGCTCTCGCCTTGCCTCCGGACAAGCGCACCAGCTCACCTAGCAGTCCATTCGCATGCACGCAGAGACCAAGATCACGCGCGCGCAGATCGAAAAGGGCATGGCGTGCATGAACTCGTTCGACTCGTTCTTCTCGTTCTACCGCAAGAGCGTCAAGGGCGTCCACGGCACGGCCATCTTTACCAAGCGCGACGTCGTCGTTCCCGTCAAGGCCGAGGAGGGCATCGGCTCGTCGCTCTTGCCGTCGACCATGCCTGTCGACGAGCGCATCGGCGGGTACCCGCTCTCGTCCGACGCCGACCTCGACTACAACACGATGAAGGACCTCGACTCGGAGGGCAGGACGACCGTCATCGACACGGGCATGTTTGTCCTCATCAACCTGTGCGTCCTCGTCGCCCTCCCAGTCCTCGGCTGTACTCCTCTCGCCCATCTCGCTCACTCGTCCACGCACTCGCAGCTACTGTCCGAACGAGACCAACTCGGACCGGCTTGAGTTCAAGCTCAACTTCAACAAGATGGTCGATCGGCGAGTGCGAGGGCTCATCCGGGCAGGGCGGCAGGTCATCGTCGTCGGCGACCTCGTGCGTCCCCTTCTCTCCGCCTTTCCTCAACTCGTCGCGCCCGGCGCTCACAAACTCGACCCCCCTCGACAGAACATCTGCGCGTCCGACCTCGACACTGCCGATCCAGAGCGCCGGGCTCGCGAGTCCGGCCTCGAAGCGTTCACCGACCACCCTGCGCGCACCTGGCTCAACAGCTTCACCGGCGAGAACGGCATCATGATCGACATCACGCGCAGGTTGCACCCGGATCGTCTCGGCATGTTCACGTGTGCGTCGAGAAGCGCTTTTAAGCCTGAGTGCCACAGGCGTTTTCCTCGTCCTGACCCTCATTTTCCCGTAGGCTGGAACACCAAGATCGACGCACGGTACGTCGTCCTCTTCCTCACCTATTCGTGCGAGTACTCATGTCCGTCCCTTCACAGCCCGACCAACTACGGCGCCCGCATCGACTACATCCTCATCACGCCGGGCCTGCTTCCCTGGGTCAAGGACTCGGACATCCAGCGCGACATCATGGGCTCCGATCACTGCCCCGTCTACCTCGACCTGCACGACGAGCTCGACATTCCCGGTCGCGGCAAGGTGTCGCTCTGGAACGAGCTCAACCCTGGTCGCAGCAAGAGCGACCCGCCGCCTCCTCCGCCCGCGTTCGCCGCCCGGTTCTACGACGAGTTCTCGGGCAAGCAGAAGCTCCTCTCGAGCTTTTTCGGCAAAAAGGGCGGCCCGTCGCCGGCCGGCCCGACGCCGTCGCCGTCGCCGCAGCCGGGCTCGTCGTCCGCTCCTGTCGCGTCCACCTCGAGTGCGCCGCCGCCCGCCGTCAAGGCGGCCTCGTCCTCTCAGCCGATGTCCAAGGACACTTCGTCATCCTCGTCGTCGACGTCGAAAAAGGGCAAGGGCAAGGCGCGCGAGCCGTCGCCGCTGCCTGAGAAGGTCAAGGAGCGCAAGACGGGCCAGCAAGACCTGTCGAGCTTCTTCAAGCCGCCGCCTCAGCCCGATGCGCCGCTCAAGAAGAAGCGCAAGAAGAGCAGCAGCACCGCCAAGACGACCCCTCCCCCTCCTTCTCTCGTCGCGCCCTCGTCCTCCTCGTCCGCCACCGCCAAGCCGTCCAAGTCGCCGAAACCTCGCTCTCGCACGCCCCCAGACCGCGAGGTCCTCGTCCTGTCGGACGACGAGGACGACGGCCAAGGCGAGACGTCGCGCGCCGCACGAGCGAGCACCGAGGAGCAAGCCGACGCCATGCTCTCGGCGTCGTCGGCGCTCTCGTCGTCGGCCGGCGCGCCCACCGCGGTCCTCAACGCCGAGTCGGCCTCGGCGTGGTCGAGCATCTTTGCGTCCAAGCCGCCGCCGCTGTGCGAGGGCCACAACGAGCCGGCAAAGCTGTGGACGGTCAACAAGACCGGGATCAACAAGGGCCGGCGCTTCTTCCTGTGCTCGAGGTGCGTCCTCTCTCACTCCCTCTCTCTTCCAGCACGTACTGACGACGACGCTGTCGTTCTCGCACGCAGACCTGTCGGGCCGGGCTACGACCAGGGCCAGGCCAAGCTGCACGTCGACCCGCAGTTCCGCTGCAACTTCTTCCAGTGTGCGCCTCTCTCTTCCTCTCCTTTCCTCTCCCGCATCGTGTCATTGACTCTCTCAACCCTCTCGATGCTGCAGGGGAGACGAGCGTCAAGCGGCCGGCGGGTATCGCGCTCACGCCGTCGGCCAAGAAGAAGCAGGCCTGAGCGCTCGAGGTGTCTCTCGCTCTCGACGAGTTGTTTTGTCGTAGTGGGTCTTCGATGCATTGTGCTTGAGACTGCGCGTGCGATATGAAAGGCTACGAGGTACAGGGAGTGCTAGTCGTGACGATGCTGTGCTGCAACAACCTGGACGAGGCGCAAAGGAGGAGAAAGAGAGAGAAAATGGGTCGAAAGGGGGTAACGACAGGGGTGGGAGGGAGGTAAGAGAGTGAAAGAGGAACTAGACGACCCTCTGCCTCGCGTTCGGCAGCGAGTGGCCGTTCTTCTTGGCCTCCTCGAGGACGTGCGTCGCGACCCGAGACTCGCGCTCGCGCGACTCGAGCGAGGGCTGCGAGCCGCCGCTGTGCTTCGCGTTCCCTCCTCCTGCTGCGCCACCGTGCTTCTTACCGCCGGCGCCGCCCTGACCGCCGCCCTGCCCGCCTGCGCCGCCGTGACGGAGCGCGGCCGGACCCGGGTTGCGCACGCGCTCGTTGCGGTTCGGGACGCCGTGCTTGTTCGGGCCCTTGCGGTTGTAGTGCGACTTCCACGTCGACTGCTCGAGGACGGGGCGGGCCGGGTACGAGCCGGCCGGGATGGCCTTGGAGCGGTCCGAGGGGTGCATCGTCCACGGGCACTGGATGCGCTGCGTCGGGACCTTGGCGAGCTGCGGGAGCCAGCAGCGGATGTAGTCGCCCTGCGGGTCGTACTGCAGGTCGAGGGAAAGTGTCAGGCGCTGTTGGCGAAGAACGGAAGAGCGAGAGGGAGGGAGAGAGGGGGACGCACGTCGTTGCCCTGCTTGATCGGGTTGAACTGCCTCGACGCCCGAGGGTCATTGCCGACGCCGCTCACGTACTGCCAGCTGTGGAGAGGAGAGAGGGCCAAGTCAGGGTCCGATCGAGAGAGAGAGAGGTCGAAGAGAGAGAGCGCCCGACTCACTTGCCCCAGTTGCTCGACGGCTGCGAGACGAGCGAGGACAGTAAGCGAGGGCGCTCGGGGAGAGAGAAGAAAGAGAGAGGCAAAGTGGGCGCACCTCAAAGTCGATCAAGTGCGACTCGAAGAACTCGGCGCCGAGGCGCCAGTCGATCTGGCAGTCCTTGGTGAGGAACGAGGCGACGTTCTGGCGACCGCGGTTCGACATGAAGCTGTACACGGCGTCGGGGAGATGGTCAGTCTTCTACTCACGATCGTGGGAAAAAGAGAGAGAGAGAGAGGACGCACCCCGACTCGCGCAGCTCGGCCATGTTGGCGTCGATGAACGGCACGCCAGTCGTCCCCTGCATCCACCGGACGGCCGGCTGCTCGTGCTCGACGCTGTCGGAGAACTTCTTCTCCTGGTCCCACGTCTTCCACCAGCCGTCCTGGAGCTTGTACCGCGCCTGCTTCGGGTCCGTCACCTCCTCGAACCCGCCGAGCGTGAAGAGCTTGGTGCCGAATTTGCTGCAGCGAGGTCGAACGAGTCAGGGAGGGCACGAGGACGACGCGAAGAGAGAAAGGGAGACGTACCGAGCGACGAAGAGGAAGTAGTCGCGCCACAGGAGCTCGAACCGGACCCAGTACGTGTTCTGGCTCGCGCCGAACTTGGCCTCGGACTCGTCGAGCGCCTCGACGATGGCTCGGGGCGAGATCATGCCGAGGCACAGGAAGGGCGACAGCTTGGTGCTGTACTCGTGGCCGATGAGGCCGTTGCGCGTCTCCTTGTACCGGGCGACAGGTGGCGGCGAGCCGTCCTTGAAGTAGAACGCGAGGCGCTCGAGAGCTGCGGTCTCACCGCCAGGGTACGGGAACGCGCTCTGCTGATTGCTGCCCTGGCTGCTCGCGACGATCTGGAACGAGTCCTGGAGGGGCTTGAGGAGGTGCGCGAGGACGTAGTCGAGGTCGCGCTTCTCCTCGTCCATCATGCGGCTGCCGTAGCCCGGGTAGACCTTGGTCGAGTCGTCGGGCTTGGGGAACGGCTTGAACGACTTGGGGATGGGCAGCGTCGGACGGCCAAAGTCGGGAAGGCCCTCGACGCGCTTGCGGAACGGCGTGAAGACGTCGGGCATGTCCTTGACGCGGAACGGGAGGTCGTCGACGTGGACTGTCACGAGGAGCATGTCAGTACGAGGAACGGGAGGGACACGAGAGGGGCGGGCGGGACGCACTGAGCGGGGCCTGGTCGAAGCAGGTCAAGCGCACGCCCGACTGCTTGAGGTTCTTGCGCAACTTGTGCTCGATCGCCTTCTCCTCCGAGTAGAACTGCGAGCGCTCGAGACTGTGAGCATGCTGTCCGTCAAGGACCGAGAGTGAGGTTGAGCGGACGCACCTCCTTCTGCAGGAACACCTCCTTGACCTCGTCGCCGTTCTTGATAAGCTCGGCGGCGATGTCGGCCGTGACGTCCTCCATCTTGCCGAACCGGATGAGGAGATCACTGCCATGCTTGCGGAGCGTGTTGCGCAGGTCAAAGACGCCCTCGACGAGGAACCTGAGGGAAAGGTCGGCCGTGGCGTGAGCAGACGCGCTCGCTCGGCTTCTCTCGAGAGGACGAAGGGGGACGCACCTCGCACGGAAAACGCCGGTGCGCCAGAAGTTGAACTGGCGGGTGCGGGCCTCGGGGCCCTGGCGCTGGTAGTCGGGCAGGCCCGACAGCTCGACGAAGCGCTCGTCGAACACGAAGACGGGGAGGACGTGGGTCACGTCCTTGTGGTGCGAGTCGTGTGCTGCATGGAACAGGGCATTGTCGTGCACGCTGCGAGGAGGAAGGGAGCGAATCGAGGGGAGGACGAGGGTCGGTCAAGGGCGGTCAGCGGGCTGCGCTGGCGGGAGGAGGGGCGAGGGGAACGAGAGGGACGCACCGCAGGTCGTTCCTGTGGAGCGTGATGACCACCTTGCGACCCATGGTGGCGGCGTGGCGTGAGAGAGGGAGGCGGAGAGAAGCCACGACGATGAATAGCGATCGGTGCGGCCGAGGTGCGGGGTTGACGACGACGACGACGAGGGACGGACAGGGGCTGCGGATCGTCGACTGTCGGACCTTGGTGTCGTGCGGAGCGAGTCGGGGCAGCTGCTAGGCCAGCGGTCGGGCTTGGACGCGTGAGCTGGACGCTGGGCGGTGAGCGCGACGATGGCAAAGGTCAACCAGCGGCGCGCCGGCTTGCCTCGCCTCCATCGCGCTTCGCCGACGCTAATTAAATGCGCCGTCGATCACCGCCGGCCTGCGCTCACTCGAAAGTACTCGCGGCTCGAGCGCTTTCTCGCACACGACCTGGCTTTCGAGCGCTCGCGCCTCGCCGCATGTCGACAGCGGAAAGTGGGCGTAGTGATTGCAAAGGACAGGGGTACGAATGGACACAAATGCGGGACCTCCTCCTCCTCCTCCTCGAGCGCTCACGGCTTGAAGTCGTCCTCGTCGACAAGGTCCTCCTCGTCGGCGCAGCTGTACACCCACTCGGTCGTGACGAAGCGACGGTATTTGGGCCTGCGGTCGGTGCGTCGCGCGAGGTCAGTCGATTGTTGGGCGAGGTGGACCAAGGAAAGAGAGAGCGGGACGCACTTGCTTGTGAGGCGGACGAGCTCGACGTAACGGTCGGGCACAAGCCTCGAGACGATGATGTGGGTGAGCTTGGGGTCGCCGAGGTCGGTCGTAGCGACGCCATGCTCGCGCGTAAAGGCTGTGCGCAAGAGGTGGTGGGTCAGGTTTGCCCGACGCGAGGGGGCCGGAACGAAGGAGAGCACGCACTGTGACGAGCCTTCTCGAGCCTGCACGGCAAAGGAGGAGAGTCAGGACGCCGAGGAGAGGAGAGGAGAGCGCTAGAGAGAAGGAAAGAAGGACGCACTCTGCGTCGGCCTTGACCTGGACGCCCTCGGCCTTGCTCGACGCCGCCAAACCGTTCGAGACCGCGCCCTCCTTCGTGTCGAAGTAGGCGACGAGCGGTTTGAAGAGGAACGCCGGGTCGTGCGCCATCTCGCTGTCGCCCGTGCCCAGGCCGAGCGAGGACGCCTTCTCGACCGAGTCCGGCTCGAGCTTGAGCTGGTCGACGCCGCCGCCGCCGCCGCCCGGCTCGCCGGTGAGCAGGCCCTCGGTGTCCTGGCTGCCCGACACCGACTCGAGCTGCAGGCGCGACGCGTCCTGGTTGACCCGGTTGACCTCGGGCGGCATCGCTCCTCGGCGCGGGAAGTGCTGCAGAAAGTCGCCGAACTCGGCGTTGCCCTCGTCGCCGCTGCCCGAGCTGCTCCGTGCGAGGCGCAACTGCGCGACGCGGTCGGCGTCGTCGTCGCTCTCGGTCTGCGCCTCGTCCTCGCTGTCGAGGGCGGCCTCGCCAAAGTTGCGGTACGCGCGCTCGAACGGCCGGTGCTCGGTCGGCGACGGCGGCGAGAGCATGAGCTTGTCGTCGTCGTCGTCGTCGCCCTGGTCGAGCTTGACGTCGGCGTCCGAGTCGGCGTAGTCAGACAGGTTGGCCGTCTCGGGCGTGGCGTGGACGAGGTAGCTGTGGGGCGGCGGCAATGGTCAGGTCGCGCTCGTGCGGGAAGAAAGGTTCCTCGGACGTACCGCTTGCGAGGCGGGAGCCGGCGACCCTGGTAGATGCTCTCGAGGACCCAGTCCGGGTGGTAGATGTCGACGGTGCTGCCGCCGGCGCGGCTCTTGATGCCTGTAAGGGCCGAGATGGGTCAGGACGGCGCTCACGGCGAGAGAGCGACTAGCGAGCACTCACCCTGGTACTTGGGCGAGACGACGATGCGGTCCTTGTCGGGCGGCGGAATCTTCTGCATGATCGTGCCGCCGTGCGCGACGATGCGCCGCTGCAGGTCGACCTTGGGCGCCGAGGGGACCGAGTCGAACACGACTGTGGACCACGACGAACATGAGTAGGGAACGTCGAGAGGGAGAAGCGAGACGGCGACGCACAGAAGGTGATGCCCTGGAAGAGCTCAGAGACGACGTCGACCTGGCCAAGCGGCGCCGAGATGGACGTCGCCTTGTTGCTGCGGCTCGAGCTGACCGCCGCCTTCTTCTTTGCGCTGTGTGTCGCAGACCGAGTCAGTGTGAGGCACGGCGATGCGAGCGAGAGAGGAGGGACGCACCTCATGTCCTCGCCGATCGAGCGCTTGTGCGGGCCCGTGCGGTAGAGCTGGACAGCTGCAGGCGAACGAGGTCAATCGACGACTCGAGAACAGGGATCTGCAGGCGAGACGCACTCTGGAGGTCGTCGGCGCTCTCGGCGTCCTTGTCCTCGCGGATCTTGAGCGCGCCTGCGGAACGCGAGGGAGCGAGTCAGGCCGGTCGTCGCTGTTTGTAGATCTGACGAGGGTGGACGAACGAGGAAAGCGCAGCGTCATGTTGGCGCCGTAGTCGACTGTGGGGAGAGAGGGTGTCGGCTCGAGGCGGGCGGAAAGAGGCGAGAGAGGGTAGGGACGCACCGCCGCCGACAATCTCGCTCGCCTTGATCTCGAGCACGAACGAGCTGCGCACGCGAGGACGGTCAGTCAGTCGCTCGGCAGAGGACGAAAGAAGCGCGGACGCACTCGTCGGGCGCGATGAGCACGTCGGGCCACTCGTTGACCGTCTTGAACCACGCCGGGACCGTCTCGGGCCTCCTGCGGTCGAACTCGATCCACTTGTCGCGCTTCTGCTCGCTGCGCGCACGACTAAGAGTCAGTTCTCGCCCTCAGAAGCGCGAGAGGGGAGGCAGTCGAGCGCACATGATCCAGGCGTAGTCGGACCGGTTGAGCCCCGAGCCGATCTTGGCGAACGACTTGAACCTGTGGTGGCAGAACGTCAGGACCTGGGAGTCGAGATCGACAAGGAGAGGGAGGACGAGGGACGCACACGACTTTGCCGTTGACCTCGTCGCGCAGGCCGATGAGGTACGACGCGAGGAAGCCCGACCGGTGACCCTGGCCCCAGTACCCGCCGACGACGAGGCCGTCGATGCGCTCGCCCATCTGGTCCATGTACTCTGTGTGGGCGAGAGACTGTGTCAGTGCTCGTTGGGCAACGAGGGAGATGAGAGGCAGGACAGAGAAGGGGACGGACCGGGCTTGATCTTGATCCACGAGTGCTCGCGGCCGCCGAGCTGGTAGAGCGACAGCGGGTGCTTGATGACGAGGCCCTCGCCGCTGCACGAGTGCGAGACCGTGAGTCGAGGCCCCTCACAGTGCGCGAGGGCGCAGCAAGAGGGAGAGAGAGAGAGAGGGACGCACCGCTCGTCCATGATGCGCTCGAGCGTCTTGCGGATGTCGTCGGTCGTCGAGCCCGACGTGCATTCGGCGATCTCGATGACGCCCTGCTTGTGCGTGATGAGGTCGCCGAGGAGCTTCTTGCGCTGCCACAGCGACTTGCCAATGAGCGCCTGGCCCTCTCCCTTCTTGCCCTTGACGTACAGGATGTCGAACACCTTGACTGCGTGCGAGTCGTGCTGCTCAGTGACAGTCCTGACGACGAGAGGGGGAAAAAGAGGGGCGCACAGCAGGGCCTCGGGTCGCTGCTGCCGAACTTGCTCGCGAGCGCGAACGTCTTGAGGTTGCCGAACGGCATGTACTTGCCGAGAACCGGGTCCCACACGAGCATCTCGCCGTCGAGTACAAGGCTGTGATGAAGAAGAAAGTCAGGGACCGAGGCACTCGAGAGAGAGACTCGAGAGGACCGAGGGACGCACTCCTCGATGTCGCCGTCGATGCAGTCCTGGATGTAGGGCGTGAGCGACCCGCTCGTCGCGTTGACGCCGTACAGGTATGTGTAGTCCTTGTTCTTGCTGCGGGAGGGTCGAGCGCCGTGTCAGTGAGGGCGCGAGGAGGGGAAAGAGAGAGAAAGGGGGGACGGACCGAGACGAGTACATGAAGGTGCTGCCCTGCTTGTGCATCTGGATGCGCTCGCCGTCGAGCTTCTCCTCGATGATGAACTCGTTCGACGGGTACTCGCCCTTGAGGAGCTCGCGGCTCGCGTCGCGCGGCCCACGGCCGATGCGCATCGACTTGACGACGTCGCCGAGGTTGCGCTGCGTGCGGTAGCACAGCATGGGGCGGAAGACGCGACCGGGCACGACAGTAAAGTCCTCGTTCTGCGGGCTGTAGTTCGGGTCGTGCAGGGTCCAGCACACGCGCATGATGTCGGAGCACGTGTTGAACATGCGGGCGGCGTCGCGATGCAGGCGGTCAAAGATCGTCTTCTCGCCCATGCCGATCTTGAGGTCTGCCGACACGCTCGTAGTCAGTTCACGGTCGCGGCACGAGAGAGAGGGAGAGAGAGAGGGACGCACCGCGGAGGATGATGCGGATGAGCCACTTCATCTCGGCCGGCGTCATCTTCTGGACGCAGCTCTTGAGGATGCTCGCGTGCTCGGCCCTGCAATCTCGACGTCAGGACCGGGTCGCAGCGACGAGAGAGAAGGCGGGACGTACTGCATGCTGCGCGTCTTGCCCTGCTCGTTCGGCGGCGCGTTCTTCGAGTGCGCGAGCTGGTCGAGGATGTCGTTGATGTCGTCGATGGACGTGTCGCTGATGCGGCGGATGACGAGCGAGCGGCTCTTGATGACCTCCATCGCGACCGAGCTGCGCGAGTCGAGCGTCAGGCCGTGCGGGCGCGGAGAGAGGTCGGGAGGAGGGAGCGCACGCAAACTCGCCGGCGCCGGGCTGCGACGGGGAGAGCGGGTCAGTTCGGTGGTCGGAGACGGCATGCGGAACGTGACGACGCACATCTTGAGCAGTCGGGACCTTCCAGTTGAGGAGCTTGAGCGCCGTGCTGTTGTGCGGCGGAATGTCGAGCGCCGCGATGAGCGCCTTGGCGAGCTTCTGCTCCTTGAGGTTGTACGTACGGCGGCGGGTGTCGCGCTGCACAAGGAATGTGGCCACCGTGAGCTTGTGCGCGTCGAGAAGGAGGAGGAAGAGGAGGGCGCACCTCGGGAAGCATGAGGCGGACGACAGGGTACAAGTCGGGGCCGACCTCGGTCCTCCACCGCTGCGAGTGCAAGCGCGGTGAGCTCTGCTCTTGCAGGACTGTATGAGAGGATAGGGGACGCACCTCGAAGAAGCGCTGCAGGACCTCGCCCTTCTTCTCGTTCTTCTTGTGCTTGTTGCGGGTGATGCTCTCGAACTGCTCGAACAGGCCGCACAGGGCGCCAAAAGGGGGCGTTTGGCCGTTCTCGATGCCGGCGGGCTTGATGATGTCGTCCGGCTGGGCGTCGACGAGCGCTGTGCCGCCCTCGTCGTCGTCCGACTCGCGGCGACGCGATGAGGACGACCAGCCTTTGGGCATGGCGAGGGCGCGCCGGTGGGGCTGTGCGGGTGCGGTGGTGCTGTAGAAGAGCCTCAGCAGGTGAGGCTCTACGCCCGTGGTGTGGCGAGCGGTGCGCGACGCAGGTTGAGGGAGGAGATGAGCGGGGAAGTTGTCAAGCTGGCTCGCTCTCTCGTCCTCTCGCGAGTCGCTCTCGGTGCGACGCTACTTGTTCAGTTTCAGTGCAGTATGGAACACGTCCTCGAGCCCGGCCGCCCTCATGCTGCGAGACGTGGCGCACGCGAGAGTCAGTCCGGCTCTCCTCGCGCTCACTCGACGACGACGGAAGGGGAGCGAGAGAGACGCACATGTCGCCCACCTCGTTCAGGCCCTCGACCTCGCGCACGCACACCTTGCCCCTCGCCTGCGGGTCGAGTACCGGGCCGAGGTGCGTCCGCCGCCTGACGACCCACACGGGCGCGTCCTTGACGCTCACGCCCTGCTCGTCGAGCGTCGCCGCCTCGACGACGGCACCGTCGATCTCGCACCGCACTTGGAGCGCCTTCCACTGTAGCTGCTTGATGCGGTGGACGAACTCGTCGACGTTGTGCTGCTCGCCCTCGACGACGATGACGCCCGGGTACCTGCAGGCCGGCGAGTCAGTTCAATGCTCGTCGAGCTACTGAAGGAGAGGAACTAGAGGACGTACCCAGGCTTGGACAGGCCGTAGAGGGACAGCTCGGTGCTCCACGCGACAATGTCCTTGCGCTTGCTCGTCGCGAGAAGGTGGTGCGACCAGAGGAGCGTCGTCTTGAGGCGATACGGGCCAGCTGTACCGATAGAGAGGTCAGGATCTGCCTCTGAGGAAAGAGAGTGCGACAGGCGGACCTTGTGGTGCTTGAGGCGGCTCGGCCTCGGCGGACGCAGCTCGCGAGACGGCGGCTTGAGGTGGATGGTCGGCGAGGTAGGCTTGCAGGGCGGTAAAGACGGTAAAGACGGGGAGCTGCGAGTCTGTGCAAGAATGTCAGCTCGGGTCTGTGGCTCGAAAAGACAGAGAGAGAGGAGGACGCACCCTCGCCCTGGACCTGCTCGACTGCGCGCTCGAGTTCTGCTCTGAGGCTCGCCTGCTCGCCTCGCCCGAACGTCAGGCAGTGCAGCGAAAGGTCGGGAAGCTCGTCGCCATCGAGGTATTCGACACCGAGGTCGACGTCGGGCGCGAGCCGAAGAGAGAGCGTGGGGAGGGGGAGGGAGGAGGAGACGGGGGCGGCATCGGCTAGGACTGGCTTGAATGGGCGTGGGGTCAGCTCGCGTGGCTTGGTAGAGGGTACTGGAAGGCGGACAGTCGACGCACCTCCCACTGAGCCCTCGCAGACTCGTCCACCATCGTCATCTCTCCCTCCTGCGTCAGGCTCGCCTGGAGCACGACGAGCTCCTCCTTGATCTGGTCGCGGTGCATAGTCGGCTCTGGTGGACGTGGCACAGAGCAGTGGCGGTGCTTGCGCTTTCGTCAGAGCGAGAGGGCGTGATAGAGAGCTCGACAGCCAGGACGTCGCTCGCGACGAGCTCCACAGCGAGCGCTCTCGACCGACTCGATCTCTTGCTGCCCAGCCGCTCTCGCACCCTGCTCGCTAAGACCATCCGAGAGGCTCACAGAAGCGAATCGCCGCAAAGGAGCTCGTGGCGCCAATCCTCTCTCGAGCCAACTCGCGCTGAGGCACCGCGACGAGGAGCACATTCGGTCGACGATGCAGGCCCGTCAGGCATGTACGACCTCCTGCTCAGCCACACCGGAACGAAGGCGCAAAGTCGGACGCGAGCAGTTGCCCCGGCTTGCGCTCCTCGACGTCCGGCGCTCCTTCTGCTGCGGCGGCACGAGCGCTCGTCGTGCTCGGGTCCGAGCCGCTCGGCGTGCTTGTCGCGTCGAGGTTGTCGTCAGGCGCTGGTACTGGTGGTGCTGGTGCGGCGGCGGCGGCGGTCGTGGGCGCCTTGGCGTTGACGGGCTTGTCCGAGTGGCCGAGGTCCTGCGCCGGCGAGATGATGTTGCGGATGCGCTGCTTCTGCGGGAGTCACGAGATGCAGAAGGGTCAGAGGTGCATCGAGGGAACGAGGGCCTCGGGAGGACGCAGAGGAAGAGGGAGAGAGGGCGCACCAGGTGCTTGAGCTCCGGGAAGCCGCCCTCGATCTTCCTGTCCCACACGAGCTCCCACCCGTTCCACCTCTCCTTGCCCTTGCCAGGTGTGTCGGCGCTCGGCGGCGCAGACGGGCGGAGCCAGACGCGGAAGCGGCCGCCGGTCTCGGGCGAGTTGCGGGGGACGAGGGTGATGGCGCGCAGGCCGGGAGGGGAGGACGAGTCGACGGCGGGCGGGAAGGTGAGGAAGAGCTCAGTCTGGGTCCAGACGGCGCGGTGGAGCCACTGTGGAGGGGGAGATGAGGGTCAGCTCGCGATGAGGGAAGTCGGCGCAGACGGCCTCTGGCGAGCGGGGAGCTTGCCCAGGCGTCTCGAGGGCATGCGAAGGTGCTGGATCGAGAGGAACGAGAGTGCTCACCCTGCAGCGGTCGCAGAACTCGATGATGACGCGAGGGACTTCCTCGCGGTCGTGGCCCTCGCCGAGCGCAGGCGGCACAAAGGTGGCCGGGTCGAGGACGTCGTGCTGCTGTGGCTGTGGTGGTGGTGCACTCGACGACGATCCCGGCTGTGGGGCGTGAGAGCTCGGCAACGACGAGGCGGTCGAGGTCGACGTCGACGGCGGGCAGTCGGCGCAGGCTGGTGGTGCGGGCATGGCTGAGGCTGGGGCTGTAGCTCGTCGGTGCTGGTGCAGCTAGATCGGCCGTCGCTGCGCTGGTGGCTTAGTGAGCGTCATCGAGTTGTCCGAGGCCCGGTCCCCCTTCTCGGACTCCGCGCTCGCTCTTCCCTCTCTCCCTCACCACATCGCTAGATGCCATGGCTGCTACCATGAAGGCTGTCGTCGTCACTGCTCGCGGCAAGACCGAGCTCAAGGACGTCCCCGTTCCCTCGCCCGCCGCGGGAGAGATCCTCGTCAAGGTTCGTCCCCGCTTCCGCCCCCTTCCTCGCCTTGCACTGACTCCTGCTTCCTCCAGACGAGCGCCATAGCATGCAATCCAACGGACTTCAGTTGCGGCCCCTGTAATCAGTTTCCCGGTCGTCCAGGACGCTGACTGGAGCCTTTCCTCCCCTCCCCGCTCTTCTCCCGGCCCTCCTCGTCCTCCTCGCAGAGCAGTGAGCTCTTTCGATCCTCTCTTGCCTCCTATTGTATCGAGATTCACTCACTGACCCCTCGCACCGCAACAGCCGCGACTTCCTCGCGCCCGAGGGCAGCTGGCTCGGCTGCGACTACGCCGGCACCGTCTACAAGGTCGGGTCGGGCGTCACCAACGTCAAGGAGGGCGACCGCGTCGCCGGTTTCGTCCACGGCGGCGCCTGGGAGGGCGAGGGCTGGGCCGAGTACATCAAGGCGCAGGCGTCGCTCGTCTGGAAGGTGCCCGACAACCTCAACGACCTCGAGGCGGCGGCCGCCGCCGCCGTTGGTCCCTGTGCGTCTCGCCGGTCCTCGACGAGTCTCGTGCAGGAAGGAGAATTGACGACGACCCCTCTCGGCGCCCGCAGGGACGGTCATCATGGCGCTCAACTTCCGCCTCGGCCTCAACACGCCCATGAACCCGGTTAAGGAGCCTGAGCCCGTCCTCATCTGGGGCGGTTCGACCAGCACCGGCCTTTGTGCGTGTCTCTCTTTGGCAGCTCTCGACGCCACGAGCTAACTGAGGTCGAGGCGCACGCAGATGCGATCCAGTTCGCCAAAGCGAGTGGCTACCTCCCCGTCGTTACGGCGAGCGAGAAGAACTTTGCCAAGCTCAAGGAGCTCGGTGCCGCAGCGACCTACTCCTGTGCGTCCCTCGTCGCCGCACCTCGCCCGTCTCGCCGTCCCTGACCTTGCGCTCGCACCCCTCTTTCCCCTCTCGCGCAGACTCGGACCCGGACGTCGCGTCCAAGATCGCCAAGGACTTCCCCAAGCTGCGCTACGCGCTCGACACCATCTCGGAGGGCAAGACGACCATCACGGCCGTCAAGGCCATCGCGCAGGCCGCCGGCAAGGGCAAGGTCATCACGCTCCTCGGCAACCAGGACCCGGAGCTCAAGGAGTACGCCGACTCGGTCCCGGCCGAGCCCACCCTCCTCTGTGCGTCGACGTCTCTCCTCTCGTACCTACCGCGGCGAGGTCGTCACGAGCATGAGCCTGACCGCTTTTCCTTCCTCCCTCTCTCCTCCTCTTCCCTCTCTCGTCGTCCCTCCTCTCCCTCCTCTCCTCCCTTCGCGTCGCGCAGACACCGTCCTCGGCGTCCCGTTCGAGTGGCCCGGCATGAAGTTCCCCGCCATGCCCGAGGACAAGCGCCGCATGGAGGAGTGGTGCGGCAAGCACCTCACCGGCCTGTTCGAGTCGGGCACGATCAAGCCCAACCCGATCCTCCCGTTCGAGGGCGGCCTCGCCAACGTTCAGGCTGGCATGGACTACATAAAGGCCGGCAAGGTGCGCTCTGTCTCTCTCTCTCTCTCTCTCTCTCTCTCTCTCTCTCTCTCTCTCTCTCTTTCTCTCTCTCTCTCTCGTTCTCTCTCTCTCGTTCTCGTTCTCGTTCTCGCAGTATCGGCGTACTGACAACCAGATGTCGTCCGCTTTCCACAGCAATCGGCTCAGAAGGTCGTCTACAAGGTCTGAGCGCTCTCGAGCTGTCGCTCGTCGCATTTGTAGCTCTCCCTGCATTCCTCTCAAAGCCTCGAAGCTCTCGCAATGTACAGACCATTCGAAACGTTCTCTCTGTGCCGCGGAAAGAGAGAGAGACCGAGACATAAAGTTGCTTTGCAATGCAAGATGCGAGATGCTGCTGCTCGGACCCTCTCCTCGGCTGCTCCTCCTCGGCGGCCCGCTCTACTCTGCGACCCTCGTCCCGAGCGACGCCTTGACCTTGCTCAACACGCCCGTCGCGCCCCACGCCATGGCGCACCCGACGACGGCGACGTCGGTCGCGACGAGTGCGACGCCGGCGAGCATGAACCGCGGCGCGAACACCTTCCACACGAACAGGTGACGCCTCAGGTGCGCCGCACACGCCGCACTCGCGAGCGCGAGGCCCGCAAAGTAGGCGAGGTAGCCCGCTCCAGCGCGCAGGAGGTGCCGCGGCGCAAAGAGGGCGCCCTGGTCCTTGAGCGGCGGCGGGACGTTCCACAGGACGAAGAGAGGGAGGGCGAGGGCGGTGAGGACGAAGCCTGACAAGGTGTTGAGCGTGACGAGGAGGGGCGAGAACGGGTAGGTGACGGTCGGGAACCCGATAAAGGCGGACGACCACTGGATCGACGACAGGGCGGCCTGGTGGCCCGTCGCGAAGAACGACAGGTGCGCGAGGAGCGCGAGCGTCGACAGCTGGACGAACGTCGGGCCCGTGTGCGGCGGCGCGGGCGGGAACCCGCCGGCGCCGTCGCCGAGGTCGTCGCCCTGGAGGAACGCCTCGAGCGACGCCGTCGACGCGAGCGACGACGTGAGGTGCGCGACGTCGCGCTCCGAGTCCCAGATCTCGAGGAGGCAGACGAGGACGACCAGGTGGAGGACCAGGACGAGTTGGGCTGGCGGCGGCGAGACGAGGACGAGGAGGGAAAAGGCGGCGCCGAAGAAGAGGAGGTACGACGAGCCGAGCGCGTTGGCGAACCCGATGACCTTGATCTGGGTGCGCGCCGCCTGGCCCGTCGAGTTCTGGACCTGCTCGCGTTGGACCCGGATGCAGAGCGGCGACAGGCGCCACACGAGCGTCGCCGCGAGCGTACCGGCGACGAGGACGGCGCGCGCAAAGCCCGTCTTTGCGACGCCGGCGAGCTCGGTGCCGGTTGCGCCGTACGACCCGGCGGCGACGGCGTGATCGAGCGCCCAGTACGCCGAGCCGCCGAGGAGGAGCGCCCGGACGCCGACGCCCAGGAAGAGCGGCGCGACGCCCTCGTTCGACTTGGACACGGCGAGCGACGACCGCAGGACCGTCGGGACGACGAGCGCCGCCGCAACCGACAGGCCGAGGACGACCTTGCTCGCCGTCGAGCCGGGCGCGAGGTAGAAGGTCGGGTGGCACCTCGGGACCTGCTCCTCGCGGCAGATGGTGCTGACGCTCATGAGGCGCACGCACACGAGGCCGACGACCGAGTAGGCGACGAGGCGGTTGCGCAGGCGCGCCTCGGGAGCGGCAAAGGCCCGCACGAGGCTCACGACGAGAAGGGTCGTGAGGAGATACAGGACGACCGAGTCCTCGAAGACGGTGAGCGAGTTGGACCCAAAGACGGCGGCGTGGGCGACGAGGGGAAGGACGGGAGCGAACTGGCGGAGGGACAGGTACTGCTTGAGGCCGAACGCCGCCGGGACCGACGACGCACTCGGCGCGAAGACGACGCCAAATTCGGCGCCGACGGCGGCGACGAAGAGCGCGCCGAGCACCGTGGGCCTGCCGGCGAGGCCGCCAGCCGCCGCAAGGCCGGCGCCGACGACGAGCGCGGCGAGCGACCCCTCGACTGCGCGCCCGACGAGGAACCTCGACGACGGCCCGCGCTTGGCCGCCCCGGCGAGCCGTGCGGCGACGAGCAGGCTGCCGAGGAAGACGGCGAGCCCTGCGCCCATGAGGACCGGGTCGAACCTCGCCCACACGTGCCGCGCCTTGTCGCGCGCCTTGCGCTCGAACGCGACGAACTTGTCGAGCGCGCGCCGCTCCATGTCGTCGCGCGAGTGGCCCGGCGCATGTGCGCCCTTGTACGCCGACTTGGCGACCTCGAGGATGAACGACAGCTCGGGCATCGACGGGAGGAGGTCCTTGCCCGACGGGAGGGCCGTGTAGGTGAGGAGGTAGTGCGACAGCTCGGACGACGCGAGGAGCGTCGCCTGGAGGTACGTCTGCAGCGGCGACAGGACCTCGTGGTCGCGACGCTCGGGCTGCGACGACGACGATCCGAGGCCGAAGAAACTGCGCTTGGGCCTTTGGGCGGGCTCGCCGGCCGCTGACGACGGCGACGCGGGCGCGGGCGCGACGGGCAGCTCCGACGTGCGGTAGAAGAGCTCGGGGATGGGGAGGCCGAGGTTGCCGAAGGGGATGGGGAGGCCGAGAAGGAGGGACAGGGTCGGGACGAGGTCGATCTGGCTGACCGAGCGGGTCGAGCCGGCGAGGCCCTTCTCGGGCCAGGCGAGCTCGAAGCGGTCGGCGAGGTCGACCGAGGCGCTCGCGCTCGCTCGTAACGACGCCGCCGGGTGGCTGGGCGAGTCGAGGGCGTGCTCGAACCAGGCGGCGTCGATAAGCGGCGTCTTCGAGTAGACCCACAGGGCGGCGTCGACCTCGTCTCGGCTGTCGCCGCCGTGGTCGCCGCGGTCGGTCATGCCGTGATCGCCGACAACGACGAGGAGCGTGTTGTCACCGAGGCGCTCGACGACGTCCCGCAGGAGCTGCTCCGTCTCGCGCAGCTTGCGCGTCGTCTCGCGGTGCTCGGCGCCGAACCGATGCCCGGCGTGGTCGAGGCCAAGCCCGTGCGCGACGACGATGTCCCACTCGCGCTGACGCGGCTCGTCGAGGAGCTCGAGGAGGTGCTCGCGCACGCCGCGGTCGACCGTGTCGAGGTCCTCGACGTCGAACGAGTCGTACGGGTAGACGAGGCCCTCGGCCCACACGCTGCTCTTGCCGCCGCGCGGAAAGACGTTGAGCCACGTCTCGTCGCCGGCGAGGGCGATGCGCTTGCCCGCGCGCTTGGCCTGCCAAAGCCAGTTGTCCTCGTCGGCCTGCTCGCCGGCAAAGTTGCTGCCGGCGTCGATGAAGGTCGGGAGCGACCCGGTCGTCATGCCCTTGATGCGCTGGAGCGTCGTCGTCGGCGCGTCGGCGATAAAGTGGGCGAGGAACGACTGGGTCGGCTGGGCGTCGGTGAGGCGGCCAGCGAGCGGGATGTGGTTGGCGTAGAACTCGTTGGCGGCGGCGGGCTCGGCGACAGGGAGGACAAAGTCGGCGCGAAGGGCGTCGACGACGAGGAAGACGAGCTTGTCGTGCGTGGGCGGGAGGGAGCAAGACGCGTCGAGGTTGCCCGAGGCCGCGACCGGGCTGCAGTCGTTGACGTTGGGGAGGGCCTTGCGCGTGAGGAGGAACCCTCGAGTGAAGAGGACGAGGGCGGTGCCGTGCAGGAGGGCGAGGAGCGTAAGGGCCGACAGGAAGGTGGAGCCGGCGGGGAGGAAGGGGAGGACGTGCAGCCAACGCCGGGCGCGGTACAGGGCTGAGGCGGGCTCGACCGGGGCCGCTCGTGGTGCTGGTGGTGCTGCTGCATCGACGCGCTTCTCCTCGGTCGCCATGGCGGGCTCGGCTGCGGGTTGAGCTCGAGGTCAGCCTCGGGATGCGATGAGGACGAGGCGAGGTGTCTGGCCGGGACGGGCGCGTGGCGCTGGCCGGAACAGGTCTTGCGAAAGGCCTAGCGCACCTTGTAAAGATCGCTCAGCGGCCGCACAAGCTCGTGTCGAGTCGCGAGAGTGCCGACGAACGGTGTCCTGCGGGGGAGGACGAGAGGAGACCGTCAGAGCGCGCGAGGAGGGCTGGGGGAACAGGGCGGGACTCACTGATGAGATGAGAGCGCTGCGCAAGGCCTGGCGAGGCTCGACCGACGGCAGAAGCTGAGCTGTAGGTGGGAGAGCGCACTCTCGCCTGCTCGCTCATCCTCGTCCCACTTCTTTGAGCTCACGGTGGCCGTCTCTCGCTCATCGTGCTTCTGCATGCGCCAGACTCTCTGTGTGTAGCTCCAGGACTCGCAGACCGGGCAATGCGGCACGAATGAACGTCGGGCAAGGAGACCGCGAGACCTGCTCGACGGAAGCGTGCTGCTCGTCGCAGAGTGCTACAAAAGGACGAGGCATTTCTAGTTCGACAGTAATGAAGAGTGGATGTATGTACGACAGGCCGCAGGAGGGAGGGGTATCAAACGGGTCTGAGGTGGTCAAGCTGGAGAGGGTCCGTGAGCCTCGCGACGCCTACGCGTGCAGCGTGCGGCGGTTCTGCGGCACGACGGGGTGGACAAAGGCAATGGCGACGCCAATAACGAGGCTGTGACGGCGTATGGGCGAGGGAATGAGTCAGTCGGCGGTCAAAAAGGCCGGGAGAAGGAGAAAGAGCGGGCGCACCTCGTGAGGCCGGTGGTCCACAGCGTCTTGTGGAACGAGCTGTGACGAGCCACCGTCGTGTACACGATGCCGCCCAGGTTGCCTGACCCGCCGACGATGCCGCCCTGCAGGATCATCGAGGGTCAGTACGCAATGGAGGACCGAGAAGGGAAAGGAGGATCGAGCGCACCATCAGGCCATTGACGTGAGGGTTGACGTGCGGCAGGAGCGCGTAGCAGGCTCCGTTGCCGGCCTCGATGAAAATGGCGAGGATGGCGATGAGGACGAGGAATACGGCGGGCGAGGACGGGTTGAGAAGGCCGATCAGGAGGGCGAATGCGCCGCCGCCGACGGCGAGGAAGCTGATCCAGACTGCGGGCGCGCGAATGCGTCAGATCGCGGTCGAGAGAAAGGGAGAGAGGGGGGGACGCACACTTCTTGGCGACGAGGCCACGCTGCTCGCCGAAGCGGCGGTACAGGAGGTCGCCCGTGAGCCCGCCGAACGGCCTCGTGACAAAGTTGAGGAGACCGAACATGGACGCCCAGTCGGTCGCAAGGCTCTGCGACCAGCCGAACTTGGTGGGCGCCATGAACCAGTTGACGAGGACCGCGTTGACGAGGAGCGCCAGGCCGAACGTCGAGAAGTAGGCCGCCGCGAGCATGAGCGTCTGCAGGCAGCACAGGTCGCCGACGATCTGCTTCTTGCTCGGCTTCGACGAGTGGCCCTGCTGCGCGTCGGCGAGTGTCGGCGCCTCGGACCCACGGCGCTGCACCTCGGCCGTCGTCGCCTGGCCCTTCTCGAGGTCGAGCGTCGCATGCGGCGTCATCTTCTTGCCGAACGTCGACGCCGCGCGGGACGGACGCTCGAGGACCGTCATCGATGAGTTGCTCGAGCGCAGGTCCTGGAGGATCGGGGCGACGCTCGGCCGGCGCGACATATCGAGGTTGCGGGACGACCACGGGCCCGTCGGCGTGTCGTCGCTCAGGAAGAGGACGGCGAGGCCGCAGACGATCTGGAGGATGCAGGGGACGAGGAAGGAAAGGCGCCAGGCGATGCGCTCGGGGTGGTCGTGCGTGCCGAGGAACGACTCGTAGACGGCCGGCATCTGCGCACGAGCCTCGAGGTCAGCGATCGACTCATTCAAGCGCTTCGGCGTCGCGAGAGGGTGGAAGGACGGCTTGGGCGACCGCCGTAGAGAGAGAGAGAGAGAGAGACGTACGACGAAAAAGGTGACTGGGAGAGCTCGAGCGAGACGAGGCGAAAAAGGGCACGAGGCGGACGAGGAGGCGCGAGGGTCAGTGCTCGCTCGTCTCATGAGCGAAAATAGAGAGAGGGAACGCACCGCCGACGCCTGCATCGCCCCAACCCGCCGCGAACGCTGACGCAGTCCCGATGACGCTATTGTCGAACCTGCTCGACGGTGACTCGGTCAATTTGGCCTCGACGACCGAGAGAGGACAGGCTGAGGACGGACCAAGCAGCCATGAGGGCCTGGCAGGGGACGAAGGCGGCGCCGGCGACGCCCATGAAGAATCTTACGAAGCCGAGCCCGAGGGCGTCCTTGGCGAGGCCCGCGCACCCGCACGGAATGGCCGACAGGAACAGGGTACCGATGAGGACGTAACGCTGTAGCAGGGAAGCTTGATCAGTCGCGAACGCCGAGGAGGAAAGGGGGAGAGAGGGAGAGAGGGACGCACAGGCCCGAAGCGGTCGCAGAGCGGTCCGGCGATGAGGCGCACGAGGAGCGACGCGACGCCGCCGAGGATGGTCGAGTTGGCGACCTCGTTGTCGGTGAGGCCGAGGTCCTGCTTGATCGTCGCGTTGAGCAACGGCGGCATGGCGTACCACGACATGAACGACAGGAGGAACGAGAGCCAGGCGAAGAAGCTGCAGGGGCACGGACCGAGTACGGCGGGATCGTGTCAGTGACGACGCTCCAGGCACGTACACGAGAGAGAGGGGAGGGAGAGAGAGAGACAGGACGCACAAGATGCGGCCATGGCGGTCGAGCGGGTTGACGATCGGGAGGGCGAGCGCCTTCTGCGTCGACGGGTCGACGGTCGGGCAACCGAGGCAGATCAGGGTCATGTTGTGCGGTAGAAGGAGAGGGCGAGGGGGACGAAGGAGGAAGGAGGAAGGAGGGGGAGGAGGAGAGGAGGAAGAGGAGCAAGCGCCAGCTCACCTCCGCGGCGAGAGCGCCTTGGCGCTGCGCTACCGCTGCGACGAGAACCGCTCGGACGACGGTCGTCCTTGGTCGCAGGGACGAGAACTCGCTGCAGGCGCGACTAGTCTGTCGTCAGTGACAGTCGCTCCTGAGGAGGGCGGGGCGATAAACTGGCGGACTCGGCTAGCTCGAAGGAAATGAAGCGACGATCGCCTCTGCACCGTCGCCAAGGCACGGTAGCGCAGATCGAGGAACCCTCGCCGCTGCGAGAGGATCCGTCGGTGAGGAGGACGAAAGTTCGACCCCGGACTCGAGGACCGCCAAGGCGCTAATCGGCGAACGGAGATGACGTGGCGGTCGACGAAGCAGGGGGGCGATGCAGGGGTCGGAGATGGTTCGACGAGGTGGCCGACCCAAAGCTGAAGGCGAGGTGGGCGGCCGATAGAGCTAGCTGGCCTGGGCGAACGTTGCGAGACGGACAGGGCAAGCTGCGAGCCGGTGGAAGCTGCTCTCGCCGGACTTTTGCCGCTCTCCTCGCGCGAGACGCTTATCGCCAACGTTCGAGAGGACAACTGCGAGCGCGAGTCGACGGGTGAGCTTCGGCGTGTTCACCTCGGGGCCGCCAAGAAGGAGAAAGAGGGGCGCACAGGGTGACATTGCCCATCGGCGCAAACTATACAAGGTCCGAGCGAGACGGGCACAGGGAGAGCACGATGGGGATCCTGCAGGCGAGAGCGAGAAGGTGGTCAGTACAACGTACAGTACGACGAAGGCTTGGCGAGAGCGAGAATGTGGGCGCACTAAGTATGTAGAACGAGGGCGAACGAGGCCTCGAAGGGGGACGAGGAGCGCTAGGCGACACCGAGCGAGCGTTCGCGTTGAAGCTTGCGCACCGACGGCGCCCGAGTCGAGGTTGACGAGGATCTTGCGCGACGAGCGAGTGGGCCCGAGGCGCCGGGCAGGTGCGGGCGAGCGAGGTGGAGGTGCCGAGTCGACGTCAAGGTCGGGCCGTACTCGAGCTGCTCAGCGTGGACGCCCGCCGAGGTCCATCTTGTCGGCTCGAGGAGGCTTGATGATGAGCGTGTCGTCGTCGCCTGCGAGATGCGCCGGGTCGGGGATGTGGGCGGTCTCGGCGGTCGGTGCGGCTTGGTCGGCGTCGTCGATCCAGCCGGCGGGCACGATGCACGGCAGCGAGGTGGCGACCTGCAAGGCGAAAGTGAGTATCCTGTGACGTTGGGCGTCGACGAGAAAAGTGAGAGGGACGCACCCAGGCTGCTCGGTTGAGCCAGGAGGGCGGCCGTCGACCGGTCAGGCGCCAGACGAGCTCGTGCGTCAGGTGGTTGCAGTTCCTGCAGGGTTGACGAGCAGTATCAGTCAGACGCTCGCGGAAGAGCTGCAGGGAAGGAGAGACGCACTTCTCGAGTAACCGGTACTTGGTGCCGTTCCACTCGGGATCGCGCTTGAGGTCCTGGATGATGCGCCACGCCCGCCTCTCTGCCCTCGTCATGTACCCTGTCCCGTCACTCGCGCCTCCGTCGTCGTCGTCGTCCATGCCCTCGCCGCCCGCCGGGTCCTGGAACGGGTCGTCGCCGTCGCCGCCGCTCGCGAGGTTGACCGTCGAGCGCGAGCCGACCGCCGCCCACCCGCCGTACGGCGCCCCTGTGCCGCCACCACCGGCCTCGTCCGACCTCGCCTCGCGCCCGCTGCCGTCGCGCCCCTGCGGCCGGAACGCGCGCCGCCAGTCGTCGCCGAACGCGTCGCCGCAGTCGACGGTCGTGTAGTAGCGCAGGCCGGGCATGCGGGACGCGGCGGTGCCGGCGGGGATGCTGAAGATGCCGGACAGGCCTGGCTCGTCGTGGCCGCCAAAGGCGTACTCGAGCGGGGAGGGGTCGAGGTCGGAGGGTCCGAGGGGGAGCGAGAGCTGAACGCTCGAGTGGTACACGCCCGAGCCGCTGCGGGAGATTAGGGGCTGGTCAGCTCGTGTGTGCTCGGTTACAGAGAGAGTGGGCGGGCTGGGCTCACATGAAGTTGAGGAGCGAGCCGAGTCGAGAGGGCGGAAGCTGCATTGAGGTGGGGGAGAGGTGAGCGACGACGCGACGAGGGAGGGTGAGAGTGGGACGCACAAGGTCATACACGACCACCTTGACCTGGAGCGGCTCTTCTGGGTCGGTCGAGCGAGCCATCGTGGTGGTGGTCGAGCCCGGGTGCGATGACCAAGTTGGGCCGGCTCGCCTGGTGTCGTTCTTCCTCTCGCTCGACCAGCTTGCTTGCTGTGCTGCCCGACTGCCCACCATACTCCGCTTCACCCGTCGCAGCCACTCGTACGCGCCAAAGATGGAGAACTACTAGTGCGTCCTCCTCCCCCTCCCCACCTCCTCCACTTCGCTCACCTCGCCTTCCTCGGCCCTCTGCAGCGCTGGCAACCCGCTCAACCGCCTCAGCTACCTCCGATCGTCCGCCTCGTTCCTATCGTCCGCCCTCGACTCGCCAAAGGCCCGCTTCCTCGCGCTCGACAACCTCTCGCCCCTGTCGCGCACCGCCAGCGACGGCGTCCGCCACCTCGAGTACCTCGCCTTTGCCGACGTGCGCGACTACATCGGCGACCCCAAGCTCGTCTTCCACGGCATCGACGGCAAGAACGACGCAGACGTGCCCAAACTCGCCCTCCTCGGCCTCGAGGGCAAGAAGCTCGCAAAGTCCACCGTCGGCGACCTCACCCCGGACGAGAAGCGCCACTACTTCCTCAACCAGGTGCGCACACACACGCCCCCGTTCTTCCTCGCATCGAAACCCTCCCCTGACTCGCCGCTCGTCTCGTCCGCAGTGCTCGCTCGTCTTCCTCGGCGTCGACGAGCGGTCCGCCCCCGAGTCGGCCAAGTCGCTCCCGCTGTCCAAGCCCGACGACAACTCGACCCTCGAGACGCACTCGCCGTACGGCGTCCCGTACTGGGCCGTCGACGTGTCGTCGTTCGGCGACCTCAAGAGCTCGGCGCAAAAGGACGGCGCAAAGGTGCGCTTTGACCTCTTTTGCGACCCGCCGATCTCTCCTCTCGAGCCTGTACTGACGCAGGTGCTTTCCTGCAGTTCATGGAGCTGCGCTCGGGCGCACAGACGATGCCGAACGAGGAGGCGTCGATCGCTGCCGAGGCCCGCAGCCTCATCGACTGGAACACGCGCAACAAAGTGCGTCCCGCTCTCTCACTCTCTCTGCCTCATCTTCGCCTCCTCGAGCCTGTCCTGACATATCGTTCGTCACCCGCTCGCAGTTCTGCCCCGCCTGCGCCCGCCCGATCCGGTCCGTCTGGGCCGGCTGGAAGCGCTGCTGCATCCCGGGCGAGCTCGGCAGCTCGGGCACCGACGGCGAGGCGGGCGCCGACCAGCCGCCGTGCTTCTCGCGTAAGGGCGTCCACAACTTCTCGTACCCGAGGACCGACCCGGTCGTCATCAGTGCGTCCCTTCCCTTCCCTCGAGACTCTCGAGCCATACGGGTCGCCTATCAACCGCAGGACACCGTACTGACATCGTCGCACTGTCGCAGTGGCTGTGCTCTCGCCCGACCGGGAGAAGATCCTCCTCGGCCGACAGGTACGCCTCACTCTCTCTCTCCCTCCCTCCCTTCCTCTTTCGCTCGACGTCCTGACGCTCCTCTACCTCTCAGCGTACCTGGCCCGCACGCTTCTACTCGTGCCTGGCAGGCTTCATCGAGTCGGGCGAGTCGCTCGAGGAGGCGGTGCGGCGCGAGGTGTACGAGGAGGCCGGCATCGTCGTTGGCGAGGCGGGCTACCACTCGTCGCAGCCGTGCGTCCGCCTTCTCTCCCTTCCTCCCTTCTCGCGAGACAACCGAGCGCCGGTTCACGTCATGTTCGAGGACCTGCAGGTGGCCGTTCCCGGCGTCCCTCATGTTCGGGTGCTGGGGCATCGCCAAGGACGAGAGCACGATCCGCATCGACCTCGACAACGAGCTCGAGGGTGCGTCTCACTCTTCCTCGTCCTCTTCTTCCTTGCCTCGCCTCGCCCTGACGCTCTCGCTCCCGCCGCCGCAGATGCCCGCTTCTTCACGCGCGAGCAGGTCCTCGCCGTCATCAACTCGTCCAAGCCGCTCCAGATGACGCGCGAGCAGGTGTCACGTCTCGACGGCAAGGAGGGCGAGGCGGGCGCGACCAAGGACGGCAAGGCCGGGCAGCAGGGCGATTTCCTCATGCCTCCTGCGTGCGTCCCTCTTTCTCTCCTCGCGCTCTCCCTCCTTCTCTACCGCCGCCTCTTTCCAGGTTTCTGACGAGTACTCCTCGCCTGCCTCGTGCAGCACCGCCATCGCCAACACGCTCGTCACGGCGTGGGCCAACGGCACGCTCTTCAACCAGGGCCCGGGCTCGACGGGCACCCAGGCTTCAAAGATGTAGCTTAGCCCGTGTAGAGTGGGAGGAAACGTATCATGTCCATGTCCCACGAGCGTCGAGAGCGTCTCTGAGAGCGAGCCCGACCGTCTCTGCTGCCTCGCTCGAACCTCTCCTTCTCTCACTCTCGCTCTCGCTGTCTCTCTCTCTCGGTCGGTCGAAACTCGCGTGCTTCATCGAGAGCGCGCACGTCGTTCCAGGCCAAGCTAGTCCTCTCGCTCCCCGCTACTGCGCTGCCGCCGCCGCCGCCGTCTCGCGCAGGTAGTCGACAAACTCGGGCACGACGAGTTGACCGTCCTTGAGCGGCGCCGACGGGTCGAACAGGCGCAGCTCGATCCCGCGGAGCTTGAGCGCGATGACGCAGTGGTTCACGCACACGTTGGTGTAGTAGGCGGCCCGGTCGCACGGCATGACCGTGGGCCACGTCGGGACGAGGACGAGGCGAAGGGCCGGCAGCGAGTAGAGTCGCGACAAGCGCGCCGGGCCATCGCGAATCCAGCCCTGGTGATCGATCTGGAGGTGCTGTACCGGCAGGAAGGACGTGACCGGCGGCGGGTCGGCGGCGGCAAGGAGAGTGTCGCTGTGGAACAGGATCGAGCGGTTCCACGCGACGTCGCCCGTCGACGGGAAGTCGTCCTCGCTGAGCGCGCCTTGGTCCTCGAGGTCGAGCTGGAGGTCGTCGAGCTGCCCGATGAAGGCGGACGGGAGGCAGGGGAACTGCGGTTGCGGGTCCAGGCGGCTTGTGCTGGCGCAGGCCCGGATCGACAGGTGGCGCAAGGCGGGGAGGGTGGCTGACGTAAAGAACAGGGCACACTCGGGGTACGTGTCGAGGTCGATGTTGCGGATCGACAGGGTCTCCAGCTTGGGGAGAACGAGAGGCGCTCGACGCGCCGACAGGAACGGCGACATCTTGTCGAGGGCGAGTTGGCGCAGCTCTGCAGGGCAAGCGGGTCCATGAGCTCTGCTTCTCCACGACGTCCATTCGAGTCTGCAGAAGTGGGGCGCACCGTGGAAGAAGGCCGTGTGCGTGAGGTTGACGTCGCCGAGGTTGGCGAGGTCGAGGTGGTGGACGCCGGGCAGCGTCATGGCGAACAGGTCGAGGTGGTTCGGCTCCTTGCCGTCGTAGTCCTTGATGTCGAGTGTCTTGACGACGCTCGGGGCCCACGCGAGATCGGTCATGGTGACCACGACCTCGAGGAGCGGGTCGTCGTCGAGGACGCGGAGGCGGGAGCGACGAGCGTGCAGCCGCACGTGCCGCCACAGCGTGCGCTGTGCGAGCCCACCGAAGTGCTTGGAGAGCCGGCACAGGGGCAGCAGCACCTTGCGCCGCTGGACCTGGTCGGCTCCTTCGACGACGAGGCCGAGGATCTCGAAGATGAGCTCGTTGGGCAGTCGCTCGAGGTGGCAGGGCTGCGTGGCGGCTGCAGAGCTGGCCATGGCGTGTGCGCGCAGTGGTGGGCGAGTGCGGCGCGGCGAGACGAGGAGCGAGAGAGAGAGAGAGGGCGAGGAGCGAGAGGTCGGGCGACGCGGGGAAGAAGGAGGCTCGAGCCAAAGGTCTCTCGATTCCCTCTCGCTGCGACGGCCGCCAACAACGAGCGACAGGTGACAATGCAGTGAAGATGCGAGATTGCGAAGATCAACATGATGCGGCACGGGCCCGAACAACGAGAACCCCGACCGGTAGAGAACGCCGCTTCCTCCCGCTCCTCCCCTCGCTCCCCTCCTCCCTCGCCGACGCCGACACACGACGAGCCACTCAGGCGCCGAGCGCGGCGAGCTCCTTGCGCAACTCGGCCTCCGAGTCGAGCTTCTTGTGCTGCGTCAACTCGAGCTTCTCGCCCTGCGCCTTCTTAACCTTGAGCTGCTCGATGGCCGTGAGCTTCTTGACGATGGCGCGGCGCTTCTTGTCCTCGGGCGAGAGCGTCGGCTCGACGACCGGGATCGGGGGCGCGAGCGCCGGGACGGGCGCCGGCTCAGGTGCCGGGGCAGGCGTCGCGGCACCGCTGCCCGGGGCCAACGACGAGTCGCCGCCGTCCTGCTGCTGCTGCTGGCCGCCCTTCTTGCCGCCCTTCTTCTTGCGCCGGTTCGCGAGCGGGTCCTCGCCCTGCCCGGCTCCAGGCGGTGCGCCGGGAACGCCCTTCTTGGCGCCGCGCTGCCCGAACCCGCCCGTGCCGGCGCCGTTGGCGCTCTGCGAGTGCGGGAACAGGACGGCGCCGTTCGAGCCCGAGTAGGCCGCGCCGCCCTCGTCCTCGCGCTTGTACACGTTGGGCGTCAGGGTGCCGCGAGCGCCGGGAGGGCGGTACGCGCCGCTCGGGGCCGCCGGCTTGGCCGACTGGGTCGTCGTCGGCGCGAGGGCGACGGTCGACGCCGGTGCGGGCTCGAGCGGGCCGCTCATCGGGTACCACGCCGGGTTGGCCGGGCGCCACGAGGCCTGCAAGGGAGAGCGAGAGGGTCAGGACGGGAGGACCGAGGGCGAGGGCCGGAGGACGAGGAGGACAAGGGCGGCGAGAAGTGGGCGCACCTGGTACAGCTCGACAATCTCCTGGACGTGCATGAGGCTGCCGGTAAAGTGGTACACCTTGATGCCGTTGTCGACGCGCAGTCGCGGGCTCAGGGTGGCGCACATGAGGAACCGGCCGTCGGGGCTCCACTCGCAGTGGACCGTATTGGGCGCCTCGAACGTGACGACCTTCTTGAGCGTCTGGCGGTCGTAAATGTCGATCTGGCCCGCGAGGTTGCCAAAGCCGGCGACGCACAGGAGGCGGCCTTGCGGGTTGTACGACAGGAAGTTGCGCGGGTTGAGCCCGAGGTCGGCGATGATCTTGACGCGCTGGTCAAAGATGACCGTCTTGGCGGGCATGTCTGCGCGAGTCGTCGAGTGAGCGAGTCAGTCGCTTGTCGCGGCAAGGTGGCCACAGAGAGAGAGGGACGTACAGCCGTAGGTGACGGCAAACTCGCGGTCGTTGGGCGACCACGCAAAGTCGTGGATGCCGCCCTCCTTGTCTGCGGGACGGACGGGAGAGTCAGTCGACTGTCTCGAGAGGGAACGAGGGCAGGGCGAGGGACGGACCGAGGGTGACGCGGCAGTCGAACTGGCCCGACGAGTTCATGAGGTACAGGTTGGTCTCGCCGTAGTAGCTCTTGCCCGTCTTGTCGACCTCGGTCTGGGTGAGGAACAGGAGGTTGGTGCCCGTCTTGTTCCACTTCATCTGGATCTTGTCGGCCTTGTAGAACGTCTTGCTGCCGGACGGGACGGCGAGGGTCGCGAGGCCGTGGATCTTGACCGACGCGGGCGCGCCCTTCTTCTCGGCGACAAACAGGGCCAGGTTCGGGTTGGCGCCGGGCGAGACCGAGACGCTCGTGACGCCCTCGAGGCGGACCTTGTCGGCGATGCCGGCCGACCAGTTGGCCGTGTCGTACACGTGCACCTCGTTGGTGACGCAGCGCACCGCCTTGGTCTCGTCGGCCGTGTACTGGAGCGCCCTGCGATCGGGTTTGCGGAAAGACGAGTCAGCGACGGGAGCGCGGGGCAGAAGGAATGAGGACGAGGGGGAACGGGCTGGCGACGCACCAGCCCTCGAACGACTTTTGCGAGAAAGATGCGAGCTCCTGGCCCGACGCGACGTCCCACACGCGCAGGTTGCGGTGTGGCGGCTCGCCGTCGGCAGGCTTGACTGCAGAGAGAGGCAGGATCAGCGAGGTGGTGGGGGGAGAGGGGAACGAGAGGACGCACCTTGCCGCTCCCACGTCTGGAGCTGAGCGCCGGTTGGGGAAAAGGCGATGTCGAGGATGCCCTTTGCCTCGAACTCCCTCACGACGGCGGCGGTTGCGGCATCGAGGACCTGGACGCTGCGAGGTGGGAAACGAGAGAGGGTGAGCGGAGGGGACGAGGTGCGGGGCTGAGGGGTCGGGCGGGACGGACGTCGTGTTGGTGACCGAGGCGAAGAAGCGGCCGTCGTCCGAGTAGCGGTACACCTTTACGGCGTTCTCGGGCCTGCGGGGCGGGACGAGCGAGAGGTGAGCAGGTGGTCGCAGGCGGGGTGGGGAGGCGGGCACACGAGGGCGAGGGGGCTCACTTCTGGAAGGATGCGACGGGCTCCCATGCAGGAGGACCGTTGATGAGGCCGAGCTGCTTGAGGGAGCGGACTGTCGAGAGGGCGGGGTGAGCTCGACGGGGTGCGGGTGAGGGAGGGGACGGGCGAGGGTGGGAGAAAGGGGGACGCACTGGCATACTGGATGGGAGGGGCCGACATGGCAGTAGGGCACTCGCGAGAGGGTGTGAGAGCCGAGGCGAGGGCGAGCAGGTTCGAGGCGGGGTCAAACGACGACGAGGTTGTCGCGGGCGGTGACAGAGGGGCGTGGGTGGTTGGCGAGTTGGCTGGGTCTGGCCAGTGGGTACGAGGTGCTTGGATGCTGCACTAGCTGGACAGAGCTGTGTGGACGAGGTCGTTGGTCGTCGCCGTCGTTCTCATCTGGTCCGACGGCTGTTCCTGCTCTCGCTCTCTCGCCTCGACCAACCAACGCAGCTTCAACGCACAACGCGCTCACTCGACCACACCACCCACACCCCTGAGCTGCCGCTCTTCCTCGCCCGACCTCGCCCGGCTCTCCTCCCCTCCTCCCGCCGGCTGGCCGGCCTTCCGCCTCGACTCGCACCTCGTCCCGCCCCTGCCCTGGCCCACGCCGCCCCAGCCTCGACATGAACCGCTTCCGCCGCAAGAGCGAGTCGAGCCGATCACGCCGCAAGACCACAGACTCGGACACCGACCGCGCCTCGTCCCTCGTCGACCAGGACCCCGCCGCAACCACCACCGACCCCGCCAGTGCCAGCCCATCCCTCGGCCTGCCTGAGTTTGGCGACTTCCGCCAGTCGCTCATCATGGTGCGCCCGGCTTCCCCCCTCGCACTTGCACCCGTACCGAACCTCCCCGCTCACTCTCGCCTTGCGACCACGCAGCCCGGTCTCGCACGCCGCTTCTCGCTCTTGCGAACAGACGACGGTCAACTCGTCGACATGGACACGATGCAGTCGCACATCGCGTGCGTCCCCTCGTCTCGCCTCTCTCTCTCTCTTCCCCACCTCACGTCACTCACCCGAACTCGTCCTTCCCCGTCCGCAGCAAGCAGCGCCAGACGGGCTTCATGACGGCGACCGAGGCCGACGCCCTCCTCGCCCAGCACCGCCTCCAGGCCGAGTACGAGGCGGCGCGGTCCAGCTCGCGCGACAAGACGCCGCGCGCCAGGCGCGAGCGCATCGACTGGCGCTCGCTCGACGACGACGCGTCCGCCAGCCTCGACGGCGCCTCGTCCCTGTCGGACCACGGTCACGGCGCCGGACGCTCGTCGTTCGCGACGGCGCGCAGCGACGAGCCGGGCTCGTCGGCCATGTCGCCGCAGAACTCGCTCCAGCTCCCGTACTCGCTCCCGGGCTCGTACGCCCCCTCGAGCGCCGCCGCCTCGTCCATCTCGCTCGCGCCGTCGACCGCATCCTCGACTCGACCATCCCCGTCAGCGCAACCACCAGTCGGCGCCGCAGCGTCACCTGCGCTCGGCACGAGCACCATGTCGCGCGAGTCGTCGTCGTCCTCGTCCGGCCACGGCAACGCCAACGGGCCCAACGGGTCGACGACGACGTACCCGTACCAGTTCCGCCGAGGCGCAAACAGCCTGTTCGGCGGGCCGACGCACTCGGCGCGCGACTTGCGCATGGCCAAGAGCGCCTCGAGCCAGAGCGTCGCGTCGCTCGGCAGCAGGGAGCCGGTCGAGGGTCGAGCAGGGCACGAGGAGAAGGAGGAACGAGGGCCGGTCCACGGTGAGGGGGCGCGGGCAGGAAGGACGAGCGAGGAGGAGCAGCGGTCCGAGGCGGGTCCAGTCGACCAGCCGGCTGGCTCTCCTGCCGAGCGACGAGCCTCGTTCCCTCGTCGTTCACTCGAGACGGGCGACGAGCGCGCAGACGCCCCGCATCCCCTCGACGACGCCGCCGCCGACACCGCCACGGCCGCGTCCCTTGACGACCCGACCTCGCCCATCTCGCCTGTCAACGACGCCGACCTGCACGGTCTGACGACGTTCAACGTGGTACCCTCGCCGACACTCGACGACGACGAGTACGCGGCCGGCCCTCACTCGCCCGCCGCGAGCGACACCGAGGCGGTCGACCCGTTCTTCCGCCAGATGTCGGGCCCGCCCGCACGCTCGCCGCCTGCGCAGCCGTCCACATCGAGCGAGGCTATCGTCGACGCGCCCGCGTCCGTCGCCACCGAGCTCGACAGCTCGCCCTCGCTCCACCCTGCCTCGCCTTCGACCTCGCTCCCCTCCTCGTCCTCGCCCGTGCGCCCTCAGCGCACACCCCCTTCCCCTCCTCCCGCCATCTCGATCCCGTACCTTCCGGCCCATCTGAGCGAGCTCAGCCTCGAGCCGGACGATGACGACGACGCCACGTCGGCCCACACGCCCTCGACCGCGCTCGACTCGCCGTCGTCGCCGCCGCTCTCGGGCGCGTTCGCCGCCTTTGCGCTGCCGCCGGGCTCTCGGCCGCACCAGCTCGGTGCGGCAGACGAGGGCGAGCACGACGTCGTCGAGGGGTCGAGCGAGTTGAGCGAGTTGGGAGCCGGCGAGGCGGACGAGACGGCCGTGTCGGACCGGCCGCCGTTCGACCTGAGCCTGGGCGAGGGCGACGCCGACGCCGAAGTCGAGGTGGGGCAGCAGGAGGACGAGGACGAGGACGTGGACGCCGGCGTCGAGGGACGTCGCACGGCGGCGGGGCCTCGTCACGCCAAGTCGGACGCGACGCTCGCCGCAGCCGGCGCCGTCGTCGACGAGCGCACGATCGGCGAGCGCCGCTCGACCATGACGCTCGACTCGACGGGCTCGAGCTTCCACGAGGCGCTCGAGGCGCCCGCGAGCGACGACGACGAGCAGCTCCTCCCGCCGCACGACGAGCCGCACGAGCACGGTGACGCCCGAGCAGGCCTCGGCGCCGTCGCCCCGTCGTCGCCCGCCCCGTCGAGCCGCGCCGGGTACCTGTCGGCGTCCTCGCGCCCGCACTCGGTCAGCGCCTCGCAGCGCTCGGCCCCCTCGCCCGACCTCGACCCGGCGGCGAGTGGCCTGCGCCCCATGTCGCTCCCGCTGTACCGCCAGGCGTCGAACGAGCTGCACCAGGTGCTCGCGAGCGCGCTCGGGCGGGACCTCGGCGGCGCAGGCGGCGCGGGAGCTGGCGACGAGGACTCGGGCGGCGGGCTCGGCGACTCGTCCGACCTCATCCTCCAGGACCTGCTCGCCATCCAGGACCGGCTCGTCCAGTCGGCGGCGAGGCGCGCGGCCAACCAGAGCCCGAGGTCGCCGGCGCCGGCGTCCCAGGACCAGGACGAGGCGGCGGCAGACGAGCACACGCGCCGAGTCGAGCCGGACGAGGTCGAGCTTGAGCAGGTCGTGGACGACGAGACGGACCTCGCGAGCCCGCTCGAGCCGACGAGCCCTCTGCGCATCCGCAAGCGCGAGACGACCGACTCGACGGCGACCGCGACCGCGACGGCGGCGGCCCCCGCATCGGCGAGCCTATCGTCGCCGACTCGTCCGCCACCGAGGCAGGACTGGTTCGCCTCGACCGACTCGATGAGCGACCTCGGCGGCGCACTCGCCGGCCTCGGGCTCACGTCGCTCTCGACCCGCGACGACGACGACGACGACGAGCTCGCGTCGCCCATGTCGACGGCGGCGGCGGCGGCGCCGGGCCAGCACGCGAGCTACCGCATGTCGAGCAGCGCGCAGCGGTCGAGCCTGTCGCGCCGGCCGAGCGACCACCCGCAGCCGTACCCGTCCCTGCGCTCGTCCCTCGCGAGGGACGACCGCAACTACGACCGCGACAGCTCGCTGTACGGCGGTCCGGCCTCGACGGCCATGACGATGCAGACGAGCCAGGCGAGCTCGTCGTCGCCGTTCACGTACTCGGCCGTGACGCCATCGTCGACGACCCAGTCGGACGCGTTCGAGTTCAGCAGCCTCGTCGGTTCTCGTGCGTCCCGCTCTCTCTCCCTCTCTCCTCTTTCCTTCTCTCTCGCGGATCACGCCGCTCCTGTCCTGACCTGCGTGTTCCTCTGCAGCCGAAACGGCCTCGCTCGCCGATCGAGCCGAGCACCAGATCCGCGAGGGCTCGTTCGTCTCGGGCTCGGACCACACCGAGTCGTCGCCGCAGATGGAGGACGCCGTCGGCCAAGCCGCGACCGACTCCGGCGCGGCGACACGCGACGAGCCGTCGACGTCTGCCGTCGAGTCGGCAGAGCCCGAGGCGAGCGTCAACGGCGGCGCATCGTCGTCGCGGCCCGCTCCGCCGAGCTCGACGACGGCAACGACGTCCGCCCTCGGCGAGGCGGCGCCGATCGACACGCAGTCGTACCTGCGCGTCCCTCGCGTCGGCGTGCCTCGGCGGGACCCGTCCAAGACGACGTCGATGCTCGTGCGCGACGTGCGCAACCAGGCGACGCTCGCGACGATCGCGCTCAAGAAGCAGAGCCCGGGCTCGCCGCCGACTAAGCCGCTCGCCAAGACGCGCTCGGTCCGCAAGATGTCTATCTCGTCGCCGCAGCTCGTGTCCGGCCCGATCAACATCCCCGCCGTGCCCATCGCCTCGCCGCAGGTCGTCGACTCGTCGCGCTTTCGCGTCTCGCGCTCCAAGTCGCGCAAGGCCAAGGACGAGAGCGCCGTTGGTGGCGGCGGTCCGAGCGGCAGCATCGGCAAGTCGACCGGGCTCGGCTCGCGCTTCAAGACGCTCCTCAAGAAGCAGCAGAGCCGCGACCAGCTCGCCCACCTCAACGGCGACGAGGTCACGCCCTTTGTCGCCACCACCAAGGAGCCCCGAGTGCGCACGAGCGGCATCCCCATCACCCCGCCGAACCAGTCGATCGCCCAGTTCGAGTCGCCGTCGTCCTCCCTCGGCACGCCGACCTCGTCCGACGGCAGCCACGCCACGCCTCGACAAGGTCGCTCGCCCGCCTATCGCCCGCCGTCCGGCCTGCGCACCCTCGGCGAGGTCGCCGAGCAGCGCTCGTCGGTCGTGTCGTCGTCCGACTCGCCGCACTCGTCGAGCTCGAGGCCGTCGGGTGGCTCGAGCCACACTCCCACGCTCAGCCGAGGGAGCCCGCTCGCGACGTCGCGCCACAGCGAGGAGACGAGCGTCGAGCCGGCCCAGGCTGGCGACCCGGTCACGCCGGCCTCGCCCGACAAGCTCGCCGCGCCGACCACGAACGACCCGCAGCCGACGCTCCGCATCCCGGCCTCGCCCAGCCTGCACAGCGTCCACAGCCTCGTGTCGGGCCAGAGCAGCGAGTACGCCGGCTCGTTCATCGACTTTTACGCCCACGACCCGGACGAGGACGACGACGAGCCGCCAGCATCGCCGTTCGACGAGGCCGCCCTCGCGCAGGCGTACGAACGCTTCGACTCGCTCCACCTGTCGCAGCACGGGCCGGGCCTGCACCCGTCCTCGGCGGCGGCGACGGCCGGCCTCTCGGTCGACGAGCAGCTCGCCCTGCAGCACGACCTCGACCTCACAGCGCGCCTGCGCCCCGTGTCCGAGTTCGAGGAGCACCCCGAGTTCGGCAACGCGTACGGCCCGGCACCAGGCGGCACGACGACGGCCTCGCCGGCCCTGAGCGGCGGCGCCGACGACGAGATCGTGTGGCAGGTCCTCGACGACTTGCGCAGCAACCCGAACCGCGATTCGGTCGTGTCGAAGGACAGCAGCTTCGGCTTCAGCTCGGGCAACTCGTCGGTCGGCCTCGACGAGGCGCAGCCGGGCGCGAGCGACGGTGCGGCCGACGCCAACGCGATCGCCAACATGCTTCGGTGCGTTCAGCTCTCCCTTCCTCTCCCTCTCTTTCTCTCTTCCTTCCTTCCTTCCTCTTCTACCTTCCTTCTACCTACCCTCCTCTCGTCTCCTCCCCTGCGTGCGACTTTCATCGCCTCGCCTCTCTCGCCCTTTCGCCCTCTCTCTAGATCTGTCCTGACGACCGCCCTTCCACAGGCACCGCAACCGCCAACGGTCGTCGGCCGGCTCGTCCATGCCGTCCGAGTGGGACGGGCGATACCCGTCCGTCTACTTTCGCGAGGAGCAGGCCCTCATCCAGCTCGGCGAGGAGGGCGGTGTCGCACCCGAAGCCGAGGGCCGCTTCCTCGTGCGTCCCAGGGGCGAGCCGGCGCCCGACGTGCCGCCTGTGCCGGAGCAGTACCGAGGGCAGTGGGTGGCGAGGGCAGGAGCGAGGGCCGAGTGATCAGGGAGGGACCGGAGGAGGGGCGAATGGGGGAGAGGAGGGAGGGAGGCGCTGGACGCCCTGGTCGTCGTGCAGACGTTTGAGTCGTGCTCTACCTGTAGTTGTCATCCATCTCGCATCGATCACGCCCGTCGTGCCAAATACTTAACGGCTCGGTCGTCGATGCGAGGTCGAGAGAGCTCGACTTGAGAAGGTCGCGCTGGTGCGCTCGAGCCTCTAGTTTGCCTCGCCCCGTCGTTTTCTCGTTCACGCTCAAGCTTCGCTCTTGGCTGCACAGCGTCGCTCTCGGCCGGTGAGCCGCGGCTGAGCGGCCCGTCGATCGACCTACGCAACCCTCGTCGAGGCCGACCCCGAGCCCAAATTGGCGGGGCCGAGTCGACGCGGCAACTGCGAGAGTCTGTACAACGCTTGCTCTCGCCTCATTCTCTGCGTTCTACCGCTCGCATCCGGTTCAACGAGACGTTCGCCCCGCCAACACCGTCGCCGCACCGCCATGTCCAACCCTCCCACCTCGGCTCACGACGAATCGAGCCCGGCGCCGCCTCACTTTGAAGAGGAGCTGCTCGACAAGCACTTCGAGTACACCTACAGTTCAGGCTGGACGTATCAAGTCGGCCTCCCCCCTGCATTCGACGTTCGAGCGCTCTTCGTTGAGGGCTCGAGCGCGAGCTGACCTCCTCGGTTTCCCCTTCTCCTCGCCCCCCTCCACTCAGTTCTGGGTGAAGAACCACCAGCGTATCGTCTACGGCATCAGCGGTGGCCCTATGAGCGGGCGCAACAACTTCCAGACCGCTCACTATCAGCGAGTGCGGCCAAACTTGTGGCAGATCAGCTGGCTCGAGGAGACGAACACGGTCGTGAGCATGGTGCTCGACATTGACGAGAAGCGCATCACGACGTTCATGTCGTTCTCGCACGGTCACTGGGCGAGGAATGACGAGGCCAAGGGGTACAAGCGCGACGAGGGCAAGTTGGACAAGTGGCGCGAGCTCTCTGTCGACACGCCGCAAGCGTGGGAGCGCACCCAGATTCCCGAGCAGGCTCACATCGACAAGGTGCGCTCTCACTTTCACTCTCGACGAACCTTGACCGACCGTCCTGACGCTCTCGAGCCGCAGATTTACAACGGCCGCGGCGACCTCGAGGACATCGACATGAGCTGGCCGACGGTGCGTCCTCGCTCCTGCCTCCTCTCGACGACGAGCGAGCAGTCCCTGACCTTCTCGAGCGCCTGCAGCTCTGAGCGTCGACGTTTGACAGCCGAGCGGCGGGTTGAAATGTAGATAGACGTCGTGCACGCACCGCGCGCGCCGCTTTCGAGCTGTCGCACGGACCCGCGCTCGCGAGAGCTCACGCTTGCGCAGAGAGAGAGAGGCAAAGAGAGCCCGAGAGTAGAGGCGATTCCAGCGCGCGCGAGAGAGAGAGGGCGAGTGTCCGACAGGAAGGGAGGCTACGGGAGGAGACGAGGCAAGACAAGGGGGACAACGGGTTGACGGACGACGAGAAGTGCAGAGAGGATGGCGACGAGGTAGTGGTACAGGGAGGAAGAGGGGAGGGGGATCACTTGACGCGAGCGAGACGCTGCGTCGAGCGGACGACGTTGTTGTCGAGGACGTCGACCTTGCCGCTGATCTTGCCGATCTTCTTGTTCTGCTGGTCCACCTCGGTGCCCATCGTCATGCTGAGCATCTTGAGCCTGCCGGCAACGCCGCTCAGCTCGTCGAGGTTGCCGTCAATCTCGTCCTCGACCTCGTCGTCGCTCGCCGTCGCCTCGAATTGGTACCGCGAGCGCTCGGCGCCGCGAGCTCGGGCCCGGTTGCGCGCCTGCGCCGCGTTCTCGGCGTCGCGGTCCATCGTGTTGAACGTCGAGTCGATGCGCGCACGCGACTCGTACTGCTCGCGGCGGACCGACTCGCGCTCGGACTTCTCGGCGTTGTGGCGGTCGAGCAGGCGGCGCTCCTCGCGGTCGCGCTTGGCCTGCTTGTTGAACGTGACTGTTGGGCAGGAAATCGAGTCGGCAAGGTGTTCAAGACGTGCCCGAGCCGCAAAAAGAGGAAAAGAGGAGACGCACAGGTCGGGCGGAAGATGGACTTGTTGAGCGCCTCGAGCTCCTTGGTCTCGTCGACGGCACGGTCGTTGTGCGCCTTGGCGAGATCGAGGTGACGCTCGGTGTTGGCGATGCGGTCTGTTGGGCGAGAGAGGGTCAATTCGAGGGCTCAAGACGAGGGGGACGGCAAAGAGGGGGAAAGGCGAGAACGAGACGCACCCGACTGCTCGCCGAGCTTGTCGAGCGTAGCCCTCGCCGTCTCCTCGGCCTCGCGGGCGATGCGGACGGCGTTGCGGGTCGAGGCGAGCGACTCCTGCTTGATGAAGCGCGTCTGCTGCTTGATGCCCTCGACCTCCTGGTCCTCCTCGTTCTCGAACTGCTGCTCCTGCTGCCCGCCCTGCTGGTCCTGGTCGTCGTACGGGTTGTACGCGCCGCCGGCGCCCTGGGCGGCAAAGCTGCGCGGCCCTTGGCCGGGAGGCGGTGCACCGGCGAAGAGCTCGTTGCGGAGCTCCTGCTCCTTGGCCTTGTCCTTGCCGCGGCCGAAGAAGGAGCCCTTGGACTTGACGCCGGTGGGCTCGATGGAAGGCGGCGGCGGCGGGTGCTGGAAGCCCTGGTGCTGAGCAGGAGGTGGGGGCGACGGGCGGTTGAAGTGGCTCGAGTTGTCGTAGCCGGACCCGCCCTGGCTCGGGCCGACATAGCCCGGGGCGGTGCGGTAGCTCGGCGGCGGGTTGTGCGAGTGGACCGAGGCGTTGGACGAGTGGACCGAGGGCGGGCCGTGCTGCTGGCGGAACCCTCCTGACGACGACGAGGGGGGAAAGTCGAACCCGCCGACCTCGGGGATCTTCTCCTTCTTCTTGCGGTCGAACAGGCCCATGGCGTCGGCTTGGTGGCAGTAGCGAGGTCGCACGGGGGCGAGCGGTGGAGAGAGAGAGGACGAAGCGAGAGCTAGCCCGCTCGCTCGTCGTCGTCGCCGGATCCGGCACTCGCTCCCCTCTCCCTGGACGAGGTTCGCTGTGTGCGAGCACGGGCTGCAGCTACTGCTCGAGCCAGAGCCGTGCTCCGCGAACCGCCCGAGCGGGAATCCAGCTCCCTGGCTCCCCCTCGCCTCCTCCCACATCTTCATCTGCTCGGCCCTGCCACGCCGCTCTCATTCCCTCTGGACGCCATTGAGCGCACTCAAACTGGCCTCTGAGCTCTTATGCTACGCTACGCGGAGCGGCTACCCCAGCTGCGCAGTTTGTGGCTTCGACTCTCGCGCCGCCTGTCCGGCCGCAGGCTCGACTAAGCTTTCGACCACTCCTCGCGCTGTTTGCTCCTGCTCTGGGTACGGTCGCGCCTCTCGAGCGAGTTCTCGGTCCGACGACGTGCGCGATAATGCTTCCGTTCGAGCAACTCGGCGCAGCCTCTCGTCGTTCGCGCTCGCGCCCTGGCTCAAAGCTAGATTCGCGCTTCAGACACTCTGCTTCTACCAAGGCAACTCGGCACCGTCGTACTGGACAAACTTGCCGCCCATCGTCTCCCTCGTCGCATTGTCGACGAGCTTGGTCAAACCGGCGACCGACTCGTCGACCGTGACGAACGGCACGTCGACGCCCTGCGCCTTGTAAAAGTCGACGACCAAGTTGCCCATGTCGGTCGCGACGAGGCCCGGGTGCGTGACCCACGCCGTCAGGTTGTCGGCCTCGCCGTGCTCGCTCGCGATCTTGGTCACGAGGAAGTTGAGCGCCGCCTTGGAGACGCCGTACGGGTCGTTGGGCATCGCCAGGTTGAGCGTGTTGGACCCGACGGCGGACGACATGGCGAGGAACTGAGGCTTGGACGAGGCCTGGAGGAGCGGTAGGAGCGCCTGGAAGAGCCGCAGCGGGCCGACGACGTTTGTCGCAAAGTGCTTCGAGTACGCCTCGGGCGGTCCGGTCGCCGTGAGAGCAGGACCCTCGGCGATACCTGTCGATGGTGCAAGAGTCAGGAGTTTGGCCTGGCAAGATCGCCAGAGTCGGCGGGCGGCCGAGAGAGGGCAGGCGGCGACCGCTCGAGAGGAAAATCGCGACGCACCGGCGTTGGCAATGACGACGTCGACCCGACCGTCCTGCTGCTTGACGAGCTCGACAGCCGCCTTGTGGTCCTCGTCCGAGCCAGCATCGAGCTTGACGACGACGACGCGCCCGCCAGTCGCCTTGGCGAGCTCGTTGAGCGCGTCGGCCTTCTCGGGCGCACGAGCGCCAGCAAAGACGAGGCTGTCGGAACGTGCGGCGAACGACTTGACGAGGCCGAGACCGATACCGCGACCGGCGCCAGAAACTGCCGGTACGACGAGAGGTCAGTGCGGCCCGGTGACGGTGGTGGCGGGAAGGGCGAGGGAGACCGACGCACTGAAGTAGACGGTAGAGGGCGACGACATGATCGAGCCGAGGAGGTTGTTGTTGTCGAGGATGTGGATGAGGGCACTTGCGGGTGCGAGCGTGAGGTCGAGAGGAACCAAGGAAAGGCGTCGAGAAGGGCGATGCCGCTCACGCCGGCCTGCCCGGTGCCCGCTCACGTCGCAGCACCGTCTGCACAAGCGCTTGCTCGGCGCTCGCTTCGCGCTGGCCCGCGCGATCGCGTAAGCGCAGGGTGAAGCCGGGCTTCGGGTTCAGGTGAACGGAGGCGAAGAGTCGGCGACGAGGGGTGGCGGGACGAGCAGTGCTGGACGGGCTCGATGCCGAGAGCAGCGAAGATACGGCGGCTTGATGTCGCCGCTGTGCTCGCTCGTGTAGCGGCGCTCGCGCGAGCCTGAGGCGAGTCGAGGAGAGCCGAGGACGAGGGTGCGGGGCGACGCTCTGTAGACGCGAGCGAGCGGGGCGGGGGCGGACAGGCTGACTGAGCGAGCAGTGCAAGCTGGACCGTGCCGTGTGAGCGCTGTGAGCGCACGAGAGAGAGTTCGAGCTCGTGGTCGTCCTCGTCCTCCACGCGCAACTCGGCCGCACCGCTGCTGTGCGTTGCCGGCGCGTGTCCAGCTCTTCTGCATCGCATCATCTATCCATGGGGCCTGCTCCCGCGCCGCCGCGAGCGGCCGCCGAGGGCGCAGGGCGCGTCGCATCTTCATCAGCAACTCGCGTCGTCCGACCTCTCTCAACTGGTGGCAACGGTTCATGGGCCTGTGGGCATCGTCGTCGAGGACTATCTCAGCATCAAGGAGACTACCGGGCCCGGCAGCCGCGCTGTGTGGGCTGTGGGCGACTGGTGCGTCCTCCTCCTCCCCGCCTCCCCGTGTTTGGCCCCCCTCTCCCTCTCCCCTCGCCCCCTCTGCTACCTCGCGACGCGGTGCAGGGGCCTTACTGGACTGGTCTAGTCCCTGTGCAGATGGAACGGCTGCGCAAGGCGAGAAGGGCGGTCTTCTGGGCGGCGCGAGGCGAGCTCTCGACCTCGAGGCGGCTCATCTCATTCTTTGTACGTCCCTGGCACTCTCTTTCTTCCCTGCAGGACCTTTACATAAGTCTATGCTCCTCGCCGAGCCGCGCACTGACCCTCTCGCCCTCGCGCCGCAGGTTAGTCGCGCCCTTGATGGCACCTCCCCCGTCTCGGCCTCGAAAGCTTCCCCTCGCGCCCTTGCTGCGCCGCGCGATGGCGCCTTTTCCTCTCCGAAAGCTCTCCTCGTCCCTCGCAAGCGTTTCCGGACCGCATAGAGTTCTTGTTCGTCGTCGCACTCGTCCCGACGGCTCAGCGAGTCGAGCCGCCGCGGACGAGTCCTTACGAGGCTGCGCCCGCCCTCACGTGCCCCTGAGGGCAGCGGGCGCACTCTGGTGAGCCGCTCGCACGGCGCGCACCCCTGCGGAGCGCCCGTGCGCCCGGCCACCTACAAAAGACAGGGGGATCCTGCGCACCCTCGCTCAAACGCTAGCTCTTGATCTAGCAGGGTTACAGTCTCGTGCTTGCGCCAGGTCGGACGAGGAAGAGTCTGCGGTGTAATCGAGCGCGTTTCCCGGGCTACTTTGTCGTGTAGAGCGCGAGATGGCCTTCCGCCTTCCCAGTTCCAGCCGAGGTCGGCGACGCCGCGAGATGCTCTTCCCGCCGGCTCTCTCTCTCTGGAGGACTCTCTTTGTGTGTGCTCGAGTGTATCCACAGCGAGCGAGAGAGAGCCTGGACGGCTGCGAGCCGGCACGGACCTCGTCCTCCTCTCCGACTTGCTCGCGAAGCTGCTTCCCTGCGCCTCTCCTCTCTCGAGCCTCGCGCACACTTGTCCGTCGAAAGTTCGCGGCCGATGATCGCGACGCAGCGAGATCGAGATCTCAAAGGAGCGCTCGAGCCTCACAGAGCGGCAAGGGCAAAGAAAGCGCTCGAGCCTCTCGAGAGATTCCCCCTCGAGCAGGCTCGTCATGCCTCGGCGCACCCAGTCCTTTCGACCACGTCGGAAGCGCGAGTAAAGTAGAGAGTCCCGAGCGAGGCTAAAGTCGCTCGTCGTCGACAGGGCAAAACGAGGATGCTGCGGTTGCAAAGACGTGCGGGGCGAGCTGCACAGAGGACAAGGCAAGAGACGAGGGCAGGGGTAAACCAAGAACATTGGGAAGAGGCTAGATGACGACGCCGGTGGGAGAGAGGGGTGTACAGAGAGGTCGAAAAGAAGGAAAGGGGAGAGGGGGAGAGGGACGAGGACGAGGAAGGGGACCGAGCGTCTAGGCGAACTTGCTGACGTCGAGGCCGACGCCGAAATCCATGACGAGGATGCGCTTGTCGTGCGAGGAGCTGGACGGGACGAGAGAGGGCAAAGTCAGTACGGCCCGAGTCGGAGAAGAGGCGGTCGAACGACGACGAGCGACCTGCATCGCCTTCCTGAGAGAGAGTGAAAGGGGGGACGCACCTGACGATGGCGCTTGCAGAGAAGGCGACGTCAAAGACGAGGCTCGAGTGGCTGCGGAACCGGTGCAGCTCCTCGCCCGTCTCGGCGTCCCACACGCGCGTCGTGTGGTCGTACCCGCCGCTGACGATCCTCCTGCTCCTCTCGTCCCACGCGAGCCCACGCACGAGGTCCGAGTGCCCGGTAAAGGTGCGGATGCACTCGCCCGTGTCGGCGTTCCACAGCTTGATCGTCTTGTCGTTCGACGACGAGACGAACTCCTTGCCGCTCGGGCCCCAGTTGACGCACGCGAGGCCGCGCGAGTGGCCCGTGAAGGTGCGCAGCGTCGCACCCGTGTGCACGTCCCACAGCTTCATGAGCGCGTCGCCCGAGGCCGTCAGGACGCGGTCGCCGTGGAGCTGGACGGCGTTGACCGGGCCGCGGTGGCCGTGCAGGACGCGGTACAGCTCGCCCGTCGAGCGGTTCCACACGCGCGTCTTGGTGTCCTGCGTGAAAAGAGAGGAGGGAGGGAGAGGGAGAGAGTCAGGTTGGCGCGAGGGGGGGAAAGAGGGAGGCTGCCCGGGACGCACCTTGCTGCACGAGACGATCCACTTGTCGTCGAAGCACAGGTCGAGGACGCCCATCGAGTGGCCGACGAGCGTACGCAGAATCTCGTGACGGCCGCGACCGGTCGCCACGTCGCCGACGAGGTCCCACACGACGACACGGCTGTCGCTCGAGCCGGTGACGAGGATCTTGTTGTCGTACTGGAGGCACAGGACGCTGCCCTCGTGGCCCTTGAGCGTCGCCGTGGTCGTGCCCGACGCGAGGTCCCAGATCCGGACCGTCTGGTCGCGCTGCGAGTCGGTCGAGGGTCAGTGTCCCGCACGCCTTGACGACAAGGGTGAGGGAGATAGAGAGGCGAGGGACGCACCGAGCCCGAGACGACCTTCCTCTCGTCGAACTGGACGCAGTAGACGCTGTCGGCGTGGCCCTCGAACCAGCTCCAGCTCGGCTTTCCCGTCGCCCACCGCTGCTCGAGGAGCCACCGGTCGCGGTACAGCCTCGGCCAGTCGAGCGCGAGCAGGCCCGCCGCGTACATGAGCGCCGCCTCGGCCGTGTCGGGGAGCGCGCTCACGCCGGGCGTCGACGGCGTCTGGGCCGAGTGGGCCGAGTGCGTCCCGAGCGACGAGCGACCGACCGAGCGACGCGGCGTCGACATGCTCGCGAGCGTCGACAGGGCGCTGCTGCTGCTCGTGCGCGACAGGCTCGCGCTCGGCGGGCTCGCGAACGCGTGCGTCTGGACCGCCGACAGGGACGGCTGGCCGGGGCCGGCGGGCCCGGCGCCGAGCAGCGACGGCGAGCTCGCCATGCCGCTCGGCGTCGCGTTCGAGGTCGAGGGCGAGCCGGCGCCGGCGCCGGTGCGAGGGCGGGTCGGCGTCGAGCGCTCGGGACTGTGCGCGCGCGACGACGCGGTCGACGTGCCAGCCGTCGTGGGCGGGCCCGAGGTCGACGACGCGCCGTGCGAGCCGGGCACGATCGACAGGCTGCCGAGCTCGCCGACCATCTCGCTCAGCTTACGGCCGATGACGGCGCCGCCGGCCTGGACGCGGTCGGCGCCCGTGACGAGGCGCTTGGCGCCGGCGCGGCCGAAACTGCTCGCGGCGCGCTTGAGGTTGGGCATGACGGGGCGGTCGTGCGCAAAGTAGCTGCTGGTGCGCTCGCGGTCGGCCGAACCGCTCGGGGTGGCGGCGCTCGCTGCTGCTGCGGCGGCGGCTTGTGCGGCGGCGGCGGCACGTGCGGCCTGGCGGTACGCGTCGGGCTTGATGTGCCAGCGCGGGTTGTCGTGGAACAGGCTGCGCCACAGGAGCGGGTCGAGGGCGAGTTGGCGCCAGCCGTGCGAGACGGCCGAGGACGCGAGGACCGAGCGAAAGTCGAGTTGGAGAAGGATGTTGAGCGAGAGCTCGGAAGGGAGCGACACGATGAAGTCTGCGGCGACGAGCTGAGGTCAGTGAGGGTTCGTCGACAGGTAGAGAGAGGCCGAGAGACGCACCGACTTTGCCCTCCCACCCGTCGACGAAGCACGCCTCGTCGTCGACCATGTCGTCGTCGTGGTCGATGGCCTCGTCGGGCCGGTCGCGCTCGCGGTCCTTGCCCTTCCAGGGGAGCGACGGGAGGCGGAACGGCGACTCCCACGACGACGAGTCGGGCGGACGCGGCGTCGACGAGGCCGAGGCGCGGCGCAGGACGAACGACAGCTGCGAGGCCGAGTCGTGCTGCTCGAGCGGCGTGGGCCTGCCGCGAGTGGTGCCGTCGCGATAGCCGGGCTGCTGCGACTGGGCGACGACGTCGGGCCGCTCTGCCGAGTCGGCGCGGTGAGGGGTGGACGAGCGGCTGAGGAAGGCGGGCGGGATGGGCGGTGTGCCCTGGGGCGACGACGCCGAGAAGGGGGACGGGATTGAGGGGGGCGAGAAGCGGTCCCAGATGCGGCCGAGTGCGCTCGACGGGCTGTCGACGCGACGTGGGCCAACGGACGAGGGGCCGAGGATGCGAGAGGAGCTGACGACGAGGTGCCGGCGTCGCCCTGGGCACGATCGGGGTGGTCCATGGCGCGTCGGTGGCGATGGTGGCCACTGTCGAGTGCGAGTTGGCCTGGCTGCGGGTGCGGGGGTGGCGAGGAACGAGAGGAGCGAGGTGGGGATGTCGGACGACGACGACGAGGCCGACACGGGACGAGGCGGGGACGAGGCGGGGCGGCGGTACGGGCGTGAGAGCTCTGGGGTGGGCTGCTTGTGCACTGCACCGGCGGCTGGTGCCGTGCTCGTCGTTGCGGGTTGAGGGCGAGCGTCAGCCGACTTGCGCTGCTCCGGCTGCTGTGGTCTCTCGCTGCCCGAGCACTGCAGCATGCCAGAGCGACCACGAGCGCACACCCTGTACGCCGCCGGCTCAAACTCGCACGGCCAGCTCGCCCCGCACCACCGCGACGACCTCGCCCGCTGGACTCGCATCTCGCTCCCGCCTCGACTCGGCCCAACCGCCGTAAAGTCCATCGCGTGCGGCGCCAACCACTCTATCGTCGTCGTCACCGACCCGCACGGCCGCACGCACCTGCTCGGAGCCGGCAGCGACGCCCGAGGCCAGCTCTCGGCTCGACCCGACCCTCGACTGCGCCTCGCCCTCGAGCCCGTCGACCTCGACAAGCTGTGCGACGGCCTCAACTTGGCTCTCCCTGTCGCCAGCTACGAGGTCGAGCACGTCGCTGCGTCCTGGGAGACGTCGTTCGTCGTCCTCCGGCCTCGAGATCCCGCCAGCCGCGAGTCCGACGTCCTCGTGTCGTTCGGCGCCAACGACTGGGGCGAGCGCGGCGCGCCGTCGGCAGCGCGAGACGAGCCGAGCGTCGTCGCCCTAGACGAGACGCTGCTCGACGTCGAACGTGCACGGGCGACGATCCGCATCGTCGACCTCGTCGCCGGACCGCGGCACGCGCTCGCTCTCGTCGAGGTCGTCGATCCGCCAGCACCGTCAGATCATGCACCAGCACCGAGCCGTCGCCGGCTCCTCGGCTGGGGCGCATCTCGGCACGGCCAACTCGGCGTCGCCCACTCGTCCTCGCCGCCGCCACGCACCACGCCCATTCCGCGCGAGGTGGCCGTCCCGGCGCCGCTCGGTGCCTCGAGCATCGTCAGCCTGTCGGCCGGTCGCGATCACTCGGCCGTGCTCTTCCGTCGAGCCGCCGACGACAACGAGAAGGTCCTCCTCCTCGGGTCCAACAAGCACGGCCAGCTCGGCGCTCCTCTCGCCGGTCGCGACGCCGCCGCAAACTCGCCGGCACGGCAACATGTCATCAATGGTGCTCAATTCGCCTTGTCGACCGCCGCTCGAGCCGCGCCCGTCGTGGCCGCCGTCCACTGCACCTGGTCGAGCACGTTCCTCGCCTTCTCCCCCTCCTCGCCCTCCTCGCCCATCCTCGCGTTCGGCCTGAACGGTCACGGTCAACTCGGCACACCGTCCTCGTCCTCGCCTGATGTCGACCGCCTCGGCGTCGCGCCGACTTTCCCGCCCTCGAGCGCCGTGCGCGTGCTCGCGGCAGGGTCCGAGCACGTCCTCGCACTGCTCGACTGCCCCAGAGACGGTCGCGAGGGCCTCGTCGAGCGACAGGTGTGGGGCTGGGGCTGGAACGAGCACGGCAACCTCGGGCTCGCGGCGGGCGAGAGCGAGGGACAGCGAGAAGGAGAGGGCAACGAGGGAGGCGCCGTCGTGCCTGCCGACGTGCGCTCACCGAGACGGGTATGGCCACCTCACGAGCACGGACGAGTCGAGGGTGACGAGCAGCCGCAAGGGCGGCCTGTGCGCGTGTGGGCGGGCATGGCGAGCAGCTGGATCCTGTTCGAGCAGGACGAGGACGACGCAGAGTAGCCTCTCGTTGAAAAGCTATCGTCTCGACCGCTCTCTCTCTTGGTCGTCGAGCGTCGGGAGGCAAGTGAGAGCACGACGCGCACTGCGTTCCAGCTCGTCGACCGACCGAGGACTCGGCCCTCCTCAACTCGCCCACGCCGGTCTGCCCTGCCCTCCAGCCGCACCGGCCTGCGCTCCTGCCCCGCCGCCGCCACCGCCGCTCACAGCGCCCTGGGCCTGCGCCTGCGCAGCCTTGGCCGCACGAGCCTCCTCCTCGCGACGCACCTCGTGCGGGAGCTTGACCTGCTGCGCGAGCGGCTTGAGCCAGCTCGGAAGCGGCAGGCCCGTTGCTGGCCCGACCTGCTGCTGCGAGTGCGAGTGCCCGTGATGCTGATGCTGATGCTGATGATGCTGATGCTGGTGCGGAGGAAGGCCGCGCGACGTCCCACCGACGCCGTTGGGAGGCGAGCCGGCGGCCCAGAACGGCGCGAGGACGCGCTCGACGACGGGCGCCGACGACTGCCCGCCCTGCTGCTGCTGCTGCTGTTGGGAGGAGGAGGACGCTGCCGAGGGAGGCCGAGGGCGAGGGGGAGAGCTGGCGGACGGCGTCGACTTGCGGCTCAGGCTCGGGAGCGTCGGCGGGGCGAGGCCGTTGGGCGAGTGCGCCGGGTGCGTCGGCGGCGCAGGCGTCGGCATGCTCGGGAAGAGGGTCCCTCGCTGAGGGACGAGCGACGCCGACGTCGGCGCCTGCTGTTGCTGCTGCTGCTGAGGCGGTCCGTGCGCGTGCGGCGGCGCGCCGACGTGCCCGAGCGAGGGCGACTTGCTGCCGACGCCCATCGCGCTCGGAGCCTTGGTCTGCACGCCGAACGACGGCGAGAAGCGCTGCGCCGCAGTCTGCGGCGCGCCCGGGTACGACGGCGGCTGTGGCCGCTGCTCGCGAGGTCGCGACGGCGACGGCGGCTGCGGCGAGGGGAACGTCGGCGGGTGCGAGTGGTGCGTGTGTTGACGAGGCTGCTGCTGCTGGGCGTGCGGCTGCGGCTGCCCGTAAGGCGACGGCGAGTGCTGGAACGACTCGGCCTGGCGAGCGTACGGGTGCGGGTGCGGCTGCGACGCCTGCGTCGACCGAGGAGCCGGTGCCGCCGCATGCTGCTGCTGCTGCACGTGCGGCTCATGGCTGCGCGCTTGCCCGTTCGGCGCGCCCGGCGCCGATGAGCCGTGCGACGGCGGCCGCTGCATCTGCATCGGCGGGAGCGGCGGCGACCGCGCACTGCCGCCGTTGACGGCCGTCGCAGGCTTGGCGTGTACAGGCAGGGCCGGTGTCGACGTCGACGCCTTGTGGAGCGTCGGCGAGACCTTGGGCTGCACAGGAGGCGCGAGCGCTGCGGGGCCCGGCGGCGGCGCGGCGGGCTCGCGAGAGGGCGCTGTGGCCGGTGCAGGCGGTGCAGCCGGTGTCGAGGCGGTCGGCGGGTCGTACGAGTAGGCGGACGGGGCGTAGGGATGGGGCAGGGCCGCTGCCGAGGTCGAGAGAGGGGCGCCGGTGGGAGGAGGGACGTAGTAGGCCGGGAGGCCGTACGGCGCGCCGGGTGCGGGCACGGCCGAGGCGTAGCCGGCTTGGCCGAGGTAGGGCGGCGCGCCGGGAGGGGCGGCGGCGAGAGGGTTGTAGTAGTAGGGAGGGTGGGGATGAGGGTAGGGGAAGACGGCCGACGCCGGCGGGACGGCTGCCGGCGGCGGTGGCGCGTAGAAGGGCTCGTCCTCGATGTCGTAGAAGAGGGCGAGGTCGGCCTCGATCTCCTCGGGCGCGAGCTGCCACGCCTCGTGCTTGAGCGCCGGGTTGAGCGGGGGAGGCTCGACGTAGTGCCCGGCGTGCAGGATCTCGCGGGGCTGGAACGCCGGGTCGCGTTGCGGGCCGCGATAGTAGTTGGTCGGCGGCAGGTCGTGGTTGTTGACGAAGAGCGGGTGGTCGCGGAAGAACGGGAAGACCTTCTCCTCGGCGACGAGCTCCTTGAGCGACGCGTGGTTCTCGAGGTAGAGCTTCATGCGCAGGGCGTCCTTGTTGTCCTGCGAGCATCGGGGCGAGTCAGGACGACGTCGAGGAGTGTGAGGAAGAGAAAGGAGAGGCAGACGTACGGCCCACTGCCGCCAGCTCGCCTGGATCCGCTTCTCGAGCAGGACGCCGAGCTCCTTCTCGCGCTCCTCCTGGTACCGCCGCAGCCGCTCGAGTCGCTCGCCCTTCTCCTCCTGCAGCCGTCGGTAGGCCAGGTCGAGCAGAGGGTGCGAGCGGTCCTCGACCTGGTCGAGCTCGCCGTCGAGCTGGTCGAGAAACTTGAGGCGAGCCTCCTCGCGAGCGGCGTGTCGCGCCTCGGCCTCCTTGTCGGGGATGTCGAGCTTGCGCCGCTTGGCTGCAGCGAGGAAAGAGAGGAGGGGAGAACGAGTCAGACCCTGCTCGAGGAGGAGGAAGGAAGGGAGGGAGGAGGACGCACCTCGCTCGACCGGCTCAGGTACCGCCTGCGCCTTCTTGCCGCGCTTGCCCTTGCTCTTGCCCTTGCCGCCCCTGGTCGGCGTCGCCGCGATCGCGGGCGTGACCGAGCGCTCGTCGACGCTCGTCTCGCGCGACATGGGCGCGCTGACGCCGAGCGTGCCCTCGCCGCCGTTCATCGACACGTCGTCGTCGTCCTCGCCGTCGACAGCTCGGCCCTTGCCCTTGCGGTCGACGGGCACGGGCAACGACGGCTTGATCTCCTCCGCCTCGACCGCGTCGTCCGCCGCTGCCGCCGCGTCGCCGTGCGCGTCGACGAGCGCGTTGACCGAGCTCGCCCGGCTCTCGATCGGCGTCGTCGTGCCCGTCACGTCCTCCACCTTGGCCTCGAGCGGCTCGTCGCCCTCGCCCTCTCTGTCCTCCTCGTCCTCCTCATCGTCAGGGCCGTCCCGCTTCTTGCGCCCTCCCGCCCTCGGCCACCGCGAGCTCGTCACGCCCTCAATGTAGCCCGGCGGGAGCGTCACATTGGCCCTCGTCGCGCGCTGTCTCGCGCTCGCGGCGCCGGGCGACGCCGTGCCCTCGCTACCGCTCGGGGCGCGGTACGGCGGGTCGGCCTTGCCGGCGGCGCGCTGCCCTCGCGGGACGGGCGCCTTGGGCAGCTTGTTCTTCGAGCCCGGCGGGCGCCCTCGCCGCTTTGGGGCGCTCGTGGCGGGTCCCGGCGTCTGCGACTCGCTGTGCGCGCGAGCGGCCGAGGCGGCGGCGGCGTGCGGGGCCGAGGAGGGGAGGGTGGAGGTGGACGCGAGCGGCTCGTCGTCGGACGAGTCGGCTCGCGCGACGACGACGGCGCGCTTGTCGTCGTCCGAGCTGTCGAGCTCGGAGAGGCTGTCGTCGACGGCGCGGGTCGAGGCGGCGCGAGGAGCGCCGCTCGAGGCCTTTCGAGCGCCGCTCGGGCGGGCAGGCGTGTTGGCGGCTCGGGCGGTCGAGGTCGACATGGGCGAGGCGACGAACGTGTCGTCGCCGTTGTCTGCTGCGGTGCTGGGGCCGTCGGGCGCGAGGGACGAGGGTCGTGCGGGTGCCGGCGTCGTGGGCGAGGGCGAGCGATCATCGGACAGGAGGGAGAGGGAGGACGAGCGGGGGAGGTCGCGGGCGGGTCGCTGGAACGCCGGCGCGACGGGTGGGACGCCCAGCTCGGGCGACAGGGCGCGAGGCAGACCGCCGGCGCTCGAGGACGGCGAGCGCGAGTATCCGGCGTCGTCGTCGTCGGCGTCCCCTTCGGACCCGGCGTCGCGCCCGGCGCCCGCGCCTCGCGCCTGGGCGGACGCACTGCTGCTGCTGCTGCTGCTCGCGCCACGCCCTCGCCCTCGCCCTCGTGCGCGACCGCCGCGAGCGGCGCGAGAAGCCGGAGCCCTGGCCCCTCGGCTGCGGCTCGCCGCAGATCCTGCCGGCGAGGCGTCCCTCGGGCTCGCCGCGGCGTCGGCGCCGACACTGGGCCGGCGGGACGGCGGCATGGCGAGATCGAGGCGTGAAAGGGGAGGACGAGGCTGTCGAGGGGTGCTGGGCTCGGGTTCGAGGACGAGGGCGAGGAGGACACGAGGGCGGGGGAAGCGAGGGAAGGCGTGGCGAGCAAAATCGAGCGTTGCCGTGCGGGGAGGGGGAGCTTGATCGAGTGATTATGCGTTTTCCGAGCCGCGCCCTGGATAGAACTGGTGCGTCGGGCCGGTGTCAGAGCGATTCTCGTCCGGGAGGTGTGCGGCTTCGGGGGGAGGACAGGGAGCGAGGGAGGGGGCACACGCACCTCGAGACGACCAGAGGCGAGAGGATCAGGCCGTGAGACGACGGGGAAGAGGCTCGTCGGCGAAGGGAGACCGAATCTGGGGAAAGGCGCTCGCCGGAGGATCAGCTCTCTGAACGGTGCGCGCTCGACGGGCGTGTGAGAACGAGCGGGACGCACTGGGTCGTGTCGCTCGAGGGCTTGAGGCCACGGGTCGGTGCAGTGCCTGTCGGTCCGGGCGAGGAGAGCGTCAGTCGGGGCGCGTTGCAGAGGCGCGTGGAGGAGGACGGCGTGGCTCGCTCGTGGACAGAGGAGAGGCGGGCGGGCGGTGGGACGCACCTCGAGCGGTCGCGAGAGCTGTGCTGACGAGCTGGACGGGTCGCGTCGAGTCGTACTGGGTGCGCTGGTCGAGAGCGAGGGCGGTGGACGAGGCAAAGAGGACCGGCGTGCGGGGTCGGCTCGGATGAACCCCACTCTGTGCGCAGCGGGCGCAAGACGACCGCTGTCGAGCTGGGCGCGCGTTCGAGTCGTCGCAGAGCGAGCACAAACTCGCAGGCAAACAGCTCGCCCTCAGTCGACTCCGCCAGCGAGAGGCGCCGGCGCTCCGCCGACTCGTCCTCCTCGACGCTCGTCCGTCCTTGCTCCCGCTCCTCTCCTCGATAGCCCCGGGCTTGCTCTCGCTCCCTGTCTCTGTCCGCTCGCCCGGGCCACCGGGTCGACGAGAGAGACTCGATCGCTTCGAACTCTCCTTCGCGCCACCGTCGAACGCTCGTGAAAAATCAGGTCTCTGCACTACAGCGTCCGACGCCCGTCTATGGTCTATGTGCGTGTCTAAGGAGGGCTGGGAGAAGCGAGGACTCGAGCGGCGGCGAGCGAGGGCGGCTAGGCCGCCTCGCCGCGCATCCGGGCGAGCTCCTTCGCAAAGTTGCTCTGCGCGCGCCGACGGCGACAGTGTCAGTGACGCTGCTCGAGAGACATCGGTCCTCGACGGCGTCGAGAGGAGGAAGACAGGCGAGCAAGGACGCACCTTTTCCCGGATCTTGGGCCCGAACGCGAAAAGGACCCACGGCGTTGCCGCAAGGACGAGCGCGACGCAGCCCGCCAGGAAGGACGCCCACTGCGTACAACGACGTCGAAGAGAGGGGAGGGAGGTGGGCGGGGCCAAGAGGGTCAGTCTCTGTCGCTCGAGATGCAGGAGGACGATCGAGGGAGAGGGGAGCGCGAGACGCACTTGGTACCCGAGCGAGTTGTACATCTGCGTGCAGAACAAAGGGAACCCGCATGCTGCGAGGTTGCGGAAGAGCGACTGGCCGCTGAGCGCGGACGAGGCGTACTGTTTCGGGGCAGAGGTCAAGCCTTTTCGACCCGGCTCGAAGGAGGGAGAGAGGGCCCGTGCGCACAATGGTGTAGCAGTCGGCGAGGTAGCTGAAGACGGCCAGGTAGATCGTGTAGACGCCCTGTAGACGAGGGAGGGGTCAGGGACCGCGGCGAAGAGGGAGGGCCATCGAGAGAGGAGGGGCAGGCGCACGGTGAAGATCTGCGGGGCGGGAAAGGTCGTCAGGTCGACGCCCTGGACTCGAAACGAGCGAGCGCACGCACCAAAGTCAAGCCGACGACGGGGCCCATCCAGTGCCCTCGACCTTGGCTGAACGCGAGGATGAAGGCGCCGGCCGGGAAGACGAGGCCGCCGATGAGCGAGGCGTACAGGCGCGCCTCGGGCCCGCGCTTTGCGACGTTCTTGCGGTACAGGCGCTCCTGGTAGTAGCTCGAGACGGCGCCGATGAACGTCGCGACGCTGTGTGGGCGGGAGCGGCGAGGTCAGTAACCCGCCGGCGGACGGAAAGGGAGGGCAGGACGAGGGACGCACACGACCGAGTAGAAGACGAGCCCGACCTGGCCGGCGTTGAACCCGTAGACGTTGCCAAAGATGAGAGGAACGGCCTCGACGAGTAGATAGAGCGATCCCCAGGAGAAACCCGCCCAGAGCGAGACGAAGAAGACGATCGGCTCGGTGCAGAGGAGGTCTGTCGCGGCACGACGACTGAGCGCTCGGCTTGACAGGCGGCGAGGACAGTCGTGCTGCGAAAGGAGGACGCACAGATGGGCCTCGTCATGCTGACCTTGAGGAGGACCGCCAGGCTCGCTCGCTCAGCGTCACTGCGGCACTGGTACCGGTCGTCGCCCGTGTCCTTGCGCATCTTGCGGGCCCGGCGCGACAGGATGACGCTGCCGCGAGTCTCGCGCGTGAAGAGGATGATGAGGACGGTGAGGACGCCGCAGAGCATCATCTGTGTGCGGGAGGAAGGGGTAGGTCAGGTCGGTGCGAGGGGGAGAGGACGGTGACCTCGAGCGAAGCGAGGCGAGAGGACGCACCTGGACCCAGCTGATCCACCTCCAGCCGAGCTTGAACTCGATGTACCCGCTGACCGCAGGCCCGAGGCCCGTTCCGGCGAACGCCATGATGCTGAAGATGGCCATCGGCAGACCGCGCTCGTGCGTGTCGAACAGGTCGGCGACGGTCCCACCGACGAGCGTCGAGCCCGTCGAGGCAGCGATACCGCCGATGAAGCGGGCGATGACGACCGTGGCCTGTACGCGCAAGAGGAGGGTGAGCGACTCGAGGACTGAGGGAGGGAGAGCGGCCGAGGCCACGGCCGCACAATATTCTGGCCGTACGCGGTCGGGATGAAGAAGACGAGGTAGACGAGTGACGAGATGACGTAGAGCGGGTAGCGTCCATAGGCTCTGCGCCACGAGGGGAAGAGTCAGAGTCGCGTCGGGTGATGGCGGCGACGGGGGTCTGCTGAAAGGCTGTGGCTCACTCGGATAGAGGAGCCTGTGGGGCGGAACGAGTCAGTACGATCGAGAGAGGGCTCGAGGCGAAGAGAGAGGGGGCGCACCGTGAAGAGAGGGCCGAGCGCGAAGCCGAGCGGAAAGCTGCGCCAAGAGGAAGAGTGTCAGTGACGGCGCTAGTTGAATTCGACGACAGGCCTCCTCCCGCCTCGTCGACGGCGCCCAGAGAGAAAGCCGACGTACAAGGACAGTCCGAGTGTCGCGACCTCGTGCGAGACGTTCAGGTCGCGCATGAGGGACGGCGTGCCCATCGCGAACGCCGTACCCGAGTAGGCGGCAGACTGTGGTACGATGAGAGGTAGAAGAGGTGCAAGGCGAGGGCGAGGGGAAGGGGCGAGGGGAAACACAGGTCAGGCTCGTCGGGATTCGCAGGAGGGGGCGCACTGCCAGCCCAACAGCGAGAGGAGAACGACGACGCACAAGGGTGAAGAAGCATGCGATGAGGCACGTCTGCCACTTCTTGCGCTGGCTCCACTGTGGCGGGGAAGGAGGGAGAGGAGGGTTCGAGAGGTTGGGAAGGCGGGAACGAAGGAGGGTCAGCACGGGGCTCTTGCCTCAGGCGCAGACGAGACGGGGCACAGGGCGAGAGGTGGACGCACGTTGAACGGGTTCTCCCTGTCGTCCGCGTTCCATTCGGTCCAGATGACCTCCCTCCCCTCCTTGCCCTCCTCGGTCGCGGCCGTCAAGGTCCTCGCGCGGTCGAGCTCCGGTCCTGCCCCGGCACGCTTCTCGCCCGCCTCGACCGACACCGAGCGCGTAGGTGCGACCGTCGCCTCGTCCTCGCTGCCCTCGACGACGGCGTCGGCTCGCTCGTCCATCGCTCGCGACGCGAGCCCCTGCGCCGCCTCGTCCTGCGAGCGCCACTCGCGCAGCTCGGTGTCCCAGACGACGGCAGTCTCGCTCAGCTCGCCCTCTGCCCTCGCCGGGCCTCGGTGCGCGTGGTCGTGCGAACGGTGGGGACGTGCCGGTGCCGGAGCTGATGAAGGGTAGAGGGGCGCAGCGGCCGCGTGTGGGTGCGCCATGCAGAGCTGGATGTCGGTGTGCTGAGCGGTTCGAGTCTTGTAGCAGCAGGTGCAGAAGGCGAGGGGCGAGGTCGAGTGAGAGGGCGCGTTTGATTCCTCCGCTGCCGACGCGATTCACCGCGGGCCGCACGGCAAATCCCTGCTCCTCTGCGGCCACGCGCATCGCTGTGCGCTGCTCTGCACTGTGCATCGGGCTCTCGCGGTGCGGTATGTACGCGTCACCCTCGAGGCGGAACGACGAAGCGAGGTCCGAACGCGCTCGAGCTCGCGCTCAACTCGGACCCTCGCCTGCGGTTCAGTTGAGCGACGCTCGCTGCATTCTTTCTTCGGTTACGAGAGGGGCTGCAGCGTCTCGCCTCGACCACGACGAGCTGCCCGACCGCACGTCGAGAGCGTCGCGCGCGCACTCGCAGCGAGGAGCCGGCCGCGACGACATTCCCGCTCCTCCTTGATCCAAGCTTGCGGCGTCGAGTCTTGTCCGCGCTCGAGAATGGTCGAACCTGATCGTCGACGGCGAGAGCTTAGATGCGCAGCAGAGGCGAGCGGAAAGCCGGGTTCGACCTGTCTGCGACGCCGACGAGCACCTCGTCGCCGTCTCTACGAGGCCGACGACGGCGTGCTCCGGGTGCGACGAGCGTTCGAGAGCGTCGAGTCCCAGGCTGCCGACGAGGACCGAGAGAAGCCGCAGGGCGCGCAGAGCAGAAGAGGGCGAACGTCGCAGCCGAGCTGTCACGGTCCGTGCGCCACTTGCTCGACGGCGAGGATCGAGACAGCGGTCGCTCGTACGCCTCGACGTCGTCACGGCTTCGCTAGTACTAGAGCTAGACGAACGGTGCGCGAGCGAGCGAGCGTCGAGAGAGGAGCTGTCCGGCGCGCGAGCGGATCTCCCCGACTGGTCTGCCCTCACGAGGGGGCCGCTCGCCTCGCCGGCCCTCGTCCGTTGCCCTTCCTGACCGCGATGTCGCTCCGGCTTCGACTCGAGCAGGTACAGCCCGAAAGCGCCGAGCCGAGCGCGGCGCTGCGAGAGTGTGCGCCCTTGCGCCCCCTCGGCCTCGGATCTGGCCGACGAATCTGAGGCTCGGTCACCGACATTCGCTCAGAGCGTCGAGCGGGACACTCACGTCGTCGCTGAAGCTGTGCCCGTCGCCCCCTGCTCGACCGGGACGCGAGCTCGCCGAGAGTGCGAGCGAGGACGCGTCTGAGTTGGCGCGCGGTAGAGAGAGCGAGGGCTTGCCCCCTCCGTGCACCCCAGCGGGCCGAAGAAGCGAGCGTCGCAGAGGAAGGATCTGGTCGAAGGCAGCCTGAGGCGAGCAAGCAGGAGGAGGTCGAGGCGACGAGGGAGGAGGGCACGCCGACGACCGGCCTCGCGATCGGGGGTGCGTGCACGAACGATCGAGCGGCACGCTTGCGCGCAGGGGCGAGCGGCCGAGGCGAGGGGAAGGAGAGGAGGAGCGCGCGAGCATCGCAAAGCGAAAGCGGAACGGAGCGACGTCGTTGCGACGACGAGCTGCGAGACGCTTTGCGATGCGCGTCGTCGCAGGCAATTTGGGCGGGTGCGCCGAGGGTCGAAGCCGAGCCTTCCCCCGCGTGAGCCTCATCGTCGTCAGCCCTCCTCCTCTCCTCCTCCCTCACACACGAGCTCCAGGCAGTCGTCTGCGCCCAGCCGCCATGCCTGCTCACTTCACCAACCCGCTCGCCCTGTCGCTGTCGGCCCTCGCCGCCGCCGCGCACCTCGCCGCCGCCTCGCCTCTCCGACCCGCCTTCGCAGCAGGAGCAGGCGCCGCTCCTCTCGAGGCTCGCTCGCCCGCCCCAGTTCCGGCGCCAGCACCTCAAGCCCTCACCGTGCCGCTCGTGCGCCGCGGTGCTGCCCTCGAGAAGCGCCGCGATGCCGACAGCTTCCTGCGCAAGGCCCAGGGCATGCGCAGCAAGTACGGCGCGTGGGCTCCCGGCTCGCGCGACTCGACCGCCGGCCAGCAGCAGAAGCGCCAGAATGACGTGCCCATGACCAGCTACCAGGACTCGTGCGTCCCACCCCTCCTGCCTCTCCCTCCCCTCCCTCGGTCCTCGTCGTCACGGGTGGCGGTGCGGGCGCGATCCTCGGCATGCTGTGCGGCACTGTGCTCGGCTAGTCGTGGAACGGAGCAGATGCGCTGAGCGGCGAGGCCCATGCGCCTCCCGTACGCAACCGGATCATTCTGCACGAACGAGTCCCTGACTCTGTCCTCGTCCACTCCCCGCAGCGAATGGTACGGCGAGATCGACGTCGGCACGCCTCCTGCCGCCTTTTCGGTCGTCCTCGACACGGGTTCGGCCGACCTCATCCTCGCCGAGACGGGCTGCAACGGCTGCTCGGCCAACACGCCGGGCTACGAGCCGTCTACCTCGTCGACCTCGGCCACGTCGCAGTCGGCCTTCTCGATCCAGTACGGCTCGGGCTCAGCATCAGGTGCGTCTCCTGTACCTCGTCCTAGATGCGAGGCGAGCAGCACTGACCCAGCCTTTCTCCCTCCCTTTCCTTCCCGCTCGGTCCCTCCTCCTCCGCCTCGGCGTCGCATCTGCCCTTTCCTCGCCTCTCCCCTCCCGCTCCTTCGGCCCACCGCCATGTCCCACAAACTCGCCGTGTTCGACAGGCACCCTCGTCCGCGACACGATCTCGATCGGCAACTTTACGCAGCCCGACCAGATCTTCGCGGCGTGCGACACGCTCGAGAACATTGTCGACGGCACCATCAGCGGCATCCTCGGCCTCGGCTGGACCGCGCTCGCCAGCTCGGGCGAGACGCCGCTCGTCGAGGCGCTGTGGCGCAACGGCACCCTCCCCGAGGGCGTCTTTGGCTTCGCGTTCGAGTGCGTCCACCCTCTCCCTCTGTGACTCGCCTCGCCGTTCCTCACTCATCGGGACCCTCTCAACCTGCAGGACGCACACTTTCACGACCGCCTCGTCGCCGACCGCGCCCGGCGGCACCCTCACGATCGGCGGCGTCGACACGAGCGCCTTCTCGGGCGAGCTCAACTGGATCAACATCGTGCAGCCGGCGGCCTACTGGGCCATCCCGCTCCAGGACGTTCACGTCGGTGGCCAGTCGCTCGGCCTCACCGACGCCGCCGTCGTCATCGACACGGGCACGACGCTCATCGGCGCGCCGCAGCGGTTCGCCGAGGCCGTCTACGCCCAGGTGCCCGGCGCGGCGTCCATCTCGCTCCAGGGCGAGAGCGGGTACTACTCGTTCCCGTGCAGCCAGAGCGTCAACGTCAGCATGACGTTCGGCGGCGTCGAGTACACGATCGCCCCCGACCAGTTCAACGCCGGCGCCGTCAACTCGCGCGGCTCGCTGTGCCTCGGCGCCGTCTTTGCGCTCGAGACGAGCGCGTCGAGCACGGTCGACATCATCGTCGGCGACGCGTTCCTGACGGGCGTGTACTCGGCGTACCGGTTCTCGGACCCGCCCGCCGTGGGCTTTGCGACTCGCGGCAGCGGCGGCAGCGCCAACACGGGCACGACCGACTCGTCGTCGTCGGGCAGCACGGGCGCCGCGATGACGGTGCCCGTCGGCAAGGCCGCAGGCGCGATCGCGCTCGCCGCGTCGGTCGCCGCCCTCGTCCTCGCGTGACCGCGGTCCCCTCCTTCCCTCCTCGCCTTCTCCTTCCTTGTAGCTCTTTCCTCCCCTCTTCCTTCTCTGTCCGTCGCACGCACCAGACCCACCTACACGCCCTTGTACATCCCCTGTCGCCTCGCCCTAGCTTTATCGAACCTCCTTCTCGCATCCCGCAACCACGGACGCTGCCTCGTTCTTCCTCTCTTTCGGTCGTGCCTCTCACGGGACTCTCGAAAGAGCTCGGCCAAGGTCGAGAGACTTTGAGAGAGAGAGAGACAGTCGACGAGCACCGCCTCGCTTGCGTCGCGTCGGGGCGCAGCTCGGACGAGCGGTTCGCCTCCCTCGTCCTCGCCAGCCATGGCCAAGACCAAGAAGGTCGCTGCGCCCGTCGCCCCGTCGTCCAACTGGAAGTCGCTCAAGGCCGTGCGTCCCCTCCTGCCGAGCGCTCGTCTCGTTGTCCGCGGCTCACCTCCCTCATCGTCCCCACAGGCCATCAAGCCCGCCTCGTCCACGCCCGCGCCCGCCAGCGACAGCAGCAAGCGCAAGCGCACGCACTCGAGCGTCTCGTCCGACGCGGCAGAGCGGCAGAAGGGCAGCAGCACCAGCCTCAAGGGCAAGGAGCGGCAGCGAGCAGACGAGGCGGCCGTCGACGCGCGCAAGAAGGGTGCCGCGCACAAGCGCCTCATTCCTGTCGACGAGATCATGCAGGGCGGCTTGGCGGCGTGGCAGCGAGAGTGCGTCCCGATCTCTCTTCCTCGCTCTTCACGCTTCGTGGACCAACGTGCTGACCCTCTCTCTCCTTGCGCGTGGACAGCCCCGGCCAGTACCTCGGTGCGCCCACTCGTTCCCTGTACCCACACGAACATGCCCTGACGCTGCTCTCGCTCCCGTGCAGCTATCGACTGCGAGATGGTCGGCGTCGGCCCCGAGGGCGTCGAGTCGACGCTCGCCCGCGTCTCGATCGTCAACTACCACGGCAGCACCATCCTCGACCGCTTCGTGCGTCCGAGGGAACGCGTGACCGACTACCGCACCTGGGTGTCGGGCGTCAGGGAGGAGGACTTGCGCAACGGTGCGTCCCCTCTCTCCTCTCTCTTGAGGATTTGAGGGCGCGTCCGACTCGTAGAGCTCACCTCGCGCCTCACCTTGCAGCACCGAGCTTCCAGGAGGTGCAGAAGGAGGTGGCGGCCCTCATCAAGGACCGCATCTTGATCGGCCACGCTCTCTCGAACGACACGCAGGTGCGCCCCTACCTTTCTCGTCGCGTCTGTCACTCGCACGATTCTGACTCGCTCGCCCGACCAGGTCCTCTTGCTCTCGCACCCGTGGCACATGACGCGCGACACGTCCAAGTACGCCCCGCTGCAGGGTCTCGCCAAGACGAAGCGGCCGGGCCTCAAGAACCTCGCCAAGCTCGCGCTCGGCGTCGACATCCAGGCCGGCGAGCACAGCTCGGTGCGTCTCCCTCTCTCTCACTGTACACTGCCCGAGGAACGAGCGGGCTCGCTCACACGTCCCGATGCCGGCCTGCAGGTGACCGACGCTCGCGCGACGATGGCCCTGTACCGCACGCAGAAGTCGGCGTGGGAGGACTCGCTCCTGACGCACAAGACGCCGTCGCTCCTCACCAACACGACGCCTGCGCTCGAGGCGCTCGACCTGTCCAAGATCAGCCTGACGGGCGTCGGCAAGAAGCGCCAACAGCACCTCGGGCTCGCGGCGACGATCCGGCACGAGAAGCATCTGCGCGAGGAGGCCGGGCGCGGCAGCGGCGACGAGGACGACCTCGACGACGAGCCAGACGAGCTCGTCGAGGACGAGAAGCGCAAGAAGCGCCGTGTCGAGCGCAAGGACGACCTCGTGCTCGGGTTCGACTTTGACGCCGCGCCCGTCGTCGTCGCGGCGCCGCCAGCTGCGCCCGTCCACCACAAGGACAAGATGGTCGGTGCGAGCGGTGCGGGCGCCAAGAAGAAGCAGAAGGGCACGACGGGCGGCGCCGCGAGCAGGTCGACCATCCGCGGCGACATGTCGAGGCGGCCGGCCGCCAAGGACAGCTGGTGGGAGGAGGACTGAGCCGGCGGTCTCTCCTTTTCTGGACTCTCTTGTTGTCATGATCACGTAGCTCGCGCGCCCTGTCGTCGACGGTCTCTGCCCGCGAGAGGTCCGAGAGACGGAGCGCGAGCGATTCTGCGGGAGCCGCTCGTTCGCCGCAGGTGTTGGACAAGCGCTGAGCTACAGAGTCGTGCGCCACGATGCGCATGAGAAGGGCACTGCGAGAGCTGAGAGGCGACGGCGAGGACGAGATGAGGTCGCGTGCGAGCTCGCCGCTGCGGCGAAGTCCCTCGCGCTCGCCCTTGGCCACTTCTCTCCACCAACGCTCGAGGTAAATCTTCCGCTATCGCCTTGCGGCCCTCTCTCGCGCGGGATGCACCCCTCGAAACTCGTCAATCTTGGCTCGACCGGCCGTGTCCTCCCCCGGCGCGGCGTCGCGCTTCTCTCGTCGTCGTCGTCGTCGGCTGTCCTCCCTCGGGTCGATGGTCGCCTCGCGCTTCAGGGTCGGGCAGCGGTGCGCCGAGCCGGTTCGACCTGCAGCCTGTGTCGAGCATGCGACTCGCTATACACTTGATCTGATGCAGCCGCCAGCCCCTGGTCGCGGTCGCGCTCGAGGTCGTCGCCGTCCGCACCGAGCAACTTTCCCTCTTCGACGAACCGCACTGACTTGCCTCTTGTCCCACAGACCTCGACTTGCATCAGCTCGCCACGACCATGCCGATACTGCGCAGCGCAACAGCGCCCTTCTTCGTCGCCTGATCACTCCGAGCGCCTCTCTCGACCGTGTGAGCCTCTCTCCCTCTTCCCCTCTTTCCCGGCCGCCGCAAGCGCAGCGCACGAGGCGGTCACGATGCGGGACAAGACCGTCAAACAATCTAATTTTCTCCTTGAGGGCCCGCGCTCGCGTGCGCCTCGTGAAACCCACATCTTCAACCCTGGGATCCCTTTCTCGACCGACCCGGCGGCGACGAGCTTTCTCGCACAGCAGCAGCAGATCACGAGCCTTTCGGGAGCCGTACACTGACTCGCTCTCGTCCCGCAGCTCACTCGCCCATCGTCGACTTTGTCTCGCTCGGCACCCTCTTCGCCCGCCTCGGTTGTGTACGCTCAGGTGAGCCCTCTCCTTCCTCCCTTCTCGCCCTCCCTTCTCGCGCAGAGTGCAAGTCGCGCACGAGAGGCGGGGCAGTGCGGCGAGGATGGGCGTCCTGCGGCCGCCGTCGAGCGGGCGCGGGCGCGTTATGCATGTGTCCGAGGTTGGCGAGCCGGGCGCTCGCGCCGCTCGGTCGGCCCCTGAGCGACACACGACATCCGTCTACAAGTTGCTGAGGGCCGCAGCAGGAGGAGCGAGGTCGTCGAGCAGCCCTTGTCGTCGAGTTATGTCCTGACCCAGCTTCTGCCCTTCTTCCTCGCAGCGCCTGCTCTTCTGGAGCCTCGTCTACCGCTCGCACGGTCGGCTACGGTCGTGGTGCATCGTCGTGTGCGTCGTCCGTCCCCTGTCACCCTTTCCGGCCCTCTCGTGTGCTCGCACGCCCGCGAATGATTAAAAAAACCTACCTTCGAGCTCAGCTCGTCTCCTACCCCTGCTGCGGACAACCATTTCAATTTTCGTTTCAGCCTTGTCCGACGCGGACGTTCGACGCGCACTCGTTGCGGTCGAGCGAGCGCGGTTCACGAGAAACAACCTCCACATCGTCTGAGAGCCTCGTACTGACTCAGCCCTCTTCCCGCACAGGTTCTCGACCTCTCGTCGCCTCGTCTACGTCGCACACGCACACGTCCATCGCCGCCTGGCTGCGCAACACGCTCAAGACGGCCGACGGCGTCCTCGCCCAGGTGAGCGACCTTCCCAAACTCGCCCTCTTCCTCCTTCCCTCCTCGCCGGCCAAGACGAGACACCTAAACACAAACACTATCTCAGCAATCCTACAACCTGCCGAGGACAAACCTCGTCCTGCCGGACGTTGTCTGAGCCGGTCGTCGCGTCGCCGTCGTCGCGAGCAGCAGCGCACGTTCCTCGAGGCTCGAGCGCCGTCACTGACTCTGTCTTCCTCCCTCGTCACAGGCTTCTGCTGCATCACCTTGTGCCGCTCTGTAGCCTTCGGTGAGCCCCGCTCTCCTTCCCCTCCCCCTTCTCGCGCTTGATGAACCCAATCCCGACGGGCGGACTCGACGCCTCGCGCGACGCTCGGGGCCGGCTTTACTGTCAAACGAGGACCGTACAATCCCTCGGGCCCTGGGCGATGCAGATATCAATCTTTGTTTCGGACCACTGATGCGACAACTCGAGCAACCCTCCTCGCGACGATTTCGGGACCGCGCACTGACCCTCGTCTTCCCGGTTTCACAGGCTCGCCATCTACGTCCTCGTCTTCCTCCTTGTCGTTCGCCGACACACATACCGCGACTCGTTGCGCCGCCGTCGTCTCGCCGACTCGCGCTTTCAGCGCCGCCGCCAGGTGCGTCCCCTCTCTCTCTCCCTCCCTCGCATCGTCGTCGTCGTCGTCACCGCCCTGCAATGCCTACGTGCCACCCTTGTCATTGCCCGAGCGCTTCGAGAGCTGTCCCACTCTTCGCTATCGCCCACTGCTCGTCTTCTCGGGCGAGAGGAAAGGATCGTCGGCGAGTCGGGCCTGCTCCTCGCCGCTCGGCGCTTTATGCGACGCCCGTCGCCGGCGCTTCCTCACACTCGTCATAGTCGCCGCTCAGGTGCGGGGCGCACCGTGGAACGAGCAGGGCCGCCCACTCGCGCGACCTGGCTCGGACCTCCTCCTCTCCGTCCCACGGCTACCCTGCTGCGCGCGCCCAAACTTGAAGTTTGGACAAAGTGCGCTGCCTCAGAGCTGCACGAGTGCCCGAACGAGAGCTCGAGAGCGTGAGCGGAAGATCGTCTCTCTCTCTGTCTCTCGCGAGGAGGAGTTGATGGCCCTCGTAGACTGAGGAGGCCGACCTTCTCGCTCGAGAGCTCGCCGCGAGACACCTTTCTTCGAGAAAGCTGGTCATGCACGTCAGTCGCCACCTTCTGACGGGTCGGCCACCGCCAGAAGATCATATTGCAAGAGCGGTTCAGGGACGCGTTCCTCGTACGATCGAAACAGTGGGAGACGACGTGCGCAGTTGAGAAGGTCGCGAGGAGGAGCTGAAGCTCGTCTACGCGAGCGTTGACTGGTCGCTGGCGGCGAGCGAAGCCGCGCAAGAAAGCGACAGGCGAAACACGCTGCCGCTTGCGAAACCGGGCTTGTTTCGCACCCTGGAGCTCGGCAACAGGACGTGCTCTGTCCGAAGCTTGTGCGAGGTCCGCCCGCGCTTCCGCCGCGGGTTCGAGATCGACATGATCAATATGAAGCGAGCGCGGGCTCACAGTCCGAGCGAGGTCAATGCGTGGCTTTTCACGTGCGTTCGAGAACTCGCTCCTTCGCGCAAGGGCGAGCGAGCAATGCGACCCGCACTCGAGGGAGCGCGCTCGATGCAATCACAGAGACTCTGAGCGCTGCAGCATGCGGCGAGAGAGCCCCGGCTCCCCGACGTCCGAGCCCCGAGGCGCACGAGTGGACCGCACCCGCAAGGTCAACGCGAGCGCGCGGTTGACTTTGCCAGCTGGCGAGCAGCACGCCGCCGCGCTAACTAGTTGACTCCTCCCGTCAAGCTCCGGCGTGCGCGCGCGAGCACGCCGCTGCGCCCACGCGCCGCCGCCGTCGCAGTGCCTTTCGTCGCGCAGGCGCGGAGGACGAGCACAGCTTTCTTCGGCACGGACCCACGCGAGGAAGGCGAGTGGGAAACCGGGCGGCAAGCTCGCCGAGCAAGGAGCCCGAGGCTCGTGCGACGGGGCTCGAGCGCGGAGACGACCCGTGCTGCGACGGGCCCGGGGTGAGCCACGAGGCGCCCTTCCCTCGCAGGCTCGGCAGCAACGGAGCAAGCCTTTCTCGCGTTTCCTCGCACGGGCAGCCAACGCCAAGCTGGGGGCGGGCAGCGCCACGCGTCGTAGAGCGGCGCCTCCGCAGCGCAAGCCGTGTCGATTCCCCGCACGAGCGAGGCCCGGGCGGCTTCGGAGAGCGCGCCCAGCACTCGGAAAATGCTCAGGCCTCGCTCGTGCGGCCTTGCAGCGCGACTTTCTCGGCGGTGGAGGCCGCCATCAGATGTGTCGGGCTTCGCCTGAGCGAGAGCGAGAGCTTCAAAGGCAGTCGGAAAGTGCGGACGGCGGAATCTCCGAGGACCAGCCGAGAACCTCGTCCTCGTCGACTTGCTCTTCCTTGTCCGAGGTCAGCTGTCGGAGATGAATGGCTCGGGCAGAGGTGAACTGGATTGCAACGTCTCTCTGCAGCGGCGGGCGGAGCTGCGCGTCGTCGAGAGGTTCGAGCACCGCCGTCAACGCGCTCGTGAAAGTCACGCGACGTTCGAGCTGCGAGGCCGCGCCAGCTGCCCAAGCTCTTGCTGTGCTCGGCGAGCGGAGGGCCAACGCGGCGAGCGTTCAGTCGCACGCGGCGAGTGGCACTCTGGAGCCAGCGCGGAGACCCAGGTCGCGAGCGCGTCGATCGCGGCGAGGGGGAGAGACGCTCTCGAGGCAGCGCCAGCGAGCGAGGCGAGCGGAGAGCGGCGGAAGGTCGGTAAAGCAGAGCTCGCCGCCGCCGTCGCCGTCGAGGCGCGCACGGCGTTCGGACCTCGCTCGGGACGAGGCGCGAGCGAGGGCGACAGCGCTCAAGCTCGCCGCGCCCTGCAACACCTGGGCGACGGCGAGCTCACGTCGCTGGCGGCGTATCGTCGGCAAAGGGGCCCAAGGTGGCTTAGCGTGCGCGGACAAGGGCGAGCGAGCAGGATAGGCGGTTCGACACAAGCTGGCGGACGGCTGCCGTCCGTGCGCAAGTGTTGCCTCCTCTGGCTGCGCTGCTAAAAAGTGGCAGGCCGACCTCTCCCAAGTGCGTGTGTGAGAAATATGCGTGGCGCGATCATGGCAGCTTCTGCGCTGAAAGGTCATTTTCGAGGGGCGAACGCGAGACGAGGAGCTCCGCTCGCCGAAGGAGGGGGTTCGGGCGGCGGTGCTCTCCTGCGAGGAGGAGGCCGTGCGAGAGGCAGGGGAGAAAGCGAGCTGCAGGCCGTCGATTGCCCGGCGAGCGAGCGAAAACGTGCGACTCGTCCGAGCGAGCGAGCGCCTTCCCAAGTCGGGCCCGCGGTGGGCGAGAGGGACCAGGCACTCCGCGTGGCCACGCCTCGTGGGCAGCAGAGAAGCCGCGCACGGCGGGCGGCGAAGGGCAAGAAGCGTGCCTTGGGTTTAGCGCCGCGCGAGACGCAGCGTCGGAGAAATCCACCCGCGGGTGAGCGACGGCGAGAGAGGGAGGTGCGGCCCTGTCCCCATCCCCCGTCTTTCGCGAGCTGCCGAGAGCTGCTCTCCTCCCTCTTCTCCATCCACCGTGCACTCGCCGTCGTTGTCGAGCACTCTCGCCGACCCTCTTCCGCCACCGCCGTCCACCTAACAGCACTCGCGTCGTCTCGCTCGCACCCTTCGTCGAGTCGCAACCGCACGTCGCCGCACGCCCGCATCCGCCTCAACCTCGACAGCCGGCACCTCGCCCTCGCCCTCTCCTGTCCGCCAGGAGACTCGCACGGCCGTACGCACCCGCCAGAGCCCCCGCGGTCAAGCCGAAGCACGCTCCTCGGTCATCTCGTCTGTCGACAAGCCGAGGCCGCCGCCGTCGTCCTCCTCCCCTGCGCATCGCCCTCGCCTCTTCTCTCCGCACCCGCACAAGCACTGCCCAGCATGCCTGCCGACCGCTACTACGGCTTTGAAGGTGCGCCCCTCGCCCTTCTCTCCCCCTACCCCTTTGCCGCCACGGCGGCCGACCCCATTGCCGTGAGCGAGCGCGCGAGGATCTCCGGCAGCTGACACGGTCCGGCTTCCTCCCTCGCCGCCACCTCGTGCAGACCTCGCCCTCCTGTGCGAGCACGTCATCACGTCCCTGTTCAGCGTCGCACCGCCAGCAGCCACCGACGCCAACCCGGCCCCAGCCGCGCCCGCAAAGAAGGACGTCGGGGTGCCTCAGCTCGGCGAGTTCATCGTGCGTCCGCCTCTCTCTCTCTTGAAAGTGTGCAGGCACTGACTCGCCCTTACTCTCCTCGCAGGCCTACGCCCTGTACCGCACTCGCCTCCCCGTGTCGATCACGCACCAGGCGCTCCTCCTCCTCAGCCGCCTCAAGCAGCGCTACCCGTCCGCCCGTGGCACGAGCACGTCGCCCCATCGCCTCTTCCTGTCGTCCCTCATGCTCTCGAGCAAGATCTCGATGGACGACACCTACTCGAACAAGAGCTGGCAGATCGTCGGCCAGGGCCTGTTCGAGCTGCGCGAGGTCAACCAGATGGAGCGCGAGCTGTTTGCCTTCCTCGGGTGCGTCCCTCGCCTCGTCTGCGATACTCTTCGACAGCAGTCACTGACTCGTCGCCCCCCCCCCCCCCCCCCTCCCGCAGATGGAACGTCGTCGTCCGCGACGAGGAGCTCGATGGGTGGATCCAAGACGTCGTCACGCCGTACGAGGCCGAGCGCGAGCTCGCCCGCTCGCTCGCCGTCGCCGCGCAGCAGCAGCAGCAGCGCAAGTCGCTCGAGGACCGCAAGCGCCGCCGCGACTCGCGCCCGCCGACCCCGTCCCCCTCGACCTCGCGCTCGCCCTCGCCCAATACCCTTCGCCACCGCCGCGCGTCGGACGCCGCCGTCGCCCTCCTGCGCGGCCACCCGTCGAGCATGACGTCCACCTCGACGATCACGTCGTTGTCGTCGTCGTGTCCGTCGCCGAGCTCGTCGACGTCGTCGCGCTCCGGCCGGGTCCGCACCCGCCAGGAGTACCGCAACGCGTCGCCCTACTCGCGCTCGTCGTCGCGCGCACCTTCGACCGTGTGCTCGTCGTACGCGTCGTCGCCGGCGTTCGGGCACGGTCACAGCATCCACACGCCGCTGTCGCCGTGCACGCCGGCGGGCCCGCTCACGCCCGAGTCGGCGGACAAGACGGGCTGGCCTTTGCCCGGCGCCGCCCAGTTTGGCGACGACGCCGTCGCACAGCTCGCGGCGTATGCGGCCCTGCACCACGGCAAGGCGCCGATCGACCCGCACGCCATTGACGTCGCGCCCCTCGCACCGACCTACTGAGCGTCGCCCCCCCTCTGCCATATCGCCTTTCCCGTCGTCGACATATTTATGGCACCTCGTTCGCACCCTCCTTCGCACTCGCCGCTCCTCGTTCCGCAGTCTTTATACCCCCGTCGTTCCTGTTCGCACGCACCTAGTCGTCAACAGCAGCTCGTCCTTCCCCCTCGCAGCCCCCCCTCTCTAGACGCAGTGCCTTTCCTTTCGGTTGTACCCCCTCCCTTTGCACCAGTGGTACCCTCTTTCCCTTTCGTCGGTTGTAGAGCCTCTTTTTCGCCCCTCCCCTCTCCTCTCCCTCGCACGCACCTCGCAGCGCCGATTTGACAACGCAGTACTTCTCTCTCAATCTGTCGTCTTTCCCGAGAGCCTGCCACAGCTGCCGTCGTCTGCGAGCGCGAGAGCGGTGGACCTTTGCTGCCTCTTGCCCCGGATTTCCCCCTTCGACTGAGTCCGTGTCGAACGAGGCCCGAGAGCGCGACGTCAACCTTCCCAAGGCTCGACGCCGCACGCTCATCAGCGGCTTTCGCTGATCAAGCTCAAGATCGGCTTGCGAACGGCCGCTCGGCCCCTTCACGCCAGCTGCAAGCTCGTCCTCCGGAGATTTGTCGAGCGCTCGAGCCGCCGAACCCCTCGAAGACGGACGACATCGACGTCGTGGCCGACCTCCCGAGACGAGCTTGAGGTCTGGCTCGGGCCCGACCAGCTCTCTCTCCACGACGAGCTCGCCGCGAAACCGTCGCGCGAACGGACCCCTTGAGCGCACTCCAACTTTCGGCTCCCGCACCGTCTCACAGCAAGTGCCACGCCGCTCGTTTCATCGTCCTACTCATCTCGCTCTCGCTCGCTACAGAGATCGCCCGTACCCCGAGAGTCGGTAGCAAAGTAGAGCTTGCGAGCGGCGCGGCGCGAGAGGAGCAGGCATGCGCAAGGCCGGAAGTGCTTTTCCGTCGCGCGTTCGGCTCCCGGACCTCTCGCTCTCCCAGGCGCTTTGTCGCTCTCACACGCTCATCTCTGCTCCGCCACGATCAAGGCAAGCCAGTCGTACCGAGAGGGCATGGCATTCCGTTGCGCGGGGGGCGGACGACCTTCTTCGCCCCGTGCGACGCATCTCGATGACGGGCCCGTGCGACGATCTCGCTCGCCGGCTTTCCTGTCGGCCGTCGAAAGCCCTCTCTCGCCCGAGCTCTCTCGATACGCAACCGTCCCGCGAAGACTGCTGCGAGCCACTTGACGCGGCACGAGCGGCGGCGGCGAGCTCTCGATGAAGCTTGCCCTTGTAGCTGCGCCGAGGCACAGGCCCGTCCCTCGCTCGCTCGCAAGGCGGATCGGCAGCGGCGACGTCAAGCTCTCGTCTCTCTTCTCGTCCGGGTCGCTGTGCGGCCGAGTAAAGAGCGTCGACGTTGCAAGGGACCGCGCTAAGCAAGGCGAGGTCGAGCGGCGGCGGACGCCTCACGCCCGTGCGCCCTGCTGCAGCCGGTGCCACACCTGCTCGCCCAGCGTGAGGAACGCTTCCCTCGCCTTGGACGGTCCCGCTGCGAGCTCGTCGCCACTCGACGAAGCGGGCGAGGCCAGCATGACGACGGGCGCGCCCGAGTCGCCTCGGGACGACACGTCGGGCTCGATGGGGATTTGGCCGAGGACGTCGAGCGAAAGGTCGGCGCACGTCGAGTTGAAGGCGTCGGGGCGGCCAAAGATGTAGTGCGGCGTCGACGAGCCAGGGCACAGGAAGTGGCTCATGTTGAGGATGGCGCCGGTAATCTGTTTCGAGCGCGAACGGCGAGTTGGTGACGGCTCGCCTCTGAGCGGAATAAAAGAGAAAGAGAGAGCGCACAGGGATGCCCAGCTTGCGGAACATGGCAACGCCTTTGCGCGTGTCGATGATGGCGACGTTCTGCGGCGTCGAGACGATGACCGAGCCTGCGGGTACGAGGACGACATCGTGAGTCGCTCGTCCTCTTCGAGAGAAGAGTCGCGTCCGCGAAAAGGGGCGGCTCACCGTCGACCTCGACGAGCTGTCCGAGGCTGAGCGTGACATCGCCCGTGCCCGGCGGCGTGTCGACGACGAGGATGTCGAGGTCGTGCCCGCCGGTCCCGGCTCGCCAGTCGACGTCGAACAGGAGCTGCTGGACGGCCTTCATGACCATCATGCCGCGCCACACGACGGGCGTGTCGGACGGGTGCGAGGTCGGGTTTGTCGGGTCGGGCGGGTTGTTGGGAAGGAGGAAGCCCATCGACATGCAGGGCAAGCCGTGCGCGCGAAGCGGGGTGAGGCGGTTTTCTGCGGACAGGAAGGGACGTGAGCTCGTCCTCTAGTGACTCGATAGACCTGAGAGGACGGACCGGCTGTCAAGAAGGGCTCGCCGGCACCCTCGAGGCCCATCAACTTGGGCAACGATGGGCCGAAGATGTCGAGGTCGAGGACGCCGACCCTTGGCCGTGCACCGCCCGTCACGCTGTGCGGCAATGCCGAGAGAGCTAGTGCGAGGTTGACTGCGGGCGAGGACGCAAGTCAGATCGTACGCTCGGCAGGGAGGGGTGCGCCTCGGGGAGGAGGAGCCGACCATGTGCGCCTCGTCGAGGAGAGGCAGGACTCACCGGCGACGCTGCTCTTGCCGACTCCTCCCTTGCCGCTCGACACGACGACGACCTTCTTGACGCCGTCGAGCCTGCACTTCTGCGGCAGGCCGCGCTGCATGCGGGGCATGGTCGGCGGAGCGTCATTGCGAGGGAGCCCCTGCAGAGTGGGCGGGCAAGGCGGTCAGTAGAATGCCATTGAGAGCGTGCGTGTGGACTGGCAGACGCACCAGAGGGTTGTCGTGGCTGCGAGGTGCCGAAGTCGAGGCGAACGAGCGAGCGAGCGATGGGGTCGAGGGCGCGACGTGGAGGGGCAGGCAGGTGCACGTCGGCTTGAGCAGAGCTGCAGGGGCCAATGCTGGGCGCGCAAGCCTGGCTAAAGTGGTGTGAGCCATGAGAGGGTCGAGGACGAGCCGGTCCGCTGATGACAATCGCAGAGTCGCTCTTGACCCGGCCTGCTCTCCAAGCCTCACGGTGTACTCTCTCGCGTGGCTCCAGACAGAAGACGAGAGCAAGAAAGGGGAATAGCGATTGCAGATCTCGAGAGGGAGGGTCAAGTCGCAGTGCGCGACCAAGTCCAACAAACCGCCGGCCGTCCTCGCTCTGCCCCGCCGTCTAGACGTAAGCGACGCCCGCCACCGCACTGAGGAGCATGGCGTCGACGGGCTCGTGCTCGAGCCTGAGCGCGAACTGCTCGAAGAAGCGCATGCCCGGCTTGGTGCCCCTCGCGAGCTGCCGCCTCGCGTCCTCGACCGCGTCGTCGCTCTGCATGCTCGCCGGCCACATGCCGTGGACGTCGAGGCCGCTGTAGTCGATGCGGAGCGACGCGAGAGCGCGGTCCTCGGCCGACGAGTCGGCTCGCTGCTGCTTCGAGCGTTGGTCCTCGCGCATGGCCGCCGCAAACTGCTCGGGCGTGAGCTGCACCGTGACCGACAGCGGGAAGCTCGTGACGCCATACGCCGCGACCGACTTGACGTGGTGGCGCACGTCGCCTCGCTCAGGAGGCTGGGGCAGGTCTGCGAGTGCGAGCAACGGGCAGTCAGTACGGCTCGTCCGTGACCTCGAGGCTGCGCAACCGCCCGTAGAGAGGGAGAAAGGAGAGGGACGTACCCCAGGCGACAACGTCGGCGGTGAAGCTCATGACGGGCCAGATGATGCCCGGGTGCTCGAGCGTGAGCTCGACGTGCCGGGTCTGCTTGATCGAGTTGAGGACGTTGCGCTGCACCGTCACCTTGAGCGAGTCGGTCCACGTGGCGACGTAGTTGGCGTCGACGGGCGGAAGCTCGATGCGGTACGTCGTGAGGAACTGCGAGACCGGGTAGCTGCGGGTGGGTCGAGACGGTGGGTGAGTTTGTGTCGTCGAAAGAGGCAGGCGGCGAGAACGCTGGACGTACACGATGTCCCACTCGACAGAGAGGTCGTCGGCGATGGTCGGCTCGGGGACCGATCCTGCGGCCCGCAAGCCGGCAGTCGCGCTCTCGACGAGGCCCGAGAAGGGCGTCCCGTCGACGCTCGCGACGTGCAGGTTGAACGTCGACGGCGACGTCGTCGTGTTCTCCATGTGGAGGACGAGAAGGCGCTTGGGGTGGGCGGCGTCGTACGGCGACCCTGACGGGCGAGTGAACCAGCCGATCGAGAAGGCCGACACGAGGAGGAGGAAGACGGCGAGTCGGGCAGTGAAGAAGGCGCCCCAACGGTGGCACAGGGGCGACAGCTGCGCGAGGAGAAGCAAAGAGTCAGTATGGCGTGGGCGGGCGAGGCAGAGGGAGACGGAGAAAAGGAGAGGAGCTGACCATGGGGACGGTCAGGTACCCGATGGCGCCGACCAAGGTCGCGATGATGAAGTCGACGGGCGCCTCGGCGCCGAGACGGCCCGTGAGCGGAACGAAAAGGTCGAGGAAACCGATGATGCCTTCGATGCCGACGAGGAGCGGCAGAGACTGGAGGACGAGAGAAGTGGTCAGGCATGGTCGACGACTCAGGCGACGACGACGCAGAGAGGGCGTGACGCACCTGCCCGACGACGTAGGTAACGAGATGAAGGCCCTTGCTCTTGTTGCGCAGGACGTAGTCGTTGAGGAGGAGCGCCGCGAGGCCCGAGACGGACCCGATCGCGTACAGGTAGCTCGAGCCGACGCCGAGCGCGTGGCCGACCAAGGTGATGCCCGAGTTGAAGACGACGAGACCGACGAGTGTCGCGTGCTCAAGAAGGGACGACTCGGCCGCATCTTGCGCGACGCTGGCGATGGGCGAGCGGACACGGTTCGAGACGAGGAAGTACTGCCACAGGACGACGCCGAGCAACGCCGGCGGGCCGAACAGGAAGAGCGGGTAGGCCTCGTTCGAGAACCTGTGCGAGAGGGCGAGAGAATGGCGGGCGAGGGAAGGCGGGCGAGAGAAGGCGGGTAGCAAGGTTGGCGAGAAGGGGAGGGGGAACGTGCGAGAGTCAGTCACTGACGCCTCGCAGCTCGCAAGGCTGACACCTTGCAGCTCGTGGGAGAATGAGGTGAACGACGAGACGCACCAGCTCATGGGCTTGCCGAGGACTATGCTCGTGAGGAACGCGACCGAATTTGCGCCAATGATCGCCGAGACCAAGCCGCCGAGGACGCCGACGACGCCGAGCAGGTACGCCTTCTTGTGCGTCGTCCAGTCGACGCGGTCGGTCGCGATGACGGCGACGAGGGCGGCGATGATGCCGTACACGAGCGTCGCCGTGGCTCGGCTGTACACGACGAACACCTTGCCGCCGAGGGCCGAGAAGAAGATGGTGTGCGACGTCGGGGCGTGCGGCAGGATCGGCATCGACTCGTGCGAGTTGCCCATGGTCGTCTCGGGCGAGGTGAGGTACTCGAGGAGCGGGATGAGGTTCTCGCCCGTGTGCTGCAGCGCGCCAGGCTCGATGTTGTCCACAGTGTCGAGCGTCGTGTGGTACCGGTACGAGTTCTGCACGAGCGCCATGTCCAGGCCCGTCAAGTTCCCGTATTGAACGAACTGCACGAAGTCGGTGTCGGACAGGATCAAGCCCGTCTGGAAGATCTCGCTCGCGATGACGGTCGCGTATGGCGAGGGCGTCCTGGCGAGCGCACGAATCATCTCGGGCGACGTCGCCTGGAACACGATCTCCTTGCCGTCGGTGCCGCACGCCTCGATGTTGACGACCGCCTTGACCGTGTCCTTGAGCGGGTGCTGGGTGATGAACACTGTCGGGGAGGCGAGGACGAGCCGTCAGCTCGCCGTCGAGGGAGCTGGATGAGGAGAGTGGCGTGGGAGGGAGGAAGAGACGGTGGAAGGAGGGCGGATAGAGAGAGAGAGAGAGAAAGGCGGCGAGAGGGGATAGAGAGAGAGAGAGAAGGGCGGGGAGAGGGGAAAGAGAGAGAGAGAGAGGGTCGAGCGCACAGTGCGAGGCATCTTGAAGCGACTCTTCGGCGCCGTTGAACACTGCGGAGCGTACGAGTGAGCGTACGCGCATAGGCAGAGAGGGCGAGAGGGGACGCACAGAAGATGACCGAGTTGGTCAAGCGACGCTCGCCCATGGCCATGACCCGCATCGCCTCGAGCATGACGGCGACGCCGAACAGGTCGTCGGCCGCACCGGGGCTCGGGAGCGTCGAGTCGGTGTGCGCGTTGACGAGGACGGCGTTGGCCTTGGTCGCCGCCGTGCCGTCCGACAGGCGCACAATGACGTTCGTGACGCCCATGTACTTCTTCCAAACCATCTTGTCCATGAAGTCGAACAGCTGGAGGAAGGGGCGACGATGCCGAAGGAAAGACCGAGAGGGAGAGGAGGAGGGGAGGGAGGGAGGGAGGGAGGGAAGGGAAGGGTCAGCCGACGGGCCTCCTGTGAGACTGAGGGAGCGAGACGAGGACGCACGTGGGTGCCGTCGCCGGTCTGGTGCCAGACCTCGAGCTGCATGCCGCCGTCTGGGTGCCGCTGCACGACGTCCTGGCGGATCTCGGCCACCTTGTCGAGCAGGTACTGGTCCGTCTCGACCATCTCGCGCGTGCCGAGGATGCGGTACCGGGGCGTGCCATCGCCGTACGAGGCGAGGTCCTTGATGTAGCGCATGGCGTGCGACTCGGAAAAGACGGGCGAGCCGTCAGGCGAGAACAGGGCGTGGCCGGGCGTCGGGAGCTCGTAGTGCAGGCGGACCGAGGTCCAGGTGAACAGGGCGAGGATCGGCAACAGGACGGCGAGCGACGGCAGGACGGGCCAGGGCGTGTGCGTGCGCTGCTTGACGGGCTCGAGGGCCTTTGCCCTTGGTGTCGTCGTCGTCGTGGTCGGCGGAGAAGGTGGGGAGGCGAGCGAGTTGTCGAGGGCGGGCGCGCGCGGGCTCTTGGGGGCAAGTGCCATGTCGGTAGCTGTGTCCATTGTGGAACTGGGCCCTGGCTCGCTTTGTGCGAGCGCGGCGGTGGACGAGTGCGAGCAAGCCTCATCAATGACCGAAGCTCGCTGTTGCTCTCCGACTCGGGCCCGACGCTACGATGCCCGTGAGTCCGAACCAGTCGCCCTGCACTAGAGCAGCACTGACTGTCTGCCCTCGGCCAGGTCGACTCGGACGAGCCCTGCCACGTGAGTCCCTCCTCGTCCTCCTCTCTTCCTCGCCCTCGTCGTTCGAGTCGTCGCCGCCCTCTCGCCTCGACGCTGACTGCCTCGTGCCCACCGATACCTCGGTCCTCGTCGCGCCCACGCAGCCCGAAGCGTGCAAGATCCAGTTGCGTCCTCTCCCCCTTCCTCCCCTCTCCCCACCTGCGCCGCCCGCTCCAACGCTGACCCTCGATCCCCTGTGGCAGAAACTGCCTCATGAACCGCGGCTACGACGACACAAAGTGCGCCCAGCAGATCACCGCCCTGTACCTGTGCTGCCAGCAGTTCTACAAGCGCAACGGCGACGACGCGAGGTGTGCGGCGTGCCCGAGGCCAGACTTGCTCACCCGCAAGCTCGAAGAGCGAGGGCTCGGCGAGCAGGGCAAATAGAGCACGGGCGACGGAGCTGCAACACGGACACTGAACTGCGAGTCGCGTCCCGTCCGGAGAGACGATTCTTCGACTTGGCCTCTCGCTCTCGCTCTCGAGGCTGTTCTCTCGGTGCCGCACAAGAGAGAGAGAGTCCAACATGGCGACGTTGCGGCGCGAGAAAGAGAGAGAGGGCGAATACGCTATAAGGGCGAGGGACAGACGAAGGACGAGGAGGACAAAGAAGGCTATGAACGAGGGGAACGAGGCGCAAAGGTACGACGGCAGCAACAGAGGAGGTCGAGAAAGGGGTATGACACAGGGCAAGGTACGGACGGGACGACGAGGAGAGCTATCGACAGGGAAAGAGAGAGTGTGAGGAGGAGGAGGGGAACGAGGGGAGGGGGGCCGAGCGCATCACCAAGGGAGGTGCGCCGCGCCGGAACCTGCACCGGGCGAGGGCCAGTACAGCCTCTGCGCACCGACACCCTCGATCCTGGGCGACTCGCCGAGGCCGACGTCGCCCCACGGCGTCGACCCGCCGCTCGCACCGCCGACGCCGACGCCCGAGTCGGCCGTCGAGCGCTCCCAGCTCGAGCCTGACGCGAGCGACGGCGAGAAGCCGAGCGGCAGCTGGTGACGGGCGCTGCCCTTGCCGTGGCCGCCCGGCGTGCTCAGGACCGCCTGGAGGCGCGCCGACGGGCTGCGGAGGTGGTACCGCGCCGAGTTGCTCGCGAGGACGTGCGCGGCCGACGACGACGACGAGGGCGGCGGCGAGCGGAAAGGGTCAAAGTCGGCCGAGACGAGGGCGTTGACCGAGGGCAGGAGGCGAGTGCCGGGCGCGCGCGTGTCGAGCTTCTTGGCCGGGTCGGCGAGCGGCTCGAGCTTGTCCTGCATCGGCGACATGGGTTGACGAGGGCCACCGCGGATGGACGAGATCTGCAGGAAGAGAGAGCGAAAGGTCAGGGCGAGGCTCATCGTGCGAGAGGAAAGGCGAGGAGGGGACGCGAGGAAAAGCGGGACGTACAGGGCTCTGGGTGTGGACGAGCGCCGTCGGCGACAGCATGCGGTTGTCGCTCTCGGTGCGCTGCCGCTTCCTGCCGCCGAGCGGCGGGAGGAACGGCGTCGAACTCGACGGGACGACGAGGCGCGGCGACCCGCCGCGGCTCGTCATGATGCCGGCCGCCTCGGGCGACGCGAGGAGCGCGAGCGCGCGGTGGTTCTGCGCGAGCGACGACCCGTACGACAGGGGCTGGTACGGGCCGGCGAGGCGGTGGTAGACCGAGGTCGGCGGCGACATGGTGGCCGACAGGAGCGGCTCGTGCAGGCGCTGGACCGTAAGGTGCGACGGCGGCGGCGACGCGGGAGGAGGCCCGCTCGTCAAGCCGGGCTCGGACTGGGTCGCGAGCATCGGCGCCGAATAGGTGCGGCCGAGGGCGACGGGCGGTGCGAGGTGAGGCCGACTCGCCTCTTCCTCGATCGCCTCGAGCGCGCCGTTGCGGTTCGCCGACGCACACGCCGCCGCTGCCGCCGGCTCGAGGAAGCCCATCGACGAGTGCGACCGCGAGAGCGGGGCGGGCGCAGGCGGCGCGAGCTGCTGCTGCTCCTCGGGCTCGTACTGGTGCATGGCCGCCGCCGAGGCCGGACGCGGCCCGAGCGCCGCCGGCGGCACCGAGAAGCTGAGCTCGACCGGCGGCTCGAGCTGCATGGTCGGCTGCACCACAGGCGAGGCCGCGACAGGAGTGACCGAGCGCATCGAGGCGGTGGACGGGCACGGCGAGTAGGCCTGCTGCGACTGGTTCTGCGGCTGGTGGTGCTGCTGGCCAAGCTTGTATGTCGAGCTCGAGGTGGTGCGGGACATGACGCTCGCGGCGGGCGAGTCGCTGCGCGACGACAGGGCCGACGGCGTCGACGGGCGCTGCTGCACCGGCGGTGGGCGCATCGCCGACGCGGCGGTTGGGGCGGGCGCCGCGGGTACGGCGTCGTCGCCGCGCAGCAGCTTCTGCGGCGCGAGCTTGGTCGCCGCCTGCGCCGCCTTGGTCGCGCCGGCGCCCTTGCGACGCGAGTTGCCCTGCCCGCCTTTGCGGACAAAGTCGCCGTCGACGAACTGGTCCTCGGTACCGGGCTTGATCGCCCACAGGCAGCCCTTGCCCGGGTTGTCGGGACCGCGGGCCGTCTTGATGAAGCACTGGTTGAGCGACAGGTTGTGGCGGATCGAGTTCTGCCAGCCGGCGTCGTCCTTCTTGAAGTAGGGGTACTCGCTCATGATCCACACGTAGATGTCGGCGAGCGCCATGCGCAGGTCAGGCGTCGAAAAGAGCGCCTGGCCGATCAGGGCCGCGTACGAGTAGCGCGGCTTGATCGGCTCGCCGTCCTCGTCGACCCACAGGCCGCGCGACGACGACGAGGGCGCGCTGTCGTTGCGGCGAGCGGGCGCCCGCTTCTTGCGCGCGCTCGGCGCAGGCGCGACCGCGTCGCCGACCGTCGTCGACGTGTCGCTGCGAGCCGGCGCGCCCTTGGGCTTCGGGCCCGGGCCCGGGCTCGAGCGCGAGTAGCGCGCCGGGACGTACTCCGAATGCTGCGACGACGTAGGCGACGACGAGGGCATGCCGCCGTACATAAAGTCGGGGGCCGAAGCCGGGTGGGCGTGCGTGTCGGCGTGGTTGACGAACGAGTGCTGGCGCGACGTGGCCGAGCCGCGGTCCGAGGCGGCCGGCGACGAGTCGCAGAACGACGGGGCGCGCATCGTGAGCGACGCCGCCGAGGGCGTGGGCGACGTCGGGCGGTTCTCGACGAAGGCCGAGTTCCACCGGGCGCGCTTGGTCAAGGACGGCTCGTTCGACGTGCTGAAAATGTCGCGCGAGCGAGACGCGCCGCCCGACGAGAACGGCGAGGCGCCACCGCGGAACGGGCTCGAGTCGACAACCTGCAGCAGGGAGGTCGAGGCGTCAGTCGGGCTCGACAAAGATACCGCGGTAGGGGAGGGAGAGAGAGAGAGACAGGGAGGGAGGGGGGACGCACGATGTCGGACGAGCGATCGATATCCTTCCTCGGGCTGAGCGACGAGTGCCTCGTCGTGAGCTCGTTGGCCTCGAGCTCGTCGAGCTCGCTGCGGAGCAGGCGCGCGACGTCGGGCGAAAAGAGGATGCTCGTCTTGGGCCTCGACGGCGCCGGGCTCAGGAGGGCGTGCTCGGCGTAGCTCATTGGCGCCTTGCGCTTAGGCGATGCCGGCGCGAGGCTCGGCGAGACGTGGTGCTGGTGCGCCTGCTCGACAGCGCCCTGGGCGTCGAGCTGCGGCGCCGGCGCGGTAGCCGCGGCGGGCAGCGGCTGGCTCGACATGAACCGGTCCATCATGCCGCGCTGTCCTGCGAGCGACGGGCTCGCGTTCGCGTCGGGCGCGGCGGCGCCGAGAGCCGGCGACAGGGCGGCGGCCGAGGGCGAGCCGGCGCTGCCGCCGGGCGTCGCACCGACGCGGCGCGAGATGAGCATGCTCGCGAGGCCGGGCGCGTCGTCCTCGCTGCTGCTGCTGCTCTCCTCCTGCGCCCACTGCCGGACGGCGAGCTCGGCGGCGGACGACGGCGCGGCCGCGGCAGGACCGGCGTCACGCCTCTGGCGCTTGGCCGACTGGCTGACGGCGTCCTCGACAGGCGCACGAGCACGAGGGCGCGAGGTAGTGAAGGGTAGGTCGAGCTGGAAGGCGGCTTGGAGAGCGGCCGAGGCGGTCGGGGTGCGCGACAGGGGCTGCTGCGGGAACGACTGGGTCGTCGAGCTGGGCGGGAAGGGCGCGCCGGCAGACGGGTAGGTCGGGGTGGCGACGGGCTGCTGTGCGACGCGCGGCATCGACGTGTTGACCACGAGGGGCGCTGACCCGGGAGCGGCTTGGCCGTGCTCGCTGCGCAAGAAGCGCATAACCTGCTGCTTGGCCTGCTCGAACTGGTCGGGCGTGATGCCGTGCGCCTGCGCGAGTGCGAGCGCGTCCTCGGGCGTCTGCGGGTCGAGCAGACGAGCAGGCGCCGCACTGCGCGCCTCGTTCTGCCACGCCGAGTCGGTGCGGACGGCGCGCGTACGGGACGGGATCTCGAACACGTGCGAGGCGTCGTCCTCGCCGAGGTACGACGACGGCGCGCCGAGCTTGATCTGGGGCGACGAGTCGAGGTGGCCGCCCGACGAGGTGCGGATGCGCACGCTGCGGCGCGGCTGCTGCTTGCCGTTCCTGGCGCGAGACGGTGCCGCGTAGCGGTCCGAGGGCGTGGCGATGACGTCGGTGGGAGGAGACGAGGACGACGCGTCGAGGTTGGCGAAGCGGTGGGTGAGGGCCGGGGTCGAGTGGCCGAACAGGGACGACGACGGGTGCGCCGGGCTCGTCATGGCGAGAGTGCGGTCGACGTCGGCGTTGATGTGGTGAGAAGAAGTGGGGCGACACAGGCGAGAGGAAGGCGCAGGTTGGCCTCGAGAAGACGACCTGGATCGGTGCGCCGGGGCGGAACGAGTGAGTTGTCGCCGTCACGGGACAATGGGAGGGCGTGGGACGTACAGGTTGCTGCTTAAGGTAGAGCTCGACGCGTGACGAGGATGACCGAGAGGCGCACTGGCTGCTGGGCGACGTGCTCGACGCGTGAAACCTGCGGGTGACGCTTCGCGAAGGCGCGGGGGAGAGGGGGGAGGGGGGGCAAGGGTCGGCGAGTGAGCTCGTTGTTGTGACGGGTCGTGCGCGCGCACGTTTGGACGGCAGCAACGAGGACAGTGGACGCACGAGGTGCACTCGGGCCTGCGAGGCCGGGACGACGAGCCTTTGACGGTCGCGCTGTGATGAAGGCGAACCGGAGGTGCTCAGGCGGCGGGCGAGGGGCGGTGGTGGCTCGGGCGGGTGCGGCGGGAGCGACGAGGGGTGCTGTAGGCTGAGGGCGAGAGCGAGGCGCGTCCCACTGCGCTCGTGAGGGGATGTGAGGGGAAGGGGGAGGGCGAGGAGGGGGAGCGAATCTCGTCGTCCCGCGTCGACAAAGCCTCGATCCGGCTCGGCTCTCCTCCTCCTCTCGTCCTCGCTCTCGCCTGCCTCGCTGCACACGCTGCACGGCCACTCGTACATGTGCTGCACGCTCAGGACCAACGCCCCTCCAACACCGCTGCGCTGGCTCCCTTCCCTCCCTGCCCCCCTCCCTCGCCGTCGTCGACCGAAAAAACACCTCGGCGGGCGACGCGTTTCTCCCTCATCGCGCCACTCGAGCGGCTGCACATTGCACCCACGCCATCTGTGAGCCAGACGACACGCTCTGCCGCACCGCACACCGCGGCGATCACAAATGCTCGCTGCCGCTCGCGGGGTTGCTCCCCACGCTCGCCGTCCACCGTCGCGCTCGCTGCCTCGCGCTTTCGAGCTGTGCGCCGGCACTGCGACGGAGCGACTGTGTCAGGCCTTCGCGTGAGGCGCGACGAGCTCGCCGGCCTCGCCGCGAACGCAGGTGTCGCTCGAGCGCGGCGCTCAGTCTCTGTTTGCTGGCCCGCCTCGCCGTGGCTCGCTCTGCTCTGGGCTCCTTTGGCAGTCGTGGCTGCCACACGTTCCCCTCGCCTCCTGGCACGAGCTCTGCGCACTCGTGCGGGACGAGACAAGGAGCGTCCCGAGCCAACCTCGAGGACAAGGGTCCGGGCGCACACACCTCGCTCGCACCTCGGCGCCGCCGCCGCTTTCCCCTGGCCTGTCGCACCAAGCTCCCCTGCGTTTCGGCTGTCAAAGGCGCTCATGCTCGCTCTCGCAGAGGCGGTGGGCGCAACTCGGACCCGCTCTTTCTCCTCGCACGGCATCTCTCCCCCTCCTCGAGCTCCGGTAGCTCAGTTCCTCTCGCCGCACGCGTATTTGGTCGACGCCGCTCTAGCGTCATGTCTTCCTCCTCCTCGACAGCCCCATCGCCCTCTCTCTCGCCCTCCCCGCCTCCCTCGCTCGTCCTCGTTCCGCCGACGCCCCTTCCTCCTTCCTCGCCTCGTCTCCCATCGTCGCCGGCGCCACCCTCCTTCTCCCGCCGCGGCCGCGCCCCTCACCGTATCGCGCGGCTCCCGCCGCCACCCCTGCCCTCGACGTCGACCGCCCTCCTCGGAGCCGCTCACGTCCTCGAGCACTACCTCGCGTCCCCCTCGCCGACGACGGCCGTCCACTCGCCGCGCACCCGCACGCCGCCGACCTTGTCCCTCCCCTTCACGAGCCTGCTCGTCGTCGACGCGTCGTCGTCGTACTCGGTCGACGAGGACGTCGTCCCGCCGCCGTCGAGGACCGCGCCGAGCAAGAAGCACAAGAAGCAGCGGCTGCGCAGCCGGTCGACGCCGGCGCGCCCGAGGATCCCGGCGATCTGGCGCGACAAGAGTGAGAAGGTCGACGAGACGGTCGAGTCGCGGCGGGCGGTGGGAGGGAGGTCGTGCGAGAGCGAGCTCTTGCACGTCGACGCCAAGCTCGAGTGGGCGAGCCGGGCGCTCGGCTTTTGAGGGGCAGCAGCGTCGAACGAGTCGCTCTCTTGATGTAGACGCTCTCGACCCGGGGCACGGTGCAACGCGCAGGCGCGTGACTCATTGCAGGTGGAACGGCACGAGCCACTGGTCGGCCGCCTCGAAGCTGTCGGCGAGCTCGGGCGCGATCGCCGGCCCGGTCGCAGACTGACGCAGAGAGCGAACGGCGAGCATTATCTGCGAGCAGGGAGAGGAGAGCGAGAGTCAGGTCACGGCAAGGCAAGGAGGAAGAGAGAAGGAGGGAAAGGGGACACACGAGGTTCCAGAAGCGGAAGCCGCGCTCGAGCTCGGCGCGCACGTTCTTGACGTTCGGGAAGGCGTCCTGGAGGAGCCCGAGGACCTGGTCCTTGGCCTGCTGGATCGCCTCGCGCTCCTCCTTCGACGCCGACGAGCCCGCTCCTCCACCGCTCGCGTTGCCCGTCCTCGCGACAACCTCGATCCCGCCCGCCATGTGGCACACCGTGTCGCCGAACGCCTTGAAGAGGATGCCCATTCCCGTGTTGGTGTCGGCCTGGAACGGGAGCGAAAAGGCGACGCCGAGGTAGTCGGCGTACGAGCGCTGCGCGTCGCCCCGCAATAGGCAGTTGACGGCGATGGCCTCGAGCAGGTTGCGCATCGAGCGCGACGTCGCGCGCAGGAACGAGTTGAACACGAGGAGCTCGCGCGAGAGCGGGCCGTTCCAGGCGCCGGGCTGCGGGCGACAGGGGACGAGGTCAGTGCGCCGCCTCGATCCGACCGTCGAGCGAGACAAGTGAACGCGAGGGACGCACCGTGAAGACGAGAGGGACGATGCTGAGGACGCGCATGACGAGGAGCATGCTGCGCTTGTCGGCCTCGGTGCCGCCAGAGAAGTTGGGCCCGCCCGAGTACGCCCTCGTCCCGATGCGCCCGTTGTGCAGCACGCCTGCGCGCAGCAGCTCCATGGCGAGGAACAAGGGCTCCTGGAACTTGTCGTTGACCTTGGCGTTCTTCATCGCGAGGTGGAGCGCCGAGGCGTGAGGCGTGTGCTGGTGAGCCGAGGTGAGGAAGCTGCGCGAGGGGGAGAGGGCGGCGCCCGGCAAAGTCAGGACCGCCTCGCGTGCGCCGTCTGGACGAGAGAGAGGGGAGCGAGGACGCACGACCGCAGCTCGAGGAAGCGCCAGAGCGTGTTGGCGACGATCTCGTCCTTCTTGTCGAGCGGCTGCGGGCGCACACGCCGCCGGCGAGGGTCAGTCTCTCGCTCACCCTGCAGGAGACGGAAGGAGAGAGGTGTGCGCACCCGTTCTGCGTTCCTCGGCACGATCGTCCTCTGCGCCAAGCTCGTCGTGCTCGTGCCGCCGAAGCACAGGCACAGGTCGATCGTTGACGACTGCGGGCGAGCGACGACGGCTTCGAGTCAGTGTTCGGGCTCGAGAGTCGGAAGGGAAGAACATGGCCGGGGAGAGAGAGAGAGAGAGGGGACGCACGGCCTGCCTCCTCAACTCGTCCTCGATGTGGCGCGCCCCGACATTCCACTTGCCGACGCTCTCGATGAACTGCTGCGTGTGCGGCGCCGAGTGCGGTATGGGCGGGTCCTGGCCGGGCGGGCTGAAGTAGTAGACGGCGTGGACAGGTTTCTTGAGCCACAGCGGGTGCAGGACGCTGCTCATGAGGGCGAGCGCGACGCAGCGCGGGCCCTGCGGCGGCTCGGTGAGCTGCTTGACGTAGCGCTCGTACTCGGGCGTCGAGCCGCACAGGGGCACGTGCTCGTAGACGTGGCCCGTCGCGAGTGGGGCGACGACTTGCGGGCTCATGAGGCCGCGGAACAGCTGGTAGTAGACCTCGTCCGGGAAGTGCGACGAGAAGATCTCGCCCAGGTCGACGGGGACGTCGGCGGCCGTGACGATCTGGGGCGGGTGCTGGTAGTGGTGAGCGCCGAGAGGTGCTGGCGGAGGGGTGACGAGAGGGAGGGGTAGGACGCGGCCCTCGTGGGCGACGAGGACGAGCGAGAACTTGATCATGGCGCGCGACCGCGCGAACGTGTCGGCAAAGTTGGTCTGGTACACGGGCGCGAACGACTGGTGGGCGAGGACGGAGCGCACGCCCGAGCCGTGCTGGCGGATCGTGTCGACGACGGACCGCAGGTGAAAGTCGCGAGGGTCGATGGCCGGGAACGTCGGCGAGCCCTCGAACCCGGCGAGGATGGCGAGGTCGAGGAACTGGTCGGGCGAGAGGCCCATCGAGTCGAGGATGGCGGCCTTGGACGCGAACGAGATGGTCTGGCGCTTGAAGTCGACATCGAGGACGATGCGGTCGAGCCCGTCGAACATGAGGAGCTCGTTGGCGCCGTAGATGCTGTGCACGTAGGCGCGCTCGTGCCGCTCGAGGTACGCCAACTGGGCCCACGCGAGGTACGGCGCGACGACGAACTCGGTCGAGCGCTGCTTGAACTGGCGGTTCACGAGGCGGAACACGTCCTGCGGCGTGATCGAGCTCGACGCGCCGAACTCGCCCTGCGCCTCGGCGACACGGCCGTGCTCGTAGTGCTCCCACGCCTGGCCGCGCCGCCAGTTGCGCTCGTCGGTCGGCTGAGGACGCTCGCGGTCGAGCGGGTTGACGCCGTTGAACACGAACACGGGCTTGATGCCGAGCGCCTGCAGCGTGTGGTTGTTGGCCTCGATCTGCGGAGGTGTGCCGTACGGCGAGGCGCCAAGGTCAGCTCGACTCATTCCAAGTGAGAGGGGAGGGGAGGGGAGGACGAGAGAGGACGCACCTCGGCCGTCAGGGTGAGCGGTGCGCCGCCGATCGCCGGGGTGAAGCTGTCGTGCTTGTCGGAGCCTTCGCGCGCGCTCAGGAGCTTGCGCAGGTAGTGGTTGGCGTCAATGCCCAGGCGCGTGCCGGCGAGGGCGCTCAGCGGACACTCCTTGACGAGGCCGCGCTGCGGGTGCTGATACGGGGTCAGCAGCGTCCTGGAACAGAGATGGACGGGACGAGCGTACCTCTGCAAGCCAGGCTGTGGGTGGGGGACAGTCGGACGCCGGGGGGAGGGAGCGGGGAGGAGGGGGAGGAGACGCATCAGTGAGCGCTCGCGCGAGGGACGGGGCGAAGGACAGGGAGACGGGGACGCACTGTCGAGGCCACGGATAGGCATCGTGCGCGCGTGCTGGCTCGGGCACAGAAGCTGAGGGTGGGGGGACGAGAGCAAGTGCGGCTCGCTGATCGCGATCAAGGCAACTTGGCGCGAGCGAACGCAGACATTCGTTGCAGGAGAGACCCGTCGCTATGGCAACACAGCGAGATCGTACACAAAGGGAGAGAGGAGAAGCGCGCTCCAAGATCGAGGGGGGAGGGGTATCGGAGCGGGTCGACGACCGTACGAGAGGGGAGGGGGAGGAGAGAGGGAGCAGGTGTAAGGGGTATCTGTGCGAGGGCGGGATGGCCCTCTTTTTACTTGCTGGGGTGGTGCAGGACATGCGGGTAGGGCGAGCTGGGAGAGATGCAGGCGGGAGGACGAGGGCGACGACGTGAGGCGGATCAAGGGTTGACGGCGACGACGGGCGGCGGCGGCTTGTTGTGCCCGCCCTTGAGGAAGAACCGGAAGCCCTCGTACGACAGCCCTGCGGTACGCGAGGCAGGTCAGGGGACGGGCTCGCGGCGAGATGAGGGAGAGGGAGAGGGTCGACGCACAGCAGAGCGCGTTCGACGGCATGTTGGTCAGGACGCGCGGCGTCATGCCCCTCGCAAAGCCGGCGAGACCGTGTCGCGAGTAGATGATGCGGAAGGCGTCGCCGAGCCCTCGGGCGTTGCGGATCGCCGCGTCGTCCGACAGACCTCGCGTCTGGAGCAGCGTCTTGCACACGTCGAGCGGCGTCGTGACGGCGGCGGCGACAGCTCCGGCGATGCCGCCGGCCGTGACGTGCGTCATGGGCGAGTACGTGTTGAGCGGGTTAATCCTGTCCCTGAGCGCGTGTGCAAGTCGAGGTCAGTCGAGAAGGTCCGGGAGAGGTGGGGGAGGAGGCTCGAGCGAGGGGACGCACTTGATGAACTCGTACGTCGAGAATTGGACGGCCGTGAACGGGACCGTCATCGTCAAAGTCGTCGGGTACGAGACGTAGAACGCGGCGAGGCCCTCGGTGCGGTACACGGTGCGGAAAGTTTCTGCGACCGTGCGGAACTGCGAGCCGTGCGCCTGCATGCGCTGCTTGACGACTGTGGAGGCCGAGTCAGGTCGGGTCACGCCTTGATAAGGGGGAGAAGAGAGAGTGTGGGCGCACCGTCGAACGGGTTCATGAGGGCGTCGGACGTGATGGTGGCCGCCGCGCCTGCGCCGGCCGTCGCGACGAACGAGTAGCCATTGTCGTTGCCGCCTGCGAGCTCCTTTGCGAGCTCGTACATGCCAAAGTAGACGGCGTGGGCCGGGCCGGCGCCGAGGATGACGGACGCGACGCCGCGCCACAATCGCCGGGTGCCCTCGGTCGACGAAATGCGGGTGTAGGCCTCGGACATGGACGCGTAGGCGGCGGTCGGGCTCGTCGTCAGGACCTGCATGCGAGTCTGTGGAGGTCCGCCGAAGGGTCAAACTGGGTCTCGGGGTGCAGGACGAGGGAGCGAGGACGCACCTTGATCATGTCGACGGGGAACATGACGGCGTGCTCCGAGATGCCGGCGAGCGACCCGGCGAGCATATTGATGGCGAGCGAGTCGGTGCTGAGGCCTTCGTAGTCGACTTCCTGGATGACCTCGGGCATGGCGAACGGCGGACGAGGTGGACGAGGTGGGGGGGGAGCGAGCTGGGGTCCGACGGGTCGACGAGGGCTGGTGCGGACAAGGGGGCAGGTAGTCGAGAGGGACGTGAAGCTCTGGACGCTCCTTATGCGGTCGATAGTCGGGATGAGGTCGAGACGGCGGAGAGGCGGAGCGAGATGAGGCGGAGCTTGACGTCGAGGCGGTCTGGAGGGCGTCGGCGGCGGCAGCTGCACGGGCGGGGCGGCAAGGTCAGGGACGGTGGTCTGGAGCTCGTAGAAGTGCCCTGCTGGGGTCAGAACGAGCCCTCGCCGCCGCGTGGACGCGATCTCGGCGTCGAGCGGACGACACTGCTCCTCGGCCAGTTCTGCCGCCTCGCCGCTCCGAGTCTCGCCGGCTCGCGCCAGCTCTCCTGCCCCAACGTACTGCCCAGATGGCCCGACCGAGCTGGCCCCGAGCCCCAAGGCTGCGCGTGCTGCGCCGTGGAGTGGCGCCCGCGAGTCGGCGGCTTGAGGTGGACGGCGTCGTCGCGGCGCTGCAGATCGGGACGAGGACGCACAGGCTCAGAGGTTGGTCGTGGACAGTGCGCGGTGGAGCACAGGTGCACTCGGCCAAGCGAGGAGGAGGAGCAACGAGGCGAGAGTCGACGAGTCCGCCTCGGAGAGAGAGCGCTCTCTCCTCGCGATTTCTAAACTGCTCTCGAGACGACGGACGACGGCGCGAAACGGGCTGAGAGGGCTGCTGGTAGTATAACACGGGTCGCCCGGCGGTCTAACGGGTCCGGCAACGAGAGAGGGAGCAAGAAAATGCGATGGTCGCGCGCACGGCGCGCGAGGAGGATGCAAGGCGAGGGGTTCGAGGGACGGCACGAAGAGCTGGCTGGGCGACGCTCACAGGCCGAGCGCCTTTTGCTTGGCGGCGACCTCGTTGTGGAGGAGAATGCTGCGCGCAGGCGAGAGAAGGGTCAGGACGAGCCCTCGAGGAAGGGACGAAGTTGAGAAGGCGACACACTCCTCCTGCTCCCACGGGTCTGCGAAAGTGGAACGAGCGTCAGTTTCACGGGACACGAGCAAGGAGAGAGAACGGAAGGTCGAACGACGCACAGTCAACCCACTTGTCCTCGATGTCGTCGCCGGCAAAGTAGGCCACGTCGTCCGGGATGGTCGCGCGCTTCTCCTTGAGCTTGTTGTGGACTGGTGATCGCCCATGTGGCTCGTCAGGTTCTCGTGAACGCGCGAGGGACGCAAAGGGAGGAGGAGGGTCCGGGCGCACCGACAAAGATGGCCAGCTTGGTCGGCGGGAAGTCGGCCTTCTTGTCCTCGGGGAGCTTGTCGAACTGGGCCTGGATGTCCTTCTTGAGCTCGGCGACGGCGTAGCCGAGGGTCGTGCGCGAGTCGTCGACCTCGTCCTGCGCGTGCAGAGGGTCGTCAGGGTGCGGTCGGGCCGACAGGGACGAGAGGAGGGGGGAGAAGGGCGACGCACGACGATGAGGATGCGCCTGCCGATCAACGGGCGGTTGCCGAGGGTCGAAAAGTCGAGCCACTGGGTGCGGATGACCTCCTTGCCGAGCTTCTCCTCCATGGCGAGGCCGTTGCCGCCGTCAAACTCGCCGACCTCCTCGTAGAGCGACAGGCCGATGGCCTGGATGGGAATGTTGCGGCGCTTGCCGTCGGCGCCCGAGACGCGCTTGAGGAAGGTGCGCAGGACGCGCGCGGGGAAGAAGCTGCAGGGGGGAGGGTCAGCACGACTGAACGAGGGAGAGGTGCGAGAGCCCCGCGAGGGGAGCCGAGAGACGCACCCGCCGCCGCCGATGGCGCTGCATGACAGGAAGGCAAGGCGAGTGAGTTCGAGGCCGCAATGAGCGCGAGGACCCAGGTGGGCGGGTTGAGGCGGAGGAGGGAAGAGACAGAGGACGAACACCATGATGTCGGGGTCGAAGCGCTCCTTGATCTGGCGGGCCGTGTTGCCGATGGTGCAGTGGATGTCGTCGTAGGTGACGCGGAGGTGGCCGTCGTGCTCGTTCGGGGTGGAAGCCGGGCCGCCCACTGTTGCGCGCACGCGGAGCGGAGCGGGGGAGAGGGAGAGGGGGGAGGTCGAGGACGGGTCAGTGAGAGGCTCGCGGGAGTGGTGGTACGCGGTGCAGGCTGGGCTGGAGGTAGCTGTGGACGCACTGGTTGCTCTGGTGAGGTTGGTGGTGTCGAGGGAGCGAGTGCGAGGTGATCAAGCCAAGGTCGAGCTGGGACGTGACGGCGGCGCCCGCGCGAGGCTCGCGCCTCCCTCGACGAGTTGGACAACAGGTACAGAGAGCTCCATGACAGCTTCACAGGCCTGGACACACGCTCGGTACTCGCGGCAGAGGCGACGACAGCGCGAGGGCGAGTTTCCCCCACCTCGTTCCGCTCTCGACATCGACGCGCTCGTCCGCTCGACTGTCCCAGGGCACGGCGAGCACCGCCCGTGTGCTCTCTTGTCCGGCTACCCCAAGCGACTCGCTCGCGCCAAGCCTCCCCCAGCCGGTTCCTCGTCCTCATCGACCCCGCGCCGCATCGCCGTCCGCCCGACCAGCACCCGCCGCACACCGCCCCGGCAGCCTGCGGGCACCAGCTCGAGTGCCACGTCCTGTCGAGCTCGTGCGCGCGCGCACCCTCCATGCACCCGCATCCACCGACGCCGGCCGCTCCCCTCCACGAGCCGCCCGCCGACGACCTCACCGACGACGGGCCCCTGTTCCGCGCCCACATCGCCAGCCTCGAGCGACGCGCCCACAGCCTCCGCCACGCCCTCAAGAAGCTCCACCGCGCCCTCGACGCCTCGCTCGCCGCCCTCGACACCCACCGCTCGGCCCACGACTCGCTCGACGACGCCCTCGAGCACCTGTCGGCCGCGAGCCTGACGTCGTACGGCGGCCAGCTCGGCGGCCTCTACGCCCGCGAGCTCAAGCCGCGCCGCGACCGCGCGAGCGACGACGCCCGGCGCGAGGCCGACCGCGCGCGCGAGCTCGTCGACCGCGTCAAGGGCGCCATCGACCGCATAAAGGCCGTCGAGGACCGCAGGAAGGCGTTTGACGCACAGTCGAAGTACTTCTACGACGAGCTCGCCAAGGTACGTCCCGCTGTCGCTCTCCCTCTTGTCTGCCTTCGTCCCGTCCGCTCACACTCTTCCTCCCCCGCCGCTGCAGTACCTCGGTCGCGCAGAGTCGGACCCGGCCAAGATCGCCTCGCTCGACTCGAAACAAGCCGAGCGCGCCGCCGCCTTCCGCCAGGACCGCGTCGCCTTCTTCTCGTTCCTCGAGGGCCTCGTCGAGTCCGAGGAAGGCGCCATCGCCTCGTGGCTGCGCGCCTGGGCCGGCCCGCTCGAGAACGGCGCAGAGCCTTCGAGCGTCGACACGTGTCGCTCGGACACTCTGGCTGCTCTCGAGGGCTCGCCAAACGGCGGCGGCGGCGCCCGCAAGCCTCGGCCGTCGGCCGGGTCGTCGGGCGGCGGCGAGAGCTGGGAGCGTCACCTCGAGGGCTTCCCGACCTACCTCGCCGACGCCGTCACGGGCCCAGACGACGCGGCGCCGTTCCCGCCGGCGAGCGACGACGGGCACTCGGCCGCGCCGAGCGCGTCGGGCCAGTCGGCGGCGAGCCGCACGACGACGGACGGCGGCGTCGAGTCGGCCTCGGGCTCGCGTCCGTCGAGCGACAAGGCGAGGAGGAGGAGGTCGTCGCTGCCCGTGTTCGGCCTCGGCGGCGTCGCCTCGCCCGACAAGGACAAGGAGCCCGCCGGCAAGCGCGACCGCATCAAGGACTTCTTCCGCTCGGCGCACCACTCGATCTCGTCGGCCATCCCGACCTCGTCGTCGTCTGCCGCCCTCGCCGACGTTCTTGTCGCGCGCCACACGTCCCCTCCTCCGCCTGTCCCGACCCGGACGCCCTTCTTGAACTCGTCGTCGAAAAAGTGGCCGCAACTCGAGCTCTCCTCAGGGTCTCGAGCGAGGAGAGGCGAGCAGAGCCGGAGAGGTCAACTTGAGAAGGTCAACCCGCCCTCGCGAGCTACTTTCCTTCTCTCGCACTCGCTGCAGGTGAGCAGGAGTCGACAGCACGATGCGGACAAACCTCTGTAAAGCTACAGCGCCCTCACCGCTTCTCGTTTCGTCCCGCCGTCGGCCCGCTTCCACGCCCTCCTCGTCCTCGTCCAACACGTTCTCTCCCAGCCTCTGCGCGTGCGAGATGTCCGAGAAAGAGTTGCACAAAAACGCTAAAGGGCTTCACAAGCGGGAGGCGAGAAAGGGAAGCTACTGCTCCTCGTCCGACGCCTCCGAGAACCGTCCCGTGACAGATCCCTCCCACGACTCGTCCGAGTCCTCCTCCGCCTCGTCCTCCTCCCCCTCGTCCTCCTCCGCCTCGTCATCGGCGATCTCGTCATCGGCAATCTCGTCGTCGATGTCGGTCCCGCCACCGCCCTCGTCCTGACCCTCGTAGCCGTCCTCCTCGCCCTCCTCCTCGTCGGTAGCTGCCGGGCGCGTGCGCAGCCAGCGCTCGAGCGGTCTGTCGTTGCGCTCGACGTCGACAGCGGCCATGACCTCGTCGACGTTGTCGCCGGCGAGGAGCTCGTCGACGGACGAGAGGGTCGAGTCGGTCCCGACGGAGGAGACGGACATGGCGCTCGAGTCGGACGGGTCGACAGGAGGAAGGCTGCGAGGATCGACACTGCGTCAGTCTCTGGTACAGCACCGAGCGAGAGAGAGGCGGACGCACAGGACAGGGCGGATCTGGACAATGTCCGCCGCGAACAACATGAGGGACGCGCGAGCGACGTCGTGGCTCGCCGGATAGATCGTCTTGACGAGGGCCTCGTACGGCCACTCGTTGCGCTCCATCTCGCCGAGCAGCTCCTCGTAGATGCGGCGCGCGAGCTGCGCCTGGTGCGGGTTGCCCTGGAACTTGCCCTCGAGGTCGTTGGTGAAGCCCATCTCGTACCCGTTCTTGCCGAGGAACTTGCCGATGCTCAGCCCGTACGGCTGGAGCATGACCGGCTTGCTCGGGAGGCGCTTGATGAGGCCCGTCTTGTGCCCATTCTCGAAGCTATGCAGCCGGAGGTGCGGCGGAAGCGAGCGGTGGAGGAACTTGACGAGGGTCGCGCCTGGCTGGTCGCGCTTGATCGGGCCGCGCGTGTCGAAGCCCGTGCTCGAGGTCGCCTTCTCGTTCGAGCCACCGGCGTACTTGTGCCAGATGTCGGCCGTGACGCACGCCGCGAGCTGGACGTTGAGCGAGTCGAGCCCGACGTCGCTGCCGACGACTCGCGGCGTGAAGATGTGCTCGGCCAGGGCGAGCGCGCGCGCATTGACCTTGACCGTGATCGACTCGGCCTCGAGGCGTGCGGCACGGCGGGCGTGGATGCCCAACGAGTACTTGGACATGAGCTGCTTGAGGCTGACGACCGTGTCCGGCGGCGGCGGGCCGTCAAAGTCGACGGCGCCGTAGTAGATGAGGCTCGACTGCGTCGTCGAGTCGAGCGACGCCCACGTCACCGGCACGCCGTCGCGCTCCTCGATGCAGCGGCGCCTGAGGAGGTCGAAGATGTTGCCGCCCTCGGGCCCGAACGACTTGACGGGCGTCGAGGGGGCGCCGACCTGCCACTTGCGGCCCGACTGCGTGAGCGACGCGATGACGATGTGGGCGCGGTCGCGCGCCTGCGCGAAAGTCGACGGCTCGCCGCCGATGCGCGTGATGAGGTCGTCGAACGGGATGAGGCGCTCGAAGCGGCGGCGGGGCGGGAACTCGTTGTTGTACTTGGTGTATCCGCGCTTGAGGTGCTCGAAGACGGACTTGGGCGTCATGGAGGCGAGCGTCTGGTCGACCGGCCCGACGAGGTCCTCGCTCTCGGCGAAGATGGTCGAGATGTCGCGCAGGAAGATGAGGGCCCGAAGCCAGGGCGAGGTCGTGCGGAGTGCGATGGTCGAGTGCTCGCGCAGGTTGACGTGCGTGCGCCGGCCGAACAGCTTGCGCACGAGGAACGAGGTGCTTCTGCAGTTGAGGCGACCGTAGAAGGCCGTGCGAGTCGCAACTTGCGCGTCCTTGCCGCAGGCGTCGACGACGACGACGTGGATGTTGTCGACGGCGAGGGCGGTGTAGGTCACTGCAGAGGGACGCAGGGAGTCAGTTTCGGTCCTCCTGAGGGGGCAAAAGCTGCAGAGAGATGGGGAGAGGGGACGCACGGTCGACGACCTTCGTGCCGAACGCGAGGTACTCCTTGGAGATCGCGACCTTCTTGGTCGGGTATCTCGACGTCTTGCGGTAGTGGAGGAGGCGCTTGAGGGGCCCGCCGCACCACCGAAGGACGTCCTGCGCGGCGAGGGAGCCGAAGATGCGCGAGGGGGGGGGGGGGGGGGGGAAAGAAGGGCCCCACAAAAAGGGGGCCGAGGAGGAGGGCCCCCTTGGGGAGGGGGGGAAAAGAAAAGGAGGGGGGGGGAAAAAACCCGGGGAAGAAAAGGGGGGGGGGGGTTTCATAAGGGAGGGGGG